TCGATCAATTTTTTCAAGGGTATGTTCGTATCGTGGCTACTAGTCTCATGAATGCAGAAATAAAGATATGACTTTAAACGTTCGAGGAGCATTCCACAGTGAAACGCAATTTTCAAACGCTTATTTTGGCCTTGAAAATGGTTATCAAGACTAGATATCTGGTCTTCTAACGTTTCAAATCGCTCCCTTCTCCCTTCAGGCAGTTGTTCAGGCAAAACAATGTTGTATGTTTGTGCTTTTTGGCGGAAATCCTGATATAATGTATCAAGGTTTAAATTTTCTTCGTCTTTCATAAGTTCAACATCAGAGATATAGTTTGCAAAGGCAATAAACCTGCAACTTTCGCCAGCCTTACCAAATTGATAACAATGCTCTATTTCTTCTTGGGTCACCTCTTCAGCCATTTAATATACCGCGTACAAATTCACAAAATGGTTCAGTTCTGTGACTTCTGTCTCAGTTTACGAATGAAGTTATGCTTTATATGCTTCCCAGCGACGTGTCTTTCAGCAATAATTGGAATCTATAAAGTCTATAAATGCCCCCTTCCAATTATCGAAGCTGCCTGAAACAAACTCCTTTGAATAATTTGTTATAGTAAACAGTATTTGGTCGAGTAGCGATAGCGACCTAATAGTTTCGGCTTGGTTTTTTTTAACTCGCATTGCGCATTGCGCAAGCCAGATTTTCGAAGTAATTTCTGTCTTCGCTTCAAGGACAAGAAACGCGTGTTCGTTGTTACCTCTGTCAGGTAGTCGCACCAAGGAAATTACCCAAAATTGATTGTTGATAATTCGAGTGGGATCCACCTCGCTTCGTTTCTCTTTCGTTCTATGATCTAAGTTTATTACCTCGCGTGCGTAGCGCAGCGAGGTCTTAATTTGCCCAGCGTTTATTTTTCTGTCGTGTCGAGAATTTTATTGGTTGAGGCCAGTTGAGGCCAAGATTCGGCGCCATATTTGGAAAACTGAATGCGAAATTAAGCGCGTGATCGTGGCGTGATGGCCACGACGCATGATCTGCTCGCCGGCTCACCCTGCTGTTTTCAATCTCATTGCTTCTCTATTCCTGATCATTGATCAATAGCGAGCAATTTCGACAAGCTCTTTGAGAAATATGGCTATCCTTCGTTTGTTTTTCAACGACAATCCCTTCACTCGCCAGGGAGCTGTATGTAACACAGAAAGGCGAGGAGACGGTCAACGTGCTGTCGACAATTCCTTGACATGCCAGCCGAAGCTTTATGCAATGGAAGAGAAAGGCATGGAGATAGCCAACGTGCTATCGATAATCCCTTGACTCGCCAGGGAGCTGTATGTAATCGCAGAGAAAGGCGAGGAGACGGTCAACGTGCTGTCGACAATTCCTGATGGTTCAGCGTTTCGCTTTCAGCCAGCAAGGAGTGTCGCTGTCACGTTGATATGGGCATCCCCGTGTTTTGGGTATCCCCATGCTCAGATCCCTAGTGATATGCGCATCCCCGGTGGGCATGCTGAAACACTGAATGTCGATGACTATAATAGCCGACGCTCCTCATGAGTCATGCACGCGAGGTTAATGCCTAGCGGGCATCTTGTTTGATAAGTTGATAGTTTGAGATTACATATGGCGAAGTATCAAGCCTGCCACGCGTTACGTAGGTACCTAATGCGTTTGTATCTAATAGAATTTCTTTGCCATGGCAAAACATGCCCTGACAAAAGGTCAACAAGTATCGGATGTCATGTCATGCTGGGATTTCATAATATATTAATAATCGCGCAGTAAAAACAGTGGCGTAGCCAGCCTGACAATTTTCTCCGGCTATGTAAATTTCTAGTTATTACAATTATTCATGTCTTCAGAAATCTATTGTTTTTACAGTCAGTGAACACCAAAATATTAGCATAGCGGGACAAATCGACAGGCGGGCTACGCTACTGAGTAAAAACATGCATTTTTTCACTAAAATCTCTTATTTCTCGCACTATATATAACATTCTTAAGATATACGCACAGTTTTGTATACTTTAGACATTGTGCTATCTCGTGTTACAAACAACTATTTTAGAAGTCAGTGGTAAAAAGTTGGTGTACTTTTGGCCACAAAGTTGCGTGCGGTCTTCTAAGGGCACTCCATGTTGTAAAATCGGCTCATGTTTTGGTATTGATACCTCTTGTGTTGTTGTGCATGATTGTATGTTGTAATGCACGGCCGGTGGGGGACTGTTCTAAAAATACACTGAGCTTGGAGTATTCTGCGAATATTCACGTAATTGTAATAGCCCTCTTAAGCATGTATAAGAGGGCTGAAACAAACTCCTTTGAATAATTTGCTACAGTCGAATATAATTGTAACATAATAGAAATGTTAATGATAAGTTTCATAAGCGGCGTCTAACTTTGAAGCAAACAAAAAATATTCCCTTTAAAAACGAATGAATGAAATAAAGTAAAGTAGCCTCCAAGCTTGTCGATTTTTTGCTGAATAAACAAATTATGGCTAGGAAATCGAAATTTTAATGGTCAGTTTCATACACTCTGCACTGTGACTACATAAAACTTTACATTCCCAAATATCTAAAATTATAAAACTTACTAAAGAAATTTCCCCAAAATCACATTAATAATCTAAATTTTTATGCAAAAGTAAGATGAAAGTAACTGAAATTGGTAAAATTACCCTGTCTGGTCACACTGATGCAACTACTTAACTAAGTCATTTCTTGGTGGTAAATAATCGTGATTGGTCAGAATAAAAAGTTTCATTTATGGCCACAGTCTGAAATAAATATAGCTAACAACCAGACCAGCCAGAAATGCAAACAGCATTGGGAATCTTGACATCTGACGTTTGTGCCGTTCAAACTCCGGGTCGACTAGCAAACGACTTGTTGCTGAAATAACCCAGTCTCCTAATTTATCTGTCGGTATATGTATGTAAGGGTCGTTTAAATCAAGAAGCATCTTTCTAGCAAACGAGAAGCAGTTATGACCAATGTCTTCACTGCTGGATGAGGCTGAACTGCCTGCCAACATAGTGTCGCCCAAAATGTTGTATTTAGGAGGTCTGTTTTGCTTTGCCTGGACATTCCTTAAAAAAACCTCAGCGGAGGTTTTGGAGATTGACCATGATCTATACAACAAACGCTCGTTCTCGAACATCCATCAACCGTTTTGGACATCGAAACAACAATTTGTCAGATGAACCGGCAGTTTCCTCTGGCGAAAAGCTCCAGATCCTAACTTTGCCATCTCGTATTCCAGGAAGGAGCAGGTCAGTTTCCTGGGCAGCAACGAAGTCGATGAACCATATTTTCGAAGTGATCTTTGTCTTCGCTTCAAGGACAAGAAACGCGTGTTCGCTGTTACCTCTGTCAGGTAGTCGCACCAAGGAAATTACCCAACATCGATTGTTGATAATTCGAGTGGGATCTACCTCGCTTCGTTTCTCGTTCGTTGGCAAATTGCAGATTTTTTTCTTCAGGTCGGATTTTAACCTTGCAATGTCAGTTTTATTTTGCAACTCTGTTTTGCGTCTGGTAATCCTTTGTAACTCTTCTCTGATGTCAATCCCTTTTTCCTCTGCCATATTTTCTAATACCTTTGCGTGCAATGCCAACTTATCTTCGAACTCTTCTCTTTCATGGTCTTGAAGAGCTTTTAGATTACACATAACAATAGTAAATTCTAAACATTCAAGGATGATTCCACACCGGAGCGCAATTTGCAAATGCTCGTTTCTGTCTTCAAAATGCGTACCAAGACAAGCTACCTGATGTTGAATAGCTTTATATCGCTCATTGTATTCTTCAGATAGTTGTTCTGGCATAACAATGTCATATGCTTGTGCTAATTCACGAAATCTTCGATAAGTTGATTCATAGTCCAGTCTTTCTACGTTCGCACGTTCGCAAACTTTGTCTTTATATACATCATTTGAACAACGTGTGCCAACAGCACCAAGACGGTAACAACGCTCTATTTCCTCTTGGGTCACCTCTTCTTCCATTTTATATCGCGCAAAAATTCACAAAACGATTTAGTGCTGTCTTAGTTTACGAATGAAGTTTGTTTTCTTGATACCACTAATGAAAATTTGGCGTTAATTATTTGCATAATTACGAAATGTGGCGTCACGTCGTGATTACTGACATGCTGATGCATGCATTCATAAATATTTCTATGATCAACGTTTATTTTATGAGTTGATATTAAATTACATATGGCGAAGTATCAAGCCTGCATGCCACAGCATGCGTTACGTTCCGAATGCGTTTGTCTAATAGTAATAGGGTTTCCTTTGGAATACCTCTTGTGTTGTTGTGCATGTAATGTAATGCACGGCCGGTGGGGGACTGTTCTAAAAATACAAGCTTGGAGTATTCTGCGAATATTCCCCCAATTGTAATAGCCCTCTTAAGCATGTATAAGAGCTAGGGCTGACGCAAACTCGTTTAAATAATTTGCTACAGTCGTCAGTCGAATATAAGTGCAATATAATAGAAATTTTAATGATTAGTTTCATGGATAAGCGGCGTCATACCGCGTTCACACTACGCGCTTTGATAACTTTGAAGCAAACAAAAAATATTCCCTTTAATAACGAATAAATAAAATAAAGTAAAGTAGTCTCCAAGCTTGTCGATTTTTTGCTGGGGTTTTTTGGGAAAATCCTCCCACTTTCTCTTTGAATATGAACATGAAACTACAGATACAACAGTACACATGCAGTCTTCTGTGTCCGTTGCGCCGTACTGCGCCTTGAACACAGAAGACCCTGGGAACGAGGTTGCTACTGATAGAGCCACGAATATAAAAGTAGAAACATTTATAGGTGATATTGTGCAATATACATAATGCGTTTTTGTGATATGATGAATCATCAAAGTTGTCATTCTTGGGGGCCATTCATAAAATACGTGACGCTATAGGGGGTGGGGGGGGTGTTCGCTATAGTGTCACATGATAACACATAGGGGTGGGGGGGTGTTTACTGCAGCGTCACGTGACGTAACAAATATCTGTAGACTCTCGACAATACATGGATATGCTTTAAAATTAAATTGACTGCCACATGAAGTATTCCATTGGCAGGGGCCTATTGCCCCTCTATATACTAAGTTTTGAGTAGCTACATCTAATATATCACTAAATATTTTTTTTTCGCACCGTTGAGGTTGACTTCTCTTTTCTATTTCGCTACTTAAATAAATTTGGGGGGGGGGTATTTGGCCAGGAGTCACGTAATTTTTATGGGGTATTTTGGAAAACGTCACACAGTGTCACATAGGGGTGAGGGGGTCTTAAAAAATGGCCAAAATAGCGTCACGTATTTTATGAATGGCCCCTTGACGTATTTAAAGTTGTTTTTGGCCTCTCTTTATTGAAATAACATGTAATATGATAAAGTCATGTTTCTGTTGATTTGCAGGCGTGAAGTTTTACTTTGATTTTTCTTGAAGTAGCTATTTCCACAATATGTTTAGAAAGATTTATGGTTAAAACACGAGAATAGGAAATACACAGAAGCGCTACTCAACGGACGCTTTTAAGTTTTTTATCTCTGCGCATACCGCACCGCGCACGCATGTTGCCCGCGATTATTCTGGCCAGTCGACTGCACGATAACAAAGGTTTTTCCTCAAAGCACACTAAAATAGCTTATCCGCCGTTACCAAACCAGTTGATTGCAATAAATGTCGCTGAACTACAAGCTCGAAAGAGACCTTTAACAAAAGCTGAGAGTGAGTTACCCCGCACTCTCTATTCTGTGCCACGGAACCTTTCCTCATTTACGTACCTCTTGTCTGCGCATGACTGTCATAACAGGTTGCGCAATCATTGAAATTTATAAAATGCGAGCGACTGAAAACAGAAAATATGTATGCAAAAACAGACAGGAGAGCCCCTTCAACATAATACAAGTTTACCAGTAAGGTAACATGGATGAAAACCTTAGGAGTTCAAATTTTACAAGCCCCAATAGTAAAAGAGCTTTCAACCTATCACATTCAATTTCATTCGTTCACAGAAATCATGTATCATTCGCGATCATTCCGAGAATTTTTTGTAGATCCGAGAAAATTTCATGTCGTGGGTACGTGAAAACTTAGCACCACGAGAAAAACGGTCGCTTTTCGTGGAAACTTTGCGTGTAGGTTTCGTTTGGTGAACGATGAACCCTTCCGTCTAGTTTTTTCTTTTGCACAAGAACTGGTGGCATTTGAACCAGCTCTAAGGGAGACTTCTTTTGCCGCAGTGCTTCGGTGAGATTGAGAATCTGAAAGGAAACGACGCAGGTTTCAGCTTTGAGAAAGCATCAGGCAAATTTGACAATACACTGCACAGTTTTAAGACCTACTTGTCCTCGCATAACGTTCATCTGTTTTTCATAAAGAGATCTATCAAAGCCACGATCTTCCTACGGAGAAAACCAAACGACGATTTAAAATTTAATGAATTATGTAAATAACGAATAGTGAATATAAGAACGATAGATATAAGCTTAATTACCTTGAACAGCAGGTACAAATCATCAACTAATTCCTGCACAAAATCCATGTTCTCTAGTTTGGTCAGAACCACTTCACGAATCTCATCGGAAAACGCGTGTTTAGCATAGGGCAGCCACGCCCAATGATAAGGATCTAAAGGTAAAGAACGTCGTGAGATATTAAGCTACAGTATGTCAGCTAGGAGAATATCTAAGATGATGCACACAATATGCAAAGTTTGCAATCACTTACATAACCTCCATGAGTCAGGGTGTTTGTATGGAAAAGCTAGACCATTATCAATGGCAGCAATATATATCACTGGTGGCTCAACTAGGTTCCAGTCATCCTCCTATAAACACCACAATTTATCAAAATTGCATTGGCTTTGAAAGGCTCATATGACTGTTGTTCCTATTGAACTGTGTGTAAAATATCTAACTCATTCTCCATTTAAGGCATAATCTTAGGTAATTCAGAGACACTCTGTATATCAAAGCCATGTGATCATGTTGGAAAATATCCAAGCAATGCATGTTTACCTCTTCATTTGTATTTTCTTCAGTTTTGGTGTTGGTCACGAGAGGTGTTCGATCATATTTAATAAGCCAGTTATCATTCCCACGATCTGGAATATAGTGTACGTACATTTACATGACAAATATGTCATTTCATAGCCATGTTTTATTAAAAAAAGTAAGATTACACTAACCTGTGTTTCTGATGATATAATCAAGGCAAACCAATTTCTCAAATTGGAACTGGAAATTATTTAATGTCTTTGAAGGAAGGTGTTCATTCTCAAATTTTCTCAAATAAAACTCTGCATCTTTGTATCCTTCAACGAACAACTGGAAAGATCCAACCTGAATTTATTGAGATGAGATACTGTATCAATCCATCAAAGCCCAAAGTGTTAGGCTGAGAGAATAAATTCTGCCTTAATAATCTTACCTTTGGTGGCAAACCAAGTTTCACATGCTTTCCAATTGTGTCTGGGAATCTCTCTGCTGCACGTTTCTTTGAACTTGCGAGAGTTCGATCAAGACCAGTATAGTTGAATGTATCACTAACCAGTCTTACAACCTGAACCATGTAGAAAACCGTAAAAATTCTAGTTGATATTTCTGCTGAGAAATTTGGTTTTCATGGATAATCAAAGTTGGATTGAAATGCAGGAAAAAAACAGACCTTTGTCTTTGGGACAATATGTAAGCCCAGTTTCTCATCCACATGACTTGCTCCAACCTCAGACATATATCCTTGATTTGGAATCAAGCAACTTCGACCAAAACAGCAAGGACAGCATGTCTTATGAAGCCATTTTGTCCACTTTGGGTTTAGATGGCCATAAGGCTCCTCATTTTTTGGTTTAAAAACACCAATAATTTTCTACATAAAATGAAATATTTATTCCAAACTCTTAAAAAACTCCAGCTATCATGTTTGTTGCGAGTTTAAAATCTTGGTGAAGTTAGCTTATGCAAAGGGCTCTTTTGTATGTGGTTTAAAGCTTTAGGCACTTTAAAAGTGTAATCTATTATTTTCTGACAAAGCAGCTGGTTTAACTACAATAACGACTTTAGGAAGATCTACTACAATCTGGAAGACTTTACATGTTTGTCAGTGAAAATAATATTGCTAGTAAATATATTGAATTAGATTTACATGAACCCTAAGGCCCAGTAGAATTCATCGTTGGGCAAAGACATGTTTAATTCAATCTGAAACAGGAAACTATTAAGAGAAACTTCACTCACAAGATGAATTCAAAACAAGAACTATCTGTACAATGTACAACGTACATGAGCATGCTACTAACTCTCAGTTTTGACTGGCAACATTAAATTCATCAGACAATTCTGATCAGACTACCTCGTAAAACATTTTAAAGTACATTATAAACAGTTTTAATAATTAATGAAATTTTGGAAGAAATTTAACAGTTTTAAAATACGATCACAACATTGACAACAACCAGATTGAATGATTTAGAAATGATTAAAATGATAATAAAAAAATTTTATATATGAAACAAAAAGCTTTCAAGGTTTTCTTTCAGTAAATTCTACAATATATTTTTACATAAAAGGCTTTGATCTTTTCCCAGCTGGTACTGTCAGGTGAAACCTTGTGTTCGTTTGAAATACAAATAGTGAAAATTAAAGGAACGAATACGCCTTAAAGTGAAAACTAAAGCACAACCGAAAAGATATAATGCGATAAAGTCCAATGTTCAACGATGGATGGCGATTATTTTTAGCTGAACGTAAAGATAAAAAAGTAGACACGATATTTCTGCAAACATGTGAAAGCGTGCAGGTTTATGTTTTATCATCCCTAGATCAGTCCCACAAAACTAATCGATTTACTTACTTTTTCTTTATTATGGACAAAATAGCTGCCAGAACTTCCTTGGTATATTCTCTCTGGATAAACTCCACAGTCGATTGCATGTTCAGCAGCGCGGATAATCGCAGTAAACTCTGGATCATTTATAGAGTTATTCGGTGGGTGTTCAGACTCGCTGATTCTATCCATAGTTCGTTTAGACCCGCCGAGCAAGGGTTTTCGTTCACCTGATGCAATTTCAGAGTCGCTATAATAAGGTTCGTCTCCTCCTCCAACGATTGCAGTGCTAAAACTCGATGGATCGTTTTGATAGCTATTAGAGTCGATCTCTGAATCAAATTGTCCTTCACCTTCTACAACGTTCGCGAGCGTGTTGTTCGGTGTCCTATGATTCTTTTGGGCCATCTATATGTAGCCGAGGGAGAATTGTGTGTCCAGTTTAATTTACATAACATTACACAGGCAGAAAGCGGGTAAACCAATCCAAAAAGCGATTCCAAGTTAAAATTGACAAACTTGCACTGTCACGCGTCCTCCATTTTGAATATGAAAGTGCAAAACTATTGGTGAAAAACAAATAGTTCTCCCAAATCACGTCTCCCCCCGGAAAGGGAGTAAATTTGAACGTATGTCCAGTGGTCTCCCTTCACCTTTAACCTTTTCCCCTCGCTACAACATTACATCGAAAGTTAAAACAAGTTTTTGCTCGAAGAATTTCAAAACTTTAAGTTCTCATCAGTTTTCACGTTTGGGATTACTAGTTTATTGAGCCATAATCTATCATAGTAAAAACGACAAAGGGAGGGTAAGTCAGGGGGTATGTCAGCTACTTCCGGTAGCTGTTTCCGGTATTCTCGCGAGTTCGATATATTTTCTTTGTTTACAATTATTTTCGTTTGCAAATTGCACGATTTTATGAACTGCATGTGACCGATGATCTGCACGGACATGTTCATATGTAAACAGATATTATGTAAACTGCTGTTACACTTACACACAGTTTACATAAGATGAAAACTTGATTATCCAGCTTAATCTTGAACATTGTAGATCAGTTTCATCAATAGCTGGAACTGAACTGGTACAGTACTGGATACAGATCCTTCGGTCCATCTCACTCAGTGAACTATAGAAGACTGGCACTGGAAAGATCGCCAGTTATCTTTCCAGTGCCAGTCTTCATATAGTATATATTCTTATAAGGTTCCCATTTCTGACGCCAGTTTGAGCCCAAATCAGGTGCCAATGCTAGTGTCTTTCTAGTGTCTTTGTTGGCGCGATCGTTGACATTGAAGACAACAAATTAAATCTCTCACCATACGTGTCTTTTTCCGTGATTTTCATCCAGTTATCGTGGTGATCAGTGCCGATAAGAAATTTTTAATATATCCAGTTAATTCGATGCAGATCAGTGGCCAGCTCTTGACGTATTTGGGGAAACCTTTACGTCACAGACGATTTGCAAAACAAAATCCTTCTTTGTGATCGACCAAAGTGTGCACAAGTGAAGTGGGTAAGTGCGCGCGTGCAGAAATGGGATTATAATAACGTCTGACACGTAATATCCTTGGTGCAGATGGAATGGGATCTTTTTTTAATGATTCTCACCAGTAAACCGCAGATTCTTACGTACTACTTGTGTTAAGAGTGCCTATTTTTAGGAGTTTCCGCAGCAAGATCCTTTATGTCACCAGGTTCTTGCGTGTGTAAGTGGTTTGCGTTTTTTTTTGTAATAATTATGTAAAAATAGGAAGGTGGGATCAAATATAGACCTTCAGTGTCTCATTATCCAGTTTAGCTTAGTTTAGCTCAAAAACTGAACTAGTAAAAATATTGTTTTGAGAATTTTTTTGTTAGCTATATATGAACTGGTAAACTGGATATAAATCTTTCATTGTTTGTACTTTTTTGTAACTCATCTCACTTGCGGAACATTATTTCACCATGCACTCCTTTCGTGTCATGATCAATGAGACAATGACTCTTGTAAATCTACGGTGTCACTTGGAGCAAACTATCCAGTCCACTTACAACGTAGAGCAGTGGGGCTCTCCTATCTGCCTTGTGGACTAATATTAGATATAGAGCACATTTTCTAAAGAATGTGAAGAAAATTTACTTCCCAGCCAAGAGATCACAAGATTTGTCAACCGTGACGACTTTTGCGTACATTTGACGTCGCTGCTTACAATTCTTCAACAACGCACGCTTCCAGACGTCACTTCTTACCTTGGAGTAACCATCACTGGTAACCACAAATTAACGCATGATCTCCCAGAATATCATTGAATGTGTGCGTCAAAAGGTGATGACGTTTCTACATTATGCGTCGCCGTGAAGGTTTAAAAGCTCGTTTCGAAATTACAAGGGATATATTTTGCTGTGGACTACGTTTTAAAGATCTTTTGGAAACTTTAACGTCAGACTAACTTGGTATGTATTGTCTAATTCTCTATAATCTATCCTGTTATAGTAAAGTAAAGATGCATGCATGGTCGGTTCTGTTGTGTTCCGTGTTTGGGTAGCGTGTGTATCTAATATAGTGCACTCTGAGAACTACTGCACTTTTTTAGAGTTTTTTTATACCGATCTCGATTCCAATTCGGAGTAGATATGACAGCAGAGAACTGGTGAAAAGAAAGTCTAAAAAGCTGGAACATTATTAATCCCATATGAAAATTTCCTAAAAAATCATATACTTTCTTCAATTCCCCTTATAGCGTACAGGAGGAACGTATACAGATTTTGTTGAAATATGGACGTAAGGAATATATTATTCTGATCATCGGTAAAGCGCAACCATCATCAGCGTGATTTTAACTATTAAATCTGTTTTCAGACTGGTTTAGATGGTCGAATTTTCCCAGTTAATCTCACTGATGATCCAAACAAAGTCGATTACGACTGCATCGTTTTCGTTAGCGAAAATTTGGACTTTACTGATCCAAATCTGGAATTTTTGAAAGCCCCACTTCAACAAAGAAAAGCGGTAATGTTATGTTCGTTCACAGTTCACTATCAACAAGACTAAAATTGACTTCCTAGTTCAATGCCAAACGGCTAACGTGTTAAAATGGTGTCTTCAATAAATACATAACATTTTCACTTGTATTCGTCAAAATTATTGTAGAATGACTCGAATTTTGAGAAGGACGTCAGTGTGATTGATATCGATAGCAATGTAAAACGTCTGGTAAGTTCAACTAATACACGAAGACTGTAAATTAACTAAATTTATTTGTAATCAGTTCACTAGTTTTAGAAAACCTAGGTCGAAATGATCAATTCAGTTACGTATCTCATTTACCTTTCAAGGTGTACGCACCAACAGGACCTGTTAACCGTGATTACGATGATCCAAGACGATACTATGATGCCGCTTGCAATGGAATGAAGAGGTAAGATGATTTCGTCTGATTTTCTCGCTGTTCAAAACCTTTGGGAAACGCCAAAGAAAATTGTTTAACACTTTTTCCTGACACGCAGAGCCGTCAAGGCAGGAGCAAAGAAACCTGTTTTGGCCATTCCATCCGAAACTTCGTTTGAACAGGCTTGGTCAGTGTCGGCATTTGGGGCTCTTCATGCATTGTACACGGTAAGAACTAACCCATTTGATACAGATCGCTTTTAGTGCATGCGACCCAACGTTATTCTGTTATCATGAAGTGTCCAGTCGGTTGGAAGATGAACTATCGATAACCTTTATAGTAGTCTTTGAATTGAGGACTCAATTTAAACTTAGTCATTTCTTTTATTTCAGCCCATCGAAGTCGCTGTATTTGACCAAACAAAAGCGAAAAAAGTTGACTTCTTGGAGATTTTCTATTCAGGGGATGTGAGTGACGATTCCATAATAGACTTGTGAACATCCCGCGATATGACACTAATTTTTCGACACTAGCTATACTGTGTATCCTATGAACAGTATACAAGTTGTAGAAGATGCAGTTTTTATTCAGTAATTGAGCGGTTCCATTTTGGCTAAACGAGGAATGGGTAAAACTCATTGCCAAATCAATGGCCAAATGAAGATACTGGTTTTAATGGCGGAAAAAAACAAGGAGGTATAGTTTAAAAAAACGACGTGTTCTCGCATTTCTCACTACAATTTGCTTTCCATTTTAGAGTGGTGATCAGCTCTTGAATTATGTGAACGCTGTGGAAATTGGAAGGTAAAATTATGCAGAGTCGCAACCTTCTATTTTGGTAATCAAGCTTACCTTAGCAATTAACATCACTGATGTTTTAAATGTGTAAGAATGAGGTGGGGTGTGCCCTTATTGCTGCCGAGCCTCAGCGAGGCAGCACACTATTCTGGACGTGTTGATGTTTCTCCAGAGTTCACTCGACCCAGGCTTTTGCGCGCATTTATGTATTGTCGAAATTTGGATTCGATTCTGTCTGTCCGGAAAGATTTTTGTTCCGGGGGAATAATTAAGCGTGCGTATGTTTAAAAAATTAAAGGGGGACGTACGGATTATATCTTGTAAATTGTAACGCGTGTGCAATCTGGTGCAATATTGATGTGCTGGAGCTCGAGTGCGAATGCAAACTGCCAAGTAAGTATGGTTTTTTCCTTTCTGCCGATTTCCATCAAGGTGATGAACTTTTTAGTATTTACTCGAGAGGCAAACAATGTGCTTTTATGAGTTTATCGGCGCTTCTTACGGCCCGAAATTTTCCCTTATCGTCGTGGTCGAAGATTACATTTAATAATGTCTTATTACAAAGGGGACAAAATGTACATAAAAGCTCTTAATAGGGGCTTTATAGTCTTACCGTCAGGTGTAGATTTTTTGTCTGTGGAAAACTTAGGTACCAACATATGTTAGTATATCAAAGGAAGAAAAATGTATGTAATTGTAAAAGCTCTGAACTGACACTTAGTTCTAGACTGTACCAGTACAATTATGTTCATTTAATAAGTCGCCATATCAGCTGTGTTTTGTCATAACAACTACAGATAGCTGATCTGCCCGTTTTTTAAAACCCTAAAGTCATCAGCATGACTTTGCCCATGAGGCTCAACATATACTGGAGGGACACAAAGGATTAGCCCAATCATTGTACATGTTAGTTAGAGACAACTGAACACAATTTTATGCGGCAAGTCCCATTGAGAGTCTGAGAGAGTAAATAGTATTTACAAATTACAGACACCAATACTTGAGAGTTGAGACACAAACAGTTTCAGTAAACCATGAGAGGGTAATTGTACATATTTTATGAATCCACCAGTATTTTATGAATGATATCTTTCCTCAATATTTGTAGATGTCTAGATGATAAAATCATGTGCAATTCACATAATGCTACCAAGTACTGCAATTAATGTTTGCCAGGGTGAATTAGAGCAAGTTTGACCTATGATACATGCAGACCTTAGTTAAATAAAGGTGCATGGTGTATACCTTGTTACCTTCAATGCATCAATGGACATGAAACAAAAATAACAGAGTAAACTACAGTAATTACAAAACGAATCAAAGTGTTTAGAAAATGCAAATTAAATTATGCCCAAATTTACTACATTATTAGAATGTAGAAAGTATAATTAACTTTCACCTCAGCCTGTCATGTATGTAAATATAAACGTAATCTGACACCAACCCTGGTTAACTCGAACCCCCGGTAACCCGAACAGTTTTTCTTGAGAGTTCAAGTTAGCGGGGGATATATTTACATATTATATATTGTTAATCTATTGAATATCAGGAAAGCTTATCAATTAATACTTAAGCATCATAGATCTGTAACTTCTTAGTCAGTTTTATCTTGCCAATAGCAGTTTTATAGTTGTTATATTGAATTTGCTATATTTTGTAATAAATTATATATTTGTTCAAATGTTTACATATCAAAGTTTTCCTTATAATCATATATAATCAAGTATGATTAACTGTATGCTGCTGGTTCTTTTTCCACTCCAGTTAAGTTAAGCTATGTTCATGAATCTTGTTATTGTGCCCTCATTAATGTCACACTGTTGCCCTTGTTTCTGAATAAAACTGTTATCCATAAAATTCATCTGAACATTTAAATAAAGATTTTTAACTTAGCACTTTTGAGAAGTGTTTTGTCTATTTTAGGCAGTTGTTATACAACATTTGATACTAAGTTGTTTGAAGACGCTCCCACGCTGCTCCCTGGTTATATGATTATATTGTAAAGATTTTTAATTCAGATCTTCGGCAGCAATTTTTCCTTCTGATAAGAACGTCTAGTTTACTATTCTTTTAAACCAGAACTGGGTAACGTGGATACTAGGGATTAGGGAAAGGCCAACTTAATCGAGTTAAGGACTCAAAGCGCCTTTCGCTGATGCCTCTGCGATGCATAAGGCCGGACTATGATAGTAATGATATATTTTTTTCTCTTCGCCAGAATGGTTTGTCGTGACATCGCTGCTTCTGATCCGGAATTCTCGTGTACCAGCGAGGTGGAAAAATACGTCCTCAAGGTCCTTGGTGAAGATCCAACGATCACGGTTTGAATTTTTTTACGTTCACTTTCAAAAATAGCTCAGAGCCAACATAATGATCATCATATACTGTATACAGTGTATTTCCCATGCGCAAATTGTCGAGGAGAACTTCCTTGAGTACAACTGAGATTCTTTGTCTTAGATAACTGTCACCAAGGGCACTGAAAACCTCGAGCAAAGTTATCCATTACTGGCAGCCGTTAACCGTGCCGCTTCTGGTTAGTAAAATAATATACATGTGTAATGATCTGCTAGGAATATTATTGCTTTAGCCTTTATAGCCAAGATTAGATTAATACCGAAACACTTGAAATGAATAAGAATTTCAATTTTTACAGTCACTGAACGTCACCAGGGGCGTATTATCAACTTTGAATACAATCCTCTGCAGAGGGCAGCGATCCTGAATACTTTGATGTTGGTTGGCAAGGTAACTTGACGATCACGAATTCCGATGTTCATAAGAATCCTGATTTGCATTGAAACGCGGGACTTTATACACTTCACTTGGTGACAATAGTTGCGGTGAAATGGAAGCAAAAAATATTAGTTAAAAATCTTGTTTGTTGTTGATTGTTTTAAGGGTGTTGCGTACGATACAGGTGGAGCTGACATCAAGACCGACGGTAATATGCCTGGTATGAACAGGTAGGGTGGGACTGCCAGACTGGTCGATTTTAACGATCTTGAATGTATTGTGTGTGACATTGCTACTGTAGGTTTCAATCAAGATTCTCTTATTTTGAATCTGAAGTTTCCTGAAGTAAGCTTTATCTCTTTCAGGGATAAGTCTGGAGCGGCTGCCGTTGCAGGATTCTTTAAGGTTGGTTGCAATTTCATTCTTCTCTGCGATTGTTTCCTTGAATATATATATATAGATGACCATGCAGAGCAATGAATAAGCTTTCTTCTCTATTGTATAGACTCTGTCCATTCTTAGACCAGCTGGCATCCGAGTTCGTGGAACAATGGCAATGGTCCGTAACAGTGTTGGAGCAGGTTTGTCGCAGTTTTATCTTCTTACCAGGGGAGAGAGAGCATTACCATGACATAGCTTACTATGACAAGGTCCTTCGATGTGGTAGTCTGTGGTTAGCCCCACGTTCCCGCTCACTATAACGGGGGGGGGGGGTTGTTAATGTGCATTGATAAACGCAAGTTAAGAATTTTTCCACCACGATACCTGTATTTCCTGGATGAAAACATTGAAGAACGACTGTGCTCTGAGACAGAGTTTCTCTGTTTATAGAAATGTACGTTGGTGATGAAATTATCACTGCTGCATCTGGTGTGAGGATTCGAGTGAACAACACTGACGCTGAGGGACGATTTGCAATGGGAGATTGCCTTTATCACATGAAACAAGAGGTATTTTGAAGCAGCAAACCTAGTGATCTCGTCGTAATTAGAATACTCATACTATATTTTTCTTATATAAAGGCTATTGGACAAGTCAATCCTCATATTTACACATTTGCCACTCTCACCGGTCACTGCATTAGGACTTATGGAGAGCATTATTCAGTAAGTAAACTGAAGTTCGTGTTAATTTCACACGAGCGATGTCATCTGGGAGGTCGGAACAATTTTAGCAGTCATAATACAAACGCATCTAGCTAAGTTTACGTTTTATGAAATCATACAAAGATTTTCGTGTAAAATTTTTAAACCTTTGGTTTCGTAGGGGATTATGGAGAACGGACCAGCCAAGAATCAGAATATTTGCAAGGCTTTTCAAGCAGGTTAGTTTTTGGTAATAGTTTGCCGATACAAGCATTCATTCCACTTTGATCCTGTTTCATATTCAGTATAAATCTAGCATCCTATATCATCATTCATTGAAAAACTACTTTCTTTTCAGCTGGAGATGCTTTTGCTGAGCCGTGTGAAATCTCCACAATGCGTCGCGAGGTGAATGTCGTGAAATTATTAAAATATATTGCGTTCTTCACAAAATATGTACACCGGCACAATCGTATCCATCATAGTACTACGATAACCCTTTACAATCGATTGTCATAACTTTTTTATACAGGACTTTGACGCGACCGTGTCTAAAACGGAGTACGAGGATTACCTTCAAGACCAAAGAGGCGGGTATCGCGGGCATCAGTATGCTGGCGTTTTCTTGCAACGGGCGTCTGGTTTGGACAAGGTAAACTATTGAAGAAATTTTGCCAATGTCTGAATGAACTCTGGAGAGTTATCCCTGCTTAATCGAATGCAGTTCATTCATGGAAAACGGTTATGCTAAGATAAGAGGGCGGAAATGATTTCATTCACTTGAATGAGATATATGATACGGAAGACCACATAAAAAAATCTAGTATGAAGTATCCAGACCATTCGGATCAAGATATTACTTTATCATTCATTTTAATACTGGTATTTTTAGCCGTTACTCTAACTCTTCGAATGGTTTTCTCATTTCTAGCATGGTACAGACTCTGAAACCCAGCTACCATATGTGCATATTGACATCGCTGGATCCAGCGGAGAGTATCCTAACATGCCTACTGCCACACCTCTTCTGGGTCTCTCTGCTCTGTACCTGCGTGACCGCGTTGTTGGCATATAAAGCAGCGAACACAAGAAAAGACACGCGAAAAGAAAATGATAATAGATAGTTTATAGTTAATCATCATTATATCATTCAGATCAATTTCCTGCATGTTTTCAAACAATTCTAAATAAATCTGACTTCAAGTGAATTTGTCTACAATTTTATTACACTGTTCTGAGGTAGCCCTTCACCAATGAATTATGTCGCGGGAAGAGACTATTTGGTTGTATTTTTATTATACATTCAAGCGTTCTGATTTGGACAGGCAGTTCATCATTGTTAAGGTTTGCTTACACAATCTAATTTTGTTGGATCCAATTCACTACTGATGGATGTTTTATAGTCTGTTGACGTGCAATGTATATGGGCAGCAGATCAACAAAAGCCAATGCTGTACTGCGTGCATAACAGATTACAATCCATTTGTCAAATTAAATCGGAGAGGTTTCCGGCTTTGAATAAATTTACGTCATTTGACATAAACCGCTTACACTTGTTGAACGCATGTTGCTTCACGAATATCATTGGCTGTGTGCATCACACGATGATGACGTTTATGGCATTATCAGGTATTGTGTAACCAGTCAGGTTTAAAACTCGTTTCAATTTGCAAGAGGCACCTTTTGCTTTCCTACCTCAACGCGTTCGGTGTTCCTGCATTTGGAAACAACGTCGCATAAACTTGGTACGTATGATGCATGATAGATGATCGCACAGGCCACAGCGCTTTAATTGCTTATAATGAATCTTGTTTAGACGTTTGCAGGATCTGACTTCTTTGTATCTAGTGTTTAAACATTCTGTTTATTCAATATTGTGCAATTTCCGCGAAAGCTTATTCGAGTCTCCGTTTATCAGCAGGACTGCCTGCATGCATGATATAATTTCTGCTAGCGTTTGTGACTTCTGAATGTGGTAGATTTTCCAGACTAGATACCATCGTCGTAGTGTGGCAGTTTATGATGAAAACTTCTCACGTGAAATTCCAAGTAGACTGAAGTAGCCAACTGTAACTGTTTAATGAATAATTGCAACGAATCTCAAACAAAATATAACAGCTTAGATACCTAGACGGTTACAAGATGACTGTGAAGGCCAGACTAGTGCTTCGCTGCATGCGATCAGGTTAGTTGTGGATGCTATATAGGGGGACTATATTTATATAAAAATGTATATTTAATGTAGCCGATAAAGGAACACATGAAGATAGCCATTTAGTTTTATGTAGATTCGGCTTTCATCTGGCGGAAGTCACGAGACACGAGGGTTAGTATTAGCCAAAGTGAACCAGTAGGCTTCGCAGTAATTCGTGCGTGGCTCTTCCAGATTTGACGTAACTCCGCTATACTTGATGTTCCTTAGTTCCACGACTGCACTATAGTCTATACTTTCTAACCGAGTTTGTATAAAAGCATGCAGGTTCAATTTTACGCCCATCGAAGCACTCTGGGTCTATCAGCTGTGTCTTGTTTATCACAGCTGAAATCCAACGGTAAATAAAAATTTGCGTCATAAAAGCGAAAGTTTATTTTAACACTTGCCACGTCAATCGAAACGCAATTCTACGAAACAAGGAAATGTGTACAAAATCATTCGACATAATCTGACCCTCGTGCATAAACATGTGGACGTTAATCGGGTTTCAGGTTTCCAGCGTTGCAGATCGTGAAGATATGCAGAGATAGCGTTCCAATATAACCAGGGAGCAGCTTGGCGGCTTCATGAAACAACGTCGCGTCAAATCTGCTAACCATCCTGGCGGGGGACCTTCAGTCGAAACGTCGAGAAGTATTTTTGTCTATTTTAGGCAGTTTATACCACATTTGATGTGGTGATGCAGAAATTACGATTGCTATTGAGTAATTAGTGAGGTTCAAGTTTCACTCCCACCTCCACTACCTTTTAGGAAACTTGAACCAATCAAATGCGATAACTCTATCAGATTAACCAATCACGAGCACAATAGATCAGCAAGAGGAGGAAATTTGAACCAATCAAATGCGATAACTCTATTATATTAACCAATCACGTGCGCAATAGATTGATCTACAAGTTATAGCCAGCGTTATATTCTTTCGCGACGTATTTTTACTCTTTTCACATGACCAACCACATCACCTCATTTCGGTTTGCACTGTGTGTCGCGCGAACGTTTTTTTTTTTGGATGACTGATGCATGGTAGTCTGTCTATGAGACAGACAGCATGAAACTAATTAAATATGGTTTTGAATGGGTTATTAAAAGATTGCGACGAGTAAGTATTTAATTACCTTCATGCATTGAGGGTTTTCTCTCGTGTTTGCAGTTTGCATGACTGACCAAAAACCAAAAGTTAAAAGCTCAAAGCTCCGATTTTAAACATGCATGTATGACATGTATGGCGCTGAATAAAAATAGTCAATCACCTTGTGGAAAGTTTTATAAAAACCACACTTTCCTTCAATATCTTTTGTAGCAGTAAGAGAAAGTTGTAAGAAGTTTGCTAAGATATGGAGGTAGGATTTCAGTGTCCCTGAACTGTTCTACCTTGCATTTGCTTTGCATAAATCTATAATTAATACCACCATAATCATCAAATGTATTTTAGAATGGTTTAGATGGTCGACTTTTCCCAGTTAATCTCACTGATGATCCAAACAAAGCCGATTACGACTGCATCGTTTTCGTTAGCGAAAATTTGGATTTTGCTGATGCACAACTGCAATTCTTGAAAACCCCTCTTCAAGAAAGAAAAGCGGTAATGGAAACTTTTTTTAATACGTCTCAATGCTAAAAGAGGACATATTTCTTAGATATATCCCTTTGATGATCTAACTTATTACCAAGATTAAAAAATATAAATAATGCCAGACTGAAAAAAAGAACACGCAAAAAACAATCCCTTTATTGCATCCTAAAGTAATCCAGCTTAATTACTAGGCTAAATTAAGCACGCTCTGCATTTATACAAAACAGAGATCCATCCAGTGTTCGCTGGGATTTTTGCCAGGGAGGCAGGCAGTGTTACTTTCCTCTGGGGGTGGCAACTGCCCCTTACCCACCCCTCAAAACACGCATCCACTGGATGGTTGATTTTTGATAATCTGAAAGATTGTTATCGCACTTTCATTGACATTTTCGTAGAATGACTCTGGCTTTGAAAAGGAAATCAGTTTCATTGATATCAATTGCAATGTCAAGCGTCTGGTAAGTTAAATGGGAGAAACGGGGAGACTGAAGATTAACTAATTTCGCAATAATCTCTACATGTGGGATATGTGGAGACGTTAATCGCGTTAATCTTTAATCCAATCTACCTAATCGTACCTTTCAAGGTTTACGCACCAACAGGACCTGTTAACCGTGATTACGATGATCCAAGACGATACTATGATGCTGCTTGCAATGGAATGAAGAGGTAAGATGATTTCTTCAGATTTTCTTGCTGTTCAAAACCTTTGGGAAACGCAAAAGAAAATTTTTTTATTACTTTTTCCTGACACGCAGAGCCGTCAAGGCAGGAGCAAAGAAACCTGTTTTGGCCATCCCATCCAAAACGTCGTTTGAACAGGCTTGGTCAGTGTCGGCATTTGGGGCTCTTCATGCATTGTACACGGTAATGACCGATTGATGCCAGAATATTCTGCTGCGGGAAATGCATAAAATACTTAAAGCGGAATCAGTTATAACTTATTATATAATGCTATATGATGTTTCCTTCTCTTTTTTTTATCTCAGCCTATCGAAGTCGCAGTTTTTGATCAAACAAAAGCGAAGAAAGTTGAGTTCCTGGCGATTTTCTATTCAGGAGAAGTAAGTGACTTTCCAAAGACATTAGAAGAATTAAAGGCAGTCTAACAGAGCAATGTCTGTATAATTGTCTTCTTTTTGTCTGTATAATTGTCTTTTTTCTAATTGTTCTTCTTTTTTCCAGAGTGGGGAAAATCTCTTGAACTATGTGAAAGCTGTGGAAATTGGAAGGTAAAATTTTATAGAAATCGAGACGCATTGACCAACGTGGAGAGGGGTGTGTCCGTGTGTGTGGAGAGGGGTTTGTGAGGAAGTGGGATGAAGGGTCTTTTCTCTTTGACAAACCCACGACGCCTATGGAAACAATTGATAATGTCTATTTTCTTTCGGACAGAACGGTTTGTCGTGACATCGCTGCTTCTGATCCGGAGTTCTCGTGTACCAGCGAGGTGGAGAAATACGTGGAGAAGGTTCTTGGAAATGAACCTCATATTAAGGTTTGAATTTTCTTATGCATTCACTTTTAAAACAGCTCAAAGAGATATATCCGTCCAAATGATCCTTTCATAAAATCGATGAACAAAACAACTTTTAGTATGTAGCTGCGATCTTTTGTATTTTATTATTAGATGACTGTCACCAGGGGCACTGAAACTCTTAAGAAAGAGTACCCGTTATTAGCGGCTGTGGATCGCGCAGCTCATGGTTAGTAAAATAACGCACGTAAAGTGATTTCACTGGACTGTTACCATGCATTTTAGTTCAGAGTTAATAGTTTCAGCCTTTCAGGTTTTAAAACAGATCAATTTTTTTCTTCAGTAACTGAACGTCACCAGGGACGTGTTATCAACTTTGAGTACAATCCTCCTCAGGCGGACGAAATCACAGATACTTTGATGTTGGTTGGCAAGGTAACGTGGCAATAACGAATAATTCTTGGCTAAGAGATTTAAATCTTTTTATGGGTCCAGTGCGGTCCACCCTCCTGGAGTTACACGCGTGCTTCTTCGTTACCAATACTATATAACCACATGGGAGGCAAATATATACCTTGATTATATCTTGATGTATTGAACTGTTTTCCTAAGGGTGTTGCGTACGATACAGGCGGAGCTGACATCAAAACAGGCGGCAATATGCCTGGTATGAACAGGTTGGTAGAACGTGTTTGTCTTGCTTTCGCCTGCGCATGCATGCCTTAAGATTCTCGCTTGGCTTCGAAGATGGACATCTCCCCACACTGAGCTGTGAGTTGTCTTTCGGATTTGCGAGTCGTTTAAATTGTGAGCTTTATTTCTTTTAGGGATAAGTCTGGAGCAGCTGCTGTTGCTGGATTCTTCAAGGTTGGTTGCAATTTCATTTTTCTCTGCATGATTGTCTCCTTTACTGTATCACCAGAGCAGCTTTCTGTTTGGCCGGCAGATTTTGTCCATTCTTAAACCAGCTGGAATCCGAGTTCGCGGAACAATGGCAATGGTCCGTAACAGTGTTGGAGCAGGTTTGTCGCAGTTTTATCTTCTTACCAGGGAGGAGAGAGGGAGGAATGTACCACAGTGCTACGATAAACAGGGAGAGAGGGGGGGAGGGTAGATGGAAGTAAACCCTAAGTTCTGGGGATATTTATCTACACTCGTCCAAGATGAAGATGCACACAAGCCCCCAAGAACGGTTATGGTAAAGATAGTCATATTTCATCGGTCAGAAGATTAAAGCACTGGTGACCAAGCTCTGAGTTTTTCCTTTAGACATGTACGTTGGTGATGAAATTATCACAGCTGCTTCTGGTGTGAGGATTCGAGTGAACAACACTGACGCTGAGGGAAGATTTGCGATGGGAGATTGCCTTTACTACATGAAACAAGAGGTATTTTGAAGCTGCAAACCCAACCTTAAGGACTGCTCATGGTCAAAATATTCACCCTATATTCACTTTATTATATATACTTTTTCGGTATATTTAGGCTATTGGAAAAGTTAACCCACAGATTTACACATTTGCTACTCTGACTGGTCACTGCATCAGGACCTATGGTACTCAGTATTCTGTAAGTATATCATTTAACTATAGAAGTCGTGTAATTTTGGTAAGCGCTGAAACTTGAAATGCGAGAACACCAGCTGTATGGAATAGCTTTATCCATTCTCATGAAATCATATACCGATTTCACATTATTTCTTTTGAAAAGTATCCTCTATTCTTAGGGTATCATGGAAAATGGACCGGCTAAGAAGAAAAACCTTTGCCAGTTTCTCCAAGCAGGTGAGTTTTTCAGACTAGGAATTTGCAGGCATATTAGCTCAGCATCCTATTTCGCTGTCATGTCATGTTCATAGTAATCATGGACATAATTTTAATTGTACTGTAACTGAAAAACGACTTGATTTTCAGCTGGAGATGCCTATGCTGAGCCGTGTGAAATCTCCACGATGCGTCGCGAGGTGAATGTCAATGAATTCTTATTTCACGTGTAAACACAATCTTACTGCAACAGCCACTCTCTACAATCAAATTTCCTATACTTTTTCATGCAGGACTTTGATGCAAGCGCGTCCAAAACGGAGTACGAAGATTTCTATCAAATAGACAAAACAAGCGGGAATCGCGGGCATCAGTATGCTGGCGTTTTCTTGCAACGGGCGTCTGGTTTGGATAAGGTAAATGTAAAAATATTTTAACAATGAATTTCGTCAAGTGTGTTGGGCGCAATCACTCCAGTGAAGATCAAAGATGAAAAAAGGCATTTTCAAAACTTAAGTCGAGATGGTTTACCTAAACAATATAATGTATCCTTATCACTTGTATATAAGGCGTTAAACATGATCCATGCACTCTATTTAACCGTTTTTCATTCATTTTTAGCATGGTTTGGACTCAGAAACACAGCTGCCATATGTCCATATTGATATTGCTGGTTCCAGTGGAATTTATCCCGATATGCCCACTGCTACCCCACTGTTGGGTATGTCTGCCCAGTACTTGCGTAGACGATCATGGCAAATCAAGAAATAAACACAAGAACAATGTAAAACATTGAAAAAAGTGTGTGATGAATAGTTGGATTTCGGTTAAAACTGAATCATTTAGATGTGTAATTGTTTGCAAGAGGACGAGGTCCGTCTTCGATCTCATCTTCAATAATAACAATAAACACAACTTCAAAGAGAACGTTTTCACAATTATATTTCAATATTCTGTTAAGTCAGAAGTTCAAGCTCAAAGCTACTTGTTTAACAAAAAATTATAGCGACTGTTTGACATAAAACTCATGCACTTATTATAATTTATATGACAAGCCCCTTGGCCTTGGCTTTGAGGTTTGATTTGTTCCTGGGCATTCATACAGCCTCAACCATGATCGTTCCTTGCGAAAAAAATGCTAGAAAAATTTAGCATTTATATTCTTTATTATGCTTTCACACTGCAGTGCTAACTGACGCACGATGATTTCACCCAACAGCCGCCATTCTTTGTAAACTCTTCATTAGTTGTCAATCTTCTTCTTTATCATTCACGAGAACATCTTGATGACAAAGCGGACAAGATGATTGTATATACAGCCATTTTCTCAAGCAGTTCGAGTGAAAGTAATGTCCGCACTGGGTGACCTTCGCGCTCGACATAGAGTCGAAACAAATCGCGCAAACGTCTTGCAGTCCTGCAAGTTGGTCCTCTGTAGCATCAGAAAGTCGGTTTAGTTTTGTAACAGCCGTGCGACGGCTCAGGAAAACTTTCCAACCGTTAGTGGCCGTCAACCAAACGTTGTAATATGTATGAATGACTATCACCACCAGACCTGTTTGGAAAAGGAAAATGGTATTTTTTATGCTGGTTTTAAAAAGAATGATTTAAAAACCGTAATCAGTGTGAATGATTCCTGTGGTAAACAGTGGTATGGTGGCAGCTCAGAGCTTCAGACTACAGTGTATATCAGTATATTGAAGCCATTCCTTCGGTGGTTCTGAAACTGTAGATGGTAAAGATGATACTGACCAAGTTTTACTTCAGAAAAGAACTAATTTTTATTGTGTAGAATAGCATAAAAACTAACTCTAGGAATATATTTCAATAATAGACAACATGTCAGTTGAGGATCAAAACAGCAGATTACTTTGGTTTCATAGATATAAAGTTTAAAATTTCCTTACCAAAAATACTCCAGCTGCCTTGAATTACATCCCAAACTCCAAATGACAGCACCAAAAATGCACTTAGGAATTCCAGAGACTTTGAGACAGCATTAAGATAGTACACCCAATCATCTAACTGTTCTAGTTTATTCAATGACTTCAAGTCATACACAAACAAGGCATAAACTGCCAAGCTACCCAAGGCTTGCACAGCTGTCACAACGTTCGAGGAGACTACCACTAGCTGCCAAACTCGGAAAGAGAACAACGAACAGAACATCCAACTTGTGTACAAAAGCACAAAAACAAGGGACAATGTTAGTGTAATCGCTCTGATATGAACCCAATAATTGTGCTGCAGCGATGTTGATATTGTCTTCAAGGTTTCATCACATAGTTTATAAACACTTTGTAAAATGTATGAAAAGCTGATAAACAGCATTAAAGCAACAAAGAATACTCGCTGAATGATTTTCACATCCAGAACAGAGTTGAAAGTTGCGATAAAATAAAACACCAAAGCTTTTCCCATGTCTCTTGGTTCTAAATCCCTTGCTGTGTGACTTAACGACCAAGATAGCAGGGCACGAGAAATCCATAACAACATGTAAGAAATCTCTGGTAACCACAGTGCCAGTGCAAAAAGTCGTAAATGCGTATTCAGTGTGGCTCCTGTGCAAACCAAAAACCAAGAGAGATTGTATTTTGCATTTGCCTCGAATGAGAAGTTTGTTACGATTGTTAAGAGCCAGAACAGTCTCAAAACCAATGATATTCTTCTAGTGCGGTAGTAAAATATGAACGTGTTCATGTATCCAATGCTATTAGCCAAGAGCGAAGCCTCTTGTAAAGACTTTTGAAATTGCTTGTGTATTCCAAAAAATTCACTCAACATAAAATACCAAAAGCCAAGAGTGAAGCTATAATTCATTCTACACAAGATGGCTGTGAAGACTACCCATATGGCAAAGAAGAATAGTGTGTTAAGACTTCTGTACAGATTATCGATACCAATAGTAAAGATCAGGCCTTGATAGAATATAAGTGCTCCAGTAATAATACTTTTTTTATCCACAGTGAAGATGAATTGTTGGAAAGTTGGAGAGTGTTTACCAATTGTAAAAAATGCTAGGGTGATGAAAATATCAAAAGTAATCATGAAGCCTTGTATGAAGATGAGATTACCATGGGAGGCAATAAACAGCAATGAAAATAACAACAGCAGGGCTAAAGAAAATAAATAATATAAAATTGGATTACTATTATGTAAATTGGTGTACTTGGTCAGTTCAGGGGTCCACTTCTACCTCCAGACTTATGTTAATTATTAACTCATTACGTTAAACCCATTTAATTGTCTACCGATTTTTGCCTGTATATATATTTTTCTGCAAGGACAAATTAGATTGCAATACCTGGTATAGCTTTAACAGAAGAAAAGTCGCCAAAATCCAGCGAGTTTATAAGCCAATCGATTGCAAAAACGAATGGCACCCTCAGGACCGGATCGAGTTTCTTTGAAAATCGATTTATCTTTTCCCCGAATGTCATTCTGCATTCGTTTCTGCAAACCTTTACGTCTTGCTGCAACACTAAATTATTCTCTTTGAAGTCGTTGGTAATGGTAAAATTGCAAACCAATATGTGTAAATGAACGTAAATTCTTAATACGACATCTTTCCTTTCGTGACCGCGGTATTTAAATGTTAAAGGGTCTGGAAATAGTAACAATTTCGAAGGTCAAGGTCAACAAAGGTCAACAAATCACCAAGGTGGAAATTATTATTGCTTGGTATAAAATTAAAGGTTCATTATAATAACTTTAGATGATGTAGATTGCTTCAAAGTAAAGTTAGTCTTAGAAGAAATCCAATGATTCAGTCCAGACTAATGGATATCGATCTTGACAATGCTCAAGATATTGAAACATTTCTCTTCGACACTTTGGATGTAAGTCAAATTCAGCTATCTGGAATGGGTAAAGGGTGAGGTGACCATTGAAGATTAACTCATCTCTGGGTCATCACCTCTAAGCGACTGGGTTGACAGAACTTTGATTGTTTGAGTGAAATTTAGTTGGTGCAGTCAATTTCCTGTTTATTCCCAAGTTTCAGCTACAAGCTTTCGACTAGTAGTGCACACCATCGATAGCCTACAGCTTGTTTTATACGCATACCATATGATTGTACTGGTTAACAAAATAAAAATTGATGCTAAACCTAGTCCAGCTGTTAAATGATTTGATATATTAATTTTTAGTTGTTGTGTCAGGAGAAAACCTCAGAAATCATCAAGTTAAAGCTTTTAGCAGCTCTTCAAGAAAAAGTGTGTTGAAATTTTACCTGACAATTGTTATGATGAGATAATGTTCTATCGATAGCATTATATATTTACAGTTTAGATAGCAAATTTCAAAATGTTATACAGAATAGTTGGTATAATAGATAAGGAAGATAGATTTCTGTAGACAAAGATGCAAGAGTAAGGCTGACAAATGATGCAAACAGGAGCAGTAAAATCTGGTATGAAAGACCTTGGTTAGATAGACCATACAAAACAATTTTTTGAGAATCTCTACATCTAGTGCATTTTATAGGTGGAATGGACATCACTGGATGTCACCAGGTATTGAGTTAATCTGTTGTGGTAATTATTGCATTTATTTGGTATATTCCAACTTTAAAATGGTTACTCTTTAGTGCAGAGCATGTCACTGGTTCATTGAAGAACATGTATAGTTACCCTGGGGAAAATGATGGACAATTTTATAAATCACAGGTATTATATATGTCTCATGTGACCCCCTCAGATAAGTGGGACCCTACCATAACCCCAGAAAGTCAAGTATATGCCCCCTCCCCCCTAGTAACCTCCTCCATTAAACTCTTTCAGGTCACTCTATTCATGCCATGCACCCCACTAGTGATGGGCGATACTTCGATACCAAGTATCGATACCCACCGATATTTATGATTTGCACTAAATATCGATACTTGACCAAGTGGTCGCAAAATTTCGATACTGAGCCTACAGTATTTTAGGTCAGCGTTTTCTACCAAAAAGTATAAACATTTTTATTTATTTTTCTTTTGTTCGTCACTTTTTTGTTCTTTAGTTCTTTAATTATATGCTACCAATCAAAATAATTTCTGCCAATTTTTCATTTGCGAAAAACAAAGGGAAAAACCAAAAATGTGAGTGAATAAATGCACATTATGGTATGGTATATGAAATTACAAACGGTAAAAAACGGCTCAAATTTCTGGTATAGGTATCGAAATTTGGTATCGATACCACTACAAATTGTCTGGTATCGAAGCGGTATCGTATCGATTTGAAAAAGCTGGTATCGCCCATCACTACACCCCACTCTCTCCAGACTCTCCTATAACACCCCTTTCTTGTTACCATTCTTCTCTCTAATGTAATTGTACGGGTTTTGATTATTACATTCTTATAGCTGTTGGTGACTCTGACAATGGTTCTAATACTTTCATCTTCGAAACTGAAGGTGAGATGTTCTTTTTTCGAATCAACGAAATTAAATCTACTTATCATTTTACGTAATTGCCTTTCTCGATCAGCGTGTTTTTTTCTACAGAACTTGCAGGAAAATTGTGAAACCTTGCACAGCAGTATTCAATTTCTGACAGATGTCATTTCAAAGGTAAATGCATTAATATTTTCTACCTCACTATAATGGCTCACACAGGCAACGTCATGATCTCAAATGAGAGCGCCATTTGCGCAAATGGACGCCTTTTTGCCCACTCAATTGCAACTCATATTTGTTTCATAGGCCATAGGGTGCCATTATTAGCATAAGGAAGCCACCTTTTTTGTTTCAATAGATATACCACTATAAAATACCGTTTTTCCTTGAAATCAACCAATATGCCAAACGTTACTTCACGAAAATTCTTATGCATATAGATCAATGACTCGTCGTCTGTCTTAACCCGAAAAACTGCGTGTGAATGCCTTTGGGAAATAGAGATATCTTATCCAGTGAGTTTGAAGATGAATCAGAAATTAATGTTTCTTGATATGCAAGTAAAACAGTACCTACAGCATAGAAATTCCTTGCATATTTTATTCCAGGGACTTTTACAAGATAGACTTGGTTTGTTTTTCGAGCTTTGCGAGAAGGAACTTTCTGTTATTTTTCAGAGTTACATGGTATGTCTTATTTCGTCTTCCTTTCAAAATATTTCAGCGATATGGATCGGTACTAATCTATATGATAACATTTTCCCCTCAGATACTGTTTGTGACAACGTTGAAGAACGCCATTGTACACATATCAACATTTCGAAATGAGTATGTTCTAATCTGACTTCTTGTAGTCGACTTGCACCATACGCTTTTATGCGAGTTTTTAATGAAGCAATTATGTGTAAGGTATATATGTTTTCGTCCTAGTATTCCAGAGGACCAGAATTATTTGAATGAGTTATTGTTTGGTGAGGCTGACCTCAGTATGAAGGTATTGTGGTACCTGACAATACAGATTACCAGTTGAAATAACTTGTTAGTAAAATACCTCACTGCACCCCATGGTACTTGGTACCTGAAACCTTGGTACTTCATGGATGGTACTTGGTACCTTAAAGTATTTAATGGTACCGGGTCTAATCCAGCAGCTGGTATTTGAATATGATAGTTTATAGTACTCACAATAGTTGGCAGTATATTTTATACTGGTTAACCAGTTATAGCGTTTTGTTTCTTTAGATGAATTCTTTAGCGGAGCAGGGACAGGTGATAGAAGATCAATTTCCTCTTGTAGCAAACGTAAGAAATGACGACACTCGATTGTCTCACTGTTTGTCTCCACCTCAGTTTCCACGCTTCATAATGACTTGAGTATTTATTATAGATTGTGGGTGGACACCATTTTGATAAAAGTTTACCGACGAAGTTCAAAAATAAAGAAATCAAGCGAGCTGCATCGTTCATCGCAGAAAACTACAATCTTCTTACTGGCATACCACTTTTTCATGTACTTCTTCAGGCAAGTTACCTCGATGCTCCACGATCACTTCATCTCAGATTCTTGAATTGAAAACGTCGAATTTCTCTGTTTTTACAGCTGATGCATTGCATAAAATTGACTTCATTATCATCAAGTGTGAGTACTTTTTGCGCCTATTTACCCTATAGCACCCTGCACCATGACCATCGTTGATCTATTTTCTTTATCAGGTCTTCAAGTCGCAGTTTGTCAAAAGCTTATCAAATACAGTGGATCTTCCTTTATTTCAGCTTGTCCTTCTTCTCAAGGTCTGAAACAATGTAAAAATCTTAACCTAAATAACTGAGCTTGTGATTTAAACGTGAAAAGGAATTTTTGTGTTTTTGCAGTCAACATTTAGAAACCAACTATTTGAAGACACGGATACTGTAATCTTGTTGCAAAGGTGCGTGAAGATTTTCATCAACGGCAACGTTTCATTGAAGGCAACGTTCATGAAAGTTTTTTGATTTTCCTATAATCGCAGACTCTGTCATCTATCGAATCAACGTGTTCTTGGAAACTCTCAGCGACTTCTCTGCTATGATTGGTTAATTAATTTTCCTCATGACGTGAAGGTAATGATTTTGATTTCAAACCCATCTCAAAGATCCACGATCGCAACAAAACAAAACACAACAGCGCCATTTGTATTTCTACCAAAACAACAACAGTTTTGTTTGAATATTTCATAGGCCCAACATGAAAGGAAATACAGTTTTCTCGCTGAATGTTTGGACTTCACAGAAAAAGCGAAATTTCATCCAACAGTTTTCGATCCTTTGGGTAAAAACAATTTATGAATGCGTTTTTGACCCAACTTTATCGTCGATGGAATATCACACGATTCCACACTAAAATGTTTCGTATCTTTTCCTTATATTTCTTAGAATTGATTCCTGGAAAATTAGACGTTTTGTCATGTTGTTACATCCCCGGTGACGGTCCAGGTAATATTCTTCATTGTGTGATTTCATGGTGCTAAAATTTTACTTTTCCCCTATGGTATCATTCCATGGTAGAAAATATGATATATTCTGATATATATCCACACTGTTTCCAAATTACCTAATTTCAAAGTAAATATCTTACGATTCTTCTTAGATATTGCAACCGCAACCTTAATGAACTGTCTGGTATGTTTGGAGAAGCCGATAAAACACGGTTTAAAAAGACCCCACGCTGTGCTTCTGTTCCAAGTTTTGTTCGCGTATTACTCGAGACATCGCGAGTCGGTCGCGTTAGTTCAGGAAATTTACAGGTACATAAGTTTCTCCCTGGAAAATCATGATTTTGTGAACCGTTTTGCTGACGATGTTGTGTCGAACCATTTGTATTAAACTAATGAATGCTTTCGTATCCACGTTCAAAACAAATCACTTTTCTGTGAGACGTTTTAGTCTCATTGAAGTTATCTTTACCATTTCAGATATCTTCTTTCGATTGCAACCGAACAGCCGCATTTAGTTCCATACGTTTTAAATATCACGATGTCGATTTCACAACTCACCCCGGAGAGGTGAGTAGATTTTTGTCAGCTTTCTATGATAGACATTACAGCATAGATCTAATCTAGCTTCTAGTACTAATACACAGACAATCAATTCTGTTTTCCTTCAGCTACTTACCAAGCGAAATACTGCGAAATTTTACCGACTACATCGTCGCATTGCCGTTACGAAAACAAATCAGAAATATACAAAACTTTCTGAAAGTCTTCGAGTATGCAATGCGATTGAAAGATATACCACCCAAGGTTAGTAAATAGGTGTGGGTCAAAAATATACCCTCCCAGTCCCAGAAGGAACTTTGCCTTCGCAAAGCAGTTTGCTTTCATGGTTGAGATTGCTGGTTATCTTGTGTAGAGTGTATGGCATAAGTAATGATTTTGCTAACAAAAAAATATCATTTATGAAATTTCATGCTGTAACTAAGAATTTAGTCGGACTATATAAATGAACAAGTTGGGTTACCGTTCTAGGGGACCGTTGAATATCTCACGCAACTCGCGACGTTTGATGAGATACGAAAGAACAGCGGTAATTGGTCAGTTGGAAACGCCATACTTCACGTGTGCAGGAATATTCTGCAGTACCACGATACATCAAAAATTATTGCAGGTATATTATCACATACATATACACTCACCAAAATATCCCTGTCTATCAAAATATCGCCAAAATTTTCCGTCGAATTAGCAAAGATCGATTGGATTCGTTTTGATGGCCCATAAATTTAATTCCCTTTTAATAAACGATAATATCTTTCTGGATTTGCAGAATTGGGCGAATGTCTTTTAACTATAAATAAAACCAACCAAGACATTGGTATCCTTTTATAGAATTTGTATTTTTCCCTGTTCTATCTTTTCCATCAAACTTTGAATTTGCAATATCAAAGTTCAATTCTTTGCATGTCAAATTACTTGATACAAGCAAGATATGCAAGCCAAAATTTCAAGATATTATCTATAATTATCTATAATATAATATAAAAAATAATATATACCTGCTGTCGATGTTTTATGGTTGCGCCCCGGGCCTTTATTTGCACAGTTTGTGACTTTTGCAGATTGCAACAAGCCATTTTGTTCTTTAATTTTCGCGCGCCGCGATGAGGCTTGGACTCTAAAGCACGCAAAATGCCCCCTGGGGGAGGGGTGAGTGTCAAGGGTTGGCCTCGAGGCCAGGCATACGCGAGAGGTTTATTCTGTATTTCCTTAACATATTATTTTAATATTAGATATTTGTGACCGGGCAATGTTTTATTACACATTATTAACAACAATATCTACGAAAAAAGTACGTTATATCTCAGCTCTACCCGTGTACCTTTAACCTTTCGGTAAAATTTGACCTCGCGATTGTTTTTTAAAACTTAGTGCGCTCGTCTGTTGACTGGGACGTTGACTAATCTCGGCAAAACTAATCATCCCTTGGACAAACCGGGTGAGGAAACTTTCAGCTCGCAATGCAATTCGCCGCTTTGTAGCAGAAACGTAGCCATGCATCAGCCCCCTAAAATTCTGGTCCCTCCTGAGAAAACTCGTTGTATAAACGTTGGTCAACCAGCTTGTGTATTTGCTGAAAATCTTTGCCACGCCCATGCGTATAGGTTGGGCTCATCTTTTTGCCGAACGATATCACTGACAGCTGAGGCTCTTCTTTGTACTATAGGTCTTGCAGCAGCGTCCCTTCCGCTAACAGCACCAATTGCGAAGATCAATGAACCGTTTTTAAACTTGACCAGGTTGGAGAAATAATGGGTTTTTTCTTGACTTTCAATTCTTCATGCGGCCAAGACATAAACGAGAAGTGTAGTCATCATTTATGTCGTTACTTTAGTGGTGCTGGACGGGCACGATGGAGCGACTGTTATTGGGAGGATGATGATAGCTCAGGTTTTGAGAATATCCAAGGTCGGCAGATTTCATCTTCTTTAGTTCTACAACCGATGTATACCTCATCTTTTTCTTCTCTCCTATTTCCATCCATGTTTGCAAGGATCTCGCAAAAGATCACTATATAACTGGGTAAAATTATCATTAGCCAATAGCTTGACTCCTCTCGCCAGATCCTGAAATCCAGTAAATCGTATGTTTCAAGAGAAGAATCAAAACACACTGGTCGGAAGCCTTTAGGAATAGAAATCTTGGTTGCTTCCGTTCCGAACTTCTATACTAAATTCTGTTATTTGGAAGCAAGCATAGTAAAGCTTTTTACGTTACTTTCAGAATATTTCTCATCCTATTTAAAGCAAGTTGAAAACATGGCTGAACACATGTCAATAACGATCCCTTTATACCTGCATTATGTAAGTACTCTTGTATGGCATTTCCAGCTTCACTCGCTTGCAATGTTCCAGAGTCATTCCTACCATATTTTTCAACCATATTGTAAGACTCTTATAAGGGTGCTTCCAGTCAATGATGAGGTCAACTAACCGATCAGCATTTCCTATTATTACTCAGTCAAAATGTTCATCTCCATTCCTACACAGGTTGTTGAGCCCAGTGAAGATGTTCCTGAAGCGATATTCGCCGTGGTTTTACAACTGCAAACTTCAAGCAACTACAAAACTATCCAAGGTATAAATGCACATGCGACCAACAAAAATGTAGGCTGAATTAATAAAGATTCTGTAGGTGGCGTTGATTCAAGACTGAAGCATTATTTTAAATAAAGACCGAATTAAGACCGAATTATGTTAAACAGAATAATTCGATTATAATTCCACACTTTACTCCAATATCCTAGACATTCACGTGCCATATTTGTCTTACAAGAAATCCTATGAACCAACTGAAGGTATTTTAACTTAAAGTTTATGTAAAAGTTTTTTATCCATGCAGAGAATATCTCAGAGATTATTCACAAAATTTGTGTATTCCTTCTTCACCAAAGGCTGTCAGATTGTCGAAGTTACCTTTTCACCTATAGAACCAGAAGCAGCTTCTTTTAACGTCAGGTAGAGCAAAAACATATTGTAGTAATTGTAGTTATTATATCATTGATTATGGATTGTTTGTTTGTGATGTGATATATTTTCATCGACGTGCTCTTTTCTCTTAAAGAGTGATCTTTAGCAACGCTTCTGGTCGTTCATACATCATGGCGTTAAAACCTATCGTGGTTGAGTTTCATGACCTCTTCATCCCGTTGAGACATTCGGAGAATGTAAGATCTTCCTCATTTTTGAATCCTATATATTCTAAAGACTGACCGCGATCTCTCTTGTAACTGATGCATGAAAAGCTTTATTTATATTTGTCGGATTGAAATTTTGAGAAAATGTATCCGCTATATGCATGTCCCTCGAAAATACACAACCAACATATTTTACACTAGATTAGACTATAGCTTCATCATAAATCATATGATATATATTTATGTGAATATTATTGAAATTATCCAGAGTTTGTCGAAGCCTGAATTAGGTTTCACTTTTTCTCCCGAACAAATGTTTGACACATTATGGCAGCACATTGAAGAACATCAGTATTCAAGGTAGGTTATGTAAATTTTTATATTCATTTCCTCCGCGCCTATGTCAGTAAAGGTTCATCCAATTGCACAACACGTGATGGTCACATGTCTGGATATCCCACCTTCTAGAAAGAATCAAAGTTTTTCTGGTGCAAAGTCGATCGTTTACTTGGATCTGGAGAGAAACAAGGTCGAAGCAATTCTCGAGAAACTTGACAACCACATAATAAAACGTGATGGTGAGCGGATTTATCACTTTTCGCAATCATTTTCATGCCAAAACTGTTTCAAATACCGTCAATTTACAATAGAAGTTAAAGCTAATTTAACATATTGAGAATATTTTTCCTTGGTTCGCGTGGACAGGGCGTCTAAGCAATAAAAGAGAGAAACGACGCTTGTGTACAAACAGCCTTTGTTTCATTTCTATATCAATCATTTTCTTACACGCTCTGAAACAATGGACCGATGTTGGGTCTGCGACCGAGATGACCTTCTCAATTCTCTTTTTCAGAGGTGGAAACATCGGTTGGTGTCTTTCTTCCACCACATCATCACTTTCTCTTGCGGTTTGTCATTCATCCAGCTCACTGTGTCGTTCACGTTGCGACGGACAAATGGCAAATCCTAGCTTCTTTGGAAGAATTTTTGAAACATGGACGAACTATTAACATCGATAGTGCTTCATCGCCGATATCTTAGCCAAAGTTTAACTGAAGAATCATACTAACGCTTACTATTTAAAAACTATTTACTGGGGATATATTTACAAAGCCTATGAGTAAGAGATTTCCGCAGCGTCCACTAAATTGAGCTAAACACGATCTTTTGAAAATCAAATAATTATATACGTACTTTATGCTATTGTAAATACCCCATGCCAAACCAATAATTTATTTCGCTTGAGTTCTAATCGACTTAATTTTCGACATGCAAAAACTAAAATTTTATAATTAAATCGATATTATATGAAACATATTTTCCCTTTTTATGAGCAAGAAGAAATAAAATTGCCCGCTTTTGTTTATTTAATGAATGAATTGGAGGAATTATTGATTGCGCAAACTTTATATTGATGAAAATCATTTTCAAAGTAAATAAATTTCACATATTTGCACAGATTCTCGTTGTTATAGGCTATATATATTGCTTCTAGCATTAGCCATTAGATATATATTTAGTCTTCTTTTCCACTAAACTTTAAAACTTTTACGATGTGAGAATTTTTTTCTTTCTTTTCTTTTTTTTGGTGGACGAGGCCGTAATAGCTTGCCGATCACGAGAATCTTTGGGTTTTTGGCGGCGTAGATTTGTTTTTTAGTGGTGGTTGAAAATTGATTTGGTATCATTTTTAGTGATGGGAAATGATTTTGTGGAGTCGGAATTGCTTCGATTGTGGTCGGAATTGGTTCGGTTGCCGTCGTAATTGATTCACTTGTGGTAGGATTGGGTTTCTCTTTCCATGTTAACTCGGGTTGTTCAGTTTTCGGGCGGCTGCGTGCAATCCCTAGGGTACTCCTAATACAAACGTGCTTGTTTTGTATTGTGATATAAACGCATTTATATTCTCCGCCATTTTTACACCGGCAAGCGAAATCATTCTCGCACGGCCTCATATCTGGACACTTGCTATCTTCACCCCAGAACTAAATGTTTAAGTTGAAAAAAAAACAGATCTCAATGCCGTACGAGTTACACCATTGGAACATGCTCAACATATAGAGTACAATCAAGCATTCTTAGCAATAAATGCCACGGATTATTCGTTACTTTCTCGCTATATCACTGTTGTTTAACCTTCAAATAGTCAAAGAAATTTTCCGTGCGCGTGTTTATACTTTGGAAATTAAAATACTTTACTTGGAAATGGCCGGTGCTATAGAGTACAAACAGCGTCGCCTATCAACGATGAAAAATGCAAAAATGCTCTTTACAATCTGAATAATTCTATCATTTAATGCATAATGCTTACCGGAAAACAATTTATATTGTCCACCCAAAGAAACGCGACAAGAGCGATGACGCCGTAACGATTCAAAGTTAGCAATTTCATCTTGTGTGTTTCTGAGCGCGCGATGGGTATAACTTCGATTAATATTGCTATGCCGCAATTATATATACCTTCAACATACAATACTTTCTTACCATATAAGCAGAAAAGAATGTAATAAAATTCGGATTAAAATTGTCTACTTATCAAATTGCGCGCAAATCTATGCATGCAATAAAACTAAACTGTATTTTATTCGTGTTTTTAAATCATTTTTAAAAGTAATCAAATTAAATATATTTGCACAGAAGCCCATAGTATTAGCCATTTATTGCTTTCAGGTCATTGATACATCGTATATATGAAAGAAACTAATTAAATACATTTTATACTTTGACAGTGAACCCGACATCACATATGTGAAAAATTGCATGCATTGATGTTTAAACTGGAATAAGAGTTATGCTGTTTTAACCTTTGTAATATAAGAATGAAAAAAAAATATCAGTATATATAAGAATGAAAGATATTTAGTAACATCTGATGGTTGAGCAAATTTTGAATGGAGGAGTTTTTACCACACCGGCTTTCTTGCGCTGCTTTTGCCAAATTTTTTATTTTTTCTGTTTTTGGCATTTTTTCTATTTGTTATCTTTCCCCAGTTTTTAAAAAACCATTCTCCAGGTTTGGTCCAGCTCCAAGGTCTGTGTCGAGATTCCGTAGTCGGGGACGAAGTAGAAATTGCTAATATTGGTTCGTCTGTGGTCACACGAAACTCTGAAGTTTCCGGCAACAAAAATTCGTTCGTTGTTGGCTCAGTTTGCTCGGGTGTGGTCGGATTTCGCCATGGCCGCGTGGTTCCCCATAGATTTTCTGTTGTCAGAATTGATTCACTTGTGGTTTCTTCTTGCGCAGTTGTGGTCTCAGTTTGCTCAGGTGTGGTCGGATTTCGCCATGGTTCTGTTGTTATCAGAATTGGTTCAGTTGTGGTCTCTTCTTGCACGGAGGATATGGTCTCAGTTTCCTCGGGTGTGGTCGGATTTGGCCATGGTTCTGTTGTTATCAGAATTGGTTCAGTTGTGGTCTCTTCTTGCACGGCTGTGGTCTCAGTTTGCTCGGGTGTGGTCGGATTTCGCCATGGCCGTGTAGTTGCCCATAGATCTGCTGTTATCAGAATTGGTTCAGTTGTTATCTCTTCTTGCACGGCTGTGGTCTCAGTTTGCTCGGGTGTGGTCGGATTTCGCCATGGTTCTGTTGTTATCAGAATTGGTTCAGTTGTGGTCTCTTCTTGCACGGAGGTTGTGGTCTCAGTTTGCTCGGGTGTGGTCGGATTTGGCCATGGTTCTGTTGTTATCAGAATTGATTCAGTTGTGGTCTCTTCTTGCACGGAGGTTGTGGTCTCAGTTTGCTCGGGTGTGGTCGGATTTGGCCATGGTTCTGTTGTTATCAGAATTGATTCAGTTGTGGTCTCTTCTTGCACATCTGTGGTCTCAGTTTGCTCGGGTGTGGTCGGATTTGGCCATGGTTCTGTTGTTATCAGAATTGATTCAGTTGTGGTCTCTTCTTGCACATCTGTGGTCTCAGTTTGCTCGGGTGTGGTCGGATTTGGCCATGGTTCTGTTGTTATCAGGATTGATTCAGTTGTGGTCTCTTCTTGCATAGTTGTGGTCTCAGTTTGCTCGGGTGTGCTCGGATTTCGCCATGGTTCTGTTTTTATAGGGATTGATTCAGTTGTGGTCTCTTCTTGCACGGTTGTGGTCTCAGTTTGCTCGGGTGTGCTCGGATTTGGCCATGGTTCTGTTGTTATCAGGATTGATTCAGTTGTGGTCACTTCTTGCACGGAGGTTGTGGTCTCAGTTTCCTCGGGTGTGGTCGGATTTCGCCATGGTTCTGTTGTTATAGGGATTGGTTCGGTTGTGGTCTCTTCTTGCACGGAGGTTGTGGTCTCAGTTTGCTCGGGTGTGGTCGGATTTGGCCATGGTTCTGTTGTTATAGGGCTGGGTTCGGTTACGGGTTCTTCTGGTACGGTTGTGGTCTGAGTTTGTTTGGTTGTTATCGCAATTGGTTCGGTTGTGATCGGAAATGATTCGCTTGTGGTAGGATTTGATTCCTCTGTCCATGCTGGAAACTCAGTTGGGTGGGGAAAAGAGCTGTCGCGTGCATGCCCTTGGGTATACGGTAAACAAATGTGGTACTTTCGTATCTCGATATAAACGCATCTATATGGATCGCCATTTGCACATACGCAGTCTGAGTTATCATTACATGGTATCTTATTGACTGAACACTTCGTCTCCAAACGATTGACCTAGTGTTTAAACAGTTCAAGGCAACAAATTTTAACACCGTATATGAATTACAAGTATGAAATATCCTATGTAGAAACAGCAATTTGGTAATAATAATAATTATTATCTTAGCAGTCTCGTCTTGCTCGTCTAGCTCAACTAGAGTCTTAAAGCAATACAGTTCTGATTCATTCATTGCTTTTTCGCTATTCAGGGTGCAACATACACTTGTAAACTGGCAATCTGAATGATTCCGTCTAGTATTTAATGCATATGCTTACCGTGAAACAACTTATATTATCCATCCAGAGAAACGTGGCAAGTGCAATAATGCAGTAACGATTCAAAGTTAGCAATTTCATCTTGTCTGCTGTCAAACGAGCTATGGGTATAACTGTATAACTTTGATCACTAGTATGCCTGCACGCAACGATTATATATATGTCTTTAAAAAATCGTACAATAAATGGTTTCTAAGCATTTAAATTTGATTAACATTGTCGTGTATGAAATTGCACGCCAATCCAATAAGACTATTTTTAATTATTGCTTTTGCTTTGAATAATCGTCTAATTGCCGATGATCAAAATATAATTTAAATTTAAAATGCGATGTTTTCTTTTGAAAAATTTTAATATCGTTGAGGTTTACCATTTTTCCTGTTTTTTTCTGTGTCCATTCTTTCTCTTTCTGTTCTTCTTTTTCTTTCCCTTCTTGTTCAGTGGGGATCTGAGCTTTTGGAGTTTTATTGATATAATTATTTACATAGTCGTGAATCTTTAAACCAAAGGCCACTTGACATATTTTGAGAAATTTCTAACATCTTTGCATGCACAAGATATCAAATTTTAAACGTTTCTCAGATTTTTAAGAAGAGACATATCATAGATTCCACGAAGGACACACAATTATACCATGTCTGTTTTTTTATGCGAGGCGAAATGAAATATTTGGGTTTGTTTTGTGCTAATAAAATTTCTTTTTGTTACCATGCATCAATAGTTGATGTTTTCAAAGAGAATAATTTAGGAAGAAATTTAGGAAGTCATTATATCATTCGCCATAAACTTTATTCAGATATAAACATGCAGCCGTTGCAACAAATTGGAACAAAATAAAAAAGTTATATAGGCAATATACCGAAAAAAAATGAGATTGTAAAAGATATTAATTATACCAAGGAAGGAAATTAAAATACAACCCTCACTAGGTGCTCAGGGAAGATCATTCGATTATCAACCAGTTCTCCAAGGTGACATTTATGTCGGCCAAATATGTAATTTTGAGCTGAAATTATTGCTTAATCCACACATTTAAATTTATTAAAACTAAATCGGATTTTATACACCTATTATACAGACTTATTATTCCTTAATCCAAATCTATAGAGATCTATCAGAAATATAGTCTCAAAACCTTAGTTTAGAAAAACAACATCCAGAAAAACACATGACAAATAACGCGATCTTATTAATTTACAACTATTTTCGACTAATTAAATTAGCATAATACGAATTACGTCCTAACTGTGTACAAAATTGTTATATATGTCTTAACATAACAATTCAAACAACACGCAAGAATGACGAATGTTGTACTCGTACTCGTATACACTCTAGTCAATGCTAAAGCTCCCTTTCGATTAAGAGCGAGGCGACTTTATCCTGCCTAAAATTGTGTCGTCAATGTATCGCGAAAGAAAGTCTGAAAGAATTCCTCAGGTCTATCGAGAACTCGCTTCAAGCGAGCAGCTAAAGTCTTCAGAACATGGGACGGAATATCAGCAAAGAGCTGGACGCTTGGCGCGAAAAAGTTCATGCAGCTGCCTTGCGCCAAACACTTTTGGAGCGACGAGAGCAAGTCAAGAAATCTCGCCCCGAGATTCGCGTCTTGCCACAGCGTTGGACTCGAGATTGTGGAGTTGAGATGAAGGGTGACCGTTTCCAAGTGGTGAGGGGTTAGACCCCCGGGGTAGGAGAGGGTATCCTCTAGTAGCGTCTTGGCGATTTGCAGGCATTTATTCCGACATCCGATTTTTCCAGCGTTCAACAGCGCTTTTTCACCGGCCAAGAAAGTTATATGCCACAACATGGACGAATGTTGGAGACTTGATTTTACAGGTTGGCTCGTCAGATGAATGCCTTCCTCCACAATTTGTCGTCTTATCGTATCGTCCGGCCATCTGAACATGACTTTCTTCCACATCGCGGCGCAGTTTGGCCATGTTGCCTTCAGAAATACCGTCGGGATTAAATGCACCGAGAATTGCTCGCCTTCGAGACAAATGCTCAAGACCAAACCATCTTTGTCGTTGTTGGTGGAGTGAAACCAAATCTTCGGATCCAATATGTCCTTTTCCTTGCTAATATCTTCAAGAAAGCTGCATATATATTCTCGAAGACGCTCAGAGGACAGAAAAAAACCCTGATTGCTTCCGCCTTCCATTAAATCCAGCCAAGATCTTTGTAGCTTGGCAGCCTTTGCACTGACGAAACCGACGCCGCTCGGCGAATCCATCTCGACAAACGAAACTTTTGTTGAATTGAGCTTTTTAAAAACAAGAAAAACTTCGAGCACGTTTTGTTGTCGAACGCGAAAGAATCCATCTGGAGACATCGGCTCAAAGTGAAGTCGTTTGTCTCGTTTCTTTAATTCTTTGACCAAAGGATTGACAACCTTTTCAACTTTCTGCAGAACTTTGTTGTAACGTTTGAGATGCGCAATACCCTGTCCATCGAGGTAGTCGGCCAACAGAGAATCGAACTTCGTTCCCGAACTGCCGTTCATAGTCATCGTTGGTTTATTTTCCACCGCGGGGTGCTGTTTTAAATGTTAATACTGGAATGCGTGGGGGGTGTTTTCGCATTGCGACAAAATGTAAAATACCTCAATTGCCAGTTGTGTACGAACAAATATTGGCATTATCGCGATCGCCCAAAAGATTAAGCAGGCGAATTAACTATTATTATGGTAATGGATATATGCTTAGTTGCCAAGTGATTCAATAACGATGATAAAAATATATACCGCATTACCGGTGTCTTTTAATATGGATTTGAATAATGGAAGTTGTGAAAAAAACATTGTTTTTGCTACGAAATATCGCTTGCGCGGTTATCCTAGATAAGGGAAGATCAAACAAGCTTGCTGAGGGGATTGTTTTGGTACAAAATATTGATGAATTATGATTTACGAATAAGGAAAAACAAAATACTCTGCTGATGGGTTGTAGATAAAACAAGCTATGCTACAAAATATCGTATATTGAATATTGATCACGAAACTTGAGTTATTGCAACTTATATAGGATGAAAACTTCTCGAAAGTCGCGGACACTTAAATCGTTAATCTTTCTTGCCGCCATTTTGTGAACATGACGTGTTCATGTACAGGAAGGAGTCGAGAGTCACAAAGTCTGTCAAAGAAGTATATAGCATCTTTTTCAATATATTCACCTGCGTTATCTATCGTTAATTACTATAATACATATTTATGATATATTTTTCGCTAAACTAAAACCTAATTGATACTATATATATACACTGAATACGAATACAATACAAATAAACTAGTTGAAACTATAATACAAATAAACCAGTTGAAACTATAAATCCTTCATCGAAATGAAAATGTCTGTAACGACCTAAACTGAAAGTAAATCTAAAAACGTTTTGAAAAACTTTCGTCTTTCTTGAAGTCTACTGCTTTAATTTAAATATCTAAATATGCCGGTAGTTTATGTGTTAATGTTTTTAAAACCTTATTTTTCGAGATATATGTTCAGAATTATGAAGTCTAAATTGAAGAAAGATTACGACAAAGGGACTTTAGAAAGGTTTACAAAACCGTGTGTTGACAATGATGTTGACAACTCCTGTTTTTAAACCTTCGTAGAATCCGGTAGCGAATGAAATATCGAATTGGACAAACACTGACAAAAAGCCAGTGTAACTAGACGAGTTTCATCTGTTTGTTGCCGCAGATAAGATTTAGGACAAAGGCAAAGCCCGGTACATATCATACCCATGCGAAATTCAGTTTGAAATCGGCTTTTCACGCGCGGAAAAACACAGTCAAACTAAATGAAAGCTATGATTTAGACTCGATCGAGACATATTTAGAAGTCATGGAAACTATCCTATAGCCATTCAGGCTATGACTGGGCATTTAGCTCTTCCTAGAATTCCGCTGTGCAGCAATTCGCTTTTGATTCGCGATGTCGTCATTCACTCTAGGATCCAGGCCATCGCGCACCATTTTCACGAGGATCTTCGCGATATTTCGTGAGTCGTCGATACCGCTGTGAGGGCGACCTTCGAAACTCATCCCCAGGTTCTCGATAATCCCCTCCAACGTAAGCGGCGTTTTTTCCTCAACTTTGTAATACCGTCGATAATGTTTGCGAACGTTTACCCATTGGCTCGCGAAACCCGGTACAGGGATCCCCGAGAGGGTACATTGTTCCGGTAGAAATTTCCCCATATCCCATGGGCTGCATAAGAAAATCACATGAAAACTCGTTTTGTAGCCCAAAAGTAACCTGTTTTTGGTGAACAGTTTATTGACTATAGAAACTTATAAAGTATTAAGCACTTTGCTCATCTTTTTAAGTGTGATATTTCAACTTGGATAAAATTGGAAACATGGTGATTGGTGATCTTTGAGAGGATGGCGAAAAAATAAACAAAAAGTTCCTTACCCGTCTGTTGTGACAACAAATGTTTTATCCGTGCCAAAATGATGTTTCTTCCAGCCACTCTTCAAATTCAGACAAAACCTCTGGAAATGGTTTTGCATTATTCACCTTTTCCTGGGGTGTGGAAAAATATTAAGATCAGACAGTAGTTCTTCAGCCCCTTATAACTCCTGACTAAAATATTGCAAAGAGATTGCAGCAATATGGCTAACATGGAAGATAGTGGAATCCTGTGATTCAACAATCCTACCTGGGTGATTCCTGTTAGTCTTTGACAGAATTCAGATAGGATGGGTTTCTCCACAGGCCTACAATATCGATGAAACTCGTCCTCCTGCCAGAAAGAATTTAGAAAAAAGGCATGTGATTTTAGAAGAAAGTGGACAGGGTTGAGACACAGGGAAGTAAGACTGTGAAAAGACAAGTGAATGTTGAGAATATGCGTGGAACTGTGGAAGGAGTTGTTAAATGAAGGAGGGAATTACATACCAATTCCAATGTCTTTGCATTAACCAGAACTGCAGGAAATTCTATTATCTCATGAACATAACCAGATTCATTCTTCTCCTCACAAGTTCCCTCAAAATCAATGACCATAAAATAGTGTTGTCCAGACTCCATTTTGGAAGTCGAGCAATCATTTTTCTTTTTAGGTTTGACACAATGCAGCTTCTTGTAATGGTTCTTTAACCTCCTTACTATCACCTCTTTTGCACCCCTGAAGATTTGTACAAAAATTATACAGATTTCATGATTTTGATAAGAAATAATGAATCACACAAGACCTGAGATTAGCAACGTGGAGTTTTAAAGCCTAAGTCTATAGACATCGAACTGCAAAGTCAAAATTTACTAACCTATCATCCAAGCCCAGTACCTTCAAATGTACGCGTATTTCTTCTTTCTTCATACGATTTATTGCACCATTCACGGTCGATAAACGACCATTAGTAAATGCTATGTGCATCTCTTCATGGTGCAAATGTTGAGCTTTTTCATCGCCAAGTACCGCCATATTTTAAAAATTTCGAGGAATCTGAAAGGTTATTCTACGAACCCTTGACATAAGGTTTCGCTACCATATAAAATACATGCAATGAAAATGAAATGAAAAATAAAACGAAGTATAATGTATAAAATTTTTGTGTTGTATTTTAAAAGTGAAAGTTTTTTAAAATTTGCAAAGTTTGCAACTTTACTTCGATACTTGGTTTTACACTCAATATAAACATCACTTACCATCGAGATAAAAAAAATAGATACGCGAAGTGTACATAGAAATAATATATTACCATCAGCCTATCAACTTGGCAAGCCAAAGGTAAAAATCTGACAATAAATGTGAAAGTTTTTATAGTTTTGGGATGAAATAACTAATCCCAAACGCAGGGCTTTATATATCAAAATAAAAGTAAATAGCCCAACATTCTTTCTCAAGTATATGAAATTCCCATTTACTCTTTAAAAGAACCGTTAATTGATCGCTTCCAAACTGGGTCGAGGAAATTACATTATTTACTGAGGCTCATTAACATCTCATTAGCTATTGTTTGAATTGCATTCGACGTTACCAAAATGCGACGTTTAAGGCCTAGATAATAAGGCCTGTAAATCCTGTAATAATTGTAAGGCCTGCAATTCAGACAAAAGATAATGAGATGGCAATGAAGCCTAATGTAGTTCATCATCTCATTATCTATTGTTTGAATTGCATTCGACGCGACCAAAATGCGACGCATAACCTAGGTCTAAGATAGACAACATTTTACGTTTGTTTCATAGCTCTCAATTGCACAAAAGAATAAAATCGCTTGTTAAGTGTCATCGATGCATAAAGTGCAATGTCCGTTGTAAGCTTCTCTGAGGCAATAAAAGGTGGCTTAATTTCAGAAGAAACTCAGACTTTGTAGTTTTGAAGCAGAAAGGATCACTCGAAGAAGTGAGGGAAAAGTTGCAAGAACCTTTGCTCAGGTACAAGATCATGGTTGGTTTAAAAAAATCTGTTGGCTTTGTCTTTGCTTTGCAAATTAATTCATCGTCGTGTTGATTTGAATAGCCAGAAGAAATTAGCGAGTGAAGGCATATTCTTGCTGATTTTACGGCTATATCTTGTATATTTCGATTGAAAATGTGAAATGCGAGTGAGCTGTTAGTGTTAAATTGATTTTGTTTTTCCTTACTTATGATTTAATTTCAGAACGAACTACAGCGCGGAAATATGGGGAAGGCTAAACCGACAAACGCTGGTTTGCAGGGAATAATAGGTATTGTTCTTCAAAGCGTTCTTCGGACACGGTTATCGTATCGTGAATAGCTTTGTACAGGGAAAGACGGGATTCAAACTGAAATTGAATGCCTATAATATAATCTGTATATATATTGGTCTATGCATGTACTTTATGCTAGACTTCACTGTGTTGTGTTATTTCAGCCGGGCTATTGTTCGGAGCGTGTTTTCTATTTCGAACTGAGCATCTTATCTTTCTTCAGTGATTTCTTTTGATTTCCGTGTCAATTAGTTTTAAACAAAAAATACTCAGGAAGCATTAGACTTCTAGTCCCGTCAATTTTTTTGTTTAACTGAGGTTTTCTTTTTCTAGAAAGAGTCCAGAGATGTCGAAGCTGCCTTGGGACACTTGTGCACGCAAATACAAAACTCGATTTCGGTGAAAATTGCATGAGTAAAATATGCATGGTATTTGGCTTTTTTTGGTCGAGATATGCTAAACACTCTTCTGTTTACCTCACCTTGATTTTCAACTTTTCTCGGCTTGCGGTTTTTGCATGTTAATCTGGTCGTGTCAAGCGCATGCGGAGTAAATACAAGTGATTCTGGGGCCCCATCATTTGTATTTTTTCCTCTCTTGAACGACAATAGTCCGGAAAAAAATATCGCTTACAGAGCGCCTAAAACATAAAAATGCATGAGAAATTGTTTTTCTAGAAGGAGATAATAGTCGAGTGTTTTATTTGTCTCGGGAAACGAAACATTAAAAAATCTTCGAATAGTATTTCGTACAAAACGTGCATGACATTTTTGTATTCGCGTGCGCAATGCGAAGGCCTTGGAGGAGTGGCGTTGGAGATGTAGAAGGTCTGCAATATTCGAGTTTTGAATGATGATTTTGAATCTTGAATGATACATAAGTGACATTTCTCTCTTGAAAATTGATGTCATATCTTTGTATCCACATCGCAGAATCAGATGATGTAGGATCGTCGCTGGATCAGACGATGAAGGATCGTCGCAGGATCAGATGATGAAGGATCGGCGCAGGATCAGACGATGAAGGATCGTCGCGGGATCAGATGATGAAGGATCGTCGCAGGATCAGATGATGGACGACGAGACAGTGTACAAGTAGAAGCTGGTTGAGGTACATACTATATGTATACTTGTTAGAATAATGGATGATTAATGTAAGTGCATGGTTATTCCGGAATTGGTTTCGCCTGGTGGTCTAACCTATAGCATATTCACACATCAAGTGACATTTCGACTATGCATGCATGATAACACGTACGAAATTTTTCGTCACCGTTCGTATGCATGAGGGCGTTTTTTCGAGCTTTCTTGATAAAACATTTCTAGTTTTGTCACTTGTGTGTGAGTTCCAACGACGTATCGACTGGCTGCGGCAGATGCACGATGCTTTAAAGCGTTAAAACTAACAAAATGCTTGATGCATTTAGCATGCATATAGTGATCGACGTGCACGCAGCGAGAAAATATCAAATTCGTATTGGCCTAACTTTAGATTAATACGAAGGTAATCGCGAGTACTTATATGATAATTTTTTATATAAGCTCTCTGTTCAGCTTGTTATAATGCGACCGCTTCGAAGGACTGTCCGTCAATGGCATTAAAAATTTGAAATGAAAAAAGAAATACTATTTGATGATGTTTAGACACTAGCACTCTTCTGTTTCTCTTATTTTTTCGAACTCAGTTCAGTTAAGCTCTCATGCATGGAAATAAACGTAATCTACTCATTTTGACTCTAACTTGATTAAGTTTGCATATAAGAAGGCAAATATAGCTCCTATTAGTCCTATATTACATTGCATAAAGAACATTCTTGTATTTTTGACACACTTACTATGTTGTTTAATTTCTTACACGCTCCACCGTCGAGATGTTGTTGAAGAAGGACACAACGGCTTGGAACGAAGCAAGTGAAATTCGGGAATTATACGGTGCGAAAGGTAAGGGAGATTACATTAGCCATATTACATTGCCATATTACATTAGCCATATTACATTGCCATATTACATTGCCATATTACATTGCCATATTACATTAGCCATATTACATTAGCCATATTACATTGCCATATTACATTAGCCATATTACATTGCCATATTACATTAGCCATATTACATTAGCCATATTACATTGCCATATTACATTAGCCATATTACATTGCCATATTACATTAGCCATATTACATTAGCCATATTGAGTAAGTTGCACGTTCAACCCAATTTTTGGTAATCGAGAACGTATAAAGAGATAAACACTGCATCAGGTGCATGTCTAAAAAGATAAAAACAGTGCATGAGGTGCATGTCTCAATAGAAGAGTGCTGTTGTCTCTGTCGTGAACACGAAGAATTTCTTTCGAGAATGCCAGCCTTCAAAAAAAGCATGAAAATTTGAATAATTGAAATATTTTTATTGCCATTGTCGGACAAAGCGCAGTTTAATTAAATAAATTAATTTCTAACATTGCGGACGATATATGCGCACGGCGGACGCCGGTTAGACCACCACCAGAAACCAATTGACGAAGCTCAAGACTGAATTGCATGGCAATTCCTGGGACTCGGATGAGCGGAACTACCATGTATAAAACCTAAACTTGTCGTGTATTTCAGTACTTACTTGTCTCCATTGCGGACGATTTCTAAATGAAAACACCAAATTCGGAACGCCGGTCAGGTAACCTGAAATTCAGGTTACCTTTGGAGGGTTTTTCACCGGGCACTCCGGTTTCCCTCCTTTTCGTTTGGCTTTAAAAAACAGTGTCCATGTCTGGGGCCAAACCAAAACGTGTTCGTTGATAGTGAAAAGATGTTTAGCACATTTTACAGAATCGAGAAATCCCATTTGTTCATGAACTGTTGAAAATGCGTGTGTTTGGCTTCTGGGTCGAATTCCCAGAACACTGGCGTAAGAGTGAGTAGACTGCTGTGGGAGACTGGGCTGCATTTTGTTGAAGACAGTAGATTTTAGTTTATAAATAAGAGTGTCCCAACTACTTTTGAAAATGATTGTAGAAAATGTCAGACAAGTGTTGGGTTTGTTCCACTTCCAAGATGCAGTCAGATTTAACAGCCTCAGTAAAAAATTGTTTTCTCCGCTTCAAATTGATGAGAATCAACTGACATGTTTGACAGTTGGTTTATCTAATCACATTCACAATGTAATGCAAAATGTACTGGTTTTATTTCTTTTCTCTATTTTTAAAAGAACTCAAAATTTACAAGGATGGCTACTTCTGATAAATCAAAGTGAAACAAAATATAAAAAGGGCATTATTGATCATGCTATACGCATAATAAAATAATATTTTAAGTACAATAATAGTGTCTAATGTGTATAAACTGAGGAGTTGGCCATATGGTATGTGATACAAGTTTAGAAAACATCAGGATAGTCTCGGATTTTTCGTTTAGACTGCCTCGTATATTGTTGTTGTTTGTAGTACATTTTAATACACCCTTTCGTGAGAACATACACAAGTCCACCCTGAAATAAAAAGGATAAAAACATGAATCAGAAAACTTGTGAAGCCATCTGTTTTATTGTATTTTCAAACCAACTGACAGGAAAAAAACTACCAAAATGTTTAGGCTTACCAAGAATATTCTTCTAGTTCTTGAAGGGCTATGATGGAACAATAAATTCCCGCAAAACAAAGCAATCGATGGCAAGGACAAAGCTCCACAAATAATTCTTGTTGCTGACGTAGCATCGACAACTGTGTCCTCAGAGGGCTGTCTCAACGGCACCTGATCATGTTCCATTGACTCATCCGGAAACAAATACTTAAACACTGTCATACCAGGTGTAAGATGTCTCCATGCTCTTAGGACATAGTCCTGCCACCTTATCATCCTAGCGAGAATTAAAGTTAATGGGATTGTCGGTAAACCAATAAACAGAACCAAAGGATCAGCCTCTTCCATAATACGAAGACCCGTCTTCCGCCCCAGGACTTGAAAAATAGTTATGGCTCCATAAGTGACTGCCGACCAATACAGAGAACCTACTAAAATTCCAGCGGTTGCAAGAGGACAGACTCGGTTAATAATGCCGTCCACATGTTCGATTATTGTCAGGAAGGCGCCAAGTGGTGGATAGTCAATCAGGTATGGGGTGTTGCACTGCGGACAATGAACAGAGACAGACGAGTTTCCAGCCTGCTTTTCGTCCACCCATCTCTGCAGGCAGGACTGATGGACCCAGTGACCTGTACCACGGCAACGACAAGGATGCGTCCATTGAGTTCTTGGGTCATCGTCTTCGGAGGCAAAACACACCCAGCAACTTCGCCTAAAACATGTAAAAGCACAAAATTACTTCCTCTTTTTGCAAAGACTAAAAAATGTTCTTTGAATGGTTTAAAACTAGATGTTTTAAAATGCATACATCAATGTTATTGTACGGTTTTTTAGTATAGCTTATATTTATAGTATGGTATCTTGGTTGCTGAGAAACCGTATTTTATTAATTAAAAATTCGTTACTTAACAATGTTGCTATTGTGTTGAAAGCTGTGTAACTAGTACAAAACCTGCAAACAGGAAAGTAATCTTTGACATAAAATGTGGTTGAGGAAATACACCTAATCGTTAAACACAGACGACCTCATTCTTGGGGTATTTTAGGGCATCGATTCCTAGAAATAAATCGTTACGAATTTCGCTGTAATCGAAAGATTTCCCACTGAAATTCAAAGTCTAAAAAACATCAATTGGTTTTTGGGGAGCTCGATTCGTGGATATTTTAATGCATATAAAGATTTTCAAGCCATATTTTAATCCAGCATCACAATATTAAACAGAAAATTTAAAATATGTCACAAATGCGATGTTAAAATTACCTCCGATCGAATCAAATCACTTACCGATCTGTTGGGCTAAATTGTTGTTGCGAGTCATATCTTAAATTGGCCATAGTTTGATCATTGAAGCGAACGAAAGTTGATGATCGGGTATTAAATAAAATGCCAAAAAGACTTGAAACGTTCTTGAAAGTAATTTAAATTTTCGATCAAATATTCCAACGTCCGCCTCTTAAAATTTCCGACAGACAGGGTCTTTAAATTATCGAGCCAGCAGTGTCATAGCCTTGCGGCTCGCAGTGTCGTGTCAAAGAGAGACGTCATGTAGCTACGTATTGGGAAACACAGGCTACCCATTGATATACTCTGATACCAGCTAATTTGCATATTGCACGCATAAACGTTTAGAAAATCTTAAAGTGGTAAAGGAGGGGGGGGGGGGGGGGGCTGAACGCATTCTGAAAACAGCACTCTAAATAAGTAATAAATGGGTTTTGTAGAAGTTGAATAATCAGCATTGATTGTGAGGGAAAAGTGAAAGTGTGTATAAAACAAAAATATTTTTCTACACTTTACATTACTTAGGTTAAAACAATTGCTAATTATCACAGGAATTCGTTATTGCACAAATTTATTACATTCCTTTACCTCACTTCACATACCACAAGGCAGATGAGAAGATTTTTCCCTATTTCTATGTAACATTTACAATACCAAAAAACTTCCCAAATTTGCTGCACAACAATTAAAACTGTCTGTTGAACAATTATGTTGCCTGCAACTATTTCTAGCAATTGTCTGGTAAAAATTGGGGCAAATTTGGGAAGTGTCTCATGCTTTCTGTGTAAATAATGTCTGTTACTGATTAGAAAGTAGAAATCATGATCTGATGATTGCGATGGTACAGTTATTTAAGTTAATCTTCTATATACAAAGATGTCTTAGTTCTATAAGATTTACTACAATACGTCACAAATCATAAGAACTTTCACACTCTCACCAGATCACAATTAAGTGCAATGAGGGACACAAGTGATACATTATCTATGTTCCAAAATTCATAACATTCACATAAGTTTCTTTGTAAGGAACAGCATTACTTTAACTCCGTAACATCTCCAGTCGTTTTTGCATGTCAGCCATGTCCTCCTCTTCATCTGACTCAGCCATAGCTGTGGCACCTTCCACCTCACCCTAAAAAAGGCCAAAAATATAATTAGAAGAATTGGTATTTGAGTAGTTTCAACCATCTTGTAGACTGGCTGGAATTTCCATCATCTTTACTTACAGGTAATTCATTTGTTGCAACACTACCAGCTTGACCCAATGCCCCTAAACATTAGAAGTAAAATAAGCATTGTTGAGATCACGCTTTCTCTTGAAAATGTGGTTGAATGGAAGTTGTTGCAATGATTTCAAACCTTGGGTGACTTCAAAGAGTATTTTATCAACTTCTTCTTGGGCTTCCTCTTCCATGTCTTCCTCTTCTACACTGTCAAATGTATCTTCCAACATTTCTTCAATTATGCCAGCCTAGAGGAAGCGAGAAGGGATAGTTTTTGTATTGGATGCATGGGAGGGAGAGAGGAGGGGGGCTTACCCCCTTAGGGTAAGGGGGAAAAGGGGGAGAGAGAGAGGGAAAGAATGGGAGAGGAGGAAGACAAGGGGGGACATCTATATTATTGAGGGAGGAGAGAGTGTGCTATCTAGTTAAGTGGTAGTTAGGGGCATATAATATGCTCACATACTTTCATCATTTCCTTGGAGAGCTCTTGCATTGTAGCTTGTATTTCGGGTAGTTTGACCAACTGTTGCATATACTTCATAACCTCTGTGCTTTTCTGTAATGACCCTGAAACTCTCAATGTTGCAAGCTGATTTTTCATGCTCATTTCAACCGAGTTAAGTTGAGCTTTTGATGCATACAATTTGCTCACGGCTTTCTTGGCTCTAATAACTTCTTTTGCAAGAATACGACAGCTGTCAACATCACCTTTTTTTGCAGAGTCTTTAATAGTACGAGTCACCTTGGCTTTTTCCGTTTCAATACCTTACAATACCAAGAAAGATGAAAAGTTAATCACATCACTTGTTGTGGGCATTTTTTTCACTCTGTTTTGTAAAGGCTTTGGGGACAGACAAAAAGTGACAAACTTACTTCTAATTTGCCTGTCTAGTTGTCTTGATTCTTTACGTAAGGAACGAGACCATTCTTGCACCTAGTAGATCGCACAATGTACAAGTATTCAGTATTTTTCATTTTTGTGACTAGAACTATAATGACATTCAACGTGAAATTCAACTATATGTAACATTTCTATGTGTATTTTTATAATCTACACTTATACTTTTGAAATGTGTAAATGTTACGAAGAGAATGATATAAACATCTTTTCGATTTCTGTATTAAAGTTTAGACACCATAAAAAAAAGATGATATGGCAGTATTATTTACACACTTTAGGGAAAGAGCAAAATCGTTATGATCTAGAGAATTATGACACATATAACATCAAGTCCATTCTCCTTACCTGTTCTTTCGGTGATTTTTGGGGTGTTTTCCCAAATAAACCCATTGCAAAATACAAATTCTTATAAACCCGAAACAATTTTATTATTTTAATACGACGGATGTAAATAAAAACATCAAAAATTTCGGGCAATGCGCGCATGTGCAAATGGAGCAATTTGATATTGAATTCCTTGAAAACTTCTTAAAGATTTCCTTCATATTTTTTTAAAGTTCACCGAATCTTTGTACATTTTTACCTGTTTTAACAAAATTCTTGTTTTTTAGGAAAAGTCGGAAAATGAGGGAAGTAACCTAGGGTTGTAACAACGTGTATAGTACCCACGTGACAAAAATGTAACAAAATCACTATTCTTTGGTAAAATCTGTTTCCTTGGATATCTTGGAGGTACCGGATTGTGCACTACTATAAACAATGGCTAAGTCTTTTTTTCACGATATCGAGCCTGTCCCTGTGGATGAAACGTTTCGCCTGTTGGATCAATTTAATTCTGACACATCGCCGAATAAAGTGAATCTTGGAATAGGAGGTAATTATTGTGAAATATCTACAGTTTTTGTACACCGGTACACATGATAATGATTTGTTTTTGTACGTACATAGAAAGACAACATGTTTTCATGTAAAGATCATCTAATATTTAAAATCAAATAGCTAGTGCATTTATACTAAGTGCTGATTATCATCCATTATCTCAGGAAGTCAATGATCATGCATTTTGACTTTTGAGATGGCCCTTAGGACAGCACGTTAAAAATTTTCTTTATATTTTAACTTTTAAGCATTTTGTGAATCTATTCCATTGCGCTTCATAAGAAAAGTATTCAAAGAACAAAATCTTTGAAATCTTTGAACAAAATCGACTATAGCGACAATTACAGTGTTTGAACGTGAACTATTTTGGGAGGATATTGTCTATTGATGATTGTGTCATGAGCAGACCGGTAAATGCAGTTACGTCAGTAATCTTTTCTATACCGCATTGATCGGGCTGCCTATGGTTGTATTATGTTGAATGGGTTATTTGTATTGTTAAAAAAAATAGAAACCACTTGTGAAATGTCCTGAACGTGGATTAGCAGATATTAGAGAAGCAGATATTTGCCTTGGTTCCAGATATATGTACTTATTCAATTAGCAGACAATGTAGATTTTATGGAAGTTCAAGACAATATTTACCTCTATTCTAGGTTCTTGCTATGGTGGTTTAGTTTCATACTCCTATTTGCAGTATTTTAAATTATTTAGTCTATCGTACAAATGAAGGCAAGCCCTGGATTCTTCCTGTTGTGTCCAGTACAGAGATGGCACTTGCAGCCGACAAAACATTGAATCATGAATATTTGAGTATAGATGGAATGAAGGAGTTTTATACAGCAGCTTCCAGGTTGATCCTTGGAGCTGATAGTCCAGCCATTGTTGAAAACAGAGTAGGTTCAAGAAAATAATAACTTGGTGTTCTCTAAAATCATCTTCGATTTAGAATGCAAATTAATTACTGTCTTTTTTCGCTAGGTTTGTGCAGTGCAAGTTCTGTCTGGTACTGGCAGTTTACGTATACTACTTGAGTTTACAAAACGTTTCATGCCTGCAAAAGTTGTGTATACGCCCAAACCATCCTGGGGTAAGATTTTTTCAGTAGAGTATTCCACTTCTTTTTTTTAGCTAGTATTAGTTGCATCAACTTCATATTAATATTTAGAATAAATCTAAATATGAATATTTAAAGGCAACCATGCAAAGATTGCCAGAGATGTTGGTTTCACTGACAGAAGAGAATATCGTTATTACAATAAAGAGACTCGTGGATTAGACCTCAATGGAATGCTCGAAGACTTGCAGGTATTTGCAGTTCAAAATGGATTGATTGCAAGTCATGCAGAGTAGATTAATAGATTTATAATAATTTGTTTCTCAGAATGCTCCAGAAGGCTCAGTTATAATCCTACATGGTTGTGGACAAAACCCCACTGGAGTGGATCCATCGGCGGAAGAGTGGGTAAAAATTGCAGAGGTTGTGAAGGTAAACAACTTAAGATAGCTTGGAGAGATGTATTGACTGAGAGATGTATTTATTTAGGATTTTATTATTCTAATGTGTATCCTAATAATAGAGTACTAAATGTTGTGTTTAGGCCAAACATCTCTTCCCTCTACTGGATTATGCATATCTTGGCCTCATTTCTGGAGATATCGATGAAGATGCCTTTGCTGTACGACACTTTGTCTCGCAGGGAATTGAATTAGCAGTGGCACAATCCTTTGCCAAAAACTTTGGTTTATATTGTATGTAGTTTCTACTAGCTGCTTTCAATCTAATAAGTAATCTTCTTCATCCAAAGTTTCTCTCATCAGGCTGATACTTGGTGTTACCTAACAAATACACATATCAGATTTTGCTAATGTTGCAATATTCTTGCTTGTAGCCTCCAGAATTGGTTGCGCGTTTTTGATCGCGAATTCCTCGGAATATGTCAATACCATACGAAGTCAGCTGAAGGTCATCATTCGTCCAATGTGGTCCAACCCTCCCGTGCAAGGCGCACGTATTGTTACGACGGTGTTGAACAATCCTGCCTTGCTGACCGAATGGTAAGATGAAATAGCTTTAGCGAGAATAATTCATAAGCAAAAGGTAGTCATGAGTGTTGATTTTCGTAGGAAAGAGTGTGTGGCGTCCATGTCAAAACGGATCAAGTCTGCTCGTGAGAGTCTCTTCCAAAAAATGCGCGGGCTGGGAACTCCTGGAAACTGGGATCACATCGTAAAACATTGTGGCATGTTCACCTTCACTGGATTGTCTCGTATGTATCCATCCACCTTCATAGCGAGGCTAGATTTGACTTCTACTGCCACTACCATCGAGGCAACGAGTCAAAAGTCAAATGCGATTAGTCGATCAGATCAACCAATCACTAGCGCAATAATTGGCGAGAGAAGGGGAGTATGAACCAATCAAATGCGATAAGCCGATCAGATCAACCAATCACAAGCGCGGTAGATCTGCGAGGGTAGTGAAAGTCAAATCTGAACCTCACAAGTTTGAAAGGAACGCTGTCTTTTAAATGCGAGTAAATTTAATACGTGAACGTTTTTCTTGATTTTTTTTTAGCAAAACAAGTCAAGTATTTACTGGAGAAGTATCATATATATGCTATGGGAAATGGTCGTATTAACATGTGTACCGTTACCACGAGTAATGTCGAGTATGTGGCGAAAGGAATCGACGACGCTGTTCGTAATATAAAGGAATGAATGAACTTGCAAACTTGAAATAAATTTTAATAAAAAATAGTTATGATATATTCTAATTACTTGAAAGGCGTTACTAAAGAAATATTGTAATCTTAATTTATCTTATATTGCTTCATCTTATGAAATGAGTGACATATTTATCAAGCTTATATAACGGACATTTTAACTATATTGCTTATTGTGACAGTGTGTAAAAAATATTAAAGTGTTTTCTTCTTATTTCTCTAAATTGTGTCGTTTTAATGCGGGTACCTGGACGTATAAATACTTGCTGAAAACCTGGTTGAATTTCTTGCATTTTTTCCAGTTCATACGTACGGGAAAGAGAAACAGTGATAAGATGGAAATTTTTGTTTAAATTCATCTGCAAATCGTAATACTACGCTGAGACCTTTGTGCATGGTGGATATGCAAAAACCCCTAAGCTTTGAATTAAATTAAGCACGATGATGTTCTGTTTACACCATCCAAATTTTGTTGGAACCAATTCATGACTCACTTCTCATGTATGGAATGTAGTGTGTTATTGATAAAGCAGAACTGCACTGAACAAATCGGATCGTGCGAAGAAACTAAACCATGTTGTGCTGCACCCCACGAAAATGGTTGTTAATGAAGCAGGAATAAACTAAATACACAAGCAGAAAGTTAACAAGCATCTTAGATCAATCTCTCCTCTGGGATAGAATCACGTGACAAAAATGTAACAAAATCACTATTCTTTGGTAAAATCTGTTCCTTGGGTATCTTGGAGGTACAGGATTGTGCGATATAAATATAAGCAATGGCCAAGTCTTTTTTTCACGATATCGAGCCTGTCCCTGTGGATGAAATTATTCGACTGTTGGATCAATTTAATTCCGACACATCGCCGAATAAAATGGATCTTGGAATGGGAGGTAATTGTTGTGAAATATCTACAGTTTTTGTACACCCGGGGCAGGGTTAAATTTTACTCCGCTGTTTTGGTTTATATGCTTCTGCACCGCTGTTTGTTTCAAGATTTTACAAAATAAGACTTCCATTGATCCACAAAATATTTATGAAAAAACATGTTCAGCTTCATAAACGAGAGATTAAAAGCTCACCGGCTTTTGAACAACCAGCATCAGTTCATATGATTCGTTTTTGTACGCCCACATAGAAAGAAAACATTTTTTCATGCCTGCAAAAGTTGTGTATACGCCCAAACCATCCTGGTGTAAGATTTTTTCAGTAGAGTAATCCACTTCTTATTTTTAGTTAGTATTAGTTTCATGTGCTGCAAAATAAATCTAAATATAAATACTTAAAGCCAACCATACAAACATTGCTGGAGAGGTTGGTTTCACTGACAGAAGAGAATATCGTTATTACAATAAAGAGACTCGTGGATTAGATCTCAATGGAATGCTGGAGGACTTGCAGGTATTTGCAGTTTAAAATGGATTGATTGCAAGTCATGCAGAGTAGAATAATAGATTTATGATAATTTGTTTCTCAGAATGCTCCAGAAGGCTCAGTTATAATCCTACATGGTTGTGGACAAAACCCCACTGGAGTTGATCCATCAGCGGAAGAGTGGGTAAAAATTGCCGAGGTTGTGAAGGTAAACAACTTAAGATAGCTTGGAGAGATGTATTGATTGAGAGATTTTATAATTCTAATGTGTATTCTGATAATACAGTACTTGTTTAGGTCAAACATCTCTTCCCTCTACTGGATTATGCTTATCTTGGCCTCATTTCTGGAGATATCGATGAAGATGCCTTTGTTGTACGATACTTTGTCTCGCAAGGAATTGAATTAGCAGTGTCACAATCATTTGCCAAAAACTTTGGTTTATATTGTATGTAGTTTCTACTTGCTGCTTTCAATCTGACAAGTAATCTTCTTCATTCAAAGTTTCTCTCATCTTGTAGTTGGCAGGCTGATACTTGGTGTTACCTAACAAATACACATATCAGATTTTGCTGATGTTGCAATATTTTTGCTTGTAGCCTCGAGAATTGGTTGCGCGTTTTTGGTGGCGAATTCCTCGGAATATGTCAATACCATACGAAGTCAGTTGAAAGCGATCATTCGTCCAATGTGGTCCAACCCTCCCGTGCAAGGCGCACGTATTGTTACGACTGTGTTGAACAATCCTGCCTTGCTGACCGAATGGTAAGATGAAATAGCTTTGGCGAGAATAATTCATAAGCAAAAGGCAGTCATGAGTGTTGATTTTCGTAGGAAAGAGTGTGTGGCGTCCATGTCAAAACGGATCAAGTCTGCTCGTGAGAGTCTCTTCCAAAAAATGCGCGAGCTGGGAACTCCTGGAAACTGGGATCACATCGTAAAACATTGTGGCATGTTCACCTTCACTGGATTGTCTCGTAAGTATCCATCCACCTTCATAGCGAGGCCAGATTTGACTTCTACTACCACCAGTGACTACCACTACCATCGAGGCAACGAGTGAAGTGCGATTAGTCGATCAGATCAACCAATCACAAGCGCAATAATTGGCGAGAGAAGGGGAGTATGAACCAATCAAATGCGATAGGTCGATCAAATCAACCAATCACAAGCGCGATAGGTTAAGCGAGAGTAGTGTAGTGAAAGTCAAATCTGAACCTCACAGGTTTCAAAGGGACGCTGTTTTTTAAATGCGAGTAAATTTTTTCAGCTTTTAATAGGGAAATTTTTTTCTTGATTACTTTTTAGCAAAACAAGTCAAGTATTTATTGGAGAAGTATCATATATATGCTATGGGAAATGGTCGTATTAACATGTGCTCCGTTACCACGAGTAATGTCGAGTACTTGGCGAAAGGAATTGACGACGCTGTTCGTAATATAAAAGAATGAGTGAGCTTGCAAACTTAAAATAAATTTTAATAAAAAATAGCTATGATATATTCTAATTACTTGAAAGGCGTTACTAAAGAAATATTGTAATCTTAATTTATCTTATATTGCTTCATCTTATGAAATGAGTGACATATTTATCAAGCTTATGTATTAACGGACATTTTAACTATATTGCTTATTGTGACAGTGTCTAAAAATTAAAAAAATATTAAAGTGTTTTATTCTTATTTCTCTAAATTATGTCGTTTTAATGTGGGTACCTGGACGTATAAATACTCTCTGAAAACCTGGTAGGATTTCTTGCTTTTTTTCCAGTTCATACGTACGGGAAAGAGAAACAGTGATAAGATTGAAATTTTTGTTTAAATTCATCCGCAAATCGTAATACTACGCTGAGACCTTTGTGCATGGTGGATATGCAAAAACTTAAGCTTTGAATTAAATTAAGCACGACAATGATTCTGTTCACACCATCCAATTTTGTTGGGACCAATTCACTTCTCACGTATGGAATGTAGTGTGTTATTGATAAAGCAGACCTACACTGAACAAATCCGATCGTTTGAACGGACTAAATGTTGTGCCGCACCCCACGAATATGGTTGTTAACAAGCAGAAAGTTAAGCATCTGAGGATCAATCTCTCCTCTTTGTCTGTGATAGAATCACGTGACAAAAATGTAACAAAATCACTATCTTTGGTACTGAATCTGTTCCTTGGGTATCTTGGAGGTACCGGATTGTGCAATAATATATTAAACAATGGCTAAGTCTTTTTTTCACGATATCGAGCCTGTCCCTGTGGCTGAAACGTTTCGCCTGTTGGATCAATTTAAATCCGACACATCGCCGAATAAACTGGACCTTGGAATGGGAGGTAATTATTGTGAAATATCTACAATTTTTTTTTAAACCCGGGGCCGGCTTTTGAACAAGCGGCCCCAGTATTCGTGATTTGTTTTTGTACGTACATAGAAAGACAACATGTTTTCATGTAAGAATCATCTACCATTTAAAATCAAATAGCTAGTGCATATTAGTACCTACAAGCTAAATTACTTAGTGCATATTGCATTATTGCTGATTATCATCCATTATCTTAGCCTAGGAAGTCGATGATTATGCATTTTGACTTTTGAGAGGGTACTTAGGACAGCACGTTAAAAATTTTCTTTCGATATTTTGTGAATCTATTCCATTGTGCTTCATTAGAAAAGTATTCAAAGGACAAAATCTTTGATATCTTTGAACAAAATCGACTATATCAACATACAGTATTCAAGTGTGAACTCTATTGGGAGGATATTGTCTATTGATGATTGTGTCATAAGCAGACCGGTCAATGCAGTTAGCTCAGGCTCACTCATCTTTTCTATACCACATTGATCGGGCTGCCTATAATTGTATTCTGTTAAATGGGTTATTTGTATTCTTAAAAACCACCTGTGAAATGTCCTGAACATGGATTAGCAGATATTAGAGAGGCAGATATTTGCAAGGACTTTTGTACCAGATATCAGTATATACTTATTTAATTAGTAGACAGTGTAGATTTTATTGAAGTTTAAAACAACATTTACCTCTATTCTAGGTTCTTGCTATGGTGGTTTTGTTTCATACTCCTATCTGCAGTATTTTAAATTATTTAGTCTATCGTACAAATGAAGGCAAGCCCTGGATTCTTCCTGTTGTGTCCAGTGCAGAGATGGCACTTGCAGCCGACAAGACATTGAATCATGAATATTTGAGTATAGATGGAATGAAGGAGTTTTTTACAGCAGCTTCCAGCTTAATCCTTGGAGCTGATAGTCCAGCCATTGTTGAAAACAGAGTAGGTTCAAGAAAATAATAACTTGCTGTTCTCTAAAATTAAATCATCTTCGATTTAGAATGCAAATTATTCACTTTTTTTTGCTAGGTTTGTGCAGTGCAAGCTATGTCTGGTACTGGCAGTTTACGTATACTGCTTGAGTTTACAAAACGTTTCATGCCTGCAAAAGTTGTGTATACGCCCAAACCATCCTGGGGTAAGATTTTTTCAGTAGAGTAATCCACTTCTTATTTTTAGTTAGTATTAGTTTCATGTGCTGCAAAATAAATCTAAATATAAATACTTAAAGCCAACCATACAACCATTGCCAGAGAGGTTGGTTTCACTGACAGAAGAGAATATCGTTATTACAATAAAGAGACTCGTGCATTAGACGTCAATGGAATGCTGGAGGACTTGCAGGTATTTGCAGTTCAAAATGGATTGATTGCAAGTCATGCAGAGTAAATTAATAGATTTATAATAATTTGTTTCTCAGAATGCTCCAGAAGGCTCAGTTATAATCCTACATGGTTGCGGGCAAAACCCTACCGGAGTGGATCCATCGGCGGAAGAGTGGGTAAAAATTGCAGAGGTTGTGAAGGTAAACAACTTAAGATAGCTTGGAGAGATGTATTGATTGAGAGATTTTATCATTCTAATGTGTATTCTGATAATACAGTACTTGTTTAGGTCAAACATCTCTTCCCTTTACTGGATTATGCATATCTTGGCCTCATTTCTGGAGATATTGATGAAGATGCCTTTGTTGTACGACACTTTGTCTCGCAAGGAATTGAATTAGCGGTGTCACAATCATTTGCCAAAAACTTTGGTTTATATTGTATGTAGTTTCTACTTGCTGCTTTCAATCTGACAAGTAATCTTCTTAATTCAAAGTTTCTCCCATCTTGTAGTTGGCAGGCTGATACTTGGTGTTACCTGACAAATACACATATCAGATTTTGCTGATGTTGCAATATTTTTGCTTGTAGCCTCCAGAATTGGTTGCGCGTTTTTGGTTGCGAATTCCTCGGAATATGTCAATACCATACGAAGTCAGTTGAAAGCGATCATTCGTCCAATGTGGTCCAACCCCCCCGTGCAAGGCGCACGTATTGTTACGACTGTGTTAAACAATCCTGCCTTGCTGACCGAATGGTAAGATGAAATAGCTTAGGCGAGAATAATTCATAAGCAAAACTTAAAGGCAGTGTTGATTTTCGTAGGAAAGAGTGTGTGGCGTCCATGTCAAAACGGATCAAGTCTGCTCGTGAGAATCTCTTCCAAAAAATGCGCGAGCTGGGAACTCCTGGAAACTGGGATCACATCGTAAAACATTGTGGCATGTTCACCTTCACTGGATTGTCTGGTAAGTATCCATACCATGTATCACCATGTATCCATAGTGAAAGTCGAATCTGAACCTCACAAGTTTCAAAGGAACGCTCTCTTTTGAATGCGAGTAAATTTTTTCAGCTTTTAATACGTAAACGTTTTTGTTGATTATTTTTTAGCAAAACAAGTCAAATATTTACTGGAAAAGTATCATATATATGCTATGGGAAATGGTCGTATTAACATGTGTTCCGTTACCACGAGTAATGTCGAGTACTTGGCGAAAGGAATCGACGACGCTGTTCGTAATATAAAGGAATGAATGAACTTGCAAACTTAAAATAAAAAATAGTTATGATATATTCTAATTACTTTAAAAGCGTTATTACTTGAAAATTGCTTCTTCTTGTGAAACGAGTGACATATTTATCAAGCTTATATGACGGTAGCCTGCTCGCAGACTGAATTAGTGGGCCGGAAATTAAACGGGGAAATTTCCCCATTTTCCGGACATTTTAACTATATTGCTTATTGTGACAATGTCTAAAAAATATGAAAGTGTTTTATTCTTATTTCTCTAAATTATGTCGTTTTAATGCGGGTACCTCATACCTGGACGTATAAATACTTGCCTTTTTTCCAGTTCATACGTATGGGAAAGAGAAACAGTGATCAGATGGAAATTCTTTTTAAATTCATCTGCAAATCGTAATACTACGCTGTGACCTTTGTGCATGGTGGATATGCAAAAACCTAAGCTTTGAATTAAATTAAGCACGATAATGATTCTGCTCACACCGTCCAATTTTGTTGGCACCAATTCACTTCTCATCATGGATAATAAAATTACTATCATAGTCTTTTAACTATCCATGCTTCTCATGTATGGAATGTAGTGTGTTATTGATAAAGCAGAACTGCACTGAACAAATCGGATCGTGTCAAGAAACTAAACAAGGTTGTGCTGGCAGTGCTGCACCCCACGAAAATGGTTGTTAACAAAAAGAAAGTTGCAAAATGTGTGGGTGGCGGGTGGGGAGACCGAAGATAAGTTACTAACATAAATATTCATCATTTTCATGAACACGACACGTGATCAGAGCGTTGTTCATTTCAAGATGGCGGACAGCGAAGTACAAGAAAATCAAGCTAACAGGTTATTTTCCATTTTTTGTCCGACTTAAATCCTCCTGATCGTTAATATAGTTATCAATGTTTGATTCTTAGTACAAAAGCGACAAATATAAGGCAGTTAGACTTGCAATTGATTAAAAATTTGCCATATTTTGGGCGATCAAGTTTACGAACCAAGGCTGAACCGCTGAATTTTTATCATATTTCTTTTGTGGCAGTAATTTCCTTGTTTATTCTCCTCTGATCTTCCAAATATCACAATCACTGGCCTTCATAAACTGTTCTTTGTATTGCAGACCGCAGTTTCCACCAAATTTAGGCCCACAAGCAGACCATGATGGTAAATCCCAACAAGGCCCTGCACAAAACTTTCCACCTGGGGTAAACATGATGTTCAATCGAATGCCAGCTATGATGCCAGGTGGAATGCCAGGAATGGTACCAAACGCTAGACCAAATTTCGGAAATCAATTACCACACATGAATTTACCAGGGTTACAGGTTTGGGAATCTTTATTGTAGTTATTGATAATTGATAATATAATCCTTTCAAAACGTAATCTACAGTTTAGAGAACCATGTGGCTTCAAAAAATTTCAAGCCTATTACACTGACTAGAGGAGGAACCTTTCCACCACTATTTAGGAACATTTCCACCACTATATAGGAACATTTCCACCACTATATGGGAACATTTCCATCTGATTGTTAAAAACATGCAAGCAATATTCAGGCAAACCTTTATTCCTAGAGGCCACCAATGAATGCTGTTGGTATGCCAAACCTACCAATGCCAGGGATGCCACCAAACATGCAGCCACCCATGATTGACACAAACGGTGATCTGTGGCTGGAACACAAAACACCAGAAGGAAAGGTTTACTATTATAATGCAAGAACTAGAGAATCGGCTTGGGAGAAGCCAAAGAATCTTGTAAACAACTTGAAACAACAAGATCAAGCACAGCAGCAACATGACAGTGATAAGGTAAACTTAAAAGGAAAATAAATATACATATCATTGTTCTTGGTTTCTTCTTCCTGGTAAGTTCTTAACTATAGAATTTATATAAATGAAATAAATTTTGAATGCTAGGCTGCAAATGAAGCACATCAACAACAACGAAATGGTCCACAACCACCTATGGGAAATTTAAACCCACTCTTACAGCTACGGTGAGTTTATAGAAAGTTCCTTGATATGCAATTTCTAATTTGCAAATATTTAACCAGAATATTTGTAGGAAAATCTTTGTTAATGTTGGTGATGTGTATTATTTATAGGTCACCACAATTTCCACATGGTATGCAAATGCAATTACCCTTTCCAGCAGGCTTCCAACAAGCTCACCAACCAGGCCTTGGTATGACACAACACCTGCCTACAAATCCAGGTACATAAATTCCCACCTAATCAGGCAACATTGCTCTTCCAAATGTCTACATACCCCCCTCCTAAATTTCCTTAAATAAATTCCAGGCAACCATCCATTTCTATCATTATCATTCTTATATTCAATTCCCTCCCCTCTTACCACCTATCATCCACCCCTGCCCCCAAATTTCAAAGCAGTATGCTTCATGAGTAAAGCTCTTTTAGGTATGTACCCCGGTGGCATACCCCCTCTGCTTTCTGCTCAACGGCATCCTGAATGGAGTGAGCATAAAATAGCTGACGGTCGTTCGTACTACTACAATTCCCAAACAAAGGCATCTGTTTGGGAAAAACCCGATGTTTTGAAAACTCCTGAGGAGAAAATGAAAGACTCTAAACAAACGTCTGAGATGAATATACCTCAACAAATTCCAGATGGTAGTGACGTTAAAATCGTAGGTAAAGAGAAAATTTAACAACTAAGATTTTACAGTGTTATTGCAGGGAAGAGAATTGTTTTATTGTCTGGTATTGTAGTTTTTACTGTTTGAACCATTGTATCTATTAAAAATGATGCATTCAATTCTATAAAAATGATGCATTCAATGGAATGGTAAATTATCTTCACCAGACCCAACAAAAGCACTTCAGGATGAAAAACCAAGTGAAACAAGTAATGATACATTCAGTGATGGTCAGTCTGGTAATAAACCAGTGGCAAGTCATGCTGTACCTGGCACACCATGGTGTATTGTGTGGACTGGGGATGAGAAGGTGTTCTACTTTAATCCTACAACAAAAGTTTCTGTGTGGGAGAAACCTGAAGACCTGGTTGATAATGACAAAGTGGATGAAATGTTGAAGGCTGGTCCTGAGAATAAAGCAGAAAGTAAGTAACTTGCCTTACATCTTTTTTGGATGGTGTAATTGTTTATTTTCCTGCAATTTGAAATAAAACATAGCAGTATCTTGTTGTTAAGCTGTTTTACTGGGAAGTGGAAATCCACCATAACTGATAATCTAATGTACTTCAGAAAGCAAAGATCTCAAGCGAAGCCCTGACGATGCAGGGGAACCGGAACCAGAACCAGAAGCTAAGAAACAACGGTAATATTATTCAATTTTCATGCAAATTATCATGGTGTTTTTCTACAAGAGTATGCTTTATATTTTGAGCAGTGTCGATGAAGAAAGCGATACTCCCGAAGTGCCAGCTGCAGCAGTTGTGCAAGAAGAAGAGAAACCAAAAACTGAAACAGGCAAAGCAATTGAGAGAGAAAGAGACGCTGCCATCAAACGAAAGACATTAGCTTTGGAGGAAAGAATGAACGACTTTAAAGAAATGCTTCGAGAAAGAGCGGTACTTTCATATATAATGTTGTCTTGTGTTTGGTTTGTAAACATAGAATCCTACACATTGATATATCAACCTGTTTATCGTGCTAAGGTTTCGGCGTTTTCAACATGGGATAAAGAGCTGCCGAAGTTTGTCTTCGACTCTCGCTATTTGTTGTTGAATCAGAGAGAAAGGAAGGCGGCGTTTGATCAATATGTCCGATCCCGTGCCGAAGAAGAACGGGTGGAAAGGAGAAACAAGTTGAAGGAAAAGAAGGAAGCGTTTAAAGCCTTGTTGGAAGAGGCTAAAGTGTCATCAAGGTGAAGTATCATGGGCGCTTTCTTCATGAAAAGATTTTAGAAAAGAACATGGGGCATTTATTTATTTATTTATACCATTGTGTTTTTCAGGACAACGTTCAGTGAGTTCTCGTTAAAACACGGCAAAGATGAGAGATTTAAGGAGATTGCTAAGATGAGGGAACGTGAAGGTCTGTTTTCAGATTACGTCGCCGAGTTGCGAAAGTTGGAACGAGAAGCATCGCAGAAGAAGAAAGATTTCGTCGATGAAAAGGTGACGTATTACTTTCAGTGCCGGGTGGGTCCTGGACCTCAGAAAAGAATGAAGCAACTGATCTCAAATTCTGCTTGCGTGAACGCTTAATGTATGAATGATATTTAATGTCTTCGTTGCTAATTATATTTTGATCATGTTTCGATATCCAATTTTAACGGCTTTTACCGTGAACCAAAAGCAAGTAGGATTTTTATCAATTGCTTCATTGGGTGTCGAGAAACATAAACTTTCTGACCGTGTAATGATATTTTCAAAAGATCCATTCACGGCGACGAAACTTTATGTTTCTCTGTGATGTTTATTAACCAGAAAGAATGGTTAAGCATCAATAAGTCCCTGAAATTGTCTTCGTTTATGTATAGTCCAACATGGTTGAGTTTCATTCAGTGCTAGTCTGTTCTAATTTAACGATTTCTCCCTTTCATTGGCTAGCTAAGTTTTGTTGTAGATGTTTAACTGTTTATCTAATACACAGCAGACTGTTAAAGTCAGTGGCACATTCCGAGGTTGGCATTTCAGTGCTTTCTTTGTTCTATTGTTAAAAACCCGGCCGAAAAGGTAAACGATTTTCATTGTTCTTCTAAACACAACGCGGTCAACAGCTCGTACCCAGGGTCGTAAATTGATTCCGACTGCCACAAAGGCTCTGGGTACGAGATAAGTAATCTTTAGTGCGGTATGAGATGGTTTTTCGAGATGAGATGGTTTTTCGAGTATGGTAGGTAACATTTGGATTTTGGAACAATTCTTTAATTCCGATTTTCTAATAGCAAGTCTGTTTGCGCCAAGAATTTGGCTCTGAAGTTCATATTATAAATGATAGATAAATATAAGTTAGTCACGATGTTACGAAATCCAGTATGACTGTGACATTGGGTACATAGTGGTTGAATTTAAGATAGTTAAGTGTGATTATTTGCATGGTTTGTCATGGTGGTTATAATGTCGGGACTCGGGAGGATGTGCTGTATTGCTACTTGTGGTGTTTTTAGTGCATGTATTTCTGGTCGTGTTCGTGTTGGTGATGTTCGTCCCTGCCAGTAATAATATGGTAGTCATGGTGTTTATGGTTATAGCGCCGTAATATTCGTTCGATGGTGATACACACTAGAGACCATATTTATTTCTGGGCTGAACAGAAACGTTTGTTACATGCATTGTTTTGGCGATATACAGTCAATCTTTTCAAATTTAAATCAATGTTTTATTCTGCTATAAATATCAAGCGCTGTTTTTATATTACACACAATAGATTTCATTCAAAATGGCTGTAATAATTCAAAATTGTTGCCATATAACATTCGGAACAAATTCGTAACTTCAGGACTTTATTCCGCAGTGAACAATCATAAAATGTCAGATCTCCATAGAAAGATGCGGTCATGGAAAGATGAGAATTTCTATCGCTTGATATTCATTCTTGCTCTCTTTTGTCGCTTGTTCCTCTGACAGGTAAAAGAAGAGTATTTTAAGCTGTTATCAGAACAAGACATTAAGACAGAGGATCCGCATTGGCATACAGTCAAAGCAAACATCTGCGAGGACCCAAGGTACAAGGCCATTGAGAGCAGTCATCGCCGCAAAGAACTGTTTAAGGAATATATACAACAATTTCAACAGGTAAAGACCGGATGTTTGTCATCTATAGCTTGTATTTACGCCTTTTTGAAAACTTTGTTTTGTCTGTCTTTTGCTCAGCCTGAAAAAACCGAACCAGATGAAGAGAAAGAGAAGTTAAATCGTGTCGAAGCAAGTCTACGAGAACGAGAACGACAAGTGTATGCGCAGCAGGCGGAAATGATGGACGAACGTGAGAAGGAGAAAGAAAAACATGTGAAAGAAAAAGCTACCCAACATTTTCAAGCTCTCATGTCTGATATGGTTAGTATAATATAACTCTGGGGTATAGCCCAGAAGGATTCGTGTTTAGTTTTACCTTGCCACATGACATGTCTTCTTTATGGACTGAGAAATCTTGTCAACTGAAGAAAAATTGTGGCAAAGGAGTTGTTGTGCAGCTTCTCCCTACAAGTGTAGAAATATGGAAATGCCGCCAATGCATGCTTCTCTTCTCTGTAGGTTCGGAATGCTGACGCAAATTGGAAGGAAACAAAACGTAGCTTGAGAAAAGATCATCGTTGGCAGATGTTGGAAAGTTTAAGCAAAGAGGAAAAGGAAAAGTTGTTCAATAATCATATCAACCAACTGATCCAACGAAAAAGAGATCAATTTAGGAAACTTCTAGATGAACAGACAGAGGTAAACTTTTGCAAAAGGCAGGATGGGCAGTGAAATTTAGTTGCTTAAATATTTTGACTACTTTTTAGATCGGGCTTACCACAAGCTGGCGAACAGCGAGAAAATTGATAAAGGAAGACCCAAGGTTTTCAAAATATTCATCTAGTGACAGGGTATGTACTATGTATCTTTTCTGTATGTAAAGACAGTAAAGTGCCTAGTTTGTGATGTCTTTTTACAGAGTTCATGTTCACCATTCACAGAGTTTGTTCATTTCATTTATATTGAGCCTTTTTCATCTTTTTCATTCAGAAGCGTGAAACAGAATTTAATGATTATATGAGAAATAAACTTAATCAAGCCAAGAATGAATTTTGGGATCTGCTCAAAGAAACTCATGTTATTGACCACAGGTAGGGTATATCCTTCTGAATAAATCCTTTAGTCACTATTTTGTATAATTAGTACTTTGTTTAAAACACTACCAAGAAAATGTAAGTGATAATAGTAAATTTCCCTAGGTCAAGCAAGCTTTTAGCTGAATCAGACAGACATTTAAAGGATATAATTGAAACATTAAAGGTTAGCGGCTATTTTAATTTAATTGTATTGATTTATGTATACTAATTTGATTGTAATAGCACAAATTTTTATGAATTGCATATATTTTATTGCTCATTCCAGCAAGACCGTCGATATTTGGTGCTAGATGATGCTGATGATGAGCGTGATAGGATCCTTTATCAATACATTGGTGAACTCTCTCGTCGTGGCCCTCCCCCACCTCCCACGGCCTCAACTCCAGCTAACAGAAGCAAGAGACCATGGTTTGTACAGGATAACCTAACCTAGAGTCAACTCATGCATCAGCCACACAAACTGTCCCAGGTTGCCCCAGAATGTTTGAATACACATGCAGTTAAGACGATGAATGTTTTTATCAAAACTGCTGGGCAATTGTATCATATCTGAACATTTTTAAGTTATAACTTCACTTCACTGAAGTTTGACACGACTATGCACCTGTTGAAAACATCAAAGTAACTTGTGATCATGATTTTCACTTGTAATAAAATATCAAGAAGAGATTTAAAGGTAAATTGTGGCTCATTGCAATTGTATATTAAATTTTATCTGTGTTTTACTTTCGCAGTTCATTTAAGTAAAACAAAACACAGAAATGAAAGAAGTGCAGATTTAAGATAATTTAATGCAAATATTTATAATCACATTTTACAAGCATGCAGCTCTAGCAACTACAGACTGTTAATACATAATCTACATGGTTTCCCTATTAAGCTCAAATGTTTCCTCTCATGGTTACAAAACACATGCATGTAAACTTGCTAAGGCAGGGGCCTCATGTTCGAACTAATACATGTTGATTGCTTGTCTTTTGATTTCAATTAAAAGTTTATTTTTTAGTGAAGCTATTTTCACTCCCATTGAGACATGAAGTTGAAAACTTCAAGCATTTATGAGTATTTTGTATCTTCAGCCACATTTGAGAATCAACTTAGGCTTGTGTTTGCATTGGTTCATTCGGACCGGTGGGAGCAGGTCTATAAAACGTGTGTCCATGTGCAGCGTGTGTGTACATATAACCATTGCCTACTCCAGATGGTCCAGATGAAAGGTACTTCGCTGGACATGATGGTGGACGCCGGCCCTTGTATGTATCCTTATAGCTTGTTTTGAATTCCATATCTCCTTTGGTTCGGGCATTAACTAAAGGTTTGACCTGCTCGGCAGGTGGAGCGAAATCGCCAGTGTAGTGACTTTGGTAGTTGGTTCGTCCATCAAACTTTGTGGTTGGTGCAAGGTATTTGTCATTCTTACGAACCCTGTCTGGGAGGCCAACATTCCACTGTTTATATGCATCATTATGTTCAGTACTATCATCAATGGGTTGTTTAGATGCAAAAGCATACACATCTGGTTTTGCAAGCTTTGCACGACACAATGGATGCTTCACATAATCACGCTGAAATGATGTTGTCCCATCAAACTTTGTTGCTGGTGGTTGGTAAATTTCTTTCTCCCTGGGCTCTCGTTTTGTTAATGGCCATTGTTTGAAAGTGTTCTGATAACTGGTATCACCATCAAATGGAACACCAGATTTCATGAGTGCTGCTGGAGGTTTGAAACTGGTTGCAGGCTTTCCATCTTGCCAGGTAAAATCTCGATTGCATGTTGTCATGTCGTCCAGTGGTGGCCTATCTGTTGGATATTCGTATGTTGGTTTCATTGCAGTTCTCGGTCGGATATCCTTCTTTGTGTAATCAACCTTTGTTGTTGTCTTGCCATCCATTGGTGCTGACGACAATCGGAATGCTGGCGCTGGTGGATTGATAGGCTGCGTCCGAGCACCGTAGTGACCAGGGAAATCCAACTGATGTGTAGATTTTGAAGCCATTTTCCCATCAGTTGCCTTCAGTGAGTTATCAGGTTTCATGCTTTTCACCATGGTGTCGTGCAGGTCCCATGGAATGTAGGTGTGGTTGTGGGTTGTGCCATCATCAAATGGACCCTGGCTTGCTACATATTTTTCCATTGGTTTTGCTGTTGCAGCCGGATTAGTTCTGTGTGGTATATAATCATAGGTATAACTTGACGTCTTCTCGACGTCTCCCTGAGGTTTCCGATACTCTTCCTTCTCTCGTTTGCTAGGTGGTTGAACTTGATGTGGGATGTATGTCATGTTGTTGGTTGTTTTCCCCTCAACTGGCTCGTTGGAAAACTTTGGAGCACCATCAGGTTTGATTGGCATGGTACGAGGTACAGCTACATTGCGATATGTGTCACGGTATTCTGAAAGAAGGCACTTTGAACGAGGTCTGACTTGGACGTCAGGATGGTGAACACATTTGTGTCTCCTGGAAAGAAAAGGCATGAAATTTAGTTGTACAAAAGTAAATCATTAAACCTGTTAGTATTTAATTGCTATGTGACCATTACAAATTGAACAACTTTATACATGTACAAGAAAGAAGATGTTGATTATGTATACATGAAAACATTTTTTTGCTGAAAAACTTTGTATATAATATAAATGTATTTCCCAAATGAAAAATTACACACGGGATATCATGTTGCCAAGACAACGATACAACATGCGAATTATTACCCGTGAAATCTTCTATAATCCCTTCTAAGAGTGAACTGTATACATATAATAGCTATGTCAACTTTCTGTAAAAAACGGACAGAACTAATACCGAAAAAGAAACATATTCTTAGCAGAAAACTCGTATCATGCACTAAAAAGGTGCAAGAAAATTTACAGCCACACGTAAACTTTGCCGTCCTTGTTTTAGGTTTAACATTTAAAACTCGTGCATACGCTTACAGCAGTAAAATCTCTTTTAAAACGAACGTGAAGATAAGAAGTTTGATCAGTGTAGTGCTTTATAATGGTTCAGATATCGCTCAAACCAGTATTTTTTTTACGGATTTACATAGTGGTCTCAGTCGAAAGACAAACAGCCGAGTGAAACAGGAGTATTTTATTACATGCATTTCGCTTACCCGCATGTACAGATCTGACATATACAACGAGTGGCCATTGCTTGGAAGCTGAGAAAGATCCAAGATTTTTTTCAAGGAAAGACAGAAAGTTGTCTTGAGACTTGAGCTTTACGGGCGTGTTGTACTGTTTCTGTTTATTCTATTTTGAATTCATTGTTTATATAGAATGTAGTTGTATCTTGTTGCCATGCGACGCCATACATGACGACGCGTTACCTGTTCGGAAAACGTCGGCTAACGGAAGTTCTCGAGTCATTTCATTCTCTTCTATCCATCCAGTTCCCTATAATAGGCTAAGTTTGTGGCGGGAAAATTAAAATACTATTAATTTTTAATTAATAAGGTACGGATTTTTCGTTTTATTTTTTCTATTTTTTTATTAATTAGCATGTGGTAGTTTGTAGGTAAAATAGTTGAATGTTTATAATATTTACGAGAAGTTTGAATGAGTTTTTAAAACCAGAAGAAGAGTAAAAACGGATAAAACTATTTTTTAACAAAGTTTGGTTACTAAACGCAAATTATTCAAGTGATTTTTTTTTAAGTCGTGAAAAGTAATCAGGATTTTAATGAGCTAGTTTAATAGAATATTTTGCGTCTTATGCTTACCAAGTTTTAATAACCTTTCGCAATTTGAATAGCCATTGGAGGGGGGGGGGGGTCAACCCTCTTTGTAAGTCTGTGTTGCGAGATCTTTATGGTTGTGCACAATATGCTAATTTATGCATAGTCTGCTTGTAGATGTGTGTCATAAAATATGTTGTATATCGATTTTAAATTTGGCAGAAGAAATTGTCAAGAAAACTATTTTGATGGACGCCACACGGCTTGGGTTGACGTTTCAGGAAGCTCAGGCAGTTCTCAGAAATATACGAAATAGATACACTGAGGAGAACAATCCAAGACTTCTGAGTGGATATGAACATAAAATCAGAAACGGTAATTTCAGGTTTAAAGAGATTTGAAAGAAGAAAGAGGATGTTTTTCAAACACGCTGTTTCTGACTTTTATATAGCACATAATCTTGAACTCAATTCCGGTGAATCGCCTTATTTCGGCAAATCTCCAAATATACTTCGAAAATCAAACTATTCTACATCGAACCGAAGTTGCCAACCTTCAACTCTCAAATCCAGCCACGTGGAGAGCAATCTATGTCCTGGAAATGGTATACTTCACTGATTGTTGCTGCCAAAATTTCCACCGTGTGACCTTTGTCTTGTTTTCTTTACCAGCATTGAAAGATTTCTTTCATATTTCCAGAAGTAATGGTATTTGAACATGATCATAATTCTCCAGATGGTTTTTCTTGGGTCAATCAACAGTCCTTGCGTCAAAGAGAAAATGCGGCAAATACTACCCGTCCTCCACTGTTAGCTCCCTTAAAGAAGCAAATGAAACAAAATCCTCAAAATATAGACCGTTCTAATTCATCTTCAATAGCAAGACGGCTGAGAGAATTTAACCACCCACTCAGATGCGAACAGTAAGTTCTATCTAAGGGAAAATTCTCGGGAACAATTCTTTAAATCAACTGTTCATGAATGCAACGTAGCTTGCAGTAGACGAATTACATTGGAGTATAAAGTTTTCAGAATTGCACGGCGTTAAGACTGTTCTAAATTGACCAATTTTCCTTAGGAAACAGCAAGGCCAGTGCAGTATTACTCCTGAGCAAGGTATGTATTTCCCGCTGCCACTAAGCGTTGTGTATTTAGAGACAAAAAGTTCATTTTTGTCTTTGCAAAGGCGTCGATACAAGCAAACTAGCCAGTTCTAAACCTACCAAAACTGGGGAGACACAGCCAGTGAAAACGATCGGACAAGGAAGTCGACCAATCACCGAGTCTGGAATGAATAGCTTCAAGCCACAGTCGAAAGGTGAAAAGCGAAAAGAGCTCTTGAAAACAACGCATCATGCTGGAAACCAAACGGATATAACTTCATATTTACCAAAAGTTAAAAACCAAAAGAAGAGCGCCAAACTAGACCCGAGAACTGGAGATTGCGTTTCAGGAAAGCTTGAGAAAGAGGGTGCAAGAAATATAAAAAATATGAGTTTTGAAGACAGAGAATTGATGAAGAGGAAAATTTTTGATGCAAGTAACATTGCCTGTACTTTGATATATGCGGATGGCAGCACTTTGCTACGCCCTGGAAAAGCTAAGAGTCTCGTAAGTATTTTGACGTGCATTGCCTTAGGTTTCGGCTCTCTCCATGTCCAATGAACCTATAGATTTGATTTCAAACTCGCATTTTGAAGACAACAGAATGGGAATTACCACAAATATACGCCATGACCACAGTAAACAACATTCTTTCTTAGGTGAAGACGGCTTGCCTCAGTTTATCAGAAAACGCGGAATGTTCCTTGGGAGAATGTTCCTGTATCTTGTTTCCTTTACCAGAGGAAGAGAGCAGTTCTGAATACTATTTATGGTTAAGGTTAGCAACCAACTCTGATACGAGAAGCACGTATTCTGCAAATGACTGACACGTCGGTTTTCTCCTTCTTGCTTTCAGAGATTTCTTTTTCAATTTTATGGTCAGTCGGAGCAATAAAATAATATATGACGCACAGAAATTCATCAAGACATTGTTGAAAGTTTTGAGCAGTAAAGATCATTCTGGTATGAATTAAGGACCACCTCGGAAGGTCGAAAGGTTTTCTTGTATGATTTAGATAGCTGTATACCATGGCTTTGTACTTTTTTGCGTTCGTGTGGTTTGTTTCAAAAGGACGACTTGATCACCAGATGCATTGCTTAGCATCGCAGCTTTTTGTAAAGTCATATTAATCTCTAAAGTTTATCAAGTCTCTTTGCCACGTAGTTTGTTTCCATTGGCGATGTTTTGATCCGAAGATTGCATCATGGTTGCTTGATCCAGATCACCCTCCGGAGCACTTTGACGCACTTCTGCGCGCTAGATTTGGGAAAGAACGTCCCAACAATGTAATCCAATTACGATTTTTAATTTATGTATCAAGCTTGAATTTCATCTTCTGAGCATACTGGATCTTCTCCTCTTTCGTAGAAACTGGATGAAGTATGTAAAGCGAATAAAGATATGTTCTCCCTTTTGTCTCTAATGCCTGACATGTTTCTGGCTCTCCAGGTATGGATGCATTTTTACCAAGATTGTTAATACCACCCTTCGGGTAACGCCCTTTTTATATTCATTGCAGGAGAAAAAGCTTTGGGAACTCTTCTCTCAAGTGGAAATGAAAATTTGTCCAATTCTTTCAGGTAATTTTGTAATTCATGGTTAAAAAAGGAGGAACCATGGCTTATAGTTATGATTGTAATAGATTGATATTCTCTCGTAGTGATGGAGCTTGTCGGTGTTGAGGTTGATACGACTCTTCTTCTTGACTACGGAAAAGTGCTAGAGGTACGTCACAGAGAAAATCTGACATACCATCCGGTATGATGTTGGCGGTACAGAAAAATAACTAAAATTTAGTTGCTTTCGCTGTAGAATAAGATCAAGATCCTAGAGCAAGAGAGTTGCCAGGTATTTGTATCATACACGTCAAGTTTGATGAAGAAGATGGACTAAGGCAAAGAGTCTAAAAATATATTTTATCTTTAAAGAGTGTTGGTCATGAATTCCAAATGAGTAGCACACAGCAGCTCAGACAGGCAAGGCCCGCTTATTTAAAACTTACGACATACCGACCATTGGGTTGTGTCAAGACATTCAATTTTACACTCTTTCGAAATTCATTTCAGGTTCTTTTTAACGAGCTACAACTGGACAAGAAGGTTCAAAAACGGCTTGCCAGAACGCAGATTAAAAACTACAAATCAACTTCAGAGAGTGTGGTACTGATTAGTGTATTACACTGTCTTAAGCTTCCCTGTTGAGTCACAGTCTTTTATAAAGAAGCTTATCTCTGCGCAAAAAACACGGTCCGACATCAGTGTTTATTGTTCTCCCTTGTAGCTTAAGCATCTTCAAAACTTCCACCCGTTGCCTAAGATTGTTTTAGAATACAGATCTGTGAGTATGATAAAGAGCTAAATTTGACTTGTGAGAGAATTTCTTATTTGCAATGCTTAGGATATTCGTTTCTCTTGTGATTTTGTGCAGGTGACGAAAGTGAAGTCGGCTTATGTTGATGGGATACTAGGTTTTCTTCAAGATGTGAGTGAAGAATGTTCTCTAAAATCTGTTTTTTATTTAGTTGAAATCGAATGGACTAATTCCGACCACCGCCCATGTAGAAACGAAAATATTTCATCTAAATTTTCTTCCTTTTTCAGGATATTTTGTGTACAAACTGGTACGTTCTAAAATATAATACTTAGTGTTTGAATTTTACTCATTTAATGGAGGAGATATTTAGATAAAAAATTCCAAATTCTAGGAATCAAACCTGTACTGGTACTGGAAGACTAACATCTACAAATCCTGTGAGTGCATATTTTTCCTCGTAACTCTTAGGATTAAACTCAAAGTTTTCCTGTATATATTATTTTCATCTGAGATTACTTATTGAAAAACCAAATCCGTTGCTCGTGTGCTGTTATACCAGCACTTTTCACGGTGATTTGTGTTTTTATTTGAAGAACATCCAAGCCATTCCAAAAACTCAATTGGATGTAACTGTCGGTAACTAAATCATGTAATATCGCTATAACGTTAGGCCTGTATACCTAATCAATTCTTGAAACTATCCTTCCTGGGAGATATTTCATTGATCTACCATTATAACTATAGGAAAAGAATTGGAGAGCATTTCTATCATTCCAAGAAAGGCTTTTAAAAGTCGTTCCGGATGGTCTTTTGTGTCTTCTGGTACGACATCAATATGTTTTAGGACTTGTCTTCTTGAATCCGCATTGCACATCTTTACGATGCACTCCGAACACCATATTTTTGGCTACAGATCATTCGGTTTCATTACAGATTTCCAAAGTATCGAACTTCGTTTACTTGCTCATTTTTCTGAAGATGCTTTACTACTTCACATATTCAACGAGTCTGATGATGACGTATTCGTCCAACTAGCATCTATTTGGTATATGTGTTGCAACCTTTGAATTTGATATCCCAGCATTACCTTTTGCTCTATAGTCTGCGGTCTGCCCTCAATCTTCTCCGCTTCCTCTTTTCGTGACTATCACCATCATTTCATTATGTTTATTTTAATCTGCAGGTTATCAGTGGACCCTAAGTCAGTTCGGAGCGAGGATAGAGAGCGTGCTAAAAGAATAGTTTATTCTGTTGTTTATGGTGTTGGTAGGTCGCAAATTTTGTGGTATCGTTTGTTTTCATCGTTAGTTGAATGTCATTTACCCAGCCATGTGAAATTTATCAGATCAACTGGTATATATCTCAACTATCCAACCTTTTCAAGTTTATATATCCATATCAGTGAATGTTTTCTATTGTAAAACGGATTATTTAACTTTATAAAGGGAAAGAACGATTGGCAGAAACATTAAATGTTAGCGCAGATCAGGCAAAGTCATTTACTACAAGTTTTCTTGGTATGAGTTATTTGAAATAACTATATTTTGGGAACATTGTTTGGATACACATGCTGATTGCGTGTGCGTAGTGATAACGTATAATAAGAACTGTTTTACTTTGATAATCTTAGCCACGTTTCCTGGATTGAAGCTATTCATTCAAAGCTGTATTGCCGAATGCAGGAAACAAGGTAAATGGAACGGTATACTACAGTTACGAACTAAATTCCGGTGGGCGTTTATATCGTGATATATTGGCAGCTGAATATACTACGTAGATACAGTATTCCCCCGCTAACTCGAACTCGCTTAACTCGAACTCCTCGCTAACTCGAACTAAATTCAGTTCCCCTTGAATTTGATAGTGTTTTTTATAGTAATTTACTCCGCTTAACTCGAACTCGCTTAACTCGAACTCCTCGCTAATTCGAACAAATTTTGTTTCCCCTTGGTCAAATATATCCGGTTAACTCGAACTTTGGTGTCGAATCATAGATCATCAAACTTTAAAATGTGAGAAGATAGAATTTTGACAACTGGAAACTATCAAAATAATAACAAGTTAATCAGTGTATAATTGTATATAAATGCTTATAAATTTTAAAAGATTTTGTGTGGTGCTAGGGTCGTTATTGATGTAACTTTTTTAGTTCCTTTTGTATTCTTTTGATCTTTTTAATTTTAAAACGTCGTCTACTCTCGCTGACCATTCATATTGGGAGGCCTGGTATCCCTTGAAGAATGATTCGATTGGATTTTATATCTTATTGTATTACTTATATAATAAACGTAATCTGACACCAACTCCGGTTAACTCGAACCCCCAGTAACTCGAACAATTTTTCTTTCCCCTTGGAAGTTCGAGTTATTGAGGGACTACTGTACTCTTCTTTTCTCATTCTTAATAAACACCCACAATTTCTTTCTCAACTTCCATAGGTTACGTAACCACAATCTTCGGGCGTCAGCGCTTACTCCCGGGAATAAATTCCAATGACGCGCAACTTCGCGCTCAGTCAGAAAGACAAGCTGTTAATTTTGTCATACAAGGTACATGATACATCATTCATTTCTCAGCCCAGAAACATGCCTGTCACTATATGCATGCAATATGATCCCTTTCTCTTTGAACTTTTCCGTTCAGGCTCTGCAGCAGATATTTGTAAGATGGGCATGATTTCGCTTGTGGAATCATTAGAAAGTAAGAATTTGAAGATGAAGGCAAGGTGCGGTATATTGTTTAAGATTTTTATTTCATGCGTATGGTAATCAAAAGCCAAGGAAGACGATAAATTTGTTTTTCTTACGACAGACTACTTATTCAAATCCACGATGAGCTGGTCCTGGAGGTCCAAGATGATTCTGTTGAAACTGTGAAAGGTAAAGTTATATCTTTTGTATAAGTTACGATGTAAAACTTTAAAAAAAATAGTTTATTTTGTTATTTTCCTATCAAGAATTAGTCAAAGTCATTCTGGAAGATACGAATTCACTTTGCGGAGGTCATATTAAGCTGAAGGTATATCTTGCCTTGTTTTAGTTTATAAAATTCCAGTACTTTTAGTCTAAAAGTACTGAATCAAAAGGACTGAATTCTTTAACAAGCCTCAATCAGTCTTATCATTGAATTCTATTCAATAAAATAAATCTCATCAGACTCATCTTTAGGTTGGAATGAAGGTGTCTGTAAGTTTTGGGAAGACGTGGGCAGATATGAAACCAGACTTCGTTCACTGATACCACAAGAAGTGAAAGTACCAATCTTGTGTAACTCGGGGATATGTGTGCGTCTGTTAAAATATTTTTGTAAAGGTTCTTTTTTTGGATTAGTGGTTACAACCACTTACAACCACTTGTGAAACAAAGATCTGCACTTTTAGTTCATGAATTGAGGAAAGTATATTGATGGAGCGTTTTTTCTATACGCTGTGTTGTTATAGTTACAGAATAAACCGTTATGCACACCGTTTTGCAACTCCCCCTGAAAGAATCAAAAAGAGATGCTTACATCTTGGAAATACGGGGGGGACAAAAAGGAGCTGGGAGGGGTGCGTGCGAGTGATATGCATATGTGATTGTGGGCACAGCTGACTGCACAGCGGAATCTTACATGCTGCGGAAAACTTTGTGTAAGACTCACTCTTTCGACAAGTTGATTTGTTGATCTCTTGGTCATCAAAACAACTGTACAGTGTACAATATTTTTATTTCATTACAAGCGCCGTTTCATCCTATTCGACCAGTATAAACACATTTTTGAGGTGGGTTAATTTAATTTATATTTCCTAAATATCTTCTAGACTGATGTGTGAGATACTTTTCTTCTGATCGCAGATTTTTTGTAATAATATTTCAAAAATTGTAAACAATTAATCGATTGAACAACCAGGCTTCTGGGAAAAAAAGGCAAACGCGCTACGTGTACAAATGAACAGCATTTATTTCTATCTAAATTTTTAGTGGAATTTTATGTTTTGTATTCAATTTTCAGGCAGCAGATAAATTGTGATTCATAGTTATTTTGTGACATAAATTTTAAAAAATGAGAAAATACAGTTAATATAAATAGTATGCACGTATGTCGCAAGACTTTTATATCTTGGTTATCTTCTAATTATCACCTGATTTTGTTCTAATTAGGTAATACTAACTAATTAAGGGCAATTTGATCCAAGGTTAAAAACGCAGGAAATTAGGGGTTAAAAGGCTAGGCAATGAGGAACAAATAGGACTAAAAACAGGAACCGGGAACTGCTACCTGGTTTCACTTTTGATTTATGCTAAACTGTTTATAATAATTGTATTGCTATTCCTGGTATTGAGCCAGGAAACCAGGTTATCATTTTCTGAGATATTTAAATTCTCATTCTGAATTTTAATTTTATATTTTAGTGTTGTTGTACATTTGAGTGTTGCAAAATCTGTCAGTAATGGCAGAGGCCCCTCGACTTCCAGATGGGAGAATTGATCTCGATCATCCAAGATATGATCAAACCACATTTTGGGGCAGAGCTAAACATTTCTTTACGGTAACTGACCCAAGAAATCTCCTTCACTCCGAAGCTGAGCTAGATCGCTGTAAAAACCTCTTGCAGAAGTATAGGTAATTCTATATTTAATATGGTACCATAATCTAGTCAATGGGAATCTACTTTCTTTAACCAGCTTGGGAAACTTGAGTCTTGACTTTGAAACTTGAGGAAACTTGAAACTTTAGGCTATAGGAAAAACACTGGTTCACAACTGATCAGGCCTTTGTTATTTGTTAATCTTCAGGGTGAAACTTGAACCACCTGGAACAACAGATGAAGACATATGGTATGCAAAGAAAATCTATGAGTCCGCATTTCATCCAGAAACTGGGGAGAAGATGTTTATTGTTGGTCGAATGTCAGCTCAGGTTCCTTGCAACATGACAATAGTTGGTTGTATGATGACATTTTACAAGTAAGAATATTTCTGAGACCACCCCTCTTTCTTGGAACAACCATCAGGGTTCTAGCTCAGTAGAAACAGGTACCTAGTTGTTTTCAAATTTTCATTGGCAAGTGCCTTTGAAAACACTTGGCAAGTAGCTAGCAACTTCTTCCAAAAATCCTCCTGCTTCTAATTCTGTTGAAATACCTCTGATGTATCTTTAAATTACATTTTAGGACTACTCCTCAAGTGTTGTTTTGGCAGTGGATTAATCAGTCATTTAATGCCATTGTGAATTATACAAATAGAAGTGGTGATAGTCATATCACTAATCAGTATGTATCATAGTACACTACCTGATATTTGTATTTATTGATAAAGTAGTTATCATTATCATTAACTAAAGCTTGCATATGCTACACCAGGCAACTTACCCAAGCATATGTGGTTGCAACAACCAGTGCTGTCGCAGTGGCAGTTGGTTTGAACTCATTAGTAAAGGTACATAAAACTAATTTTTATCTTCGCTGTTCTTCAATAATACTAGTATCCAATTAGATTTGATGTGTATTTCAGAAAGCTCCACCATTGGTTGGTAGATTTGTTCCATTTGTTGCTGTTGCCTCTGCAAATTGTGTTAACATTCCATTGATGAGGCAAAGGTAGAGTTTTACAAGATTATCTTCAAATTATATTTGTGTAATACTACTTTATGTTATACCAACTATATTTGGGGTGCAAATGGTTTTTCTAGAGAGCTTAAGAATGGTATTCCGGTGTATGACAAAGAGGGAAATAAACTAGGAATTTCAAAGGTATTACATGATGTTAAATCCTAGAATATGTGGAACAAGTTTAAACTAGTTTTATTTACATAAAAATTATTTTTTATATAGTATGCTGCCAAAATAGCTGTCCCCAGTGTGGTTTTATCGAGAGTTATAATGACAACACCTGGAATGGGTATGTTATTCGACTGCTGCCAACCTTTTGTTGTATACTTATTTTGTTGTATAAACTGCATTTTTGCATGAGCACAGACTCAATATTTTTTCTTTTACAGTAATACCACCTTTTATAATGAATCGTTTGGATGCTACCCAATTTATGAAAGTAAGTGTTGCATTAGGTTTTTTTTACCTGGAGCTAGTTTCAGCAATGGTAAAGAATATAAGTTTGAGTCTATGTTCATTATAGAGATTACCATGGACTGCTTCTCCAATACAAGTATTCTTAGTTGGCTGTTGGTAAGGGTGTTGTTGTGCTTTATTGCAATTTTGAGTTTTCTAAGATGCAGTTGTGTTATATAGACATTAATTTCACTTATATTTTAGCCTTGTGTTTGCCACACCAATGTGTTGTGCAATATTTCCACAAAGATTGTAAGTATTTTTTCAAACCAATTGATCATTTGAAAAGAAATATATTGTGATCCTGAGTTTTTTGTTTTCAGTTCACTAGCATTCAATCACCTTGAACCAGAGTTGCAAGAAGAATTGAAAAGAAAGGACCAAGTTTATGATTATGTGTATTTCAATAAGGGACTATAATTTTTTAGCAGATATGTCAACATGTATTTAGGCTTTCTGTAATGTAAAAAAATGGAATAAAATTGTAGGATTTCTTTTGCAATTTACTATGTCTGATCTCAAAAAATATTTTGGGAGGACTAAATTTATTGCGGAAATCATGATAGCAGACTGAGGGCGTATCAATGTGATTTGTCTGATAAGGAAATATTTGGCGCCATTTTTTTTTTTGTACCACTGCAAGCAGGCAGTAATAGGATTTTTAAATGCAAAATTTTGTCATCTCGCGATTTCGTTCATTTCTTTTGGTAAATTTTGTGGCTCTTAAAAGAGCCGGTTTTTTTGTTGTCTTTAGGACTTGATTTAGGCACGTTCGCCACGGATTCGTCGAGCGAGCTGGATGTCTTTAGGCATGATGGTGACTCGTTTGGCGTGGATAGCGCACAAGTTCGTGTCTTCAAACAGACCAACAAGGTAAGCTTCGCTTGCTTCTTGTAAAGCCATGACGGCCGAGCTTTGGAAACGAAGGTCGGTCTTGAAATCTTGAGCAATCTCACGAACCAACCGTTGGAAAGGCAGTTTGCGGATCAGAAGCTCGGTGGATTTCTGATAACGACGGATTTCTCGAAGGGCGACAGTTCCTGGCCTGTATCTGTGAGGTTTCTTCACACCACCTGTAGCTGGGGCACTCTTACGAGCAGCTTTCGTTGCCAGGGTCTTTCTTGGTGCTTTTCCACCAGTTGATTTACGAGCGGTTTGCTTGGTACGAGCCATTTCACGATTTAAATCTTGCAGAAGTAGAACTGAAGAGTAATATTTTCGAAGGAGACTTGGAAAATAATTTCAAAATTTCCGCGCGAGCTTTTATAGCCAAATCGGAAGTAACCCTTGATTGGCTAATTCTTCCCCAAGAATTGAGTTTTAATTGGTCCACATAGATGCGATATTATTGGCTACTGCAATAGGGCGTCTGATTGGTGCAGGAATAGCAATTTTGATCCTACAAGCTTTTGCAGCTATAGAGAATACAAATTGAACCATACATTTACATATACTCATATACCCACACTATATTTTTTATATTTCATATTATTTTGATATCAGTTGGGGTTTGATTTGAAAGAGTTGCTTGAGTTTTTTCCAATGCAGACAAAACCCAAATTTTGTCTTTGCATTCTCTTTTTGATAGTTTTAAAATGGAAACTCTTAACAATATATTTTATTGATTAGATGTGATGGAACAAGTGCTGAATAACAGTAATGAATGTGATGATTTTAGATATATCAATGTTTTCAGCCTCACTGGAATTATTAGTCTATTACTTTTCATTGCATTTCTTCCCCAAAGTATTTGCAAATCTTTCCCCCCCCCCTTCTGTGGGATGGTAACTACTAAATAAATTATTAAAAAATTGATATCAATTTTATTTGAAATTTATATAAAAAAGACAAAAATAAAACCAAGATCATAATTCTTTTAAGATTTCAATTCCTCATTGCATTGAACTTTTGAAACATGTGAAGGGGGGTGACTTTCTATTTTTAGTCAAGATGGCTGCTGCAAAGAAGGCTTGCCTCATAGTTATCGATGGATGGGGTATTAGCGAGAATACAGAAGGTAAACATAACAATTTCTCTAGTTTCCTTTGCGTATTTACTTTCCATAAAGAGCATAAAATAAACTCTAAACTGTTAACGTTTGTTAAAAGTTTTGGCTGATTGACAGTCCTTCTGCCTCGTTTTTCATAATAGGTCAGATTCTTATATATGTTATGTAATTTTGCTTTTTTCTTTTTTTACGCGAAAATTCTTTTAAGTGAAAATTATGAAAGTGATTTACTCTGAAGGAGTGATTCTACGAAATTAAACATATGATTGGCCCCAACACTGACCTCAGCTAAGCAAGAATTATAATTTTGAAATTAAATGTCAGACAACTGACAACTCAGACCATTACTGTCAAATGGTTGTATAACTTCCAGCTGTGTAAGGGTGGGTTTCTACGTGCAGAGAAAGAGTTTGGTAGTAAAATATTTACATATTTTCTTTTGAATTTAAACAGAATAAATAAATTAATTCAGCTGGAGTGTTCTCATATTTATATCAAAAGAAAATATGCAAATATTTCACTAGCAATCCCATTTCTCTGCAAGTTAAAATCCAGCCTATCTAATAATATTGGTGTATATCCATTTGAAAAGATAGACAAAAGACTTGATTTTAGAAAAAATATCTGTCACTAGGAAATGCAATATATCATGCTGATACCCCAGTTATGGATGCATTTTCCAAGAATGCCGACCAGTACCTCACACTTGATGCATCTGGATTAGCAGTAGGACTTCCAGATGGTCTCATGGGAAACAGTGAAGTTGGTCATCTTAATATTGGTGCTGGTCGAGTCCTTTATCAGGTACATGGCATTAAACGAAATATACATATATTTTGCTACATAAATATAACTCAACGCCACACTCAACCTCACCTGATATAGTTTTATATTTGAAATAGGACATTGTTAGGATCAATAAAGCAGTGCAAGAGAAGACATTAGTGCAAAACAAGAACCTAATTGCAGCTTGCAATAAGGCAAAGAATGGAAACGGAAGACTGCATTTTCTAGGACTTGTAAGTAACCTAATTGTTAGGAAATGATGAAGTGGTAAGATCAAATATAGAGAAGAAGATGAGGTAAAAAAAATTTCATGGATCTAAATGTTTTTTCTTAACTTTATTTACTTTCTTAGGTGAGTGATGGAGGAGTCCATTCCCACATAGATCATTTGTTCTCATTTCTTGAATGTGCCAAGGAGTTAGGTGTTCCAAAAACATTTGTTCAATATTTCGCTGATGGTAGAGACACTCGGCCAACAAGTGGAGGTAAGTGAATCTTTTCTATTCTAGACCTCGTTTTCTGAACCTTACAATTAATACGTCTAAACCATTCAGCAGTAACCTATGTACAGCAAGTGCTTGACAAAATAAAGGAACTACAGTACGGCTCGCTAGCCTTGGTTGTGGGGCGGTATTATGCCATGGATCGGGACAAGAGGTTTGAAAGAAATAAGATTGCTTTTGAAGGAATGGTTCAAGGAATTGGGGAAACTGCAACACCAGATACAGTTATTGAAGTAATTTTTGAATACATGTCATAATTATGTTAATGAAATTTAAATCTATTTAAAACCAATAGAAACACAATAAAAACATTAAAATAGAGAAAACAGTCTTGAGAGGGACTAGCTGCTTCAGTGTATAGTTTTATTAATCCAAGTTGGTCAGTGACTTCTAATCTCAGTGGTATATTTTCATTACAAGGTAATAAAGAAGCGTTATGATGCGAAAGGTGATGACTGTCAGACAGATGAATTCCTAAAACCCATAATAGTTGATCCTGATGGACGTATTCAAGGTACCGGCCGTATACCAACACAAATAACATAATTCGAGAATTGATTATTTTTTCATCAGATTCAGGTATTTCAGTTTTAATAATAACATCTTTAGATGGAGATACACTGGTTTTTATTGATTTCCGAGCTGATCGAATGAGGCAGATTGTCGAAGCATTTGGTATAAAACCACAATTTGAAACTGATAAGATACCCAAAGATATTGTAAGTAAGAAGAAACTGCCAAGAGTAGCAAAAAAAATTGATATATGTGGAAGTTTTCAGAGAAAGATGCTGCTGCCTAAGACATGTCTTTGTAAAATTATCTTATAGAGTGTAAATATAATGACGCAATATAAAAAAGAGTTTCCATTTCCTATTCTCTTTCCTCCTGAAGTTCCTAAGAATGTCCTTGCAGAGTGGCTCTCTGTGAAAGATGTTTTACAATATCATGTAGCAGGTAAGACAAAAATGGCTTGTTTTAGAAAGCTACATATTGTCACCACAGGGTTGAAAGATATTTTATTGGGCTTTCATTTGACAGGAGAGTTTTGTGGGAGATCTTGTAGAACTATATACAGTTTTCTTTTGCTTTGCCTTAGAAACAGAGAAGTATGCGCACGTGACATTTTTCTTCAATGGTGGCCAGGAGGCACAGTTTGAGGGTGAAGAGAGAAAGTTGGTACCATCACCGAAAGTGGCAACCTATGACTTGCAACCTGAGATGAGTTGTGATGGAGTAGCTAAAGAGGTAAACATAAGAATATTTTAAAAAATACGAAGTCCAACTACAGTTTAAGATATTTCTTTGTTGATGCTATTGCACCCATCTATAATAGTGGTGTGTGTGGGAGATCGATGAAGGGAAGATGAAGGGAAGATGGAGGAAGATGATTGGAATTGAGACAAAGAAGAGGGGGGGGGGGGTGGGGAATTCTCATGAACACTTGCATTTCTGTAGTGATCCCCCCTCCAACAAAAAACTGTCTCAATGGTATTTGTGATTTTGTGTCTTGCAGGTTTGTGGTGGAATACGATGTGGGAAATTTCCATTCGTAATGTGTAATTTTGCTGCTCCAGACATGGTCGGTCACACTGGCAAATATGAACCTGCTGTGACCGCATGCACAGCTACAGGTCAGTAGAAGTCTAGAAGATAGAATAGGGTACCACATCATTATAACCTTATCGGAACACTACATGTCTGCCAAAGGTCCCTCAATGTACTTTTATTAATTACCCCTCATTAGGCTTTGTGTGTAGATAAGATCTATCACAAGAATGGGAAAACACTGATCAAAACAGAAAGTTATATTTTCATGTTAGACTTGGCAATTGGCAAAATCAAGGCAGCCTGTGATGAAAATGGGTATGTTCTGTTCATTACTGCTGATCACGGAAATGCAGAGAAAATGTACAGTGATCAAGGTGGACCTCATACAGCGCATACAACTTACAGAGGTAAGGAGGGTCCTATATTGTCAATATTCATCAATTTAACTGAACATTTAGAACTCATTCAAGTGAGGTAAATTGCACCTAAACGTGCAGGTTTGCGCATTGGTAGTTTAGAATTAAGTTCCTCTTTGATCTTTTTTTCACTTTAGTTCCACTAGTAATGCATAACACAGATCTCAAGCTAGCCTGTCCTGCAGGTTATAATGCTGCTCTATGCGATGTTGCTACCACCATACTGGATGTCATGGGCATTGAACAACCACCAGAAATGACAGGCCGGTCTTTACTGGTACATTGAATAGAAATCTGAAAGCGACAAACATTAATGTAAAACTTTCAAGCTTAGGTTCTATTAATTTAAAGGCGAGTGTTTTATAAGGCTTCCCAGCAACTTCCCTGCTTTTGAGGAATTCTGAAAGGTTTTCCTGGAGAGCCACTTTAATTAAATCAGACCCGGCTAAGGTTTCTTTGTTTACATTATATTGGTTTTCATCACACAAGGTTTTTAAATCCACGTGGCCCGGAATTTTTTTCCTGATTTGTTAACTGATAGCTGCACAGCAAAAGTTCGTAATTATTTAAGGTGCAGGACACGTCACATGTACTTTGAAGTAGCTCAGTTGGTTACTTAAGTTGAAGCAACAATGTTTCGCTCTGTGGTAACTCGTATTTTCGCTACATCTTCGAAGCTTTCCCGTCGAAATCTGTCATGCACTGCTTCGTGTTCTTCGCCGTTATCAACAAAAGATATTTTTAAACGAGAGCAGCAGTACGGGGCGCACAACTATCATCCTTTACCGGTGGCATTGTGTAAAGGAGAAGGGGTCTATGTCTGGGATGTCGAAGGAACACGATACATAGATTTTTTGAGCGCTTACTCTGCCGTAAATCAAGGACATTGCCATCCTAAGATCATCGACGCGATGAAAAAGCAAGTCGATAATTTAACGTTAACATCAAGAGCCTTCTATAACGACGTTTTAGGTATTAAGTGTTTTCCTGTAATTGTAATTGCTGTTACTAATCTTGAATGCAGAGTTTTATTTAGGTATTTTGTACATTGTTGTACACGTATTTGTTCATTTTTCAATAGAAAATGGCTAGTATTTTACGAATATAACGTTCTGGGCAGATGTTGTTATATATATTGTGTATATATGGTGCTCTCATTTAAATCTTGTCTAGTGTTTCAATCTTATGATCTCTGAGTGTAGCAATGGTCACATCAATCCTTTAACCATACCAGAATATTTTCATAGGTGAATATGAGGAATATGTGACTAAGCTTTTTGGGTATGATAAAGTGTTGCCCATGAATACTGGTGTTGAAGGAGGGGAGACAGCCTTAAAGTTAGCACGAAAGTGGGCGTACAAGGTGAAGGGTGTACCTAAGAATCAGGCGAAGGTTGTGTTTGCTGCAGATAATTTTTGGGGCCGTACATTAGCAGCTTGTTCATCATCGACTGATCCAGATTGCTTTGAGGATTATGGGCCGTACATGCCAGGATTTGAGATTGTGCCATATAATAATTTGGAAGCACTAGAGGTATGGTCTTTTATATTTCTTAAATTCTTATGGATAAGAGAGATCTTTATCAATACCAGGTACCATGTTACTAAACAGCACATGAACAACCTAATAACTAACAGTGGTTTAAACATTGACTATTAACACAAGACTATACAACTTCATTTTAATTGTTAAAGATGGCAATTCAAGATCCTAACACTTGTGCCTTCATGGTTGAGCCAATTCAAGGAGAGGCTGGAGTAATAATACCAGACCCAGGTTATGTGACTGGTGTAAGAAACCTCTGTGATAAACACAATGTCCTGTTTATTGCTGATGAAGTTCAAACTGGATTAGGTAGAACTGGAAGGTATAGCTAGCTTGTTGATGTTGAATGTAGCTAAAGAAATGTTAAACCACTGACACTTTTAATTCTTTATCAGACGCCTTTGTGTTGATCATGAAGGAGTTCGTCCTGACATTGTAGTTCTTGGAAAGGCCCTTTCAGGTGGATTATATCCGGTAAGGTTTGCATGCCCAAATGTTCCTTTTACATTTCAAACCAAGAGGGAACTTTCAACATGGAATAAAAATGTAAAAGCAGAAGTTTGGTACTTGGTAGCATATGGTTATGAGACAAAGGCAATTAGCTAGTAAAGCTACTATATACTTCTTTAGATTTCAGCTGTGCTATGTGATGATGAAATCATGTTAACAATTAAACCAGGAGAGGTTAGTCTGTATATTTTGTTCATGGCTTTTGGGAAGGGATTGAAAGGATAAAGAATTGATTACAGGTTGATTAGTGTTTAGGGCATCTTTTTAAAGGCCTAGAAAGTTTAGTGTGGAATTCTTATGAAACATGATGGGCTAATATTTTTGCTATATAATTTCAGCATGGCTCAACATTTGGTGGAAATCCTCTTGCCTGTAAAATTGCAATAGCTGCCTTAGAGGTTTGACATCATTTTGAAAACTCAATGTTGTAAGGATGGACTTACATCCCAATCTTTTGCAGGTTTTGGAGGAGGAAAAATTGGCAGAAAATGCCACAAAAATGGGGGAAATACTTCGCTCCGAGATTTCTTTGCTTAATCCAGAGGTTGTGGTGGATATTCGTGGAAAGGGTCTTTTTACTGGAATCACTATAAAAGAAATGAAAGGTATGCCACTTTGTTAATAGTACTTATTTCTCTTTGTTATACATAATATTTCATGGAATTTCTGTGTTGATGTATCCCTATCCTATGACAACTCCTCACTTTATATATTGTTTAGGCATTGATGCCTGGGAGGTTTGTGTACGACTTCGGGACAATGGTCTTCTAGCGAAGCCAACACATGGAGACAAGATACGTTTTACCCCACCTCTGGTTATTAATGAAGAGCAAGTTTTTGAAGCTGTGGATATTCTGAAGAATACCATCAATTCTTTGTAGCCTGACTGAACAATATATTCTCTGTATATATATAGTTATAGTATTTTGAAGCTTAGACAAATATTCTGACATTTGTGTGTGTGGATGGACCTCAGGGACTTTATTGAAGTCAACTGAGTCAAAAATTATAAAAAATATACAATTTCATTTTATGATTGGAACACAATTTATGTAGAAAGTCAGAAAGATAAAAAGCAAATGGTTAGGTGGGAAGGGGTCATGGAGTTTGATCATATCTCCTAGCAATTAATTAATATGCCAAAGTTGCAAATTTGCAATCAGAGAATAATTTTGATAAACAGATTTAAACCTACTGGTTTAAGGATTTGAAAGGTTTCCTTGGTTTGGACAATATCGAGTTATAACGCTCATTTCTTTTACAAATTTGGTGGCTCTGAAAAGAGCCGTTTTGTTTTGTCTTTAAAAGACGGTATTAAATTTATTTCTTTGCAGATTTCTTAGCGGCAGGCTTCTTAGGCTTCGCAGCTGGTTTCTTTCCAACTTTCTTTGGCGTTGGTTTCTTTGCAGCCTTCTTGGCCGGAGATTTTCCTTTGCTCGCCTTCTTCGCTGCAGGCTTCTTCTTTGGTGTACCAGACTTCTTAACCGATGCCTTTGCTGTTGGTTTCTTTGCAGAGGGTTTCTTGTCCTTCTTAGCTTTCGTTGCCTCGGGCTTTTTCGGTTTCGTGGGCTTCTTCACAACCTTTGGTTTTGCTAGCTGAATTGCTAGCTTCTTACCCGCGTCGGTCAATACGTATTTCTTCGCTCCCCCGGTACCAACTTTGACATTGCCTTCTTCGATAAGTTTCTTGATCGCTTTTCTCACTGAAACGCTTACTCTCTCGGATATGCCTTCGTGATTGGCTTTTATGTATTTAACAATCTTCTGTTGGCTACAACCGCCGCGTTCTTTAAGTCCGGCGATAGCTTTCAAGACCATTTCCAAGTAAGGCGGATGAGAACGTTTTGCATTTGTTGGATTAGACATCTTCAATACGCTGTGATTAACTTCTTCGCTGTAGCTAGCTAAGAGCCTAAGAGAACGGTTAAATTAATGTTGCAAATGAGGACCACACGAAATTGTAACTTTTTGAAAGTTGCGCGTGGTTATATGATAGCTGGCCGGACCACAACGTAGAGACTTGCAACATTCAACATGGTGGTCATTTTACCATAAAATTGTGTTTCTTCATCGACTTGTAGTGTCGATTTTCGGACGAATTTTTCGATTGTATGCATAGTCGGTTAGGTGAAAGTATTTATACGGACTTTGAAATTAGTGATTTGTTCTTTATGGAGCTTTTCGGCCGAACGCAATTCTTCAATTTTCTAAAATATATAAAATATTCAGTATGCATTAGCCGCATAGTTGATCTTTAAACTGTTCGTCTCGGTCGATGTAAGCTTTGTTTTCACTTTAAATTCTACCCACTAAGAATTCCGGTTATAAACTTCGATACCATAAAACGTTATTTTTGAATTCGCATTATTTCAAAGTGAATTTCCTTGTTGAATTGTAGTAGAAAACACAATACGTGTCCGAAGTTTTGTATCTCCGACAAGCGAAACCGTTGCAAGTTCAACCAAATTTTGAGGTTTCCAATGCTTGAAAAACTGTGCTTACGTGCGCTTGTACTGAGATGAGAAAATATTACGAGACAAATATTCAATAAATAGACTCGGCTGGCCGGCATGGCGACAATGATCATATATTCTAGGTCTAGGAAGCTGTGTTAGTGAGCAATATAGGTAATATGAATAATGAACGTCAGGGACAGGGTGGAATGCAAAGTCTAAGACCAAAAAACCAATCCCCCAAATACAGAACAATTAAAACCATTTATACTTTAATTTCATGTAGTGAAATAAGTTCACGCTATCTCGTGATTTCTCGTCGTCGATTATGATAAAACTAGCACATTACATGAAGTGACCATCGGCTTTATTTACAGTATAACAAAGTATACAGACATAGTCAATGACGAACAACGGGGCTTGATTTGATGGAACCATCGATATTAATGACAGGACTGAGTGTCATATATTGAGTGATAGTATTCAAACAAAAAAATTCTGTCACTTGGCAAATATAAGGTGGATATAATATAGATAAAACGTTTACAATATTGCAAGCATGTCTGTGCAAGCTTTTTCTATTATGAGGATCCAAAACCCAAATTACTAACTACCCAGTTACCAGTTACCAAGGAATCTCTGTGAGTACACCAATCACAGAGCGCCATTTCTAGGGCGTAACAAATTTGAATACCAATATTTATCCAATCAGATTATGATTTCTTTCTTCTAAATCAACCAATAATGATGGTGCTTCACAAGCCTATAAAAACAGTGGCGCAAAATTTGATTTCATCTTCATCAGTCGATTATCGTCAGAGATAAATATTTGAAGTAGTTTTGACATCGTGTTAGAAATTGTATTACAATGGCTCGTACCAAGCAAACCGCTCGTAAATCAACTGGTGGAAAAGCACCAAGAAAGACCTTGGCAACGAAAGCTGCTCGTAAGAGTGCCCCAGCTACCGGTGGTGTAAAGAAACCTCACAGATACAGGCCAGGAACTGTCGCCCTTCGAGAAATCCGTCGTTATCAGAAATCCACTGAGCTTCTGATCCGCAAACTGCCTTTCCAACGGTTGGTTCGTGAGATTGCTCAAGATTTCAAGACCGATCTTCGTTTCCAAAGCTCGGCCGTCATGGCTTTACAAGAAGCAAGCGAAGCTTACCTTGTTGGTCTGTTTGAAGACACAAACTTGTGCGCCATCCACGCCAAACGAGTCACGATCATGCCTAAAGACATCCAGCTCGCTCGACGAATCCGTGGTGAACGTGCCTAAATCGAGTCCTAAAGACAACAACAAAAAACCCGGCTCTTTTAAGAGCCACAAAATCTAAAAAAGAGTAAAACCGAAATCGAGATAAATGCGAAAATTCATTTTAATAGTGACACACAGCATCACACATAAGAAAGCACTTTGTAATCTTACACCATTTGTAAACAAATTCCCCTAGATAAAGGATTTTTAATTAAGGAGTCCTCCAAAGTGCTTCTGTCTAGTTGCATTATAAGCAATATCCCAATAAATTTCCTAAACCTGGGGCAATATAACCACATTTCATTCCCCCTAATTCAGTCTGCGAGCAGGCTAGACAAATAATTTTTTATAAGGAATGCTCAGCAGTACTCGTCACGATGACCACCCTATTTTATTTAATATATTTTTATGTTTTATCTAATTCTCTCCTGACGTATGAAATGTAGTCTGTCATTGATAAAGCACCATTGCAATAATTTTACTTGATTTGCCCCCATATATATTGCAAGTCGACAAACAATAAAACATCTATCAGAAGTAAACTAGAAGCGGGAAAGTGAAGATATTTCGTCTAGAATTGGAGCAAAGTACAACATATGTTGCAAAAATATAGTTTGTGTCTACATCAGCGGTCATGCTCGTAAGAGAAATATGTATAAATCAACCTTCTCTGAATAGGGTAAATATTGTGAAATATTTTATTGTCGACCATCGCAAGGAATATGGATCAAAGTGTAAATGCAAAACTTTCGTAATTATAAATTTTAATATCTAAACCCACCAATCGTATCACAGAATGCGAACCAATTAGAAGGCGATCTTTTTAACCAATCAGGAGTCGTCTCTTTTATCCAATCAAAATCATTATAGTATCGTCTTCGAAGACGTCCGGCCACTTCAGAGCGTATTTATTCCCGCCAGTAGAAACGGAATGACATCATTCTCGCAAACTCGTCACAAGAGGACTATTTCGTATCGAAGCTAAGAAGGTAAAATGTCAGGTCGCGGTAAAGGAGGCAAAGGTCTTGGAAAGGGGGGCGCAAAGCGTCATCGTAAAATCTTACGAGACAACATCCAGGGAATCACGAAGCCCGCCATTCGTCGTCTTGCTCGTCGTGGTGGAGTTAAACGTATCTCTGGTCTGATCTACGAAGAAACTCGTGGTGTTCTAAAAGTGTTCCTTGAGAACGTCATTCGTGATGCTGTCACATACACCGAGCACGCCAAGAGGAAGACTGTCACAGCTATGGATGTTGTCTATGCCTTGAAACGACAAGGAAGAACCCTCTATGGTTTCGGCGGTTAGATATTGAAGAAGACAAAGACAATTTAAACAAACGGCTCTTTTAAGAGCCACCAAATCTCGCAAAAGAATATGAATTATAATCGCGTTCAAACTACGGAATATCTCCTCCAGGTTATTCTAACAATTCCGACCTTTGCATTTCCAAATTAACAACTTAACGGTGTTTCGCCTGCCATGAATTTTATCATTCTGTTACTCTCATTTTGATGACGCTTGTGAATATGCTTCGTATTTTATTGGAAGAACAGATACTTTTATATTTATATGAACCTGAACTCTAAAGCATGTAGCATTGCCTAATACGCTTTTTATCTGATGACCATGGCTGCTTCTTTAGCTTCTAGTCGAGTCTTAGTTTGCAAGAATTTAGATTTGGAAGAAGGAAGGTTTATAAAATATGTTCATAATCTCCAAACTATAACTTATGTAATGAGAATCACAGTGTTCAATAAATGATGAACTTACAATTTTACTTTTAGTTGGAATTTGAATATAATATAACGAGGCTTGTACAAGTTTATGACTATGCAGTAAAACTGTCCTTGACTTCGGAGTAGAGATGTAAAATATTTGCAGTGAGGGGTGTGTTGCATTCCGTTTGTACAAACCATTCACTTCGTCTTTGTATATATTTTAGTCCCAATTCCTGGAACTCACCAACCACAATGGAAGTGCCGGTGTGCCTTCGCTAATCAATCTGTTAAAATTTTTATCAATTTTCCTTTCCAAATTGCTCTTGCGGCCTAAAACTACAAGATGAATTTAAAAGATTATGATGCATAACTTGTTTTGTTTCCAGAAGTATTTGTTTGTTTCCACTTTCCATGCAGAAGTATTTAATAGTGCACATGAAATCTTGTACCAAACACATTGTCACGATATAAAATGACTACAAGAAATCGCACAAGCAGATACTTTTTTGTATTCAAAAGCTCATCGTACTCTTTGAGTGTGACAATTGAAATTATTAATTCACGTTAAAACGTGGTTGAGATCTCCCACTCGATGCATAGAGTTTGGATGTGAGTGCGCCTTTAGAGATCAATCATTTGATTCATTTCCCAATTATAGATTGGTATCCCGTTTATACGACAATGAAACTGTACGAAATGACCTTAAACGAAGTGATTCCAACTCGGGTACTTGCTAACCTAATGAGTTTATTAAGATTTAAGAAGCTTACGAAATTTGAGCTTCATTTGGGTAAAAAACTTGTAATTGGATCACAATGAGCAGTATTCAATGTCATAATAACAAACTAAAAGCTCGTACAATGAAACCCTCTGCCTGTATAGCTGCATCGAGTGAACAATACAGCGGCAATGTTGAGAGTAAGTTCTATAGTTGCTGCTTCCTCGACTGCAGCCATGAACACAAGTTACCCGACTGTCGCTTCCCACCCCCCACGAATACTACGCAACAATGCGTGGAATTTGATATATGTATGGTAATGATCTCAGATGATCTTTCAGTCTGCAAACAAATCTATTATAATGTAAACTCGATCACCATGACTTGGTCGCCATATAAACGACGCTTAATAAAGGGCAATTACTGAACTACAAAGGTGTTGTATTATGGCCGAAATAACTTAAAAAAACATCGTTTTCTCGGCGTGATCTGTCCCCCACTGTCGAGGTAGGGTATTCTATTCATGTATGGTGTAAAGGTGTAACAAATTATTTCAAAACATGTCGAATACAAGCCCACGAAACGCCGAAACATTAAGGAAATTTCAACGGGACGTTTCAAGATTGTTGACCGACACGGACAGGGATTATCTTCACGACCTTCTGAAAGATTTTCATTCCAGTAGGTCGGTGGAACATTTGGTTACTAGCTTAAAGTCATGTCTTGATACGCCGAAGAAGCTGGACTTGCTCGTTGACATACGTAACCTATTGCCAGCCAGCTACAGAAACAAGTTCGATAACTTAGCACCGTACAATATGATGTCAAAGCCATTCCGTCCTCCTAGTCAAACAGAGATGCATAAATCACACAGCACAAACTCATTGAAGTCGCGAAGAAACGGTAGCTTTCGTGTGGTGAACATTCAGAAACCAACTCCGGATTCTAGTTTGGGATTCTCGATACGTGGCGGTCGGGAGTTCGGTACTGGTGTATATATTTCTAACGTTGACGAAAACACTATGGCGCTCAAGGAAGGATTGCAAGTTGGCGACCAAGTTATCGAATGTAATGGTATCGATTTTGAAAATATCACCCACAGTTCAGCGGTCAAGTTGTTATCTGGTATTAGTAAAGTGAAGTTGGTAGTGAAATCGGAAGGCAGAGTACCTGAGTTTAATGAAATAAAAGCTGGTTTTTCATGGTGGGTTTTAAGTGATATTTACTCTAATCTTAATAAAGATAATTCAGCTTATGTTTGTCAACGCTTTGGATTGTTAATTATATGGCAGACAATAGGCGAGGCAGGTTATTATTTTATACTACAGGCAACCATACGCTCAATTTATACTTCCCTCCTGCGTCGAGGCTTGAACCTGAATGAGTGTCCTACGATTTCACCATGCAGTACAACTGTTGCACGCAATCTCAGTCAACAATTCTAAGTCAAGTTGTGGTATCTTTGCAGGGTTGATAGCCATGGTTTACCAGTTGAAGACGTGGTGAACGACAGTGATAATAGCGATAAGGTGAGGGGTTAACTTGCATTGGGCATATCCGGTGTAAAAAAACTAATATGGACACTACACACTTGCGTGCCAACTGCCAAGTCGTGACGAACGTGCTTCTGTTTTAGGCCAGTAGCGGGCATCATAGTCTCGAGTTTCAACCGAATATCAATCTTCTGAATAGTGTTGACGAGAAGAGGATAAATTTTGTAATTGATTCTGAAAACAATGAATTTATTGGATTCAATATCCGAGGGGGGAACGAGTATGGATTGGGGATTTATGTTTCAAAGTAAGTTTGGTATAGAAATTAGACTGATTAGCGCTGTCAACGATTTGTTTACGTATCAATTCCGCTAGCAATCTTTGAATATCATTGCATTGGTTATAAACTTATAATCACCAATAGTTTCATTATTGATTATCACCATCATCAATACATTGATCTTCACTGGTTACCTCAGAATTGAATTGGCACTACATATATTTGTTACCATAACGCCATTACTTTATTATGATGAATGAACTGAGATTTCAACGATAACCAAAGGGTTATCATCAAAATCTCAATTGATTATTCATTACAATGCTCTATATATAGAGTTGACAGAGGATCCGTGGCAGAGCACGCTGGACTGCAAGTTGGAGACCTCATACTGAATGTCAATGGTACAAGTTTTGAAAGTATTGCGCATCAAGACGCAGTTAACCTTTTAAAATCCCAGCAGCACATCATAATGACTGTGAAGGTACGTCACAGACTCACTGATCCCAGGTTAGCTGCGCAGAAAAGCGGAATTACTCTACTGAGTCGTTTGCGGTCAAACCATCCCGTTTCTAAACTTATCTCCAGCTCTCCCGTTCAGGTTTGGATCTTTTTGTTTTACAATCAAAATGTACACGCTTACAAACTGCTCTTATCAGGAATTGAAGAAATCGGCGTGCTAACCTGTTAACCCACACATCGCTTGATATTGACTGACTTGCAATTTCAAAACTCAACACTTCAGTCTATAGAAGAAGGAGATGACATCAGTCAACACTTTTCGTGCGCCTAAACTTTAAATTTCCCAATTTTTAGAATCACGAAGTTAGAACGTCTAGTTCTTACGCATTCTAATTCTAGAATCTTTTTTGTTTTTTTAGTCGGTTGGAATATTGCCTGCCTCACAACTGTTTTATTCCGATGTGTGTTGGATATACCCAGACGGGACCAAGGCAAATGGTAAATGATGCAGTATTCTATTCCGACCCCTTTAACAAGTGAATGCAACAATGATTTTCCACAGTTAACATATCTCCTTTTTCTGTGATAGTTTCCCACGAGACAAGACAGAATATGTCGACGCTATCTGTACCAGATACACGTTTTCAAGAAGCTTTGCGTAGGGACTCCAGTGTTCAAGTAGACTTGATAGAGCTCAGTCCATCTCCAAGTCTTTCAAGATCAGAGATTGGCATTCAGGCCGAGATCCCTGTGAAGGATATACAAATTGAAGGTACACGACAAGTAGAAGGGTAGTGAAGGTCAAAAATACCTAGCTTATTAGACATGAGGATATTAATAAGTACTACAAAAACAGTTTCAGAATCTGAGCTATATGAATCACCCAAAGAAGCGTTGCTCGAAAAAAAGCCCGCGAAAACTCCACAAGAAATATCCATCCAAACTGACCCTCCCCAGGCTTCTGAACCGAGTCCTTATGACGTCATACAAGCGGCCAGTCCTTACGTCACGAGTCTCAACACGAAGACGGCGAAGCTAAAAAGTGGCGATGATGAATCAACTGGAAGTGTGAATGAGCGCAGTTCGAACGGAAGTGGCGTGAGCGGCGATGACTTGCTGAGTCGATCAGGTGACAACGAAGATGGAAGCCATAGGAAGAGCGATAAACGAAAAGTGAAAAAGTCCAAGTCGTTCTTGCAAAAACAAGGGGACAAAATCAAAGCGAAGCTGAGCTTTAGGAAGAAGGGAGATCAGAAGCATAAAGTCCGCAAGAAAGGTAAGCAATGAGAAATTGTTCCACTCTTTCTCGCGAGAACCACCTTAAATAAAGGCCCTAGCATTCCTGATGCTAAATAGCGCATAATAAGATGAACTAACTGTTCTTTCAGGTTACAAAGAAATTATGAATCATGTTGATAACAGATGTAAAAACCTTCTTGACGACATTGATTATAACACGGTCATGACGGAAATTAAATCGGTAAGAAAACATTCATGCATGTTGAGACACCAGTACGAAACCCAATGGAACTTCTGTTACCATGGGAAGCGAGATCTACTTCAAGCATTCTTTTCTCAAAATAAAGAAGAGAAGAGTGTCTGTTTTGACGGAGGAATTCTCGTTTTACGGAGAATGATCCGTGATCTACTCGATCAGAATTCCTGATTACTGTAGCGACGGAATGAGCTGGAATTAAGAGTAGTTGAGAATATGATGGTCAGAAGCCATGGTCGGTTACAAGAAAGAACTGAAACACTTTCTTTATTAACTTCTCTAGTATAAGGACCAAGAAGTGGATGTCGAAGGACTGGTGAATAATTTGCTGGTAACACTGGACACTCCGAGAAAGGCTATTCTTCTCAGAGATATCAGGCATGTTGAAGCGATTGCAATCTTCAGTCATCTTTTCAAAACCGCTTTCACTACAGCTGTGTGCTGGCTGAACTCTACAACTATTTTTTCTGGTTTGTAATTTCTTGTGCGTCTGTTTCAGGGGTGTTATTCTTCCCTATGACGTCGGAAGATTTGATGCGATGATTTCAAATCGGGAGGTTGAAGCTCTGGAGTTTTACGGCAATAAGGCCCCAGGTACATTTAAGAAAGAAACAAGTTATCCTTTTGAACCTTCAAGTGCGAAAAGCTGTCGCTTTCTTGTTGTGTTTCTAGTGCCAACGATCAGATATTCTGCTAAAATTCTTGATGCAGTTTTGTTGCACCGATGAAGGTGCTATTAAATGCACTGATTGTTAAATGCGATAAAAAATTTTAATTTGACTTTTGTTGTCTTATTTTGTTAGCCTCTCCTGTCCTGGAAGACAATGAAATCACTACAAAACCAAAGAAGACCTTGGTTGAAGCTGTGCAAGGTAGATTATAGTCTCCGTGGAGAGTTTAGTGCTGTATAAGATACGTGGATCATAAAACCTATATTAAAGAGAACTAAGTGTGTTCGTTGGACGCACTTGTATTTGGCTCTGTGGTGCATGAGTGGAACGGATATGGTAGTGTATCATCGTATGGTAATGGTTTCTTTCCTCATTCTAGACAGCCACGGTAATTTCCATCTCCGTACTCGAAGCGAAGCTGAGCAAATCAAGAAAACACGCGAGGAACTAAAGAAAGAACGTCTTGCTTTAAAAGTCCAAGGATCGTCTATCTTAGAGCGAGAAGCGAAGAAGAGTGGACACGATGATAGAGCATCTTGGTCAAATGAAAATGCTAACAATAATATTGAGATGGGACCGATGATACAAGGTAAATAGAAAAAGAACTGCTTTGATTCAAGGAAACTCTATAACAATTAGATCTTTGAAGCCTAGCAATAGTTGTGTCCAGTTTTGTGGTCCACCTGTAATTCACACAGGCTAAACACGGTCCTCCTGGGCTATCTAGAATTGGGCTAACAAGGACATGAGACATAGCAAGCGAGAGCTTGCAAACGGCTTGCAAACATTCATCCCGGCGCAATAATGACGCGACCGAGCCAGAATTAAACAAGTGTGAATTGCACGAATTGCACTAGATTTGACAGGATATTACCTCATACCAGTGTAATCAAAAGGGAAATTAAACTACAATATGAATCTTGTTTGGTGATATTTCACGCTTACACTAACATCCAAACTTTATGTATTTCGTTCAGTTATCGATGCCTCGGCTGATTCTCCCCACCTCAGCACCTTTGGCGTGCCCTCACCTCCTCCTATATTGACCCCAGACCTCCCAGCCGTGGAGGTCGACGACACGTCCTTCACAAATCCAGCGAGCAGTTCAGAGTTTGGAAGTTTCCTGACAGTCCCTGATCGAGTCTCTGTTGAATACAAAGAAGCCGAAAAGCAACAGCTCAGTTTTGAACTGCCGAAGATACGCACAAGCATGGGTAGGTGCCGGTTAGATTAGGAAGAAGTGATCAAGGGTGTACGTGATTGGTGTCTGAACTGCATGAATTATCATCTTACAGGAATCAGTATCGGGGGGAAGCGCTTCACGCGCTCAACCTGAAATCCGCATCGAGAAGGTCTTTCCAGGTGGAGCTGCTGATGATGACGGAACTTTGCAGGTACACAAATTGTTGATTCAATCCACAAATAAAAAAAAACAGTATTAAGACCCAAACGTTTAGGCTTGATTGAGCTATACTTGCCTTTGATTTAATTTCTTTAATTTCTTTTTTAACTTTGATTAAATCAGAATCAGAAACCGACTAAAACGTTGAAGAATCTTGGCGCTATAGTCCTCTGTTTAAACTAATAAATTTAGAGTTAGTTAGAGACACCAATGAGAAAGAAAGGGCGCGAACTCCGCGAAGTCATAGTTCTCGTAATGAATTTGTCGTTTCTTCATTTAAATGATTTAGCCTGGATGGGAGCTTATCTCAATCGATGGTGAAAGTTTACAAGGTGTAAGTCATTCTGAAGCTGTGGATATCGTTAGAAGGGCATACAATGATAAGTCAAAAAGCGTCATGAATATTGTTTGCGTACCAAGCTAACTTTTAAGCTACATTTTCGATAACTCGTCGTCGTTGTCTACCCGTTGTTAGCAACGGCAGTCTTCTTCAACACGCGGGAACGTGAAGACATGCAAGTATATTACACGGTTGTGGTGGAAACATGGATGGCCATGCAATGTGGATAGCCATTTCAAAAGTTTTCCCTGTGAAGATGCCGTAACTGGTTGGTGGTTCCATTCCAAACACTGCGTCGTATTTTGTGTGTGTTATAATATTTAAACGATCTCCTCTATGCACTCATAATCATATAATTTAACCATATATAAACTAGTTAGAAAAACAATTTTTATGACGATACGATATATATAAGCCCCGTTTACACTACAGTCAATTTATCGGCACGGCACGGCTAAAATTGGTACCCGTACCCGTACCCGATTTTATTAGTGTTCAGGCTAGCAAAACAAAGGCCGAGGCGCCGAGCATAGATGAATTGGGTACGGGTACCCATTTTAGCCGTGCCGTGCCATTAAATCGAGTGTAGTGTAAACGGGGCTATATATATAGGAACGTTAATGCTATATAATTTTATGTGTACATATTAATTAATTGGCAAGTATCTATATAACTTATTTCAGGCGTGAAGGAAAGATCTGTAAGTATTTTATGCATTAAACTATTTGACTATTTCGGCATAGTACAAAATATGGACTGGACTGGACAGGTTCATATTTTGTTTCTCTGGACTCAAAATTGGACTCTAAAATTTCAATAAAGCGTGTTTCAGACTTTATTATCATTACTGTTAGATTCAGAATGACAGAAACGGACATATTCCGAGCAATTATCCATCTTGGCACTCTTTCAATTGTTCATTTAATGAAACACAACAAAAAACAAGCCGTCTGTGTAGCATGAGTTCACCTGCCACATCCATAATTATTTAACGAAGTAAATATAACATCGTAGAGGATAGACATTGAAAACGAGGTTCATATAATACCTCTTTGTTTCATACGAATAATGTATATGTGTCAATTTTTTATTTATTTTTGATATTAGTGTAGGATTTAAAATTCTTACTCTTATAACCTTTATCATATTATAATAAAAGTTTACTAACTATAATTTTTTCTTTATTATCTAAAACCTTTCAATTAAGACCAAGCTCTTGTTGAATATGTAATTAAGGGCTGATTACATCGTGTTTTTTCAGCCCGGCAAACCGGGGCCAAAGTATTTTTCAATTACATGGAAAGTTTCAGCCCGCGGGCTGTGTTATGACACGTCAGAATTATTTTAAAACCAGGGCTAAAATTTCAGCCCGACTGAGTTTGTAAAGGCTGGTAGTAGACCTGTTTCGATTCTTCGAGCGCTTTAAAATCCTGAGTCCATGCAATTTTCAGTCCAATTTTGAGTCTAGAGAAACAAAATATGGACCTGTTCAGTCCAGTCCAGTCCAGTGCATATTTTGTACTCATATTATGTCGACTATTTTTATCAGGTGATCTAACAGCCAGGTGATAAAGCTGGTGAGCGTTGTGGATGGATTTTTCACGCAGCCTCGTAATTTGACACCAGACTTCATATTTTTTCTGCACTATGTGGGTGTCACATATCACTTATGAATGATATTCTCAGCTTTTCATCCTTTACTAAACGCGAATTCGCAGATTCGCAATTCGCATTTATATTGCTCCAAAACAGGTTCACTGTATTAATCTCAGGCAGATCCCGTGTACAATTTCGAATATAAATCGTCCGCTGATTTATGGCTGGTTATTAACATTACAAGCGATTACTTTGGCACGACGCGCAAAATGAGTCTGTTTGTGTCGTGGGTCGTTCTCGCATGCAGTTTGTTATCAATATCAATATCTTTTGGTCAATGGATAGAGTGGTCAGACTGGTCGACTTGCACGCAGAGGGATTATTGTCTTGAAGGTATACGAGAGCGATACCGCGACTGTGAATCTGGCAAAAGTTGCGTCGGGATTGAAGCTGAATCTGAGATGTGTCCGGATACTTCATGTACGAGTAAGTGAATTTTTCGCAGTTTGTGGAGGAATAAAAGTACTATATCGCTGGGTAGTGGGTAGAGCTATCCACCGGATTGTAGTCAGTTTTTTAATCATCTCAAAACGTTTATATTCCAGTATTCCTGAATTGACATTATGGTTGGTGTGATATCCAATAGGATTTTACCGACCTAATAGGTGTAGATGTAGACAATTCTCTTTAATAATTATTATTACGAAATCTGTACTATTTTCAGGCATTTTACAACGGTTGAAAAACTGACTATCCAGTGTAGATAACTCTGAACTACAGTCTGCGGAAGTCGCACCAATTTTTGGTTGTGTCAAGTGGTTGATTCAAATCAAGGCTCAAACTTTTTCCTTCTTTGTCAAGTGATAGTAGATTATGATCAAATACGCCGATTTCGGGTAGACTCGACCATGGTAAAATACGCCATTTTCCGGCAAACTCGACCATGGTCGAATACGCCATTTTCCGGCAAACTCGACCATGGTAAAATACGCCATTTTCCGGCAAACTCGACCATGGTCGAATACGCCATTTTCCGGTGAATTCGACCATGGTCGTATTCGACATTTTCCAGCTAATCCGATGATACAAGGTAAATAGAAAAAGAACTGCTTTGATTCAAGGAAACTCTATAACAATTAGATCTTTGAAGCCTAGCAATAGTTGTGTCCAGTTTTGTGGTCCACCTGTAATTCACACAGGCTAAACACGGTTCCTCCTGGGCTATCTAGAATTGGGCTAACAAGGACATGAGACATAGCAAGCGAGAGCTTGCAAACGGCTTGCAAACATTCATCCCGGCGCAATAATGACGCGACCGAGCCAGAATTAAACAAGTGTGAATTGCACGAATTGCACTAGATTTGACAGGATATTACCTCATACCAGTGTAATCAAAAGGGAAATTAAACTACAATATGAATCTTGTTTGGTGATATTTCACGCTTACACTAACATCCAAACTTTATGTATTTCGTTCAGTTATCGATGCCTCGGCTGATTCTCCCCACCTCAGCACCTTTGGCGTGCCCTCACCTCCTCCTATATTGACCCCAGACCTCCCAGCCGTGGAGGTCGACGACACGTCCTTCACAAATCCAGCGAGCAGTTCAGAGTTTGGAAGTTTCCTGACAGTCCCTGATCGAGTCTCTGTTGAATACAAAGAAGCCGAAAAGCAACAGCTCAGTTTTGAACTGCCGAAGATACGCACAAGCATGGGTAGGTGCCGGTTAGATTAGGAAGAAGTGATCAAGGGTGTACGTGATTGGTGTCTGAACTGCATGAATTATCATCTTACAGGAATCAGTATCTCGGGGGGAAGCGCTTCACGCGCTCAACCTGAAATCCGCATCGAGAAGGTCTTTCCAGGTGGAGCTGCTGATGATGACGGAACTTTGCAGGTACACAAATTGTTGATTCAATCCACAAATAAAAAAAACGTATTAAGACCCAAACGTTTAGGCTTGATTGAGCTATACTTGCCTTTGATTTAATTTCTTTAATTTCTTTTTTAACTTTGATTAAATCAGAATCAGAAACCGACTAAAACGTTGAAGAATCTTGGCGCTATAGTCCTCTGTTTAAACTAATAAATTTAGAGTTAGTTAGAGACACCAATGAGAAAGAAAGGGCGCGAACTCCGCGAAGTCATAGTTCTCGTAATGAATTTGTCGTTTCTTCATTTAAATGATTTAGCCTGGATGGGAGCTTATCTCAATCGATGGTGAAAGTTTACAAGGTGTAAGTCATTCTGAAGCTGTGGATATCGTTAGAAGGGCATACAATGATAAGTCAAAAAGCGTCATGAATATTGTTTGCGTACCAAGCTAACTTTTAAGCTACATTTTCGATAACTCGTCGTCGTTGTCTACCCGTTGTTAGCAACGGCAGTCTTCTTCAACACGCGGGAACGTGAAGACATGCAAGTATATTACACGGTTGTGGTGGAAACATGGATGGCCATGCAATGTGGATAGCCATTTCAAAAGTTTTCCTTGTGAAGATGCCGTAACTGGTTGGTGGTGTCCATACCAAACACTGCGTCGTATTTTGTGTGTGTTATAATATTTAAACGATCTCCTCTATGCACTCATAATCATATAATTTAACCATATATAAACTAGTTAGAAAAACAATTTTTATGACGATACGATATATATAAGCCCCGTTTACACTACAGTCAATTTATCGACACGGCACGGCTAAAATTGGTACCCGTACCCGTACCCGATTTTATTAGTGTTCAGGCTAGCAAAACAAAGGCCGAGGCGCCGAGCATAGATGAATTGGGTACGGGTACCCATTTTAGCCGTGCCGTGCCATTAAATCGAGTGTAGTGTAAACGGGGCTATATATATAGGAGCGTTAATGCTATATAATTTTATGTGTACATATTAATTAATTGGCAAGTATCTATATAACTTATTTCAGGCGGGAAGGAAGGATCTGTAAGTATTTTATGCATTAAACTATTTGACTATTTCGGCATAGTACAAAATATGGACTGGACTGGACAGGTTCATATTTTGTTTCTCTGGACTCAAAATTGGACTCTAAAATTTCAATAAAGCGTGTTTCAGACTTTATTATCATTACTGTTAGATTCAGAATGACAGAAACGGACATATTCCGAGCAATTATCCATCTTGGCACTCTTTCAATTGTTCATTTAATGAAACACAACAAAAAACAAGCCGTTTGCGTAGATGAGTTCACCTGCCACATCCATAATTATTTAACGAAGTAAATATAACATCGTAGAAGATAGACATTGAAAACGAGGTTCATATAATACCTCTTTGTTTCATACGAATAATGTATATGTGTCAATTTTTTATTTTTTTTGATATTAGTGTAGGATTTAAAATTCTTACTCTTATAACCTTTATCATTATTATAATAAAAGTTACTAACTATAATTTTTTCTTTATTATCTAAAACCTTTCAATTAAGACCAAGCTCTTGTTGAATATGCAATTAAGGGCTGATTACATCGTGTTTTTTCAGCCCGGCAAACCGGGGCCAAAGTATTTTTCAATTACATGGAAAGTTTCAGCCCGCGGGCTGTGTTATGACACGTCAGAATTATTTTAAAACCAGGGCTAAAATTTCAGCCCGACTGAGTTTGTAAAGGCTGGTAGTAGACCTGTTTCGATTCTTCGAGCGCTTTAAAATCCTGAGTCCATGCAATTTTCAGTCCAATTTTGAGTCTAGAGAAACAAAATATGGACCTGTTCAGTCCAGTCCAGTCCAGTGCATATTTTGTACTCATATTATGTCGACTATTTTTATCAGGTGATCTAACAGCCAGGTGATAAAGCTGGTGAGCGTTGTGGATGGATTTTTCACGCAGCCTCGTAATTTGACACCAGACTTCATATTTTTTTCTGCACTATGTGGGTGTCACATATCACTTATGAATGATATTCTCAGCTTTTCATCCTTTACTAAACGCGAATTCGCAGATTCGCAATTCGCATTTATATTGCTCCAAAACAGGTTCACTGTATTAATCTCAGGCAGATCCAGCGTGTACAATTTCGAATATAAATCGTCCGCTGATTTATGGCTGGTTATTAACATTACAAGCGATTACTTTGGCACGACGCGCAAAATGAGTCTGTTTGTGTCGTGGGTCGTTCTCGCATGCAGTTTGTTATCAATATCAATATCTTTTGGTCAATGGATAGAGTGGTCAGACTGGTCGACTTGCACGCAGAGGGATTATTGTCTTGAAGGTATACGAGAGCGATACCGCGACTGTGAATCTGGCAAAAGTTGCGTCGGGATTGAAGCTGAATCTGAGATGTGTCCGGATACTTCATGTACGAGTAAGTGAATTTTTCGCAGTTTGTGGAGGAATAAAAGTACTATATCGCTGGGTAGTGGGTAGAGCTATCCACCGGATTGTAGTCAGTTTTTTAATCATCTCAAAACGTTTATATTCCAGTATTCCTGAATTGACATTATGGTTGGTGTGATATCCAATAGGATTTTACCGACCTAATAGGTGTAGATGTAGACAATTCTCTTTAATAATTATTATTACGAAATCTGTACTATTTTCAGGCATTTTACAACGGTTGAAAAACTGACTATCCAGTGTAGATAACTCTGAACTACAGTCTGCGGAAGTCGCACCAATTTTTGGTTGTGTCAAGTGGTTGATTCAAATCAAGGCTCAAACTTTTTCCTTCTTTGTCAAGTGATAGTAGATTATGATCAAATACGCCGATTTCGGGTAGACTCGACCATGGTAAAATACGCCATTTTCCGGCAAACTCGACCATGGTCGAATACGCCATTTTCCGGCAAACTCGACCATGGTAAAATACGCCATTTTCCGGCAAACTCGACCATGGTCGAATACGCCATTTTCCGGTGAATTCGACCATGGTCGTATTCGACATTTTCCAGCTAATTCGACCATGGTCGTATTTGCCATTTTCCAGCGAATATGACCATGGTCGTATTTGCCATTTTCCGGCGAATATGACCATGGTCGTATTTGCCATTTTCCGGCGAATATGACCATGGTCGTATTTGCCATTTTCCGGCGAATATGACCGTGGTAGTATTTGCCATTTTCCGGCGAATATGACCATGGTCGTATTTGCCATTTTCCGGCGAATATGACCGTGGTAGTATTTGCCATTTTCCGGCAAATATGACCATGGTCGTATTTGCCGTTTTCCTGCGAATATGACCATGGTCGTATTTGCCATTTTCCGGCGAATATGACCATGGTCGTATTTGCCATTTTCCGGCGAATATGACCATGCTCGTATTTGCCATTTTCCGTCGAATATGACCATGGTCGTATTTGCCATTTTCTGGCGAATATGACCATGGTCGTATTTGCCATTTTCCGGCGAATATGACCATGGTCGTATTCGTCATTTTCCGGCCAATACGACCATGGTCGTATTCGTCATTTTCCGGCAAATACGACCATGATACGACCATGGTCGTATTCGTCATTTTCCGGCCAATACGACCATGATACGACCATGGTCGTATTTGCCATTTTCCGACGAATACGACCATGGTCGTATTTGCCATTTTCCGGCGAATACGACCATGGTCGTATTTGCCATTTTCCGGCGAATATGACCATGGTCGTATTTGCCATTTTCCGGCGAAAAAAGTCTGTTTGTAAAACTTTTTGCACAACGCCTTGAAGTACTCTTTTGCTCCGTGCCCCACAATTTCTATCGGCGGCCCTGTCGATGTGTTAAATTGCACCATTCTTTTGTGATAAAATTTCGTCATGTTTTATTGCAGATCGACCGCACAAGCCGGACATAGCGTACGCTGATTCACACTCGTTCATCGCCGAGGAGTGCGTGACAACGAAGAAGTTCCTCGTGAAAGGAAAATATGGAAGTCTGATGAAACACGATATACTTCGGATGTTTCCCAAGGCGAAATCTATGTTAGAAAATTGTTACTATAACTTTAGAGTTACACCGAAGACTTTGCCGGGCGAGAAGAATATCTACAGGGTAAGTACGTAGAAGAAACTAATCGCGTACCAACGAGTCTTCGGAATCAGTAATTTTAATGCTAAGGGGCTGTTTACATGAGCCCGGTTACCCGAGATTCAACGAAGCGTGAGAGGACTTTGAGGTATTGAAATAAGTCTTTATGGCACCAAGCAAGCACATGCTATTTTTGTGGTGATTATACGACTGCCAGGATCGTGTTATCTGCTCATTTCAATACCTCAAAATCATCTCACGCTTCGCTGAATCTCGGGTAACCGGGCTCATGTTAACAGCCCCTTAACACTTAACACTACTTGAATGTTCTTTGTAGTATTGTTTTGAGCCAAAGGAGAACACAATCACGTTGGAGGATCTTAAAAGTATGATCAAAATGGGATCATTGAGATATAAATTCGCCTCACTCCAGTGTCCATTTCCTAGGGCATCAGAACCGAGGTACGTCACAGGTTTTGGCCTGGGTTTTCAAGAAACTGGTCAAGCCTATGGCGTATACATTCAGGTCAAAGCACAAAAAGGATTCAAAACTGTCTACTATAAACATTTTTCAGGGACCTATTCCGATGCATACCATCTAATATGGTCCTAGGATCATACGCATTATATGCACTGCGCTATATCAAGCTTAAAAATGGAGTTGAATCAGTAGATGTTAGCGCGCATAGATACTCTATTGGTCCAACTCGTTATTTCTGAAAGTACCTCATTTTTTGACGGGACGAATTATGTAAGTCGTCACCTATTTTGTACAATAAAAGGGCTGTTTCTGCCTGTTTGGGACAGCAATGCAATGCAATTTCAGCGTACGCATGCGTATCTATTTTTAGAACGGTTGCGTCTTAAGTCTGTATTGTTGCTGGAGGTCTTCCTCTTTATGAAACGTTTTTCACTTTATCTGCTTTAAAGAAAGAAGCTGTTTTGAAGCGAAGAAAAAATAGAATGAATTTTCAAATTGATAAAACGTTTCCTTCATTTCTGCTGAGTCAGTGATATTTGACAACGCTGGAAGCTCGCATTGATTTGTGGGATATGTGTTTAAAACGCAACGTGTTCCAAGATGGCGGACAAAACAACAACAACAACCTCTTTGACTTCCCATTTGCTGTTTCCTTCAAGTGGCGATGGTCTTGATCTGGATCAACCTTTTGCGTTTGCTCCAGCATTGGTTCCCACCTCTACTGCACCAGTCTTACAGCCGTCAGGCGCAAACATCACCCAAGAAATCGATTTAAATCCAGGTATGTGTCCATTTTACCCATTTGACTATTTCATGTTTGACCTTTTCATGACGTTTTATCGAATGTTGTTAGCTTCAGAAAAACGAAAGCAGAAACATACTATTATTAAGGCATAACAGGGAACGTTGGAAAAATGCAAGTAATGACCTCAGAAATGCTCAGAGATGCCCAGAAAAGATGAACATAGCTATTTTAATAATTATTTCATCTTCATAATTCATAAATCATAATGACGTTACAACGATCTGTGTGTAAAGATTTACTTTTTTGGTGAATATTCTAGATGTCTTAGAGGGAGAGGTTGAGAAATTTGTTGGTCAGCCTGTCACTCCACCCACAACCCCACGTAAAGGTGAAGTGACCCCTCAATCTAGACAAACTGGTACCCCACCACAAATGTACAATACACCACCCACCGCAAGCCCACCACAGAGTATATATTCACCAATGGTATGATTTTATTTATTTGTAACTATTAGATTGCCCTACTTCATGGGCTAGCTTTACCTGGATTGGATGATTTGGTTGAAATTTTATCCATATTTGCATCAATTTTTATGCTTAGGAAATGCCACCAACCATCTCATACCAGCATTCACCCTTACAACCACCCATGCCAACCCAGACAACTCCATCAAAACCTATACATGCGGTACCTCCATTCACCCCTAGCCAACAATCAGTATTTCCCCCAGTCCAGCAATCACCACTGCCTCCAAGTCAACATTCAATATTACCTCCACCTATTTCATCACCTTATCCACCCTCTGCACTGCCTTCAACCCCTGTGCAAAGAGCCAAAGCTTCCCCGGTCAGACCACATTGGTTTTACCTAAAAGATGGTAAAGTGTGGACCCCGTTTTCCTGGAAAGACTCAAGTCTACTGCAGCAGAGTTTTTCAAGCCCTTCAAGGGGAAATGATAGAATCATTGCAACAGATGGTGGTCGTTACGATGTGAACATTGACAAGAGAACTAGAACAAGTGTATATTGGAGTGAGCCTATTACAGTTGTTCGTCCCTGCACTTGGTTTTGTAAAGCACATGATGGGGAGAATAAATTGATACCCTACGAAGAAAGCACTGCAGCAAAATTAGAGGTGCAGAACCTTAAATATATCCAGCATTTTGCAAAAAGCTCTTTTAATTTTGGAAACCTTTTTTACAAAAAAAAACAGTTTCTGTTGTTCCACTGTAGTCCACTTTTTAACTGTTTAGTCTTACTTCATGTTACAGCAAGCATACTTGAATGCTCATGATGAGCAAACCTGGCCGAAGACAGTGAACCTTGAGAAAGGGGAAACAGTGATCATGCATAATTCAAACGTCATGGTACACTTCAGTTCAACAACATCAGAAGATGACGATTGGACTGGGGAAGACATAAGAAGCAGGCCCAAGGTTGTCCGTCGAGGGATTGATGACTTCGAAGCAGAGATTGATGATGGTAGGAGGGACAGAAAGAAAGTCTAAAACTGTTTTGAAAGTAGAACAATTTAAGGGTTATCATAAATATCTATCTCTCCTTTTAGGGGAACCATCCCAGATTGATCACTTGGTGTTTATAGTCCATGGAATTGGTCCATATGCAGACCTTAAATTCAGATCACTAATTGAATGTGGTAAGCAAATTTCCACCCTTGCTATATGAGGGCAATTTTCATTGTTATAGTCAACTGTCCAAAATACTTGTTTTGTCTTCTCTGCTACAAGTCTGAAGCTTTGTCAAAGTTGAATGGATATTTCTATCAACCATCACATTTTGACCACATAAGTCTCATAATCTCATTTCTTTTTCACAGTGAATGATTTTCGGAGAGTCTCGTTAGACATGATGGATGGACGTCGGGAAAAGTTGACAGGAAATCAAGACAATCTGGTTGGTAGGATTGAGTTTCTACCAGTGCTGTGGCATGGTGCAGTACATGATGACATGCCTACTGGTGTAGACAGGTGGGTGGAAATACTAACCATTGCCCAGAAATATGTTTTAAATGAATAAATTTAAATAAACAATTTCCTATTTCATCTTCCAATAAATTAAAACTATTGTGCCCTGTAATTATTTTTTCTATAGACGGCTGCAGTCTATCACAATTAACAGCGTTACAAAACTCAGAGAGTTCACAAACAACACTTTATTGGACATACTGTTTTTTACAAGTCCTGTGTATTGTCAGGTATCTATGAACATTATGACTTGTGTTGATATTGGATAGTATTGAGTAAACTTTATATAATTTTTACAGACAATTGTTGATCAAGTTGGCTCGGAAATGAATCGGCTTCTCAGTGTCTTTCAACAGAGGAACCCGTCATTCAATGGCGGTATATCGGTCTGTGGGCACAGCCTTGGTAAGTCATGAACATAATCTAAAATACTACTGCTAGAAATATAAAATAACACAGTTTAACAAAACTATTATAAATGCATGTCACATTATTTTTCCATGTATTAGCTTAATTTTTTTAACACTTTAGGCTCCGCTATATGCTTTGATATACTACAACATCAGGTGAGACCTGAAACTGGTTAAAAGTTGTCTGGCTCTTGACCAAATTGAACATTAATGTAGAGGATTTTCTTAGCATAATGTGAGCTAACGAAAATTGCATATGTTAGCTCCATAGCCTCAAATATTAAGATGGACATGTTTTGCCTAGGGTGACAAGCAGGAACCCATTCAAACTGCAAGAGATGGAAGTCGTACAAATATAGAGTAGGTTTTGGAGAAACTGTCTAAAAAAATCAACAATTAATATAGTCTATTAAGTGTTGGGTTTGTCCTAGCTCCTAATTTTCTTTTGCAAAATTTCCTACAAAGAATACAGAAATGTTTTTTTCATATGTAGAAAACCCACAAATGAGATAACAGGTTCACCAAAAGAGGAATCACCACAAACAACAGATTCAAATAATTCTCCTTCCCTGGAACAAATCCTGCAACGCTTAGGTCTTGAAAACTTCATCCTAACCTTTCAGATGGAACAGATTGATGGAGAGGCATTGGTACGAGTACAGTCTGACAATTTTTCAAACTCAATATTGATCTAATTATATTTGAGTTTGTTTAATTCTTACATTCCCTAGCGAAGATTGACTCTTAATTTGAATGGATGTTTTTTCTTAGATGTTGTGTAGTGAGGAAGACTTGAAGGAGCTCAGTATACCAATGGGTCCAAGAAAGAAGATAATTTCATACCAAAAAGACTTTGCTAAAGAAAAGGTATATCTTTTTATATACATAGAGAGAGACCAGTATCGATCTTGCAGTACCAGTTATCCAGTGTTCTTAAAAGCCTATTTAATCCTTTTTTTCTGCAGGAGGCTGCAAAACAGAGTACTGGAAGCACAAAACCCCCCACAACATCAACGCAAAACACAGACACAGCTGCAAGTACATTCACTAAACCAGAGGTAATTGGGTGCACTAAAGCTCAGCAACTGTTCTTAAGATTGAGAATTCTAATACATAACATATTTTTTTATACCCTAGGTATCTGATAGTCTGCTTGCAAGTCGATCATCCTTCAAAAATCTCTCCCAGAATTCCTCATCAATTGAGGTTGTTGAAATCCTCCAGTATCATCATGGCCAGCAAGGAACAGCAGGCACTGGCCAACCTTATGTACGTTATCCAAAACTGAACTTTGAACCAAGAAATATGTTTGCACTTGGGTCACCTATTGGTCTCTTTCTCACTGTGAGGTAATTTGTTTGCCAAAAGTCATTGTTTGTTTTCTCCAAGCTTTTATAAATGAGGATACATACATACAGGCTGAAGTCTCTTTTCTAGATGTGAATCAATTGCATTATACCAACTGGCTATGCCAAATATTTTTTCATTTCAGAGGAGTTGAGAACATTGGAGCTGATTATAGTTTTCCTACGTGTCCTGGCTTCTATAACATATTCCACCCGGTATGTTAATTATGTCAGATTGTGATAAATCTAATAGTAAATAATTTGTATTAAACTTTAATAGTAATACTGCATTTGTTTCTCTTTTATGTTTGTTAATTTGATTGTTATGAAAGTATGATCCTGTGGTAAGTTGCTAATATACCAGTATTTCATGCATTTTACAACATAACAATAGTGGGTTTCTATGTATTATAGCAAAGTGCCTAAAATTAAATTGTTCTTTCCATCCAAGGCATACAGAATTGAACCACTAGTAATGGAGGGTTTCACGGGTGAACCAGTGTTGATGCAGCACCATAAGGGTCGAAAGAGGATGCACCTTGGTACGAAATATTCATATAAAAATAGGCAATTTACGAGAGTTGGTAGATAGCTTCAAAGTTTGAAGCTTCTGCCTGTAGAAATTAATGTGGGCTCTTGCTATACAAGTTAGCTAGGCTGTTAGCCCCTTGTGTTTACTTGTCTATTTCAAACTGAATTGTAAATAGTGAATGTTTGTTAAGAACTTCGCGAGAATCTATCGAGAATTGGTGCAAACTTGAAACAAAGATTTGTGGAATCTGTCAAAGAAACATGGGCAACAATTAATGACTTTGCACGTGCACACACTGGAGTAGAATCCCCTGATGAACCAGACGGTCCAGGGGTGAGAAAAGACACCTCAGATGCGGAAAGTCAAAGTAGGTTTTGTGGGATTGTGTGTAATATATATGCATATTTTGATGCCAAAAAGTGTGTGCTCGAAAAGGCCAGATTTCAAACACTGTTTCTGGGAATTTTTCTTTGAAGGTGATGTAGAAGAAAAACAGGAATTGCAATCATTCTCCATGGGGTGTCTAAACCGAGGACAGCGTTTTGATTTTGTTCTCCAAGAGAAACCAATTGAAATATTAAATGAATATTTATTTGCATTGAGTAGCCATGTTTGTTATTGGTAAGTGGGGTGAAAGAACCTAACCTTATCTGAGGAAAAGAATTTTTTAGGCTCTTGCTGATTTTGTTCATTGATAAATGGTTTTGTCATATTTTTTTTCAGGCAATCTGAGGACACTGCACTGTTTATGCTTAAAGAAATTTACAAAAATTAATTATTCAGGAAAATGGTGGTAGAGAGATATTAAAATGTTATGTACAGTGGCTGCAGGCTGGGCATTGATGATTCAGTGTTTTGAGTTGTGCAATTTTCTGCAGGTATAATTCAGAGAAATTATAAATGAAGTATAAATAATACAAAATATCCATACAGCCATATCATTAGATCAATGGGATACACTTTCCCAAAGCAAAATGTACATTCGTCTTTTTTTTGGAAAGATACACTGTTGAATTCACAATTAAGAAGGCATACAAATATTTTACAACAGAACTAAAATTTCTATTCTAGCTTTGAGATATGTTATAATGTTTGATAGCAGTTAAAATTCTTCAGCTCTGGGGAAGTTTTGCTTATTTTCATCACTTAATTTCAGCAGTGGTTCTTTTAGTAAAATACTTCCCTGGAAAGCCATCTTTGAACCAGTTGTCATTTCAAAACATAATTTCATTGGATGTTCGTTGTCTTCCCAAGTTTTAACCCACACTTGTTCGTCTAAACATAATTCCCTTGCATAATCAAGAATGATTTGATCTACTGATGCAAAGGCAATATCCTGCCTCAGGGACTTGTATATACCATTTCTTGCACCACTGACGGCAGCGTCAAGCATAATCTCCAAGTAGTTTGCTTGGTTGACGTGATAATAACCATCTAAGTCACTGGGCCGAATTATGGTGTTCCATTCATAAGTTTCAACAGGTATGGTACTAAAAGCTTTAGGAATAAAATATCTTTCCTTGTGAAAAGCAACAGAATTCAAGAAATCCAGAGGTTCTTTTGGTATAACACAAGGCTTCATTTTAACATCGCAGACAACAATACTACGCATATTCCTGCAAAGCACTATGGTACTGGTGTTGTCATATATGTCGAATTGTAGATTGAACGACTTTGTTCCAACATCATGAAGTGTGCATTGGATCTGCAAGTTGTCGTTCGTCTTCCAGTGTTGATAAAATTCTGGAAAAACTTTTATTTCCTGAACCTTTGCAACAGAGATAAGACCATTTTTTTCCAAATCGGCAAATAATCGTCCAACTTTATTGGCTCGCAGATGAAAAGATGCAATTTCATTTAACTGAGGTACCATGTTAAGTGGAAGACGGCCAGCACGATCTGGCATAAAGGGAGTCTGTATTGGTACCATTACCACATTCTTCTTTTCTGCACTGCCAGATTTCTAGAAATAATTTTGAGTTAAATTCACAGCAAGTTATGCATTATCTTCGAGCCTAATGATCTCTAACTGCAAACTGTAGTTTAATAACACCAAATACTACATACTACATCATTGGTTATTGTCACCTAGGATACTATTAAGTAATACTTCATTCTAAAAAACCCTCCCCAGACATGAATTAACGGCTTTTTAACGCTGTTTTAGCGATCAAGCTTTCCTCAGATTGAAAGCAATATTGTACCTACGTATTAAAATCAGTCGAAATTACTTCCCAAGTAGAGACTATAAACAACCTCTTAAGACTTTTTACCTGTGCAATAATAGCTCTTGAACCAGTTGAAAAACGCCGGCAAATTGAAGGCAACAATTGTTGAAGCAGCCTGCTATTAGATAGCATTTTTTCATACATATATATAGTATAAAAAATATAAATATAAACGATTTACTGTTGGACTTTGAACTAAAATTTTGAGTTTTAAATACTAACACTTATAACCACTTATAACTCCAAAACGTCTTTTTTGGCGGTATTTTCACTATTTTGGCGCTTTGTTGGTGGCGACTATCACAAAATGGCGGAATTTTCAACTCAAAGTAAAGTGAAGATTCGCGAGATTGTACAACTAGAAATTGAAATAACAGCTTTAATTCAAGAAACGGCAAATATCACTGAATCACAGGATGAACTAAATCAAGTGAATACCAAAGTTAAGAAGTTGATTCAAAGTTTACGAAGAAAACTTGAGGTAATAATTGCCTGCAAGTTGTGCCTGTGATAAAGTGATTTGATTTTTCGGGTTTTAATAGACCGTATCAATCATATTGGTGTATTTGTTTATGTAGGAGTTAAAGCAAATAGGTGAAGAACAAGATAAAGAAAGCAGTCATGTTAAAATTAAGGAGGAAGTTGATAAACACTATAATAATTTATCAAGGTAGTTATAAAGACTCCTCCAGGTTCCAAGGTCGTGAGGTCAGCCAGGTTCAGCCACTCACCCTTAATATGCAATTTAGGAAAATTTTGAACCAGGTTTTTAAGAAAGCTTGTAAATTGCTAAAGAAACCTTTCAATTACCCAATTTCAGCTTGCAAGGGAATTTGCGTAAAGCAATAATAGACGCTCAAATCTCAATTGAAAAATATGAGAAGTCTCAGTTGATGTCAGGTGGATCCAAAAAGGAGTTACGACAGAGGTAATTGTTACTTTGATTGTGATTTAATTGATACATTTTTTTTTCTGGAATGTCAATTAATAATTGTTCTTGGAATTTTCTCTAATTGGGTTGTTTGAACTTTTAGGCAACAAAGCAAGGAAGGATTAGCTAAGACTGCTGGTGGCATAACAGAAAATCTGATGAGTATTGCTAAAATGATGGAAAGCCAAGTGCAGCAAAGTCGAAATAATACTGAAGTTTTAAGTATGTATATATTTTTACGTATTGTATCAATTAACAACTAGGCGTAGTTGGTGAATTTACCTGTTTGACAGTACAGTATATTCTATAATATAAGACAAAATGACACAGCAAAGTGGCTGTCAAATATTTGTCACTACTGAACTAGCTTCAAGCCTCAAAATAGGTTAACAATGAAATTGTGAAAAATGGTATCATTTTTCAACAACCATCTGATAAAAAGAAAATCTATAATAACCCATGCCATCTATGCATGATAAACTACATAATAAAACTATAATACAACAACACAAATTCATTTTTGTAGTGACCTCGTCAAAAGGCATAACTGATACAAATGAAGAGTTAAAAGGACTGTCTGGTTTTGTGCACACAAGTAAACAATTATTAAATAAATATAACCGCCGTGAAACAACAGACAAATTATTGATATTTTTTGGTTTAGTATTATTTTTCTCAACTGTGTTGTACATAATGAAAAAGAGGATTTTTCCTTGATAAAATTAAATTTTAAAAGCTTAGTGCATGGGCTTCCACAGCTGATTTGTGCTTTGTAATATTTAATACAGTATGCCAATAAAATTATTGGCCAATGACAAACAACCCAATAAATTATTTGAATTGTAATTTAACAGGTAATAAATTAGTCTTAACCAAATTAATGCTAATGCTAAATATACCATGCCAGTAAACAACAGGATGCACAAATATATCCACCTTTTTGAAGGTGTAAATTGCACAAACCAACTCATGACATTGTTTAATAATATACCCACAAGCAAGTGTAATTTAATAACTAAATTATAAGAAGATAAAATGTTATCAACAAAATAATTGTAGCTTTTTATGACATAGTTCTGTGTGCAAAAGTTTCTGTCCATCATTGGTGATTCTGGCATGCAACGGCTGCAACAAGTGCAGCACCTTTGCCAGAGCCATCTTCAGAAAGCATCAGTTTGATATGCTTTCCAGGTAGTAATTCATCCAGTGTGCTTTCCATGTACGTTTTGAACTTAGGATGTTTCTTGAAAAGAGAACCATCAACAGCAATCGTACAATGAGATCTGCCAATTTTCTACAAGGTCAAAAGGTCAAAACAAGGTCATTTAAACTTCATAATTAAAACACAAGTATAAGGAAAAATGATTTCTACCTTCACTATTGCTGCTAGACCAGCTGAAGCAAGACGGGCTGCTCTTTCAGACATCACTTGGCAAATCTGTTTGAGAATTTCAATATCCTCTTGTTTGGGTTGAGAATAACCTAGCTCCTCCAAAACTTTCAATGTTCGCTCGTGATTTCCACTGGAAGGAAAAAACACCTGACTGATGTATGTATCACAATGGCAACACTTGTTTTTTTCCTGCAACTTTATTTGAATCATTAGACTGTTGAATTCTCATGAAGCCTCACCTTTCCACATCTGAGACAAACTTTGTTAAGAATTCTTCGCGTTTTCCAAGTTTCTCGGTGCATACGCCATCAAACAGTAAACCTTTTGATGCCAAGTGGACGCACACAAGACGAACAATCTCACCAAGATACATACCAGAAATCATCTTCTCAAATCTAGTTTTAAGAAAAATAGCAGCAAGTTAATACAACCATTTTTGTGAAACTATATGCTTTTGCAAAATTATGTCAGCTAGCGGGAAAAAAAAGTCTCTTACATCTGCTGTCCAGGATTTAAAGAATTTGCATCAACTTGTTTATCATAGTCCGTCCTGATCCAATCTAGGGTACCGTTATCCCCAAAAGCACCCCATTCTGTGTTTATTATCACTTGCTTAGGTTCATCAATCTTGCCCGTCCACTTTCCGACATTTTCAAGACGTTCCATATAGCAGGCATTTGTTCCAGTGCCGAGAATTAATCCAATTGTTACATCCTGATCTTCCCAGCCACAAGACATCAGTGTTCCCGTTGTGTCATTCACCAGACCAACAATGTTTATTTTGTACTCCTATGGATGAGAGAAGTGATCACTTGGTTTGGGAATCTAATATTAGTGAATGAAGACATTGGTGTTGAAATATTATGTCAAATGAATGGTGACCTGAGACCTCCAATTAAGGTAAAAAAAATGATAGTAAGGATTCCCATTCCTTCCAATTTCCAACTTACCTTTTTGCGATCAAGTGCTTCTTTCAAGAGAACAACAACATCTTGGTTCTCCACTCCGGTTGCAGTGAATCCTTTCGTCCATTTCAACAGGATACCGGATGTTAAACTTAACATTTTGACAGGAAATGAAAAAGTAAACCCTAAAGGCAGCACTTTATCTTGCACTTTTTTCTCTTTAACAAAACTAATAATACATTCTGCAATATAGTCAAACAATGTCACAGCATCACTTGTCATGAGTTCCTTGCTCATGGGCATAACCCGACTATCCATTGTGATTTGGTCTGGTTCAATGTGGATCAACAGAACTCGAAAATTGGTCCCCCCAAGGTCAAGGGCTAAGAAGTCTCCAGTTTCAGTCCCCAAAGGTGTGCTACGAACATAGGTGACTAACATAGGCACTGAAGACTTGCTTCGTGTTTCTGCATCTCCTGAAAGACCATTCTCCATATCAGCTGTGATTAATTCCATCTCCTTGATCAGGTCATCTTTTGATAATCTAAGTTTTTCCAACTCTGCCTCAACCTAGGAATTAGGGAAACCTTGGTTTAATAACAGTAATTTTCTAGTAAGTTGTTTGAATACCTCGATATTGCAAAAATTGTTAGTCAGTACAATCAGTTGCAGAATATATTTGTTGCAAGCCTAAGTTCTTGCAAGATTATTACTGATACAAGCTGTCGCATCTGGACCCTTGCCAAGTATAAAAGTCTGGTAGGAATTATTTTAGACATGAGCAGACTTGTTTTATTATCTTTCAACTGTTGGAAAGAATCTCAAGTGTTTTATTTACATAATGAAAATGACACACTATTAACCATGCACACAAAGATTATATAAACCTCTATTTGTTGTACTAAATAACAGAAAATTTCATCATTCAAGCGATTCTACAAGCAACCAAACTAATTGTCACTAACAATTGATATTAGGGTTCTCACAAACTGTATGACTTTCGATTATAAATTATAGTATAGTATAATTGCAACACAATTTCACGTGAACTAGCTCTTGCCAGAAAAAGCAGGTCTAGCAATGCCTAGACACAAATAGCATAAGTCATCTCGATGCTTTTAAAAACACCTTTCATCGAAGATTTTTTGCACAAAGGCGTAGTTAATACAGTTATGTAACTGTATTATAAGCATGGTCCAAACAACTATATGTTACATATGTTACAACAAAATATCGTATTATTCCACAATGTCTGAGACAGAAATCTATTGTATATTTACTTACAGAATTTTTGGCCATCTTTCTTGTACGATGATATGCTGAAAGCTCTCAACTAAATTGCCTGCTTAATTTCAAAACGGCTCACAACCTTCCTTTCCAATAATTTATTCGTTCATTTATATTCACGATTGTACACAAACTTTTTATGTCTGGTTTTCATTGTTTACAAAGTATCGGATCTAATATCTCATAAATATTCACGCACAAGTGCAGCGCTGAATTTGCTAATTGCCGACGCATTTTGCGCTAACATATTTCGAAGCGACCAATCGTTACCAATCGACCAACTATTTAGCAAACAACAAGTTTGTCTTAGGAAGTTTATAGTCCTTAAAACAAAACATTTTATACAGAACCTTGCGCAAGATTTTAGATGAAACTTACTGTCACTCCACCAGTGAGGTAGGACGAAACAGCGTTGGTTAAGTTAGCGCCAATATGAACTAAACCTCCAAGCATTTTACACCAGTAGAAACGGATGTTTTTCTCAAACTAGCCAACAACTTCCTGAAGGTAATTCACAACCAACTTGCACTCACAGTCCCAACAACATCCCACTGCTGTGGCTAGGTCAAAGGTCACTACTCTAATATATTAATTAGCGCATATTCCAACTTCCTATATAGTGCTGCATTGGACAAATAAAAGAATATAAAATATATTTAACAGTAGAAAAATATTTTTATGAATTCACCAGTTCAAACAAGTAAATTAGTTATAACACACCAATCAACTATTATGTAAATCATGAAGAATAATCGGATACAAATGTTTATTATTAAATTAGAAAAGGTCAGTTGAGAATGTTTCCTAGACTTCCACTGTTTTCTTCCCAACCAAACAGATGGTTGTTATTAATTAAGAATATCAGAATAATAGTGGCATTATGATTTATGGAGGTAATTTGTGTGAAGAGGCATTCAAGCTAACTGGCTGGTAGCCAGCACAAAAGTAATTATTGATTGGTACCTATCATTAATGTTTTCACAGTCTCAATACATAAAATTCGAGAAATTTACAAATTTAAGGTAAATTTGTGGTAAATTTTATTCCATTCTTACCTCGCAAAATTCACCGTGCAAAGTGGAAGCACACACGAGGGACATTTTAAAATTGAAACATTTTCTGTGCAAACTGTGTTTGAGAGTTTGCAAATTATGAGTCAAAATCAAGAAGATACAGATATTAAAGATAGTAGTGAGTCGGCAGCTTTGTCAAACTTCTTCAAAATCAGAAAATACAGTGGTGTAGATCTCGTCCAGTCAACCCAAGACTCCATAATGGACGTGCTTGTGAAACAAACAATCGAGAGTGAAAGTGGCCAAAGTAACGTTTTATCTTTTTCTACAACTACTAAAGATGCAACTGTATACTTCCAACAGCTGGAAGAGCAGTTCATTGCACTTAAAACATTCATAGCTGGTACAAATTCCGCGTACAGGCAGGAACTTATTGGAATGAAGTACCCAATATTTGTCAACATTTATCTGGAGTTGGTTGAAAAATCTCAGGATAAAAAATCTGTGCCCTTTTACAATCAGCATGTTGGGGATTTTTTAACTGATCATAAAGAAGAGCTGCAACACCTGAGAGGCATCACTGGACCCGAAAAATTAAGTACCAGTGATATTGCTGCAAACTTCCGCAAAAGCAAATATGTTCACAGACTATCACATAAAGTGTTTATTTATTTGCTACAGTTTTTAAGTGGCCTCAACCGTTCAATTTTGCTTCATTTTATTGACAAGAATATTCATTTGGAGGTAAATAATGTGCGGACATCGCTGCTGGAAAGTTATACAGAGGACGTAGGTCGTGAAAAAACTAAAGTTGGTGTAAAAAAAACTGATTTGACGGTTCCCACAGAACTGTTGGATGCAATTAAAGCAATGAAAGATGAACCACCAAATTTACCAACGGTGGTGTTGCATAACATAACAAACTGTACACAAGGGTAAGATATGTCATTTTCTATTTTTCATTCCTCAAGAAATTTTGGGTGTGTTCCACAATTATTCCAACATATTAAACAACTTTCATCCAACGTTTCCTGATATCTCTATCTTTTTTCCTCAAGAGTAACTTCTGCGGTTATTTCCAATGATGGTCAACTAATGTGCGCTGGTTTTGAAGATTCAGCTGTGCGCTTGTGGAGCCTTACGCCTAAGAAATTGGTTGTTAATCAAGAAAACTTTCGGGAAATGTCACAAGTAAATCTAGGTATAGGTAAGAAGGTATCTTTAAATATTGGGTTACAGGAATGTCATTCTAAGGATTAGTACTATTTTGATAGTCTTTAAGTTCATAATTATATTTATGTGAACATGAAGCTTGTATCCTGCTAAAACTTTAATTGGATAATCTAGGATTGGATTGCAAAGGAATATTCCATCAGTTAAGACTTGTCTTTTTGCAAAATAGGAGTAACTGATGATGATGATGATAATTCAAAGGCCTCTATCTCCAGTGAGACACTAACTCTACGAGCCCACACTGGTCCAGTTTATAGTGTTTGTTTTTCACAAGATAACAGTTTTATGCTGTCTGCTTCAGAGGACACAACTGGTATAGTATGCATTATGTGTAAAAATTATAAAAATAGGTTCACAGTGTACTTATCAGTGTAACATATGACATCATTTCACCTTACTGGGGCCTGCTATAGGGCCATGCAGTGAAATCACAATGAAAAGTTGAACAAAAGAATTTTTGCATTGCATTTTGTTTTTGGTAATATTTTTTCAGCAAAATTTTTTCAACCACTTTCTTTAGTGAGATTATGGACGATGAACTCATATACAAATCGAGTATCATATATTGGTCATAACTATCCAGTTTGGCATGTAGATCTCAGTAACTTAGATGTTTACTTTGTTTCAACTTCGATGGACCAGACAGCCAGACTTTGGAATCTTGAATATAATTATCCCTTGAGGATATTTGCTGGCCATACAGCAAGTGTTGATGTAAGTCGATGCATTAAATTTTTTCAGTTCAAATCATATACAATTAAACCAAAACAGGTTATACCCTGGAGAGGTTTCTTGACATCGTATTTTGTTACGATAAAGAGACGCTTCCCAGCATTTCCTCACTAGCAATGATGACAGTTAACCTGGTACAAAAAATATGGGCTACGATGTCTTCCCTGTTTTTGAGACCATGGCTACATGCCTTTTGGCAAAATAGTGGTCAATTTTCACTCGTTCAAACAGCTGTAATAATGAGGTGACATGTTTTGTAGACGGCAAAATTCCACCCTAACTGCACGTACATAGCAACAGCCTCGTCGGATCAGACTTGTAGGCTCTGGGATGTTCATTCTGGTTCCTTTGTTAGATTGTTCAGTGGACACAAGGTTGGTTGATGCAAAAAATATCAGATAGCTCTTCAGTTATTACTTAGTATTAGCACATCATAAACACAGTGCAATGTTTTGACCGAGTATTTCTCTTTAGGGAGCTATATTCTCGCTGATGTTTTCATCTGATGGGAAGCACCTGCTTGGAGCTGGTGAAGACAGGGTTATCCACGTGTGGGATATTTCAACAGGAAAACGTGTAAGAGAACTAACTTCGCATAGCCACACGCTCTATAGTTTGGCCGTTAACTCCTGTAACCTTTTAGCAAGCGGGGGAGGTGACGCGAAAGTCCTGTTTTGGGATCTGAATCAAGTTTTAAAAACATCACAACCCCAGGGCAGCACAACCTGGTCGAAACCTATGCATTCGTATACAGCAAAGTGTACGAATATCCTAAACTGTAGATATGGCAACGATAATTTAGTTTATGCAGTCAGCAACTGATATAAATATAATTTTTGTAACTAAGAATTTGTTTTTGCGCCCTTTTGTTCTGATGCTTGCATTGTCGGTGTGATGGCTACTCCGAGGTTGATGTTCGAAATGTTCATTTTGCAAGTCCATTCAAATCTCACATTATCTAAGTCTGATATAAATCAAATTTACCCCAAAATGATCAACGATTATCGTTTTATTTTTAATATATTACAAAGCTTAAATTATTCAAGTGATTGTTAAAAAGAAATCTGTTGTATACAGTATTACTCGCTAGATTTCATACATTACTATTTTACAGTAAATGCTTGAAGCTATTATCAGAAAATAAATGTAATTCATGCATATTGATATTGAACATTTATACATACATGCTATTCTAATATGGGAATTGAAATTTTAGTGGAAGTCTTCATCCAAAGCGCGATTACTGCATGGCTAAAATCTAAATATTACATTTTCTGATAATCTAAATATTTAATTTTCGTAGAAAGACGAACACTACAAATGATCACAATAACTCACACGTGCACACAAAATTATGATAAATTGAGACTATAAGTTATTCTAATTGCAATTTTAAAACGAATTAACTAATTAAAGACTAATTAAGCTTTGATTTCGCCAACTGTCTGATGTTCGTTAATCGACACAAACTCTCCAGAAACATCAGATTTTTTCTCTGCACTCGTCTTAACTTCGTCGTTTTCGACTGGATATTTGCCTTGGTGAAGATTTTGAATATGTCTTCGTAAATCCCCTAGGTATGGAAAAAGTGTAATTGTACGGGAATAAGTGATACGTGGTTTAATATTAAAGAAACAAATTACAAAAAAATTTATTTACTCATGGGGAGGGGTCCCGAGGGGATGGATAATCACAGCCAAATCTCACTTACCGGATCTGTTGAAGGTCTTCGGACACTGGGTACAAGCGAAAGGCCGCTGTTCCGAATGCGTGACAATATGCCGACCAAGTTTACTCGACGTGGCAAACGTCTTCGGGCAATGTGGACAGCGGTGTGGTTTCTCGCCCGTGTGAATAAAGGTATGGGTCTTGAGCGAGATCGTTGTAGCAAAAGTCTTCCCACAATGCTTGCACTTGTAAGGACGTTCTCCTGAAAAGAATATATTTTATTACTATGTAAAGCGACAAAACTAATTATGCATAATTTTAATAAATTATGCGCTTGCGTTGCGGTAAATTATTACAACATTAGCATAAACGGCGTTCTTGATCATCGCCCTTCGCATTACCTGAATGTATCCTGCTGTGTCTCCGTAAATCATTGGAGCTGTAAAACGCTTTGGGACATTGCGAACATTTGTGAGGTCTTTCACCTGTGTGCGTGAACACGTGTTGTTGGAGACCAAACGGATGGCGAAACGCTTTCTCACAGTGGTCGCATTTCCATTTGCGGTGGGTCATGTCAGGGCAAACACGCTTGATATGTCTTGCGAGATAACTCAGAGAGGTGAAGATCTTTCCACATTTACCACAAGTGTAGCTTTCTAGGTAATCAACAGGTTTTAAAATTAAACTAGAGTAAAACTAAAAATATTTGCGCCGAGTTCTCTTCATAAAGCAAAAGGCAAGACCTCAGCAAGACTCATTTCTGCCTATATAAGGTACTTAGACTCTTTTTGTCTATTTTAGACCGCTGTTATATGACATTTGACGAGTGGCTACAAGGGAAGACAATCGGGGATCCAAGGTAACTTAAACTTACCTTTTCCAATAGTGTTGACTTGAGGGTCGATGGTAACGTCATCTACTTTAAATATCCCCTTGTCCGTGTCAAACACCACCAGCAAATCATCCGCCTTTTTTGTCTCGACAACTTTGGTGGCTGGAATACAATTAAAGGCGGCGCCTTTTGCTCCTTGTTGCGCGGTCTGCTGTTCACCTCCGATGCTCAATAAAGCTTTAATGGCCTGCTCTTTATTTGCCATTTCGGAACAGTCTTGTCTGTTCTGCGCTGGGGCAAGTGCTGGTTTCCCCTGCCCTGCGAATAAAGGTTTGTTGAATGTACTCGCGATATCCGGAAGCGTTTGTTTTGATGGTGGATTCTCAGTACTCTTCGCTCGACCGTTGACAAGTCTTTTTACAGCTTGTTTGACGTTGCTAGTTATATCACTCGCTTTTGTTATGCTGGGAAAGTTTTGTTGAATAGGATTAAACATCGCTAAAGTCGGGGAGACGAAAGGCTCTCGAGGTAAGATTGGTCGAAGCTTGCCAGATGTTGGTAATTCATTGGTGCTGGTTGTTGGTATCGAGGCACTTTTGATGCTCAGGGTTGGCAGATTTGACCCTAGGGTCTTCTGGTCAATCGGCGGGGTAATTTTCGGCAAAAATAGACGCTGGTTGAGGGGAAGCGGATGCCCTGGTTGCTGGTCGGGTGTGGTTGTTTGTGGCAGAGCACCGGGGTTAGGGCATATAAATCTTGGGGTTGTTTGGGCTTGCGCGGTCGTAGTGGGTAGGGGGGCGGGGGTTGCCCCTTTGGCCTGAACGAATTGAAATGCGACTTGAGGTTGACCTAATAAAACATTCTGCGCTGGGGGCAGTGCGGGATTCCCAGGGGAAATTGTGGATTGGGGGCTTGCAATTGCTGATACGTTTGCAAGCAATTGATTTGGTGGAAGCACAGGATTTGTTGCGGGAAGAAAGGTATTCGTTTGGAACAGTTGATTCGTTGTTGGAACTAGGAGATTGGCTATTTGAGATAGTTGGCTCGATGTAGGAATCAGAGGATTCAACGTTTGAAGCACTTGACCGAAATTATTTAACGATTCTGTGGTCTTTACAAGTGAATCCATGCCTGCAATCGTTCCTTGACTGACCGTTTGCGGGAAATTACTCTGTTGCATTGCTTGGTTTGATGTGGAGAGAGGGTTTGCTGTGACATTCTTTAGCATCTCTCCGACTTGATGATTCGTCTGGCTGATCGAGATTGTATTGGGAATTGTTAATTGCTTTGTCGTTGTTGTTTTCGCGACATCAACTTGGCTCTCAGTGCTGTTATTCTGCACTTTTTGATTCATCGCCGTGAATCCTGTATTCTGAAGGCCAAAATCATTCAATAAAACCTGGGTTGTTTGTGTATTGTCAGATGACGAGGCCTCGTTGCCTAAATTTTTTCTTGTTCCTGTTTGACTTTTGAAGCTCACAAGTGCGTGGGCTGCTTTTGACAAGTTCTCTGTGGCTATCGTTTCATTCTTGCTTGTTTTAGCAGCAGCAATCCTATCATCGCTATTTCCACCTCTTCGCAGGCCTTCGGACATAATTTCTGGCAGGCTTTTTCCGGCTAATCCAGCAAGGAGCGATTCAGAACTACTATCCTCGACCGAAGTAACTTGGCTTTCGAAAATCTCGCTCAAATTCGGCGAAGTTATTTTCTGTAGGAGCTGAACGCATTCTGGGACGCTAATAGAACTTCGATCGAAAGCAATTTCCAGTTTCTCTTTCAATTGATCAAATGCTCTTACTTTTAGCTTTTCAATAGCCGAGGTTTTCTTGGCTCGTTTGGCAATTGCTCCCTTCGACTTTGCAATCTGGGGACGTCTGTTTTTTACCGCTTCGGAAGAATTTACGCGAAGCGTTTTCTCCTTTGCAACCTTTGTGAATTTCGCTCCTTTTTGTTCACTATTTCCCTTTGCAGTTTCAGCTTTTGGACTGCTTGATTTATTTTGTTGTTTCTTAGTTTTGCCTTTTGCCTTCGCGCTATTCTTAGCCTTAGGTGAGGTGACATCGTTCCCCATCGAATTATCAGCGATGTCTTCCTGTTTAACCCCAGTCAAATCTGATTTTGCAAGATCATTGTCTGCAGTAGACTTCTGATTTACAGATTCAGCGCCAGCACGTTCCTGTTTGATTGTTTTTCTCAATTTTGATTTCTTATTGGGAGAAGGCTTCTCTTTTTCAACTATAGTTTCAATGCAAACTGGTGTGTTTCTTCCAGAACGGAGTACACGCCCTTCTGTAGTTGGTTTGTCAACTTTGGCTGTAAGACTGGAAACTTCCAAATCAGTTGATTTCAAAATAGCTGATTTCTTGCTCTTAGAATTTTTGCAGGACCTGAATTTTGTGGAAGAGTACAATTTAAAGATTATTCCATAGTAAATCGATTATGATTTTTGGCACTTCACTCAATGCAGGTAAACTCTAGAGGTTTTAAAGGGTCTTAATTTCGAGTGGAATTATACACACTTCAAATTCAAGCAAGAGCATTGCACCAGCATGCAAAAGCGTTGACTCATTTTTCCATCAACTGTTCCTGGCTTGAATTTGAAGTGTGTATAATTCCACTCAAAAGTAAGATCCTTTAAAACCTCTGGAATATTCAATAGTTATATATTAAATATATTTGCAAATCAGCCTTCGATTCTTTGTGAGGAATATCTTGTGATGGTATAAGTGGTGATGATGGTAACAGACTAATGGTATGATCATAGTATTTTAGAGCTCAACTTCAGGCTTTTACTTAGATACATTTAAGGACAATGCACATGTTTATCTTATAAATTGACTTAACCTTTTAGTCTTCAATAATGGTGAACCCTCTGCTTTGATCTCATCGCCCTTCAAAATGAAGAAAAAGGTTAATGCCTCACAACCTAAGGTAGTGAATGATTCATGATCCTGGTTGAATTGGATTCTGAGAAACTCTTGATTATGCATTATAAATTACAGGAATTTCAAGATTCCAGATTTTGAATAATTTGTCCGATAATAAAACTATTGGCATAGCATGTATACAATTTCTTTCCTATATGTACAATAATTCTTGGTTCAAGATAATTTTAGACATCAACTCACAAAACTGGTGTTTTGACAATAAAATCTCACAATAGGGAATGTAATCTTAAGATAATATCTTAATAAAGAAGTCCTTTTAAACTGCAGCATCCAGCCCTTTTATACATGCATGTGTTTCACTTAGGCATTGAAAGTCAATCAAGCTAGCTTATTCGAGCAAGGCTTTCAGACAGAGGAGAATTTAAGGTCCTCAGCATGTTATTGCTCAACAAGTTGACATGCTTGGCATATTGACACTAACAAATTACCCTCATGAATATAGCAACCAGAGACAATAAACAGTTTTTTTCATTTTAATATATCAATGTTATTTTAGAGAAACCCAGGAAATCTACAGATATCTATTTCTTTTTCTTCTAGAATAGTCAAAAGGCAGCTGCCATTATTTTCGGATAAAGGGCAGTATATTAGTATTAAGTACATGAACGGAAATACAACGTTTACACTTCTTAGAATATTGTACAACGACACAAAAATATTGCAAAACTTGGTGTTCTCGTATTTTGAAAATTTGCTATTATCTTTATAAGAACACCGAACACATATAAAATACGATTCTGGGAGTATCGTAGAAAATTTATGAATATTAACAAGGTATTTGGTAAAAAACAGACAATTTTCTATGTGGACTTCAGCTCGATTGGGCGTGTTGATAACTCTATAAATTTACATGTTTTATACCATCTTTGTAAGCAAATAAATAACTCAAAAAGATTACGGTTATGAAAATTTTGTTTAGCGACACAGCGAGTTTTCCCCGAATTGTTTTGATTTCTCGTGAATTGGCATATCTTGTCGCCAGGGGAAAATCGTGGCGCGCCCACTTTTCCTAAATTCGTCAAACAAACACCGAATTTTTCTCCAAATTAAGCCCCAAAAAATCGTCAATATACACAAGGAGTCGCTGCTTATAATCCTCGGGCCAAAATCGATGAAATGTTTCGAGAAAACGACGTGAAAATTATTTTTTACCTCACAGATATTACAGCGTCATCGTGAAATAGCGTACTACGATAAAATACAATAACATTCTCAGCGATCAAAATATATTTATATCAATGTAGGAATAATAATTCTAACCAATACAACTTTTACTACTTTTAATATATATTTCCACAACTCCGATGACCGATAATCTATTTTTAAGCAAAAATTCTCGTGAGCTGGGTCACATGCTACTTTTGTTGCAAGTCATGGTTGCAATTTGTACACGCTGCAACACGCTACGTTGAATAATTTTATGATTTCTTTACGATCAAATACCGGTTTAATTTGTTGAAATAAAAAACGTACGAATACAGAGGATATTCATTGACTTCTATGCGTGTTTTGGATTCGAAAATTAAGGTATTCCCTACCTTTCGTTTTCGAGTTGGTCTCGTCTTTAATTCCGGTTTTATCGGTGGATGCGAACAGCAAGGGCACTTCGTAGAATGGACACGTTTGCGTCTGTTAAAACAGGGAATCGGCATGAAAAAGCTGAATTATTCTACTGTAATAAACAGTCCTACTAACCTTCCTCTCGTTGTAACAGCATCGGTTTCCATTGGTTTAAAAATCGAGTTTTCCGAAGCGTTGAAATTGACTTTGTTTCATGAACACATTTCCCTGTGGCCAGAGTAAACCCCGTGTTTACGAGCTGCGTCAAATTTTACTCATTACGCATGCGCATTACGTAGAACCGCTGTATTCGAGCGGGAAAATGCTCGCTTTGGAACATTTGTAAACAAAGAATTCCAATCACATGTTACAAATATGTTACAATCATTGATCATTAGAATGAATGGAATTTCCGGCTTCGTCTATTCCTTAGCTTGTCCACCGTTTCCTAGTAATGGTGGTAAGAAGAAAAATATCGATAGATTTTAACCAGGTTGTTTAGCCCACGAATACAAATTCTTGCACAAGTCTTGCAAAGGATAATTTACAAAATAATATTGACCAGCGTGTCAGCGCTAGCGGTTAAATAGTAAAAGTCACGAATCATGAGGAATTTATGTTGTATAGAGGCGTAAAATATGCGTGTCAAGGTTATCGCGCCCAAGGTTACTCCAGACAAACAAGGTTACTCCAGACAAACCGGCAGGAAAATAAAGAAATTAGTCTGTGTTGTAATCGTTATATTATGCAAAAGTGTTCCATAATGATGTCATATTATAAACCAATAAATTATAACATCAAAATCTAACGTGAAGAACGCACAACCAGCTGTAACTTCAAGGCTGACTTCAGCTGACAGCCGCGTACCAGCTGTGACTTCTAGATTTCATAACAACCCGTCCAACGGGCCTCCGATAGTCATGGTTCCACAAGTTTATTTGCTTGTAGTTGTCCTCACAGGGGGATGGAATGGAGAGAATTAATAGATGCCATTAGTACTAACCACTCTCTCCATATTGGTGGATTCATGCTGGTGGTAATTTCCACCAATTGTATCGGAAATTCTATCAGGACGTCGTAATACTAGCAATGAAATGCTTGTTCAGATTTCCTTTCCAAAGATGCTTCATCATCAGCCAGATTCATCTGGTACATTTGTCAAAGGTTTCGATACTTCGTATAAGGTTCAGATAAACGCTCATCCTTCATGTTGCTGCAGCCAATATACGATATCTTTGAGGAAAAAATCAGTCGTCAGAATAAAATAAATCGTTTGTTGCTGAACAAAAGCCCCAAATAACATCTCGGTATTCCTACATACGTTGCGCAATTATTCAATAAACAATTTTTTCCATCAAAGAGGTGAAACAGGATCGGGAGAACCTGTGGGAGAACTGATGTTACATGAAATGTAATTGGCTCAACTTGTATCATTGCTGAGCCAATCGAGCCTTGCGTAACATCTTGCATCCCTTTTGTTTCTATCATGGTTGACGACTATTCTTTACAAGCCTCGTATCGGAATGCGTCACGCCACTGATCTGCGTATCTGGCAGTCCGGAGCCGAAGCAGGTTGCGTGATTCCGCGGGATCTGGTTACGATTTGGTTGAAGGCAAAACAGGCTTTAATTAATCTGCCGCAAGAGAGAGACTACAATGTGAATTCTACGCGCTGTAGATTAAATTACAGATCATCAAAAAGCTCTCCTCCCCTCCCCCCGACGGTTTGACGCGCTTGGTGATGTAAGAATAAGGGCGTGGTGATCGAGGGTGAATCTTACTAAATTGAAATATCTTTTGGGGGATGTTGCATTTTAGCTTACCTCAGTCTTGCTACTTCACGACGCTGCAAGATGGAATGGCTCTCCATCGTAGCCCTTGATCTCTTAAATTGGATATGTAATCCTTGATCTTTTATATCTCTTATATTGCAAATCATTTAAGTTAGAAAAACCCCTTCAAATACTCAACCTTCTGCCCAGATTAATTGTTGCCAATGTTGCCTGTATAATATGTGCTTTAGGTTATTGATTAAAAAGATTACATCCAGTTATAATTTCGGTGATTTCCCTTTCGTTACAACCTTTCATGTTACGACTGTCAAATAAGGCATCTTCGTGTTCATTAGGTTACTGTTTGGAAGATCATTATCATGAGCAGTCGCTATTAAGAAAGCCTCATATGCTGTGCAGACATTCCATGTTGCTGTCTCGAGTATAGACGGCCAAGTACATTGTTTGTGTGACCAGATATTAATCGTTACTGCTCTAAACGTTTATAGAAGGTATAATTGTAGACGATATTCTAAATATGTCGTATTGTTATGATCTAACGTCTGCAGTTGATTAAATTAGGCGAATTCTGCATGTTTCTATTATTCATGTGCTCAGGTATTCCTTCTCAAGTATTCATTACTACTTGTACTTTAAACGTCTATAGAAGTGCATTAGACTATGGCCAAGATAGTTCCTGTTGTTCTGTCCTCCTGGTCGCCTTAGAGTCTATAAGTTGCCTTCCAAGGTGTCTATTTTGTATGTCAAATGAACAGATGTTCCTTTCACAGGATCTTTACTACTTTTCAGAGTGCGTAGACAAGTGGTTATGGTAGAATATGTCATCTTGTGCTATCCAATTGTCTTCAGTTTTTTTTCATTTAGTTTGCGCAATGTTTAGTGCATTTGTCGTTTTAAAATTTTCAATTCCTAAATGACTATATACTAGAGGTGTAAAATGAACTACAAAGTATATCATTAACTTTGGTTAACCTGCATGGCTTGAACTTCCACTTTTTTGCATGATGGAGTGTGTATTGAGAGACACACGTATCTAATGTTGTGATCAACATGAATATAGATTGCTTTGGATATCATGATAAAATGGTAACCTTCCCTATAGGTAACCAGTCGTATTACAAAGCTAAGTTCGGCTCCTAAACCTCTTCCCACGTCGTGTCAGGATTTACCTCACACTTGTCTTCAGTTACCCGCGTTTTTAGGAAAGATTACATCACATCAGCAATTCTTCTGTCAATAGTGCTCAAACTGTCAACATAGATAAACGGTTGTATTAATGGACAACCGCTGTTTCGCCCTAAATAACCTGAGATAAGCATCGCCTAATTTAAAACCATATGAAACTGTGCGTTTAATCTAATAAACTTTGCGAGCAGGATGGATTTACAGATAGCCAGAATGCTTCCAAATATTTTTTGATAATTAATCCTATCAATTTATACGACTCCTGTTCTTGGCTTGTGTACATGCACTTAGGGTTAAATAAGCTGAGTTTTGTAATGTATTTGCGTTTGTGAGATCGCATTTTGACACCATTAAGTTTTCGCAGCCAACTCCATGTGTGGTATTTGGTTAACATAATGGATTGCTATTAAATGCCGTTTTGACGCATTATTTTCGCGACATCATCATTAATTATTTGTGGATTTTTCTGTGTCCAAGGTGCGGAGTGTCTTTATTGAAATTTGCGCAAGCACCGTTTAACAACTACTCAAAGTTAAGAAGATAAAACTAAGTTGTGTCTGGGGTTATAATAAACACATTAATAACCCGGACTGATTGACCATAATTTATATACGCCTGGCTGCAGAGAATCGTCGATGGTGTTCACAGAACTACCTTAGTGCGTGTTGGTACACGCGTGGGAATTTTGGAAGCATCGACGGCACATAAAGTGGTTTAAGCACTCACGCTAGCGCAGAATTTGAAGGAGTTTGAAATCTTCTTAAGGTAAATGACGTGTATAGATATCATATCATATCTAACATGCATTTACGCTTGAGACTTCCTGGGTAAAGTTCTGTTTGCTCTTGTAAATGTCATCATAATTGGCATGATTCCCGGTGGGAAAATGACATTTTCAAAAGCATGTCTATCATGGCTGAAGATAGTATAGTACACAGTACGCACGCTCGTTCTACAACAAACAGCTTGGCGCATGCTTTTCGACTCACACGCAAAACAAAGCATTGCTCAAATGCCGTATCACGACTGTCTCTCAGGATACTTGACAGCGAAAAACAGCCAAAAAATGCGATTCAAATGTAATGTAATAATGTAACATAGATAACGCCTTTCAAATGTATGTGTCTCATGGTTTTATTAGAAGGTGTAAAGGTGAGATGTATTTTAAGATCTCTAGGCAAAATCATGAAGATATTATCGAGAGCAAATGCAGATGGATGGTTACATAGCTATCCCGTGTTCATTCACAGTAGGCTTTGAGATAATCATATGTAATATTGTCCTAACCATCTGATCTTAATATCAATTCCAATTTAAATCGATATCATTGCATCAGACCTCCAATTTGAATGCAGTTGATGAGGTGACTAATGAGACGAGATTGAACAGTATTTAGTAAAGTTTTTCCTATCCAGGGTATCTTGCATGCAGACAGAGAAACATCCTACGTCACACGACGGAAAATGACTGAGTTGATTAATAAACTTTCCAATGATTATGAAAGATATTTTTTAAAATAGAACTTCTTCTTTCAGTTCAAAACCATATATGCGGGTCGCCGTAATTTAAACCTCGTTACATGCAGGGAAAACTGTTCCCACATGGGTATTGCAGTGCGTCGCGGCTGGGTCAAGGGGATACTTTGGGATTGGAATCGCTACCTTCTGCTAGAATCTTCCATCCTTGACCGCACGATCAGTTGTATCTTTAAAGGTGGTTTCCTTTACGCGCACAGAATATGATTAGCACCCAAGAACACTAAACCTTGCCACAATATGATCAATAGATTTGATGACACTAAGGTCGTTTCAGGCAATTGCAGGTTTCCTTTAGAGCAATTAAAACCAAGCTCTCCTCCTTTTTCTTTAATAATTTGCGCACGTGTGCATTCCCTACTTGCGCAACTTTTGAAGTTTTCATTTGAATAACGAGCACAGACCGTATAAAAACAACATCGAATGTAAATGTTTTGTCAAGGCTATTATCGAACACGGTGTTTGGGTGATCTGTGTTTTTACAGCCTGTTCAATAAAGCTGTCTAGGGTAAACAAAGGGACAGTGAAAAAACATCATGTCACTTTAATCTTATCTCACGACCTCAACTCGCAAAACGTCCCAATTCTGAAATCTGATCGCTTATTATTCTCCACAACTGTCCGCGCAGCCCCATGAATAACCATGTCCTAATATCAGCCACGACAGTCTGCAAACGTCAGACGTTGGCGCACGTGTCAATCAGTGAGCGCGCGCTTGCAAAAAAACGAACGCGTTTTAATTTAAAACCTCCTTGAAAACTCACAGCGCGCATTTGGCAGCTTGCGTTTTTGGATAAGCGTAACTTTTATCTCCGTCTGCCTTCGGCTTCGCACGGCCTTCGTGCGTGCGTCAATTCTACACGAAAATATTGCAAACCGCATTATACCGAGTGTTTGAGGCTCCTTTGTACGAGAAACCTTCCAAGTCGCATAAATCCTCCAGGATCGTGTGGAACCATCATATCTTGAAGGGACGTGTGTGCCGGAGTTTCAACCAAGCGGCTCGTCATAGTTAAACTACCACCTCTGGAAACAGTACAAGATGCTCCCGGGGTTAGCTCGGTTTAGCGTGGCTTCTCTGATGACCGGCCAAGCACAAGATCAAGGATTATTCAGCCCGTATTCACCCTCTTACCCGGGAATTCATTCAATGGACAAAGCGCAGGTTTTTCCCACGGATTGCTATCGCAGACAAGATTTTGCAGCTCCTCCGCCGACACCACCAAACAGCGGGCAACAGTTCTGGCCGAACGCATCAAGCGGATGGTGTTCTCCGGCAGGCATGCAGTATGGGGGCTCTCTGAATACGTACAATCCAAATCAAGGTATTTCACTTAAGATATTCAGTATTCACGTTAACCAAAACAGAAAACGGAAGAACTCTTCGGAATTATGAGCATTCCGATTTATTGTCATGAAATTCAATTTGATCACGTTTAAGGAACGTTTAGCCTTTCCGGTCCAAATCACTATAATAATATATGACACGCTAGAACTCTGATTTTACAAAGTTCTGATACACTACAAAGTGATTCAATTTGGCTTCGTATTTTACAAATATCGAAGCAAACTAAGATGCCTTTTGGCGATAAAGCGAGCATACCTTTTAATTAATTATATTTGCTTGAATGTAGCCGGAGAAGTGTTCAACAATTCATTAGTAATCCAACATAAACAAAGAGAAATTTTCTTAGAAATTTTCATTTCAGCTACAACTACGCTGTAGCGAGCAGTGTGTATTACTAATTATCAGCGAATCCTGACTAAACAACCATATGAATTAGTTTACGTTGTTTATCCTTATCGCTAATATGCCACAATTATAGAGTCCATCGCGGCTGATATCCGTGTATATATGGCCGATATATCAACTACTTAAGTCCTGTTCCTCGGCGGAGATAGTATAATTTATTGCATGCTTTTTAACGTTGTTTAAACTAAACAAATATTTCAAGCACACATTGCTAGGCTTCACCACATCAAAGGTCGGTCTTGTCACGGACAAGAAGATTAATATGCCTATCGTTTCTTCAGGAAAGACGACATGTGTTCTTTAGCTTGCCATTGTCTCCGCTAGTGCGTCTGTGCAAAGTTAGAAAACTTGACTGTGAGTATGTGCGCAACATCTCTGAGTAATTTACATAATTTGCGCACGTCTGTGTGCGGCGCTTGAATGAGAGTTGGTTCATTAATGCAATTAGGAAACGTTTAAAAGAAAAGCTTTATGAGTGAGCAACTGAAATACGTGCTAATTGATCATTGAACGACGTTTAACATGTTGTTACGGCCAGTTGAATTGTTTATAGCCACAAATTTAGACGCATTTTCTTGCCAATCATTTGCATAGGACACCGCTCGAAGTAAATGACCCGTGTGTCTTGTTTGTAGCACCATAAGAATCAAGAGGGCGATACGGCTCGAATATGAATCGATGTCGTTCAACACAGGCAGGACACAAGCTATAAATCTTCGCATGGAACTTGTCTTGTCGCTAAGAAGTATTATACGGGATTGAAATGCCACGCTAACTTTTGTGGATGGTCGTTGTGTTTGTGAAGCGCTTTTAATCGATCATTCGATGACTTTGCTGAGTAATTTAGGTGAGAGAAACAGGCCTGATAAACGTGATGCGAATACGCGTGATCGCGTTTGCGTTCCTCATCTTTTCATCGGTGTATTAGAGCGATAATCATTAAGTGTTATTTGTATGGTAATATGCTCTGCTGAAATGTACCTAAACGTAAGTTTCTGGCCTTAATATCTCCTTTTTATAAATCTTTTGTAGCCCATAAGTACATTTAAACTAAACATCCCCGGTAACCTTGCTAAATAACGCGCGCAGAACTGTGAAAGAAATGTCGGCTAAGTTTATATAGACTTATATTTATCTTCTTTCGTATCACAACTAGTATTATTTTTTATTTCACACGAAATGAACACCGCGTTGTTTTAAAATCTATCCTCGACTGCAAAGCGATGAATTTCGTGCCCACGCTGACTTCACTAGTTTTATACAGTTTGAATTTATTAGCTGCTCTTTAATCCTCGTTTTTCCTTTCGGGAAAGATCACAACAACAGACATAAATCTTAATTAACTGACGAATCTCAACCCAAACAGATCTCAAATGCGTTGTTGTTCTGATAAAAAAGTGAAAATTTAGTCAGAATGATGCCAGCCATGGTTAGACGTAGGTAGTTAGATCCATATTGGGGACAAACCATTGTCTTGGATAAATTTATAATGGGGCTGGTTCGCTGTTTCCGCACCGTTGAGTGCGTGAGATTGGATTATTAAGAGTATACAAAAGTCTGTGCGCCACCTATACCTATGAATAGTCTCGAACATCGTTGGTTCCTTTCGAATAATGTGTCTGGAACGGTTATAGATATTTCAGTGACGTCGTAAGTGTATATATAATGCCGAAATTATGGTGCTTTCGTTCATTGCCCACAAGATGGTTTATCCAACAGCAAAGCTATGCTATTGTCACCTTTGTTCTCTCATTACTTAGCAATCTTCACTTCTTAATTTTGATCCACTTAAAGTCTTAATTATCTGCATGTTCTCTTGCAGTTCAGTTCCCGTTAGAAAAATCGTGGGCATATAACAATCTATTTAATGTGTGAAATACGTTAGGGAACCACGTAGTCATGTGTAGTTGCATTGTATTGCTCAGTTTTAATTTGCTTTGCTCTCATTCCTAGTCTGGTAGGTTTGCTATCCCGTACGGTGCTGGGAATCACCACTAAACTATCCGATTTTGGGTATTAGCATGCAGTTTCCTAATCACGGCCGCCACTAAGTCTTGCAAACACATTTAATACGAAACCCATTGACCTTGCATTTTCTTGTGCCAAAACTTCTCAGGAAGTCAGTGGGATTTTTGTCAGTTAATAACAACAATATCGGCTTTGTTTTGTGAAAATATGATATTTTTAGATAATACATGCGTGACTTGAATTATCGAAATCTGTGGTGAACACGCGATCTGCCGATAAAACATATCTTTTAACGTAAAAAAACTTATTTAAGACTGCCTAAAATGGTTAAAACTCTCAGAGACAAAATCTTGAAACGCGAATAAGAGACTCGTTGGTACATTAATATTGTCCTAATGTCCTTGAAGTCTCAGTGTTGAACTGATGAATTCCTATATCTCTCCTAGTCTACTATAATTGTTTAAAATGGGAAGGCTTTTTTAGTTCCACTGAGGACCAATCTATAGTGTCGAAACATATCTTGCATGAGTAAACGATTAGGTTTCCTAGCTTGAACTAAGACCAAAATAGGATATGTTTTTGAACAACGTTTTTCACTAAATTAGGGCTTGCCGAAATGCTGAGGTCGCGTGGGTTAAAAGTTAACATGGGCTCTCGTAGGATAAGCGTTTGCATCCGTTTTGTCGAATACAACTAACAGAAGGGCGAACAGTTTTCATCTTTACACAGGGTATTATTAAGTAAACATATATGGTTTCCACATTGGCGTAAAATTTGGCACCACGACGCTTGGTTGGTGGGCAAATTATATGACTAATATAAACGCCATTGGCTCAGTATCGCTTTACATAAAGCTGTGATAACAGACGGTTTCTGCTTAAGAATAGATAAGAGTTTGATTATAACTGGAATATCTGAACTCTGTGCTTGTATAAACCATTAAAAACCCATGTTACTCATTTGAACTGTTTACCACGATCAGATTGCAATTTACATTGCTGAAAACCGTATACTTGTCGTTTTTCCAAATTGGAGTTTTTTGCTACAGTGATTCCGCGGTGTTTGAACTTGTTTCATTAAAAATAATATATGCTCCGAAACGGGCAGCGTTGATTGACAAAAGCTAGCTAGCTGTCGGTACAAATGAAATGAAGACACTAGTTTTGTTTTTATAAGTTGTAAAGTTGAAGGGTTTGGGGAATAAGTTTTCTGATTCTTTCGCAGGCATTCATTTTGTAGACGATGAAGACCTTGGTGCAAAATGTAACTGGTTTTCTCTCTTTCTTGCGCATGCTCTGTGTTGCAGCAAGAATTCACATAGTCCCACGGCTGTGATTTATTGGCTTGCAAATTAATATTTGCCTTATCAGACAAAGCATCAAATAATCACATGTCTATAAGCTATATTTATGCAGCAATTTTTCGGGTTATTACATTCACTGTAAGCGCTTGATAAATAAACCCACACATGGCAGGATCCATCAACATTGAGCACTCCGTGATCAGGACAAGCGGTCAAGATTACGATGGAATTCTTGTACTTTAATAAGCTTACGTCTGCATTGGTCACTTCACCGTGAGAAAATTCATATCACCCTGGAGAATTCCAGCATATCACCACTTTCGAACAAAAAAATGAACATGCATGCATGCTTGCATCTTTCCACAATATTCCATGAATGCATGCGGTCAATTTTAATCCACAAGTCAAAACAAACTTTGATTACGTAAAAAGCTAATAGTTTTATCGATTAAATGCGATGCACATATACTGACCACGCTATAGTCTACATATATGGAATGATACCCTAGAGCTTGTGTTGGTGAGTTTCAGTAAGCCAACACGGGGCGACAGATAGATGGTAAAATTAACTTTACATTGAACTCGATTTATAACGTCGATACTTGTGGAAGATAGTTGAAGTTAACCATCGTCGCTAAAGGCATGACACTGACACACCAGTGCCTGTGAATAGTTTAGTTCAACGGCAGCCGGTGAAAAAAGGGGAAAGGGGTATTCACCACTAGGACTGGATTCCAGTTTACTGGGACCTAGGCGAAATGAAATAAAGAAAAAGTTCAGCTATGATCAGGCAACTGCTCACTGAAAGGGTAGATATGAGTCCCAAAAAGCCGTTCGTGACAGTCTAAATGCTTCAAATTAAGTGTCACTACTTCACGAAAAATCTCAGACCAAAAATCTAACCAGACTGGCCCTTCTAGCCTCTCCGAGCGCTGGTTAATTAAATTAAATACATATTCTATATTTTTATTGGTAACATAAACATGATAGTGCATCTTATGAGTTATGTATTTCTAACTGCGATTGACGGTACCCGGCCGTAATATTCAAAGCATGAACCTATCTTGACATGCCAATAAAAAAAAGCTATTTCGTTCATTGTTTTTACGACAAATTTTTTAACCGCCATGTGTGCGATTTTTCTAGTATATTCTTCTTTCTGTGTCAAGTATGATTAAGTATTTAACGAGCCTGTTTTTTTAATATGTACTTCATTTCTAGTACGTGTTTTTGTGAATAAGATGAAAGTCCTTAAACGAGACTGCACGCTTTTAAAAACGGAGAAACGCTTGCACAGTGAATACAACTTTTACATCTCGGCAAAGATGATTTTTTTACCTTTTACCAGAGTATTTTTTTACCTTTGAACTAGTTATTTCCTTTTTGGTAATTACACTAAATTAAGGACATACATGAATAATATTTGATGACGGATAAAAGTGATCTTAAACTGCTGTTGTGAAACAATATTTTAGTCAGACAATGTAAGAATCTATAACACATTTGGCGCAGCGATCGTCATAAGCAATATGCATTAGCATTTTAAGTTAGTTATGTTTCAACAATTACCACGATTTGGTAAAGTTAACACTAATAGTAATAGCATCTCTTTATTCCAAATTAATTTTAGCATCGGCCTATCCTTGTGGAAACTACTTCTTCTCCGACTATAATGTCGATCGTGACGACAAGGACAGCAAAAAAAAACGAACGCGTACGGCATTTTCAACAGACCAAATCAAAAGTCTTGAAAAACGCTTCGTTTCCAATCATTACGTTGTTGGAGCAGAACGTCAGAAACTAGCGACCGAACTTGATTTATCCGAGGCGCAAGTGAAGGTGAGTCAATAAAGCAAACTTTTAGGCACAAATTGTGATATGAATTTTAGCATTGTCGTTCGTATGACAGATTTGACACAGCAGTTCAACTCGACGAATGATATACACGACGCGACCGGGAGAGAGAGTATTTTTCTCACTCTCCTATTCTAGGAGGGGAAGAGGGGGGTGAAAGAGGGTGATGCCGTATAAGGGAGCATTTGGTCCACCATTCCTCCTGCTCTTGAAGGAGTGGCGGGGGGGGGGGTTAAAGATGCGTGGGCGCTATGAAAAGAGTGGGATTTCAATTTCTATTCTATCAACAGCATTGTTCAACATATTTTAGTTCAAGTATGGCCGTGGGCCAAAGTATTTTATAGGGTCGTGGCCTTTGGAGGCATGTCAAAAATATGTTCATGCCAACCTAGGAAAGACCCTGATGATGAATTTCGTACTACCCACCCCTCGTTTCTCAACCTTCTCAACCTATTCTTCTATATTGAAACCGCAGCCAAATGTAGCCATGAATAGCGGAAGTATAAAAATATGGTTGCGTGCTAATTGGTTGGGATTACTGCATTAGAGGATTTGTTATCGCGGGTACTAGAGTGATGTTTTGTTCAAATAAATAGTATTTATCAACATACCTCATCCGATGATCCGGCAAACCACTTATGCTTATGACGTAACAGACTGAGCTGGAGATAGTGACAAAGTCTTGTTGGCTGGGATATCTCCAACATGACTTAACCAAGTTAAACTTGCCACCTTCAGCAAATCGTATAAGCTATGATTCATGCACGACACCCCTCCCCTGTCCTTCCCTTGCGTCAGGGATGCAAAGACGATGTAAAATAGATGACGCATTCTAAAGATCGTTTCCAAAACATCGGCCTTTGAACTTCGTTTCACCATGTTTCTCCCTGCTGAATGATTTCGGTGTTCAGGGATTTCTCTGCCGGATTATTGACTATTACTCTTAAACTCTTTGGCTGCATTTCAAGGATTGTCTAAATGAGCAGATTTATCATCAGAGAATTGCAATGTGATGCTTTAGATTTAAATAGCATCCTTTGCCTCATTTTTTCCCAGCTGGTGAAAGGCAGGAGCGACAGCTGTTTCTGCTACTCAGCTCTGTTCCTCCTACTTTCTGTTTGTTAAATTAAAAACCTTTGTTTTTTAAGATGAGGCGCAGCTAATATAAATTAGTCGTATACTATAGGTTCCAGTGTACATTACGTTTACGTCTATTGTTTAGGTGTGGTTTCAAAATCGAAGAACAAAATACAAAAAGGAGAAAGAACTAGAAAAGCTCGGTAAACGTCGAATAAAACGAAAAGGCGAACATCATATCAGGAAGTGGCAAATATTAACGAAACATTTTGGACCGGATACCGAAGAACTGTTCTCTGATCAGTAATGTGACCTCAATGGACCCATGTATCAACATGCACAGAACAGGTCAACCATACTGAAAATGCTTGCTTGGATGCAGTATTAACCATCACAAACGAAGGATACCAAACGGGTGACATATTGGTTTGTATTACGGGGTAGTGTAACGTCGAGGCTGGTGATAGCATTGATGCAAAAGATGCTATGTTTCCGCGATATAAATTTAATTTTCAAACAGCTTCAACCTTTCATATAGTTCACTCACAGATGACAACTCGTACGTAACTGATCTCGCAATTCAAAGCGAGCATAACAACAGCTGTACTTTGGAATAAGTCATAAGTTTGCATGACTGACCACTTAAACTCGTTCCTAGATCCACGGTCGCATATTTTGGCTTGGTGGATTAAGCCAGGAATCATATGAATTCAGCGAGGTTTTCACTCGTTGTTGTTCAATGCATGTAAAACTTTCCTGTACGATAAAGACAAATTTTAAATCGAGTCATTTCGAGTGTAAATAGTGGACATTGATAGGAATATTGTACATAGTAAATCAACTGAAAATATGTAGGTATGTAGGTAAAATTATAACACAAAATACGGGTTAGATGTGAATAGTTCAAGTTAAGAATACTGAGCCGATTTGATTCATATTTGAGACGGGAAACTCGTCTGATGTGAAACCGCAGAGAGTTTCTTGTCCGAATATTCCCTTCTAAACCTTTCCCGTCCATGCATGCAAACAGACTGGTTAGTGGGAGTCCCGTCTGAACGAGAAAGTCGTTTTAAATTATTCGAATCTACAGTAGATAGATAAGTCAGACAATCGAGTTTCTCACTGAATACCAACACGGTAAAAAACGAAACTATGAGTAAGGGAAATAGACAATATTATTGTCGTAATGATTACGTGACGAACATCAAAGTTTATCCATCACAATTGATATTCAGACAGGCTGTCACGGAGTTTCCCGTCCCTAATATAAATTCGACTAAAAAAGTGTAAGCGTAGAAGAAGAATACTAGTTTTATAGTATTCCTGCTTGAATTTAGTATACGAAGACGGAAAATATTACAGAATAGCTGTGTAAATCACATTGTTTAACACTGTTTGATCATATGACGACACTGTTTCTCGGCGGTGCAATGCAATATCTGTCCCTTGAATGCAAGGTCCACAATTTTACCATCGAGGAATGCAATAATCTCTTTTCGCGCTCTCTCGACAACACAGAAAGCCTCGCCTGCATCTATATTCGTATGCAACAGGTAAACACGTTAGATTCGCCTAGATTCAATGTAAATAAATTCACCATTCATGCATAAATATGGTATGCCCCTAAAGGTAAACAGCCTTCAATTCGTTTACATTAATTAATTAAGTAGATTCAAATGCCAGACTCGCAATGTTTTGCGTGCCATTTTCACCAAGATTCACACGTTGCGTTTTCAATTTTGTTTTCCCTTCGGTATTTTTTACGCTTTCGTAACAAAGATTTCTTTTTGCCTTTTTTTTTACCGTCTGCCACGAAATAAAAGATAAACGGAAATAAAGGAAGATATAGTCGGACTTGAGTCCACTTTAAAATCTCGAACTTTTTTATTAAATTAAACTCATGTACTGAAGAAGCCTTGGCCTAAATGAACTGTTTTGAGAGGTTCGGACGAACGGAAAAACGTAGTTTTTAAGAGGAGGCTCCGCACTATCTATTGTTGTTAATGCGTTGGCACATAAGAATAATAATATTTAACACAGACAACACAGACAGGAATGCCTTGAAAGTTGGTCATTAAGCCTGCTTTCCTCTAGGCGGAATTTTCCACGCGGGGGAATTTTCTTTGTTTTTCTTACAGCTCTGCATGAAAGCGCACAGACAATGAAAAATTCTGCTCCACGCGCAAAATTCCGCCTAGTGGAAAACAGGAAAACAACTTGTCACGAGTTCATCGCATGTGTTTCTCGCCACAAGGGGTCTGTGCATGTGACATATGACACTGAAATATACAGATGTGTGACGTCTTTTTAATAATTGTCAGTCTTTCAGCAGGGACCGAGGTTGCAAGACGCAAAAGACTACAGGCTTGCTTCACGCTAGATTTTATCACAATGAAACTCTTCTATCTGTTCTTAATCATCGCCATAACAGCGTTGAACTATTGTGCAGCTGATTTACCACCATATTGTGGGCCAGATTCGGGTGATTATCCAAAATCAAGCGGGGGAAAACTTCTTCAAGTCCATCTGGTGGCAAGGTATCAAGTTATGTTTAACGCAATTTCTGTGCAAGTGTCTATCCATTTGACAGGTCGCCCAACTCTATCGCGCTTATCTTCGGGGAAACTCTATGCTTTCATGCAAAATATTATAGATTTATTCAAGTGCAGTGGCTTCAATTGTTTTTTGCGCTGAGCAAATGGTTTTGCAATTCGCGATATTGTGCAATGCAAATATTTAAAATTGAATCGCAAAAGTAAAGATTGAGAAAGTTCTTACTGAGCTACAGAGCTAGCTAAGATCCAGTCCTCTTTAGTCGAATACTGTCGAATTGATAACTTCACGGTCTTCACCATAATGTGATTTGGAACGAAACTTTAAAGGACTAAAGCATTAAAAAAGCAAAATGATTTCACTCGCGTTAGCTAGCAGAGGAAGCATGCATAAGAAAAAGCTTGTGGTTAAATCAAAACAAGTATCCGGAAATAATTTTTATTGCAATTTTGTGAAACCAAACTTAGAAATGAATTTACCAATGGGAGACATGGCCAAATATGAACGGGCCAATACCGAGCTTGCGCAATTCAGTTCTTTAGACAAACAAGTTATGCTGAGTCAGATAAAATCAATAAAGACAATGAACAAAACAACTCCATACATCACTTCACAACAAATTATCTAGGCATGGAGATCGTATTCAAGCCAATGCAGGGCAGTGTTGGAAAGGTGATGAACATTTATGGGATTGTCTGTTGACTGACGCTATCACTCCAACAATAAACCGGGATCAACATTACCTTCGAGTGGAAAGACTTTATAGAAAAGGTCAGAAATATAAAATGTCAACACTTGGGTGAACACTTTAAGCCTGGTGCAAACTGGGAAACAAAAAAAACCCGTATCAAATAAAGAAACGTCTCTTTTTGTTGCGAAATATTGTTTTCCTTTTTGCTGACCCTCATTGACAATTTACAATTTCTTGGTTTCCAGTTTTCTATACTGGTCGCGAGGAAGTACCTGGCAACTGTGCTCTGGGGCAACTTACAAGTATTGGTTTTAAGCAACAGCTCTCAAATGGCGAAAATTACAGAAAGATTTATGTTGAAAGTGGTTTCTTATCACCAAATTTTTCGTCTGTTGAACATCGTGTTCGTAGCACAAGTAAGTCATTAATTCTATTGCATGGTCAGACAGCAATACATCCTGTTGATACAGTTAATTTGCCGCAGTTTTTAAACAAATTCTTCAGTATTTTCAACTCTACTTTCTTCAGACATGTTTAGGACGCTTCAATCCGCACAAGGTTTCATGACTGGCATGTTTCCACCTTCACAACCAGTGGTAGGACGAGCTGGTATAATGGACATCAACACAATGGATGGAACCTATGAAAATATGTACCCTAACGATAAGTATGGTGCTTGGAAAGTCGCTTACACTGCTTTCTTCAATTTGACAAAGAATAATACCGCACCTTTTTCAGTGAGCGCCGTAATCTGCTCACATGAGCTATAGGTTTTAATAATTTCTTTATAAACCAGTGTAGATAAACTTCCCGCTATGAACTAAGAGAGCATCATTTTTACCATTGTTTAACAACTCTTTAGGCTTTGTCCGAAGTCTAAAGACTATATAACAGCGTATTTCAAATCACAAGACTTTTTGGATCATTATAATTCAGTTAGTAAACAGTTGGTTGAAGATCTTCAAAAAGCATTGGACGACGAAACGTTCAGTATGTATTCAGTCAACTGATTCTTGAAAAGTCAGAAAAGATGTTAGAGACCTTTTAAATACTTCCCAATCCTGGAAGAGTGAGAATGCTTTATGTGAATTAGTTATTGCTCTTTCTTACCAGCTTATCAGGATATATTTATGCTGTTTGACTGTTTGAACGTGTTCAAGTGTCATGAGGTTGATACACCAGCTGGTATTACGCAGGATTTATACCAGAGAGTGAGTGAGGAAGTGACCTACGTTTTCTATCAAATGTACGCTTATCCCAGCCCCGCAGAGGCGGCGAAGGTTGGAATCGGATTCTTTATCAAAGAAGTACAACAGGTTTGTATAGATTGTAATAGAAAATAGTTAATAATACAACTCAAATATTTTGTCCAAGAACCTGCATAAGTGTTTTGAAAAGAAAATTGGGAGAGATCGGGAGAAACTTAGGTTTTTTATGCTTGCTCAGAGCAGCCAGGTTGACAGACTGCTTTGCTCTGACGAAAAAACTTTGTGACTTTTTCAAACATCGAGAGATTAGTTTTGATGCATGCCTTTCAGGGCAAAAACCATAACTATATTACTTTAACCTAAAACTGCGTGTTCAAGTCGTTCCGAATTTTTTTAGGAAATAGAAGCAAAGATAGCCATGGAATCAAAATTGGATTTCATTTTGTATTCTGGTCATGACGTTACATGTAAGTTGTTCGGCCATTCTCGGCAGAATTCCTACACTAATTTAGCTTAATATAGTAAAGATTATATAGATTTACAACAATTTTTCTCCTCAGTGATGACTTTATTGTTGGCATTCAACGTGAGCGATGGAGTATGGCCACCTTACGCCTCTCAAATGATCTTTGAAGTTTACCAAATGACTGATAACTCGCACACCATGCGCATTTTGTACAATGGCAAGGTTATGAAACTCCCGTTCTGTGATGATAAGGAACTGTGTAACACGGATATCGTCAAGGAATATGTGGCCAAATTTGAACCGGAGAGTGTGGCGAAGGATTGCCAGTCAAGTAAAATGAGAGTTTGAAGATGTGAAATGCTGGAACTACTCGAAAAAACAAAAGAAATTTAAGAATCACACGGGAGTATAATTGAGATATGTTAAACTTGAAAATTATCAGAATAAATAGAATTAAATAAATATACTTACAACGAAACATTAATACGAAGAAATTATTATTGTATGATCCCACGAAAGTCATCCATTGAGAATTAAAGCTAACACAAGTTCATTACACGTGAACCTCGCCACAGGAGGCTTGTTGAACACGCCACAACAGCGTTGAACTACATGCATCATGCATGCACAATATATACTAGGGGAATACAATGACATGCGTTTCCAGGAATTTCCTCGGGGATTAAACTGGTGGTGAGTGTTAGTCAAACAGACTCAAACTGATTTAAGCTCAAGCATGTTTATGAAGGGAGCCCAGTGGTTTACAAAACTCCCTTATTTTTCTCGCTATCCAAACAGGTCAATCAGAGAACCGGCTAAAATAGTCGGTCGACACAAAAATGACCAAATGTTTCGATTAGTTTCTCCTCATCAAATAGATTATCATTAATCCACATTATTATTATTATTAATTACCATCTCGCGAGTTCACTGCGTAGAAAACTTCGCCACAAGAGGTCTTTGTGACACTTGACACTTGCGAGAAAAATATACTGACCTTTGGCTCTGTCGTATCGACGTATTGAGGTTGCAAGACGCAAGAAGACGTCAGGCTTGCTTCACGCTAGATTTTATCACAATGAAACTCTTCTACCTGTTCTTAATCATCGCCATAACAGCCTTTAGCTATTGTGCAGCTGATTTACCGCCATATTGTGGGGCAGATTCGGGCGATTATCCAAAACCAAGTGAGGGAACACTTATTCAAGTCCATCTAGTTGCAAGGTATCAAATTATATTTATTGGTTTTCCACAAATATTTACCAAATTAACAAGTCTTCGAAATCTCACGCGTATTATGCAAAAACACACGCATTTGACAGCTCTCATCCTCGCACGCTTATGGACTAAAATCTTTATTTTCAACACGAATTTTCCTGACGCATTCTCAACTATAGAGTTGTTTGTGACTGCAATGGCTTATTGTGAATTGCAAAGTCGGAAGGTCTCTGGTTTAAACTTAAATTTTTAATGATTCAGTTGTAGTTGCTGTTGCTACATATGCGCTCAAAGTGAAATTCAGTTTTGCAATTTACGTTTTTGTGCAAACAATGCAAAATTTTAGCAATTTTAAACCTGATGCTGAAGCAGCAGCAATGTTGAGTTCAACTCGATTTGCAAAAGTTGGAAACGTTTCAACTTGGCTAACATCCAATTCCCTTCATATATTCGTGTTCTTAAATTGTTTATTTCTTTTGAAATCGATTGTATTTACGCGAATATATGAATATACGGTCCTCTTCCAAGTTATCGAGGCCAGCCTAGCTACGCAACAAGTCAACAACAGCTATAGCTTGCGTGATTCAGAGTGAATCAAGCCAAGGCAATGAACAAAACAACTCCATACATCACTTCACAACAAATTATCTAGGCATGGAGATCGTATTCAAGCCAATGCTGGGCAGTGTTGGAAAGGTGATGAACATTTATGGGATTGTCTGTTGACTGATGCTATCACTCCAACTATAAACCGGGATCAACATCACCTTCGAGTGGAAAGACTTTATAGAAAAGGTCAGATATAAAGCATACTAAAATATCAACCGCGTCATGACTAATGTTAAGCCTTGTGCAAACTAGGAAAATGTTTTACGAAAACATTTACAAGGCTGTGTACCTTGCATGGAAACAGTGCTCCGTCTCCGAAAACAGAAGTCGCTTCTTACAAAACAAGTTGATAGAAAAGAATAATTTTTGTTTGTTGTGAAAACATTGCATGTTTCTTATGTTGCCTGCATGAGACTCGTTGACAATTTACAATTCCTTGGATTACAGTTTTCTATACTGGTCGCGAGGAAGTACCTGGTAACTGTGCTCTGGGACAACTTACAAATGTTGGTTTTAGGCAGCAACTCTCCAACGGCGAGAATGCCAGAAAAAATTATGTTGAAAGTAGTTTCTTGTCACCAAATTTCTCGTCTGTTGAACATCGTGTTCGTAGCACAAGTAAGTCGTTAATTCTATTGCATGGTCAGACATCAATACCTCCTGTTGATGCAGTTAATTTGCTGTAGGTTTTAAACAAATTCTTCAGTATTTTCAACTCTACTTTCTTCAGACATATTTAGGACGCTTCAATCCGCACAAGGATTCATGACTGGCATGTTTCCACCTTCACAACCCGTGGTAGGACGAGCTAGTATAATGGACATCAACACAATGGATGGAACCTATGAAAATATGTACCCTAACGATAAGTATGGTGCTTGGAGAGTCGCTTACACTGCTTACTTCAATTTTACGAAGGATAAGAATATCGCTCGATTTCAGGGAATATATAGAACCTGCACTGCGCGGGAACATTGCAACGCGATTTCGCTGCGATAATTCTGGAGCAGTGTGAAAATTTCACCAGGTGAAAATCAAGTCTAGTCATTTTTACTATTGTTTAACAACTCTTTAGGCTTTGTCCGAAGGTTAAAGACTATTTAACAGCGTATTTCAAATCACCGGAGTTTATTGATCATTATAATGCAGTTAGCAAACAGTTGGTTGACGATCTTCAAAAAGCATTGGACGACGAAACGTTCAGTATGTATTTAGTCAACTGATTCTTAAAACGATGTTACATAACTGGACACCTTTTAAATCCTGGAAGAGAATGCTTTATGTGAATTAGTTATTGCTCTTTTTTACCAGCTTATCAGGATATATTTATGCTGTTTGACTGTTTGAACGTGTTCAAGTGTCATGAGGTTGATACGCCAGCTGGTATTACGCAGGATTTATACCAGAGAGTGAGTGAGGAAGTGACCTATGTTTTCTATCACATGTACGCTTATCCCAGCCCCGCAGAGGCGGCGAAGGTTGGAATTGGATTCTTTCTCAAAGAAATACAACAGGTTTGTTTATTTTTCTTTATTTATATCCAAGGATATATTACTTAACATTAAAATAGGAGGATCGGACCAATATACATTTATTTGGTCCTGAGAACTGCACATGACAAGGTAAAACCTAAAACGTTTTAAGGTTTGATTGATTGCATTGCCGTGATGATGCACAATGCAAATGGTTTTGAATTTTTCTAGGAGGTAATAGCAAAGATAAATAAGGAATCCAAATTGAAGTTCATTCTGTACTCTGGACACGACATTACACGTATGTTGCAGTCAATTTCTTTTTAATCTAAACAGAATTTATGATATGGTATGGTATGGTATGGTATGGTATGGTATGGTATGGTATGGTATGGTATGGTATGGTATGGTATGGTATGGTATGGTATGGTATGGTATGGTATGGTATGGTATGGTATGGTATGGTATGGTATGAAATGGTATGGTATGAAATGGTATGGTATGGTTAGGTTATAGTTTTAGATCAATTTTTTTTATCAGTGATGACTTTATTGTTGGCGTTCAACATCAGCGACGGAGTCTGGCCACCTTACGCCTCTCAACTGATCTTAGAAGTTTACCAAATGAACCAGGATTCATACGCTATGCGCATTTTGTATAATGGCAAGGTCATGAAGCTTCCGTTTTGTGATAATAAGGAAATGTGCGACGCAAATCTTGTCAGGGAGTATTTGGCGAACTTTGAACCAGAAAGCGTGGAAAAGGATTGTCAGCCGAGTGAAACAGTTGATGAGAAAACACCAAAAATCCCCCAGTAAAATTAAGATACGTTAAATATGAAAATCAACACAGCAAAACTGAATGAAATTAGTATATGTACAACGAAATATTGATGCGTACGAACGATTAATGTATGATTTAAAGGGTTTATCATTGGCAGCGATCTAAAAGATTGATAATAAAAAGTATATTCATATCAATTAGTACGATCTATGATCCGTTGATTTCTTGAAAGTAGGCGAAGTTCTATAACTAGGAGAGAGCTATTTGAGTTCACCTTTCGTTATCATCTTCTTCACTGCTTAATGAATCAAATGTGTCTGGAAAAAATAAAATAAGTGACGATCATAGCTAGATATTTAATGGTTAAACACACTTCATGATCACCTTGAGCCCCAGTTCAGTTGCGACTGTAAATTTGTAAAGCAAGCGAGGAAAACGGAACGCGCAAAATGTGAGCAACTTCAAGTCCTGTATTTTAAAGTGCTGTGGCAAGATTAAGGAAGAAAGGAAAACTTACCTAAAATTCCTGTTTGTAGTTTTGCGAGCTCGTTGATCGACGGTTTAACCATTCTCCTAGGATCTTCTTGTATTTCTGAAAAATAATTTTAATCTTATTCTTTATATTTTTCAACTGGTATTAACACAGAGATACGGGTGTTGACTACAAAGAGGACCAACCAGTGGCAAGTGAAACCAACCAGTTAAACCAGTGGAACCTACTAGTTTAACCAACTAATGACCCGTGGAACGAACCAGTTGAACCAACCAGTTGAACCAACCAGTTGAACCAACCAGTTGAACCAACCAGTTGAACAAACCAGTTGAACAAACCAGTTGAACCAACCAGTTGAACCAACCAGTTGAACCAACCAGTTGAACCAACCAGTTGAATCAACCAGTTGAACCAACCAGTTGAACGAAGCAATGATCGGTGGAACCAAAAATTAACCAATGGCACAAACTGGTGGCAAACACAACCAACCTACCTTTCAAATGATCTTTCCTTGGTTGGTTTACGTGAAGATTTTCTGGTCGTAGAGAGGACTCTGTCGTCGTTAGACTTGGCGCTCTTAACCTTGGTTTCACTGTGACTCCGGGTAACTCTTGCTGGCTGTGAGAAACTTTGCTTATAAAACTATCGATACATTGCTGTCTCACAATTGCCATCCGCCATAACTTCTTTATCTCATCCGTCGTCTTCTTCGACGAAAAAGCGACAGAAAATTCTTTCCCCTCCTTCGGCAACCCATACGCGAGCCTCGACACGGCCGGAACATCGAGCGCATTCCTAGAAACATGCATGTGTTTGAGGCGCTGTTTCTTAGTTTCTTGGAACTTTTCTCGTACTCTTCGAAGTTCCTTACGATTCTGTTCGTCTTCTTTGAGTCTTCTGTTGAATTCCTGAATGCTTTTGTTCACTTCCTTTTTAATGGATTTCTGCTGGAATTCGTTCATTCTCTCTCGTATAGACTGAAGACGGCGATCTCGGGCTTCTTCATTGATGTAAATTGACCTAAGCCGTCTAAAAGTCTCGGCTGCTTTAGCATCCAACGTGATATTACGCGTGCTTTTTGATCTGCGCGGTGGATTCATATTCTCCGTTTTTGTCGTGCTCCGTGTTTCACAACTTTTTGACCGTTCGAACGTCGATTCGTTTCGCGAGAGCACGGCCTGACGTGCCCGGTGGTTCGCCCAGGATCTCGCCCAACGGCGGTCGTTTTTCACGGGTCTATACGAAGGTTTGATTTCTGTCGTCGGTTTCAAATACACAGGATTCGAACGCTCGCTTGAGTCGTTTCTGGCCAGAAGAGAAACCTTGAACGTTTCTATAGAGACGAAAGATATTCAGCAGCATAAAAAGTTTATGTTTATTCTGCGAAGCCTCTTTATGTATCTAAGATCTATTTTAACTTGGATACTATAGTCTATATTTCCTTGTTCTTGATAAACGTAATTGTGTTTTGTAGGTAGAAAAATATATGTTGGAACTAGCAATGAAAATAAACCCCTACCTCTGCCCGTCGCTGGTTTGCTCAAGTATCTAACTTTGTCATTTCCTTCACCCCTCGTCACTACTAATCTTTCATGATTTTTATTGGGCTGAGACTGTCGTAGTCTTTGAAATGTATTCCAACTTTGTGAGATAAACTGATGTTCAAATGAACTATAAAACACGCAATGTTTACGACTAAGTAAAATGGATAATTCTGCGGTAGATACGTACCAAGAACAAGGTAGCTACTGAAGCAGCTTTTGAAATAACCTCTTATGGAATTAGTTCGACAGTTGAAATACCATTGAAAGTTGCTGATCTCATTTCACGAGAATGTAGTTTTTGTGACAGTGACAATGTTCACGATGTAACTCGACAATGACTGTTTTTAAAGAAAGTAGCAGAAAGTTACAGAACTATTGCTAAGACGAATAGAGACATTAGTATTTGTGGCCCCAAATCCCACTTGATCTTCCTTGATCTATTTCCGTCGTTAAAGATCAAGGAAAGATTTATTAGTATAATTAATTAACCAATCTAAAAATTAGAAACGTTTTTGGTAAAATAGACGAAATTAGAGAAACCGCAGGAATATTGTATGGAACAGTCACCTTCTTCCTTTCCATAATACTATTTGTAGCGTTTTAATAAAGTTACTTCGCTAAATTGCGCAGTATTGTGGAATACATTAGGGTACGGTAAAGCAATATATTAACTTGATAAGAATTTCAAGTATTAGGATAATATATTCTGTAACAACACATTTTTTATCCTGAAAGGCGTGAATATATTACCTGCCTAGGAAGTAGGAAGGCGCGTTGGTAGAGTTGAATATTGTACTCAGTATTCACAACTAGTTGATAGCGTTAATATAAACACGCTGGGGCACTGCTTTTATACCGTATTCTGATGATCGTATATACCTCTTGATATACTCACTATTATTGCATGTTTGTCGTATCCCTCCTTCTAAACTTTCGCTAGTTACTAGCTACATCATTACTTTAGAATTTAGGAAGAACAATTTCCGTCGATAACTCGATATCAATGTAAAAGTGATTCAACAGCATCGGTTTAATCCAGAATACACAAACGAGCACATAATCCTTTTATTACCTGCGAGCATTTGATCCAAAATTGGTCGCGAGGCCTCTCTCAACACTGACACACGTAGGTTTCGTATTCATGATTGGTGATGGAACCCAGCTATGTGATGTGACAGTGATATGATAGTGATCTTCACCTCCCAACAAAACTAGTTCATATACGATACATCTCTTCCGTAACACTTTAGATCAAGTATAGCGCAAGGCCATACTTAGTTTCGACAAAGTTTCAAATACCTTGAAATGCAAGTAAGTTAATCTCCCATTTATCGACGACTCAACAAAATAACTCCTTTTATTGCGTCGCTGTGACCTTTGTGCGTTTTGTTGCTATAGCAGCGTAGCAATGAAACTCTCATTTGCATTGATTCTCAAGACAACCGACATAAAAACGCGTTTTTGCTATGAAACATCGGTTATTTAACGCTAGATACTTGCTCTCACAACTAACCATGCTTTCTCGCGCAAAGATAGCGTGGTTTCCTCTTCGAAATCACGGATATTCCACAGCTATAAATTACAGGCCTCAAACAGTGAAACAGCGTAATTATTTTCTTCTAACAATGTGTTTGTTTGGACTCTGGTAATTCATTAATTAGACAAACATGAACGTTTTGTAGTTCGCCATTCGACACGAAGAAGTGACATAGTTAAACAGTGAAGACAAATATATGCCATGACTCGTAATATGTAATGTAAATTTCTAAGAGCTCTTGAGAAAAAGGCTGGAGTTTTGGGATGGCTTAAATAAAATTGGAAATATATGAGCTTTAATATATTTTAATGATATTTTATTTGACAATGAATTAACTATGGACAGTTTATTCGAAATGTATTTTTGTATTCAGTTATTCAGTTATAATATTCAGTTATTTTTAGCCAAGGTCTTTCAATGTTTTAAAACAAATTAGGACATGTTCAAACGTGGCAGTTTTCAAGTGTTAAAAACAGTAACACGATACTAATGAAACATATCACCTGCTCATTTATGTAATTATTCTCTTGTATTTGCACGTCTAATGTCACACGTAACAAATTTCTCTAGCGCTGAACTTTGGAAATCGCCAAGTGGTTAAATGGGTATAATTTTTTTAGTTTTGGCCGCGTTTTTGTCGGGCGAAACGTAGGTCTGTGTGACGTAGGGCTTTTAGATCTTTTTACTTACAGCCACTCGGCTGAGGCATTTATCATATGCTGGCACTTCAGATTCAGTGTTCTGATGATTGGCTGAATGCGGTTCAGCAAAGGTATAGAAAGTGCGAATAGCCGCCATTTTTATACGCTTGGCCACGCCTTTTTGTAAAAGCATGGTCCAGAGCATGGCCTGCTTAGCACGCGCACGTGGAGCAGGCCTGCAGGCGGGTGTACGAGGGACGATCATCATGGCCGACAATCTCAGCGAGACCGAATTGAGAGAAAATATTGCAGGTTTGACTAATAATTTATACATTTTTTGGCATTTTATTACCTAAAACTAAAGTAGTTTCTCAATCCTAATGGTCAATCAAAACACATTTTGAGAATTCTTTTTCCCTTCTGTAGAAATTATCGACAATGGGGATCTGGCGACATTAACTTCTAAGAAAATTCGACAAATATTGGAAAAGAAACACAACACTACCTTATCGCATAGGTTAGGGAAGTTGTTCACACGAGAGTCTAGACTATATTCCTTCTTATTTATTTCGCTACATGCTAGCTTAAGAGAGTTAAAGAGTTGTGCCAAGTCAATGTAATTCACTGTCCCCCATTTTTCCTTTGTTTTGGAAGATGCCAATCCGTCTGTCTGCTGTGTCTGACAAACAATTTGTTATTGATTATGAATGAAGTTAAATTGGAAAACCTGCCTATATTTAGATATAATTATCTGATGATATGCAGCAAATAACCAAAAGTTATTGCCTGAGTTTATTGAAGTTCTGTTGATTTTAGGCTTTTACAGCTGCTGTGACCTCTCATTGAATCTAGAAAAAACTTTTGACCTTGCTCTTGTGTGTTAAAGCTTTGTTAGGCTTTGACTTTGACAGCTGACAATGTAATGAAATAACACAGTACCAATGCAAAAGCAATGGATTTTTTCACCTAAATGTGCTTTTTCCAGTCTTCTCCAGAATCATTTAAAGGGCTTTTGCTTTCTGTTGTTCCCATGTCTAAATTTTTATGATAGGAATGATTCAAAAAGCACATGAGTTTCCTTAGCAATTTTTTTTTGTCAATTTTGAGAGGCAATATTTTTCTCTCTAGATCTACCATAGTGAGTATGCCTAACCATTCCAAAGTCTCATTCCATAGTCACTCACTGACTGAATGCCACCTTAATAATTTAAAAATGTTATGCCTGGCCGTGTTGTATTGACCACTAAATTTAGCTGTGATATCATGTCTAAGTACCAGTCTTGTGTATTTTTTCACTGCATAAAAATGGACTGCTCTATACTATAAGAGAACAAGTCCCACATATTTTACCTGGATCATGGCTGAGAGATGATAAGCACTCTCTGTCAGGTCTTCTGAATCCATCCATGCTTCAATTGATGTTACAGAAAGAAGCAGATTGATGACATAGTCATGCAATTGGTTGATGAAAAGTCGGATAACAGCGACGAGGAGAGTGGAAGTAAAAGTGACGCTGGAAAGAAAGAGGTAACATTGAAGACTGTGGTGTTCTTGATAAAATCTTAGCTGGCTTTACTACAAAAGTTGTTTCATTTAACAAACTGTGACCAATGTTCGCATCTTGTCATTTTTTCAAACTGCAAATAGATTGTTTGCAGTGTGCATGCAGCGACTGTCCTAAGCAATTTGAAAAACAACTGAATAATAAACATTTTTTCTTCCCAGGAATCGTCAGAAAAAGAATCCAAATCTCCAGTCAAATCTGAAAGGGTAAATACCATTTGATTTTTCAAAATATAACTTTAATGCCAACAAAACTGTCAATATTCCTCCAACTAAACCATTCATCAAAGTCTAATTTGCTCATCTTCATTAAGTGTTAATAAAATATTTTTTGATGTGAAACAGAAAAGAAAAGTGAAGGATGAGAGTGATTCAGATGATATGTCTTACCAGGTATAAATAGTTTTGTTCAAATGAATGAAAAGAAATTGCCTTAGGTCATTTCTGTTTGTTAGATTTAGATCATCTTTGTTGATGATTCTTTAGAGTGAGAGCGAAAGTGACTCGGATGAAAAGAAAAAACCAAGGAAGAAGAAAGCTGCTAGGAATGTAAGATGAAGACATTGAGTGTGTGTTATCAGTTGCATGAAACATATGAAATCATCTGCAGCTTTCTTATTTGTTGCAGAAGGAAAAGGGAAAGGCAGCCAAGAAACCCAAAGCCGAAAAAGGAGAAGGAGGAAAGAAGAAAGGAGGTAAATGAAAGTAGAGAAGACAAAAATACCCAGGGAAGGGTTGGGTGTGGTTATGGTAGGGGGCAGTAGGGAGGGCAGGCTAGCTGCTAGCTATGGGTTGGAGTACAAGAACATTCTGTATGGGATAAAATATATGTTTCTCTACATGCTACTTACATTATCAGAGCCTCAGATAAACACTCAGACTTACGTTTTTACAATGTTCACAGGTTTCTCAATGCCAATGTTGTTATCACCAGAACTGGCAGATCTCATGGGGGAAACACATGTGAGCATAAACTGTTTGTTGCATTTTTAATGAACCTTTTTAAAATTTGAATGTTTTTCTCCCTTTAATGGCAATGAAAAGATGTATTTATTTTATAGATGGCTCGTTCAGAGGTTGTGAAAAAGATGTGGCAGATTATCAAAGAAAGAGATTTATTGGTAATTCGTTTGTTCTTTTCTTTCTTACACCATGAACATCAATTGCTATTGCAAAACAAAAATTTGAAAGTTTAGTTCACCGCAGCTCAAACTGGTGTAAAAGTGATAGACATGAAAGAACTAAATGAATAGTTCTAAAAGATTTGGTTCTATGAATTGCTCAGTGTTTGATGAATTGTTTTGATTTGTTTTCTAAAGGATCCCACAAACAAACGGTACACAATCTGTGATGAACAGCTGGAAAAAATCATTGGTAGGTGAATGTATTTATTTCTGCGAAGATATTTTTGCTATTTGCCTATGCGGAAAATAATAAACTGTTTTAAACTTTTATTTAAAATTCCTTCAATTTCTACATTTTTTTCTCAGGACAAAAGCGATTCATGACATTTGCCATGATGAAATACCTCAAGAAACATGTCATTGATCCATCCCAGGTGCAGTAAAGGTACACAGAAGGATAAACAAAGACCTGAGGTGATCTGGCTGTGTGCCAGTTTATGTAGTAGTTTGTTCCAGTTTGTTCTCGTTCGTTGCGTTTTTAAAGCGGTCATCCATGCTAGTAAGATATCGATTTGTGACCACGAATTGTTTTTTAACAAGTGAAGAACTAAACTGTTTTAGTGAAGGTTCAATGCTTTAGTGAATGCAAAACTGGGCAGTCTTTGACGATACATTTATGAATTAACCATTCACTACAAATTCCCAGAAAAACTAGAAGTTTGGGAGGGCAACATTCAGAAAAGATGTTTGCGCTTTGAAATGGTACACACAAAATGTAATACTCAATCGCTCTCCCTGACTTCTCATAGCATTATTTTTAGATTATTTGAATAGCTTTTTATGGTCTTTAGTCGGTGCATTATCGCCACCATTTTATTGAGCAGTTTTTGTTATTCCAATGAAGTTGTATTAAGCCTAATCTTACTGGAGTTAAATTGTAGGCGGCCTAAAACTGCCCTAGAAATTTTTCGGTAATTTGTCAATATAATTAGTAATGCATAAATATAGTAATGTATAATTACATGTAATTGTACATTACTAATTATATTGAAAAATTACCAAAAATTTTCTCACACAGTTTTGGGCTGCCTATGGTTAAATCCACAATTACTGCAAAAATTGTGGATGGTAGTACTAGAATTCATGAAGTCTAAAATTGTTTATTTGATACTTAATGTTGATGAGTTAACTGATGTTCCTTAAAAACACCGGCATAGAAAAAAGGTTAAATTATTTTAATTTGTGCTAAACTTTTATTTCTTTTGGTCGACTTCTTTTTTTCATTCATGCCTTATGGTATGAAGTGTGCCTCCACTGTGATCTTTACAGTAATGGTTGATTAACTTCTTTAAGAATGATATTGGCATTCGTTAATGGCAGTTATGGTATACTAAAGGAGTAAAAATATTCATGTTCGTTTTTATAGTTAACCATAGTGGTAATAAATCTGGTTACTTATTGAGTTACGGAAGAGTTAATTTGGGGTTTTGATTTGGGTGTTCACATGGTTAACTAACCTTACCTTAGGGAACAAGTTGCCAACTGAGTGATTACAATTTACAAACGACTCAATTCATAAAATATTTTTTATTTCTGCACTAATATTACAATTCAACCCACTACATATACAAAATGCATAAAAATTTATATGTGTAGATGCTTTTGTAAAACATATTTTTATAGTGAAACTAAATCGCGAAGTACCTTTAAAAGTCGCTTCGCTTCTTGATGCAATTCAACTAATTCTATCTTCTCATTGTCCCCAATTTTGAAGTATATTTTAATAAATAGATTTTGCTTGTTTTATGAACAGCAATGTCTTGCTGAAACGTGCACAAATTGATTTTTTAAACAATTATGTGGAAGGGCCTGAAATTGATGACTATATAACCATGTCATAAAGCATAAAAACAGAGCGCCTAAAAGCCACCTATCCTATTTATAATATGAAAGAATGTTATATGACAACCGTAGAAATGGGCACATGACATATTCCAGGTAACTTTTTACATTAGAAATAACTTGATATACAATTTGTGCACGCTTGTTCTCAGCTATTAAGGCGCATTAATGATATTTTGCTATTAACATTTTTATTTACAAGTTATATATTTTCCCTGAATGCTATAATTGTAGAATGAATATTCTAAGCAGCCAATTTTATATTATTATATTTACACTAACTTAAATAAGCAATGCCACACTTCTTCAGTACTGGCATTGCCCATTTAATAGACCATAACTATAAGTTGAACGGTTTCCTCTTAACCCCAAGGACAGAACACAATATAATATTTTCATAAAAAATATTCCAGAGAAGTGAATAATTATGCCAATGGGGGGGTTAATATTTTTACAATGGTAAAATTGGATACCAATTTTACCTTGGATTTTTGGATTCAATAAAATTTCTACATTACAAATCCCAATCTTGACCGCAAGAACATTATGTACATCTGAAATTTTTACATATATCGTATATTGGCAGTTTTTGGTTCAGTAAAACCAACTTAGCTGTGACTGAATGGTGCAATAATTTAATTTTTTAGCTGTGGTGGGTTGTTGGATATCTGAGTTATAGTTAAATCATGGAAGTTGCTTATCAATAAACCGATCATGTGGTCTCTACACAATAGACCTGACAATCCACTTCTCTGATACACAGTATTATACTAATAGGCCTCCAAATAAGTACAATATATACATTTGCCTGTTAATATATCCCTGTAGGGATTGAGCCTTCAAAGGCCACCATCACTACCGCCACTCCCATCTGTGCTGCAACGATCAGATTCACTATGGTACTCTGTATCCTCTATATCAATCTCATCATCGCACACAGACTCTCCCTCAGAGCCTTTTCGTATTCTGAGTTCGAGGTCGCCTTTGAGACACCGCAGTTGTTTCATTAGCTTTAGCCTTTCTTTATATAATTTTTCTTTTGTTGCTACGGCTTTCTTGTCAGTATTCTCCAACACCTATCATGACATTTATAATTAAAAATTCTAATGAGTTTGAATTTATATTATGGCTACCTTTAGAAAATAAAATACTAATTAAAAACCATTTTTCATCAATGTATACATAATTGTAGAATTGACACACACTTTTCAGGGAAAATGTTAACATCAATAGGAACAGATGGGATGAATGAATTGTTTTACCTTGATGTAGTGTCTGGCATTTTGTAAGAGAGATAATGTTGTTGATTTTTGATGATCAGGTGGTGTTGGAACAATTTCTTTGAGTGTTTCAAGACAGTCTCGAAGATGTGCACGTCTAGAAGTGGGGAGAGATGTTACTTAGTCATTTTGCTACGTTTTATCAAAGATATAGTCAAATTTAGGGTGGCTTACGACAGGTTGAAACCTGTGAATATAATAGACTAATAGTTGTGATAAGTGCACTTGAACAATGCTCTTTCACTAGTGTGCTTGAATTTTTATCACTGAATAACAAGAGTCAACAAAACTTTCAATGTTAAAAAATCATTGTTAATGTATGAGATTCCTTCAAATTAAATCCTATACTAGAGGGAGCGTAATTTGTCCATGACTCTTAAGTGTTTTTTTAAAGAAATCTTTAATATTGTCACAATTGTTGGTTATTTTGTTACCCCCTGGACTGCTTTGCCCTTGGCAAGGCCAAGGAGCATCGAAAAGTTGTAAAAAGTGTAATAACGAGGCCGAATATTTACACCTGGCTTTTAGATGAAACTAAATTATACTAAATGATCTAATATTTTTATAATTTATAAGACATCGTAGCTAATATTCCGTCACGGAAAAAGCAAGCAATGGGCTATTACGAATCTCGCAGTGCGACATCACGAAAATATGCAAAATAAAAACGTCGAATTTTATTACAAACGACGCGATGAATTCGTGGGGAGTATTGCGGTCGGCTTGGTATTTTTGTATTTTATTTAAACACTGCTTAGAGCTTCGTGGATTGGGCAGCAGTTGTGAGAAAACTAAAAATAATGGCCCACAACAGGTGCGAACGCGAACCAAGCTTCTCTACCTGTGTTTTGCCATGGCGATTTTTGTTCACACTTTTGCCAAGCGTGTCAATTTTGCTGCATTTTCCCCGGCGTGCATATGTACAGAAATTAAACGAAATGGGCGGTTTTTTAGAGCGAACGGTTGAGACAATAAAGCAATATTACAAACAACATATAAAATCAATAAAGCCGGAAACCTAACACATATAGCATCGCCCCTTTTTCCGGTAGTACGTTTTATGCGAAGCGTACGACAATCGCGTTCCTGAAACGTCAGACTTGGACACTCCCGTTTCCTTAGCAAAATTCTGGCTCAAAGGCGTAAATTGTAACGTCGACAGGCCACACATGCATATATACATGCGAGATCATTTTGATAAAAGTTCCCTTTGTTTATATTTTGATGTACAGCAGAATGAGTTTCGCCAGGTGAACTGAACGACAACGAGACACGTGCGAATATATAACTATCCCACACACGTGGCATGGAAAAACACTCGTGGTTCTTCAAAATCCATTGAGAAACTTCAAAAGTTCTATGTGTTTGTTTAATACGTAATTTCTTCATTTGCGAAAGCCTACCTGTTTTTTTCGAGTTGGTTGTGTGTGGAGCGGCTAAAAATTGCAGAAATAAAACAAAATTAAAATGTAAACAATTGAGGACCGCGGGGTCATCAGTTAAATATCGTGATGCAAAAGTCTCGCAATAGTAATCTATGTTTGCTTAAAAGACTATTCTAGGTGCTCTTTATCTCTTGAACGCTTGCTAATGTTTTCCGTGCATAAAATAAAAAGATAGTGAACAATTCGTACTATGCTTTTCGCAGCGTGATGTATGGTAATCAAGACGATGCCATCTGGCTATGTTCAGAGTTTTATTAAACCCAAGGATAGCATTGAAATGAACCAAAGCAATGCTCACAAGCAGACCGAGCAAAATACAAAAGGAAGTTTGAAAAATCTCATGACATAATATCCATAAATACTAAGGAAATTGCAAGGAAGAATTCTCAGGGGAAGCCCCCCAACATGGCACTAGGCCCTTCGGGAAAAACGACCGAAATTTCTCGCGTACGACATATATTTAAATTGCGTTCGCTTAAAGTACTTCTAGGCCACAAGTAAATAGATAAGAATAGTTGTGCACGAAGTAGTAAAGAATTTCAGTCGGTTACTGTCATCGAAATCCGGCCATATTTTCGCGTGCATATTTCAATCCACAAGTAAACACAGGACAGCGAGCGTTTCGTTGGCAATTAATCCTTATCCCGTTTATTACGTGTGGATACTGGTTGAACGTTTTCGGTTTTCTTACCTGTAGCTCGGTGAACGTTTATTTTGTCTTTTGCTTTTCTTATCTGGCGTTCGTAGCCGCTTGTCAACTAGCACATGAAAACAAAACTGTTATTATAGAGCCACATTAAAATACAGGCATCGTCACTGACGACAACATGGAAAGCGTCGATATTGAAGAGCTTGGCAAGCTCTTGAAGGAACAAAACTTCACTTACTCGCTTCTTGTTCCTCTAATAGCTTTGCTGCAGCAAGAAGCTGTTCGATTCCCATATTTTCAGGCAAAGAACTGAGCTAGGTTCGATACAATTTCCAAAACTGAACAGTGCCGGTGATGATTGTGGCTGACTAAAGAAATTTTTGTCACGCGCGATAACGTCATTCGAGTTCAGCCCAAACACAAATAAAACAAGGAATCTGATTGGCTGATCGTTGAAAGGGACCAATTAGGAAATTGACTTAGGGAAAATGAACCAATCAGAGAGCAATATTTCAACAACGGTGAAATCCACATGACCGCCAGAGTGTCACACGTGGGCGGCGATTCAACGTGCTTGTAAACACAAGTGAAACCATAGGGGCAGCGTTTCGAATCAAAATTCAATCGAGGCCCAAATTTGATGTTATCGGACCTCTAATCTCACTGTTTTATATGTATTGTATTCCCGTAGAAATGCTAAGTGCCCTTGCTAATAAAAATACAGTATTTTTGCTTTCGCCTTTGGCTGCAATTGGTTATATATTGTACAGATTGTGTGTACATTGTTTTCGCGAACTTAATTGTAGATGTCGCCGATAAAGTGTCTAAGATTATGGTTATGGTTTCATCCAATAAAAATATTGCGATAGCGTACGGTAGAGATCAATTGAAAGGCACAACGGGAATGTCCTCAAGAACAATATTGAAACATAGCGCGTGGCCACGGTCGCCTCTGTTGACAAGCATGTTGTGAATTTAATCGCGAGGTGTCATACGAAACTGCTCTGACATATGTTTCGAGACGGTTTAAAACGCGGTCCTAATCCCACAGATTCGTATTTACCTATCTGATATTTTTAGCGAAAACACTTGTATTTTATGTTAATAAGGTTATTGTGCGGTGAGAGGTTAATATCACCTGATATATTCCAGAACGCGAACAAACTCGTTCGCTTTCTAGCGACAGCGTTTAGGCATAAAAAAATGCGATAAGTCAGCGCTTTTTACGGTCATTGGTCACTACTGAGACACAATAGGATATAAAACACGCCCAGGCAGGTTGAAAGTTAATCCTTTTCGCCTAGATAATATCAAACAGTCTAGGGCTATATATTGTTAGATAAAATCAAGCAGTGTCGGGATATATATATTGTTACTGTTGTGTCTTTTGAACTATTATAAGTTGATAAGGAATCGTTGACAAGGAATAATATTAATACCTATTGTAACCTTTGCTAGAATAGTCGGTTTAGATTAGTCGTAATCCAATAGAATTCAATCTACTGTTCTACTGTTGATATTTGTAAACCTATGTTTTGCCATGCTGTGCCCTTAGAGTGAAGAGCTGGGTCACTTAGGTGCACCGACTGCTTGTGATATCGCGACACATCTACCGGCAAACATGCGTATTTTTTACATAGTGTTTCAATTTCAACGTTAATTGTCGTTTATTGATATGCACAATTGACGCCACAAGCATACTATAGTTGCGTAATTGATGCAGTTTCTAGTTTTTTTTTATTAAAGCAGAGACTGTAGTGAGGTGTTGGTTGTGTAAAAGTACTAATTTATATCCATGCTCTAGCGTTCACTACTTCCTACAATCCCGCCCTACAGCTGATATAGTTAAGTGCTGACATGATCAACAATAGTTTGGGCAACACTTTACATAAAGAATTACGCGTCAAAAATTGCAGCTTCGTGGGCTCTAATGCTGCCGGATTTTAGGATACAATTCAATTTAGTCCGTATTAAGAACTCTTTTCTACCATGGAATGTTGTTATGTTAAATCTTCTCGTGTAGGTCTACCACACGACAGGCGAGAAATTTGATGCTGTTTTGCAAGTATACATGCAGGTGCCAGTATTTTGGCCAAAATTATGGGTTTTACACGAAACAAGGTCCGTTTGAATCTATGTTCTCAGAAACATGCATATGGACAAGTGTGGAAAATTCTCATCCGATATGACCACCAACGAATATTTTCGGTCGGGTTACAACTCTTCTTTCTTCATCACATGGTTTATGGTTCCCACGTGAATTTCGCAGTGAAATCATTCGAGCCTGTTATTAACATCTGCATAACAACTGCTTCGGATAAAAACAGCATCAGCTTTTGTATATTTCGTTAATAATTCATAACAACGCCAATTTTCACGGAAAGAAGAATGACGAGCTTGCTTACGTAAAGGTACAAAAGTTTAATATGACGCGTTTTTGGAAAAGATGTGCGCGCTTCAAAAATTAGTCAAATTGGGAAACAGTGGAAACATAGGCTTCCCTGTTCCTGGCCACCGCGCAGCAACCCGAAGGTATTTTTGCACGTTGCTCTGTAACTTGTTAGGTTATATGCTGTCAAAATATCCGTGCACACTTTTAAATATTTACATTAGGGATGTAAAACCAACCACTTCCCGTACGTGGAACAAGCTATTGTTAGCACTTAGTTAAATGACGATTAGGGTGTCACAGGGGTGTTGACGAGCACAACATAAAGACTTGTTCTTTGTTTTGAAAACGTATAGACTTAAAGCGAAGCTTCAAAGAACAAAGAGCAGAGATAACATCCCATGCCCGTGTAGTAGTGATCAAATCTGAAAGGAAAGCGTTCTCTAAAATAAGGGTATCAGTTAATCCACTTGAACCTAATATATTTCAATACTAAGCTCCTACAAACGTGACTTCAACAGTTAACCTTGACTTTTGAATTTATGTTTACGACCGATGAGTGAGTGTCTGAACCTGCGTTTTGCGTGCCCCAGCGCTGTTAAAAATAGATTTCATTTGATGAAACCTACTAAAATGATAAACATTGATGTCTCATGTCTGTATTTCATAAAAAAATTTCCAGGGATACGGGGAAAAAGCTAGATCGTGTTTCATGTAACCTGACCAAAAATAACCATAGTGAGTCACTTTACTTGTCACGATTTTAGAGCAATCTAAGGGGCGTTCTGATTGGTCGAGAACCAGTACTGTGAAACTGCTGGTTAAAGTGGTTATCCGACGTGTGAAAACAAGTTTGTTCTGTTTGTCAACTGATACATTATCAGCCACTTAGGAATAATTGAATTTCGCAGCAATCATGGGAAAATAAACTAGTCAAATTAGTATCATAGAAATGCTGAGGTATAAATTTCTCAGGTTCCTGGTACTCCCCTGTCGATAAACAAGTGATGTTGCAATGTCATGATCAACCAGGAGCAACCATGTGATGGTTGTCGGTTGAGGGCAATTCTATTGTTTTCGCACAATTTATCACAAGCCGATTTATTAAAATACGTTGAAGAATGCTGAGACGAATATTTAATATTTTACACAAAGACCTTGAACACAAGCTTACCTAATAAGGTAATAGTGAATAAGATTATCTGGTCTAATGCGTGATAGTCGAATAACTTCTGGTCTTCTACTGCGTTTTGTCATTAACATAAACATTGTGGTATTTTTCCCGCCCTCGATAGTTGTCCGTTTATTCACAAATCCCCAAAACAGTTGCCTGGTGTTTGGAAATGTTTTCAGAAACCGGAATAAATCTTTTGAATGTGAAGGAACTATTTGTTTACAACGGTTGTAGGCGACAACCATTCAAGGCTGGTTGCTAAGGGGTTGGTTTGAGGTAATTTCTTTGTCTTTATGATCAGCCCACAAAGATAGCTTGGCGCACGATCAAAGTTTGGCTAGACAAAACGACATTGCACGTGAGCAATGGAATGTCCTTAAATTTGATATAAAGCATTTTAAAATTTGTGAAATAAGCAATATAGATCTACTTGGTGGTTATACATCCGACAGGCGACAGTAAAACATCTTTTATGTTGGTAGAAGAACAAACCAGCGAGACATCTTTTTTGGATTAGTCATGTTTTAAGACATGCAAACTAGCAATATTCTCATACCCACGTCATATGATATCACCCACGTGCACCCCTTGTTCAGGAATGTGAACTTTCGATCAAGTTATATGCCATTCGTCCTGAAAAACGAGCCATTTTGCACTTCTTTTGTAAACGTCATGTAGACGAACTTGGAAAACAAGGAACAGTTGAGCATTTGGTGAGGATGTCACCCACAATAGTCACTCAAAAGTCTGTCTGTTCAGCCTGTGATTCCTAGCAATATCGTTCCTCGTTTATTTAATTCCCAATATGGTAGAAAAAAAAAGTAGAAATAGGCTGTACAAAGTACATGCATTTGATATGCCGTTCTTCAGGCCAACGGAAATCCAGTAATCTCGTCAGAAAACATTGAAGATTCAAGTTTTTTTTGTTTTTCTCCCCTCTAAAAGACCCCGGGTACACACCAAAGTTGAATGCCCTTCCAGTATAAAGGACTACATTGCATTTTGCCGGATAACTCTGCTTAAGGCAACGCTAGGATTAGGACTACAACAGGATTAGACGAAGTTTAACTGCCAATGTTTTGCAAACAATCTCAGTCAAGTATACGTGCAGCAGACGGCTGTGCTCTTCATAAAGTTCTTCCTCACTATGCCTTTTCATCGTTCCCGCGTTCCTACGAACACTTGTACCACATCTATAGTACATGAGGTGGGGTCCAAACCCGATATTGAGTTCTTCACAAACATTATTTCACCAGGGTCAGTGTAGTTGAAAGACACCATATGTAAAACGATGCCTATCAGATGTCGGGGGTTCACATGGAACAGTGTTTGTGTGCATGATTGATCAAAGAAATGATACTATATGTTGGAAAAGTACGCCGTAAACACGAAACGAATATTTGACTTCAGCTTGCAAGTGGCTACTTGACACGGAGCGAAACCTATATCAGAACTCAGAAGCTACTAAACCCAGCCGACACACATATACTGATATACTAATGTTACACAAAACTACGATTTGTATGTCTACTCTAGACAGACTGAACGGTTGAGCCTCCTAATATAGATTGGTATCCACAAGGGTACAAAAGGGTTATGACCCGGAGAGAGAAGTGTTAGAAAGACAATAACGATAACGCCATTTCAAGACAACGGTGGATGCAAACATCTATACCCACTGGCCACTTCAGTGTCTAGTACCTTTTAGGAAATCATCGTTTTGGAACGAAACAAACAAGCAGTGCTTTAGGTAAACATGTCAACAAACCGCGCACCGCGGCAGTGTTTTTGCACAGCGGTGAAAAAAGGAGACTGTAAACAATGACAAAATCTCTCGTTTTCTCTAACAAGCGATTTCATTTAATCATAGTATATTGCTCCGTAGCCGTAAGGAAGAAGCCTGCCTGGCCTGGTGTTGTTTTGTTGCAACTTTTTCCGACTGGGAAGCGAGGATAAATGATAGTAAGGTCTAGAATGTTCTTCGAAAAAAGATTTCTACGTCCAAAATAATGTTTTTGGAGTGTCATTACAGGGAGGTTGATCTCTTATTAATCGGATGTGTTTGTAGGGTTATTCAAGGGCGAGGAAGCACTTTATGACACACCTCCATCACGGCATCGCGGTATTCTGTTTTATGTCATACATATTCAAGACCCTTTATTTAGTTTACCACACTGTTACTTTGAAAATTTGCCGAAACGATCTGACAAAGGCACGCGTTCCTTCTGGACAGTGTTACTCTGAGGGTATGCCGAGGATCACGACTTCGAATTAATTTAACCACAACAAACTTCCCTCTTTCAGTAGACCCCACCTAAAAACATATAGCTAGATATTCTAGTTATCCTACGTTCAGAGCGTGCACGAGATAGTTTGGTCTTTGGGGGAGCAGGGACACAAGTGGCATTAGTTCAGCAGTTTTCTTTGTGGTGTATCAAATCGCTGGCTTTTATTTCAAGTACTTTATTTACTACCGCAGAAGATAGATTGTGGTAAATGACAGGTCTCGGAACTCAAGTATTTGTATGACCTGATATGATGCATCACAATTTAAAATAGCATTTTTGAAATATGAGATTTAAAAACATGAATATTTGAGACATGAAAATTGTTTACATAATAGCAGGGATGAATAGTAGAGATGATGCAGGGTCCTTGCTGTATCACCGGGTGGAAATGGGGTTTGAAATGGAGGGTGATAATCACCCTCCATTTCAAACCCCATTTCCAAGCCCAAAAGCAGGCGAGCTAAGCTCCTATTTATCTTTGGGTTACATTCAAATCGTCATCGCAGGTTATACTAACAACAACAACCAATATCAGCATTAACACGCCATACTATTCCACCTTGTCACTTTCGTGTGCGATGTTTGATGTATCCCTGTCACCCTGTGTGATGTTATCATTTTGTGCCACCCAGGGAGGGGTAGAGGGGAGGTTTGTTCCAAAATGTCGGACGTGGTAAATACGAATTCCCATGAATCTTCTGGTAAACTCGATTTTTCATTACGACAGCCAAGATATGACCAGGTTTGTTGCTTGCAGATCTTAGGTTGCTTTCACCGCATTTTCCTTATAAAGAATAAGGAAATAAGTCCCCATGCTGGCCACGCACCACACTTCGTAGGCATACCATGCAGTATGTGATGTAGCAAATTGTATATAAATTGTCGCAAAATTCTCTAGCAGCTAGTGCAGTATATTTAAAACGAGCGTATGGTTTCTTAACATTTGAAGGCCACGTTTTGGGGACGATACAGAAGATGTCTGGATATAATTGACCCAAGGACATTGCTAGTTACAAAGGTGTGGCATATAACAAAATATAATGTACCATGTACCTGGTTTTGCTATTTATCTGTCAATCACTGTTTATATTACTTATGTCATGCATTACCATCACTGTTTGCTGGCTTTCTTCCTGAGATGAAGATTTACGTTTACCTAACATAATGTTTAGGAAAAAGAACAAGATTGTCTAAAGCTCTTAGAAGCATATAAAAATAATGAACTCTCTCCTGATGTTACCTCAGAGCAAGTATGTATTTGCTATTTTTATTCATAAAAATCTTATCGCTCTTTATCATGCCTTCATGTAACAGTCACTATACATCTAACAATTTGTAAATAATTTGGAATTTTATATAGTTATGGGAGGCAAGAAAGATTAAGGAGGTTTGTAAGACATTTACCTGGTAAAGAGTTTCTTAAAACTAGAATAGGATGGCACAACCTCTCTTACAAGTGAATATTTTCACATTCAAATTGTTGTTTTAATTTGTTAGGCTCTATTTCATCCAGATACAAATGAGAAGATATTTATGCCATTCCGAATGTCAGGTACAAATTGAAAATATTTTGTAATAAGTATTAAAGTAATAGTATAAGCACATTGTTGGTATCTTCTTTATTCCAGGGTTTGTACCATTTGGAACCATTACAGTAAGTGACTTTTCATAGACATGAAAATTATGGCGATTGCGAAGGTTCAATTACCTTTGGGTTATATTACTGTGTTTTATAACTGTAGTAACTGCACCAAAACATTTTAGGTTGTTGGGATGTTGCTACCAGCACCATCATTATCCACTGTTGTATTTTGGCAGGTATGAACAAATTTAAGAGCTTTGTTTTTGTTGTATTTTTGTTGTTTCATTGTTTGTTTGTTCATGTTTGTTTTAGTGGTTGAATCAAAGTCACAATGCTGCAGTAAATTACTCAAACAGAAACGCCACCAAGGTAGACACTGTCACACTGCCAGAAATCACCGGGCTAATTTATATCAAATGCATTTCTTATTTTATAAAACTTCACATTTCCCCTAGCCAACACCGACCAGTAGATTTGTTCTCAGTTATTTAACTGCCATTACGAGCGCTGTATCAATCGCTGTCGGGCTCACAGTTTTCGTACAAAAAGCGAAATTTTTCTCGCCCCAAGTTCGTCGGACACTACAAAGACTGATAGCATTTCCTGCAACAGGTATGAACTCTGACTATGACAATACAATCAAAATGAGCCAGGGAAAGGCTAAAAAGATCGCCAATGCATATAGCAATTCAAGATTTAAACTTTCCTTATGCCTGGACGAGGACCCTTAGGCCTTACTAATACTACTTCGTTATTTCACCTCCATTTCCAAAACAACCGTTTTGAGAAGGTGATTCTTATTTCGTGCTGTGAGTCTAATAAACGATTTCTTTTATTAAAGCTAGTGCTAACGTTTGCAATGTCTTGGCCATGAGAAGCAACGAACTTATAGAAGGCGTTGAACTGGTCGACGAGGAAGGTCATGTCAAGGGAACTTCAAGAATTGCAGCGAAGCGAGTATGGTTTAGTTCATTTTGTCTGGCTTTCTCACTGTTGTAGTCTTGTAAAAAGTAATAGCCGTCTTTGTTCCTGGTTTAAGATCAAGTCAGTTCCTACCTCAATTCTCCTGCTTCAGAAACGTAACTGATTAGTGTTTTCATCTCTCTTACCAATGTATCTTGCAGTCTAAACTAAATATTGATGACGATGTATGTACTCTCATTTCCAGGCAATATTTGAAACTATTATCACAAGAGTTTTCTTGTCTGGCACGGTTCTTTGTACCCCAGCTCTTATTATGACTGCCTTAGAAAGGTAAATATTCTTATATATTGGAAAGGGTTCAGACTAATTTGGATTTAATATTATTACTAGTTTCAAGGTTCACTATACGACTCGTCTATTTTTTGCTGCAAGCTAATTTCTTTGTTCTTTTTGTCTAAATTTGAGTCTTTTTCCATATTCCTTTCTAGAACAAAGTTCCTAAGAAAGAACCCTAGATTCATCCTACCAACTCAGGCCATTGCCTGTATTCTGTCATTTGGTATCGCTCTGCCTTTTGCAATCGCGCTATTCCCTCAGATGTCACAGGTAAGATTGATTGTTCCCGCACACGACAGTAAAAAATGGTGTCTTATGACTCCCTCTAATCCTTTACCAGCTGATTAAGTTTTAGCACATATAGAATTAAAGTAATTCCGAAATAATTCGTGTTTTAAACACGCATGTTTTAAATTGTACACGCTTTATAGTTACGCAAATCTTGTAAACGATTCTGCTCAAGATGAATCGATCTTGATTCGAAATATACAGAATAAATTTGTATTATGCTTTCATTTTTCGGAATTACTTTAATTCTATATGACTCTCTCTGCCTGGAATGTTCGTGACTCGTTTCAAATCATAACGATATACAAGAAAATGCGTATACTTTATAAGTAAACAAGCCAATAATTGAGTCTATACGCCAAGCTTGAGGTGCTGTGGAATTTTTCCTCTAAAAATAGATGCAATTTCTGGACAATGTTTTCGCAAAGCACTACACATAATTATAGTAATATAGGTCTCCTCGTGACCGAGGCATCGTCTCCAAATTCAGAGTAATGGAGTGACACGCGATCAACAACACTCTGCTATTTTTATCGAACTCGGCGAATGGTCAATATCAGTGCCAAGCAATTATGGGTAGAAGAATTGTTTGGAAATTTCCTGGTTAACAAAGCCAGCGTTTTCAATTGAAGGTTCTGGCATGCCAAGCGATTTTGTGAGGCGGGAAACCACATGATTGACGCGTTGTCGTAGTTCGACCATTTTAATTAAAATGGTCTTTCTTTGCTGGCATGCCATTTTCATTCAAAGCAAATTAAACAAAGTGATTTCCACTTGACGAAGATTCATTTCTATGGTGATAAAGTAGACGATTGGCTCGGCTGGTTTTCTGCATACCATAGTCCACACACAAAAATGTTGCCTTTGAATTATTATCTCAAGCCCGACAGACATATTTTTACGTTGCCTTGCTTGGATTTTGGCAAGAAATTTTGCACTTATGTTTTGAGTTTTCTGATACTGCATAGTATTGGTAAATGAAAAGCTAAACGTTTTTGCGTTGTTTTCAACGATATATTTTGTGTCTAAAAGACAAATACACGATAATATCACGTCAGCAGACATCTTTCTACACAGGAAACCCTTATGCTTGCTTCATTTATTTTGTTGTAGATAGACATAAAGGATACCGAACCAGAGATTCAAAAAAATTGCACTGAACTGATTTTGCATTATAACAAGGGACTATAATCAAGTACAAGTAAAGATATTCTACATTTTTGAACTTTCAACAAACATTACACAAAATACCATAACAATTTTGTCATTCAGAATTTGGAATGGGAAAGAAAGTCTTTCAAATTAGATAGAACTATTTTACAAATTTACCAACGTACAATTTAAAATTTTAAATACCAAATTTCGTTTCCAGTGCCTCTTTACCACACGTGCACTGTCGGAAGATATACGATACTTTGTAACTGGAGCGTTGTCGTAATACGTTTCCATGACAACGCGTGTAAAAGCAATATGGCGAATATTTTTGACGGCTTTGAGCGGCAGGAAGACGGAATTTGACTTTGTTTTCATCGCTGTTATATTTGTACGTCGTAAAGAACTATGGATCAATTCGGTACTCTTGAATTATGGTAAGAGGAGGTTTATTTGTGGTGAAAAACATTTAGAATAAGCAGTTCTGACTGAGAATTTTCAACCTCTCTCTCATCAGTTGGACGCAAGGTTACGCTGGTACGAAAGTGTATCATATGAAAAAAGATGTAATTTGTTATGTCTGTGGAAATAGTATCAAGTTTGTGAATACCACAACGAAAGAGGAATCGATCTTGTCATCAGAAGGCGCTGGGATCGCCTGCTTTGCGGTGAATCCAACAAATATGGCTGTTGGCTTTGCTGATAAATCAATGGGGCCTAATATTTTCGTATACACATACCCCAATTTAACTACACACAGAGCGAAACTCGAAGGTAAGAAGTTTAAAATAGGGTTAAAAACATGCAAAGAACTTCAATTTATCATTCTTTTCTTGTTTTCAGGAGGTGCACAGCTTGAGTATACATGTATGGCTTTTGCAAACAACACCAGCATTGTTGCCAGTTATTCTGGTATCCCTGACTTTAAACTAACCATTTGGTAAATGCAATTGTTTGTTAATATTGCTCACTATAGCTTGCAATGAGAGAAATCATTGCCACCACATGCTGTGGATCCTAAAATTTGCAGATGTGGTTGTTTTTAGGAATTGGTTGGAAGGTCAGGCGCTCTGCTCAATGGAAACAGATGGAATCTCCTGTTATGAAATGTCTTTCAATCCGTCCAGTTGGAAGCATCTGTTGTCTGTTGGTTGTGAAGACAGCGTGTGTCTGTGGAATATCGAGCAGTCAAATCAACGCTATCTTGTCACACCCATGTAAGAGCTAGACAAATTGTGACTCAAGGATTAGGGATAACAGTTGTTTGTAGTGGGATGATTAGGTTAATGAGGACTTGTTTGTCTCATGTTCTTATAGTGTTGTGAAACTTCCTTACATGGATGGTAGTTTTGAGATAGGAGAGTATGCAGACCTATCAACTGTTATAAGTCGCATGAGCAATCCATTATCATCGACCTCTGTGAAAATGACCAAAGCTGCAATTGCTGGCATTGATATCAAACGGTTGAACTCGTTTATACCAGGTAAGCTCATGAACCAGTGAATTATCACCAAGGGTTGATAGGTTGGTGGTTTGAACCATCATACACAAGTGTACACGTGTGTACATACATGTAACTAGGCTGTTATCCTAGCCACATCTGCTATCTCATTTAAATCCTCATCAATTTACATTACCCATTTTAGTGTTTCACCTACATTTCACCTACAGTATTTTTTATACCTACATTTGAATCATTCATAGGTAATGAAAAAGAGAGATGTAGTGCCATCAGTCATTGCTGGTCAAATGATAACATTGTGTATTTGGGTTGTAAGAAAGGTTTTCTACTCTCACTGGACTGGGAGTCAAATAAGCTGTCAATGTTAATGCATTGTAACATACATGAAAGCAAATCCAGTGAGAATCATCTGCAAATCATTGAGGAAGGTAAAGCTGCCTTAATTTACCTGAGGATAAAAGCTAAAACTTGTACATATAGGACATGTCTTTCTATCTATCTTTCTACATGCGATACAGCAGGAAATTATTATCTAATAACCAACTTTTGATCAAGCACAACAATAGGATTTATTTATTTATTTATTTCAAAACTTCATGTACATGAATAACCAGGACACATACATAGGCAGGTAACAACAGGGCTATAACACCCTAGCTAAGGCCACCCACCGCTATTTAAAAACGAAAACAGACAGAAAGACGGACAGACAGAAAGACGGACATGATCTAATTCTAATCATGATCTAACAGCAAGATGAGTCAAGTGACGGTTGGAATAATTGAATTGTATATCCTATATTTTTAGAGGAGTCTATATCCTCTGAATCTTGGCAGTCCATTTTGAAATGGAAAGATGGTTTACTTGCTGCTGGAAGCGTAAGATGACAATTATTTTGGTTTTTCAGTCTAATATCATTCTTAGACAGATTGTTTATCAAAAAAACACAAGACATATCCAGGTTCAATATTGATGCTTCACGTCTTCCTTGCAGGACGGTGTATTACGATATGTGACCATCGCAAAACGCAAAGGAAGAATCGAGAAAGCTGTTGAGCTGAATATGAACGTGAGCCATCTCAGCTCGTGGTCAGTTGATGAGAAACTCTCCGTTGCAGATGATGGGGTGGGTATGAGCATCAGAAATAAAACTAACTTTTAAAATAAAACTTTTGATGTTAAATAACCAAAAAAAGTGAATATAAAAATTTGACTGTATTCAATCTTATTCCAGGGCGCCGTCTATTTATACGATGAAAACAACACGGAGAATCAGTTGATGAAAGTTTTCGATGATCATTTTGGTGAGATCGTTGCAATTGATTGTCTTGAACATGGGGACGACTATGTTGTGGTAAGCATACATGAAGTATGCAATGCTGATCATTGGGTGAACTTATGACCGTTTGTAATTATCTCCAATTATTTTTCTTCAGTCTTGCAGAGACAATGGTTGCGTTCAAATATGGTCAATCATTACATCCAAATTAATATCACAGATCAACTTAGAACACGAGGTGATGTATCAGGGTTGCATTTTGATAGTCGTTTCTGTTCAGATTGTTCTTCTCGACCATTCACCTCTCAAAATTGATGTACTCCATTTTATGTTTTCCTTACGGGAAAGAAAAACTTGAAAGAAAATCCGCCTTCTGCGGTAACCTCCGTTGAATGGAGTATTTTCATCTCCACAGGGAGGAAGACTGATGAAGGATCAATCTCACGTTTAAATAATTTCAACTCGCTTTCCATCTTGTTTTCTTGTCTTCATTCAGACGTCGTGTATGGCTTGTTGTCCCGCGTCAAGTATCATTGTTATTGGAACCACGACTGGTCATGTTTACTTCGTCGAAGCAACCACGGTGGAAAGTCCAAGAATTCTTTCTTGCGTCCTTCTTCACAAAGAACCCGTGCTTCATTTGCGGTGAGCAAAGTTTTGCCAGCTAGTACTAGTAGTGGTGGAAACAATTCTTCATCAAGCATGTGAATATTTGTCGAAAATACAATTATAATCGTACTTTGTTTTTTAGTTTTGATAAATTTGGTCAAGTCCTGATCACCGCTTCAAGCGATGGTCATGTTTTTGTTGTCGACCCCAGAGTTACAACTGATTTCAAAGTTCTTGGACACACTGGTAAATATGGATACAATTCAGCTACAAATTAGATTCATTACTTTAGCCCGTATTATAATTACAGTAACAGTCGGGTGAAGCACTGAATCTTTTGTTGATTCTTTTGCTCTTACAAAGGAGTTAAATAGATTCCGGTAACCATTTTTATAATATCGTGTTAGATATTTCTGGATATGTTGCTGATGTTAGTTGCCTCAACGTGAGGGATCAGAATCGTCATGGACCGTACAGAGTTTGCGTTCTCCACAGGCCGAATGAGCAGCCACAGAGTGGAACAAAAATAACTTGGTTTGAACTGTCCGGCGAGATGGTGACAGGTACGTTCAGGCTGTGGGATTTATGGTGAGTGGGCCATTCGGGGGGATGTGGGAGGAAGATGTAGTAGAGAGGGGGATACTGTAAGAGGAGGGGGGGAGAGAAAATGCAACGAGGAAAGGGGAAAGGGATGGAGGGGGGAAAACACAGCGAGAAGGGGAGAGGAGACGGAAGATACAAAGGCGAAGTATGTGTGGGGGGGGGGGAGATACCAAGACGAGGTGGGGAAGAGGGGGAAATTCAAAGAAATGGAGTGGAAGATTGTTTGCTGTTGATTACTTGTCATAGCGTATCTACCATCAATTGTAGGGTCGACTCCATCGGCGATGAAAGATGCAACATTTCTATACAAGGATGAAGCGATCAAGAAAGCAAGTTGTGATATCAATATTATCTGCTACAGTTTGGTGTTGCTCCCGAACAATATCCTGATAGCATTATCACATCACGAGAAGAAATTTATTAAATTCAATCTTTCGGTTACGAATAAGGTAAAAATGAAAGAAATTCCGTTTCTTCCTGTTCTTACTTAACATCAACACGATAAGGTTACGACACTGTAGTTTGTTTTTCGTTCCTAGACGTTATCTGCAGAGATTCAAGACTCGTTTGCTGGTCATCAGCTCCATGGTGGCTACCTCACTGTATCACCACATTTAAGATGGTTGGCAAGTTGTGGTCCTGATGGTCATCTGATGCTTCGTGCTGTTGGTGCCCTGGTATGACGTTGGCATTTGACTTTGAGACATCCTGTATTTGACGTTGAGAATTTTTAGCGCACGGCGTTCCTAGCGTCCTTCAAATTTATCTCTTTCATTTCATTTCATTTCATTTCTACTTTTGCAGGATCGTACTTTAACCACTCCAACTCATCACCATGGCAACGGTGGCGCAACCAGAGCTGTGTATTCTGGGAATGGTCAAAGCATATTCACGTTCGGCAAAGATGACGTGCTGTCTTGTTGGCGGTGGAATTTCACACAAATGGGTAGGAAGTCATTGAAATTTATTTTACTTTTATGAATGCCATGACCTAAGTGAAGGACAAATTAGCGAGAATCTCAGCTCATTCTTCGACATCTACATAAAGTGGAAGTGAAGCAAGCTCATTCTGTTTTTTTCTCCAGGTAAAAGTAAAGCGTTGTCAGCATTGGACGCGTCTAAGACACGCAACTCGCAGCTTAGCAAGGTGAGATCTGAGCAGAACGCTGCGGCGAGGCATAGGGCCGAGTGGAATCCATCTGAAAGTCAGACGAATATGACTGGGAGCGAGTTACATACCGTGGATAGCGATCTACTACATCAAGGCCACGATATCACTTGGTTGGAGAGAGTCACCGCACAGGTAGCTATATGTTATAACGAGGCACTTGTGTCTCGGAGTGTCTGTTAGGGATTTAGAATTCTTTAAATGCAGTGCTTCTTGAGGGGAGGGCTCTTGAGGAAGGGGATGGGCTCCGATATCGGCTCACCGCCTGGTTTCCATTTCACAGTTACCAATATCCAATGCGTTTTCTTTAGGCACGTCGCGAGGAAGACGGAAAGCACGCGGAACGGAAAAAAGTGCTGAGGAAAGAACTACAGCATTTGAGAGAGCAAATTATGGCGTTGATTGAGGAGAACTCCACTCTGCCTGAATTGGAAAAGTTGGAACGTTATGAATTCAATCTGGATGAGGAGGAACGACAGCGATTGATTGCGTTGGGGGAACAGAATGTTAAACAGGTTAGGCTTGATACACACTGTGAGTTTACATCACAATGAAAGTCATTCTTGAGGCATGTTCACAATGGCTGCTTTTTCTGCCATTCGCGGTGCGATATTTATTCCTTTGGTAGATATGAATGAGTGAATAGTCATGCATGCTCTGATCTATAAGTGTCTTTAAATGAATATCTGTAACTTATTCACTCGTTCACATCCGCCAAAAGAAGAAAACCACTGCAAAAATTACATTAATAGGGTTTTGATGCGACGGTTGTCCTTGACAAAATTTGAGTTAAAATATTTTTCTTGTTAAGGTTCGGGAAGAAATCGAACTGGAAAATCTGGCGAAGATGTATCTTCGTAGCGTTATCAAGCAGGAATGTTGGGACTCAATGGTCGTGAAGGGACACGGTGTGAAAGGCTTCCATTCACCCCTTATGGTCACCAATTATCCCATGAGAGAACGAAGCCCCGAGGAACTACAGGAACTCGCGTTCGTTACCAGGCAACGGAATATCGAGTGCTCGGAAATGGAATCACGCAAGACCATCCTTGGGGAAGATAACAACAATGTCATCTTAGGTAGCTACTGCTGCTTTTCAAAAAGACTAAAACTAGCTGCAACATAGAAATCTTTTTTCCTCCATTTATTTACTCGTATCTTTGAGTCTTTTTTATTAAACAAGTTCAACTGCTTAGAAGCAAAAGTAAAATTAATTTCAGCGGATTGTAGGTAGTTTTCATAAAGAATGGATTTCTAGTTATTCCAGATCTTGACACTTGCTTTTTCGCTTCAGGCGACGATGATGAGGATGAGGCCCCGGAGGAAAAACCTGTCAACGATGCCGGGGGAATTACCCCAGCCATATACGGCAGTCGTGCGACAAGTTATGGCGGGGGCAATGAATTGATCGCTGATCAGTTTGATCTGTACACAACACAACAGAAACACAACCAGATTGTTTTGATTCAGGTAAATCATTCGAGGCTTTGATTGACCTTGAGAGTTGAGTGTCTCCTTTGGTTATAAACTGGATACTCATATCCGTACAATTTCTTAAATTTAGTAAAAATCATTAGGTTATATTAACTTACTTGGTGTTAATCCAATTCGCGTTTGGATTCCTAAACGTGTTTTATTCCACAACTAGGACGGCATCTACAAAATCAAGAAATCATTTAACTCCGTATTTGACGAAGTTTATCGCAACAAAGTGGCTGAGGTGAAACGCATCGAAGAAAAGAACGTAAGAATCAAGAAGATCTTGGGTGACCTCGGTTTGAACGATGTCATTCTTGAACCGGTGATGGATACGGATGAACGTCCGGAGACCTTACTGGATGTCAAGGACAGTGAGGTACCTTTCGAGAGGTTTATCACCAAGGAAGAACAGACTAAAATCGAGGAAGAGAAAAAGAAAGAGGAGGGTACGCCAGGCTCTCGATGTACTCTTTCACTTAAGATTGAAATCGTAAACTGGATGTATGATCTGGGATGCAGTGTTGAAGGATGTTGATAGAAGGGACATGTCGCAGCTCTCGGAAGCTTTCGTCCAATTGGAAAAGCTTTTCTATGCTTTCTAAAGAACCCAGCTATGCTATTGGTTGAAACAGAAATGTATTGTAAAGTTCAGCAAATGAAAATCATTCTTGCGAGGAGCTGCGACACTACCCTGATAGAAGCCCATTTTGTTAATTCACGATTGATTTTCTTGGTGGGAAATGGAACCCTGATAAATAAAAGCCAGGCAAAATACCTATTAACTGAAACATAATAAAAAGAAAATGTGTAAATACTTGTGGGTCACCTGGAAGTATTATGCTGGCCTCTTATTTTCATCATAGCATTTCATTTGTTTTGCCAGAACGTCGCCTTGCAGAAATGGCCGACAACGCGAGGGAACGTGCGTTGTTTCAAATGATGAAAGGTGTGTTGGAGACGAATCCTGAGGACGAGCTCAAGAAGGACCTGGAACGACCGGAGATCCTGAAGAAACCCGAGGAGGAGTGGGGCGAGGATGAACATCGCATCGCGAAGGAATTTGAGAAGAAAGAACAAGAATTGAAAGAACAGAGGGAAAAATACAAGAAATCTTTGGAAACAGAACTGAGGAAACATCAGGGGAATATTAACGAAGCTACGACAGCCTTTGACGAGAAATTAAATCAGTTGTTTCAAAGGAAAATTAAGACAGAGTTGACCATATTTCAGGTAGGAATTTTACACTATACCAAGGTACGAATACAGCAAATTAAATTTGACCAGGTACATGGTTCTTGTGTTATTTGAGCTCTCATTGATTTACTAGGGGATGCTCGTTTAACTTTAGTTTTACTTGTTCAATCACATAGGAAGAACTGAAGGTCCTTCGACTCACTGCGGCCATTGTCGCTGAGGAGGAACTAAACACTCGCGAGGAGCATTTAGTTCATGTTTTGGAAGAGAAGAAACAAAAAAAGGGAAGACTTGCTAATGCTCTTGCTGAGGCGAAGCGTGAAATGGCGATCTTTCGCGACGAATACGAGATTATGATGGCGGATGACAAAGCTTTGGACAAAGGTTTCAAGCGAGATTTCAGCGATCAAGATCCTCACAGTGTTGACCAGTTGTATAAACTGTTTAAACGGCGACCAAGGTAGTGATTGTGATGAAACTCTCCTGAAAACTCAAGCGGGGATGGTTTGGTGTGGTTGAACTAACCATTTAAACCTTTCTTTCCTTCCAGAGGTCAGAAAACTCTGAAGGCAGCCACGGATGTTCACGCTGAAGGCGAGACTACGTTCAAACAGTCTCACACGGGGATGCATTCCCTGGAGAAAGCAATGGCGGAACTTGATCACCCAGGGCACATGCCCGAGGGACTTGATGAACATGTTTGGCAAAGACTAGTGCAGGCACGAAGGATTAAAGTCGAGAGCGAGCAAAAGGTTTGCCAAGCAATGATCCAATCTGGTCGGTTAATACTTCATGTTCAGCAAATCCTAAATACACGAATTTAATCCTCAAGATTAGATTAGGATTACCCCTTAGATTAGGTTTATGGTTGATAAGAATTAACCCTAATCCTAAATCTATCCCTAATCCTAACCTAATCCCGGTTTAAATTAGCGTATCAATGGATTTACTGGACATGGAAATATTACTGTCTGATCTGTCTACTTCACTAGTTTGCGAGCGACTTCAACATTTTGAATTTCCTCCGCTCTAGGTGAAGACAAAAGCATTAGTTTTGGCCGACATGAACGCTTTTCTGCAACGACGATACGAACAGGACGAATCACTTCGAACTGAAATTGAGAGGCTCTTCAAAGAGTTACAAAAGTACGTGAAGATCAAAAAGTTGAGTTCTTGTTAGTACTTCATTTAAGCCAATCTTATTCTCTCTTCTCTTCTTCGTAGTTTACGCGAAGAAAAGACGAAGTTTATCATGGATTTGGAAGTTCAATTGCTGCTGAAACAAGGCCAGGTGAGAATGAAACAATGAACACATTAGAGTTACTGGTCTCATATAGTGTCTGGAGCGACACATGGACCATTATAATATTAATCCATCGCATTTTATCAATTGCAATTTCAATGTTGTTCTAAGGTCGAAGTTCCGCCAGATTCTTTCATCACAGATTACTCCGAAAGCGCTTTGGTTCATCGTTCTGTGATTGAGGATTTAAACGCGACAATAAGGGTAAGAGTTTATGGATAGGTAACAATTGCGTTTTCTTCGCAACGATTTCGCATGGGTTTCAATCAAGATTTCTGGTGTAAGCTAACTCATCTATAATGTTCTTTTGAAGTCGTTGGGAGATGTCAAAATCAACATTATGGTCGAAAGTAAAGATTTTAGGAAAGGGATCCATGCTTTGGAATGGTGAGTTGGCACTTGGCAATGGGAAATTTAGACAAACGTCCAATTTCAGCGAAACGTCAAATTTCAAACCTAACATCTTAGCATTGTGTAAGTCATGTCATGAATACTCTTGGCAACAAACGAGTCATTTCACTTCAGGGAACATAAGAAAATGAGGATGCAAATTGAAGATTTAGAAACAAGAGCTCGTGATATTCAGCTATTGAGGGTGACCAAAGACTTGCAACAGGTATACATAGTTACCAGGAACTTTACCATTCCAATCTATATTGGCTGGTAATTATTTATAAATATTGATTATTTTAAATACTAATTATTTGTGTTACCTTGATTATCCCGTAAGTACCTTGGTGAAGTCGACCAACAAGCTATTCAACAGAAAGAAGTAGCGACGTTGGAACAAACACTTCAATTGTACCACAAGGTAAATAGTCTTAAATGATACATACTAAATACTAATAAAACTACACATCACATTGTGTAGTTTTAAGCCTCTTTTGTGATAGCAAAAGCGAACGTCAAATTTTAACTTAGTTCTGGTTGAAATCTTCATTTCTTTCTTCTCGAAAAGTCTTTGGAAACTAATTTAATGCAGTCTAAGTTCTAAAGAAAACAGGCAAATATTTCGCCTAACTTGCAAATGTTTCTCAGACCCACGCGAGGAACGTGGAAGATCGCCAGCGAGTGATTCGCGATTTGAAAAAGGCGATCAGGAAAAAAGAGATTGAGAACGAAAGAATGGACGTCGACTTGGAGGAAATGGCGCTTAAAGTTGCTGAGAGAAAGAACGTCAGCGATCCTAATGGTCAGTGTACTGTATAATGAGTTTGTGTCACCGTGAGAGGGGAGGGAAGGGCAGTTTGTTTCAGTTGAGTAGTAACACTAAACCTCTGTCATTCCAGCCGAAAGTCAGGTGGAAGCGAACAGTGAACGAAGGCTGAAGAACATCGTCGCACGTCGTAAACTCGTCGAGTTGGCGAAGGCTCAATCACAAGAGGTCGCGGTATTGCGAGCTGAGGTTGAACGACTACGCATGCGCACATTCCCAGCCTTGGTACAGGTTGATCCATAGTTAAGTATTTTTGTGTAAGTTAAAATTTTGAGCCGGGACAGTGTAAATAGTTCTAGAGTGCTGTTCTTGTTTTCATTCATATAATATATTTATACAGTATTGTTAACAATGAGATACTAGAATCACGAATTCTATGTATTCAATGTTAGCTTTTGAGATTGTATCTTTCTGTCCCAAACCACAAATATTTACTCGTAGATACCGCAAATATTTACAAATAGATTCAAATGCCTTTTTTGTCTTTCACGAATTGAGTATTTTCAACAGTGTTTCGTCCAATATTTTCCGTCCAATCGTATGCAGTTTCTTGAAAAACAACAAAGAATGGTATTGCAGAATTGAATACAGTTTGCAGTTGAAACTTTTCATGGTAACTTCGATCACATTCCAGATATTATACAGATCAAAACATATATTCAGTGACCTATGGCGGCAACCGAGAAAAACCGGCCGGAGTTCTCGTGAAACATAACACAATATTCTCTGTCCCCCCCGTCTTGGTTTTATGATAAACTTGGCAATTCTTTCATGGCGCTTTCGCACGAATGCATTCTCTTTTTGAGCCTTTCAAAATCCGAGTCGCATTCTTTGCGTTTATTCTTGAGGGTGGAAAGCTCTTGTTTCATTTTCTGAATACAATGTTCCTTGTTCTTTATTTGAATGTCGATCTCTGGAAAACAAAACGTTGGGTATGAAAGCGTCAACTCCTTTGCTCCGTGGCAAGGTAATTACGTATTTGGTTGTGTTTGGGGTGATGAAAGACGTGGCAGTCACGTACGACACACGTGCGTTCCTCTGACCATAAAAGTATATTTTACCGTTTGCTCTGGTTTCAATTCTTCTCATATTAGCTTCATCTTGTGCGCGGGCCCTGGCAACAAGTGCGGTGACGTCACCCAACAAGCCAGCGTCACCGAGGTACTTCAACACAGCCGGGGAGTTTGATAAACCTTTGAAAATATAGTAAGTAACACATGGCTTGATTAAAGAGAGTGCTTTAGCTAGAGAGGTGCTTGCTGAGGCCATAGGAAATTTGGAAATTTAGAATAAACTTAGGAAATTTTTGTATTAGTTATTATTATTTTGGGGAACTATTCTTTTAATGTCCAGGAAGTTTAAGGTCTTTCTGAGGCTCTGACACTGAAACACTTCAATATCATTTACAGCTGGAACTTCTACCCTATCCTATGACCGGAGCCTGACCTGTACTCCTTTTACGCCAGGAAACCGCACTGAGACCGTTCATTTATCCTGGACTCGTATCACGGACGGACGTATTCTGCAGTGCAAATGGAAAAAGGTTTGTACCTCCTTGCGCGGACACATCTTCATCCGACGGACTGCATGCGCAGGGTGAGCCGCAGTTCTCCTGTTGAAAATGAAAAGGATTTTCTACTTAGGATAAAAGATAGGCCATGGACAAAAGAAAAGCCAACACACACACACAATTGCGTTCAGGGGAAACTACCTCCATCACTAGCTTGGTCGTACATGGGTGGTGGGTTTATCCATGGGTGGTGGGTCTATCCTCACCCAAGGAAACTGCCTACACTTTTTACTGCATGTTGGGAAGGTCTACCTTTGATGGACCAGACACAGATCTCTAGCCCTTTGCTTGCGTCAGGTAACACAACTGACATTATACGATATATTTACCTCTGATACGAGAATCCTCTCCTGTTTAACCTCCATCAAAGCCATGGTTGGCGTGCTATGATCATTGATACCCGGTGTGTTGCTGGTGATGGGTAGAGTGGAAGGTGTGCTGGATGATCGTGAGCTCGCTCTCTCGTTCCACACTGCGTCACTGTCATCAGTGCGACTCGGGGAAGGAAATAAGTCACTCGCACTTGATACGGGAAGCTCCTGGTCGGTATCCAACTCGGAGTAAATACCCTGCTCACCGTTCTAAAAAAAATTGTGACAATAGACCTTTGTCATAACGACGTCAAACGCAGAAAGCCAGTTTTAAGAAGTTTGATTGGTTCCAGAAAACTAACAGAAAGCCAATCAAACTTCGTGTAACAGCAATCAGGCTTTCTGGGCATGCTCTTGATGCATTCTAGGTTCCTTACCCTCAGGAGTTCCTGTACAAGATTTTGAACGCCTCCAGCAAATGCAATATCCAATGCAGTCTCACCGTTGTTGTCTCTGATGGTCTTATCAGCTCCTGCAGATACGAGAGCGCGAATCGCACCGGCACAGAACTCAACCTGAAATGAGATGATGGCAAATACTGAGACTGTGTATGCTGCAGTTCAGCTGAAATACACCCTTACTTTCCGCTAGGGCATCGTCATTGCAGCTAGCTGAGAGCATTGCAGAGTTTGTTTCAGCCTGGAATATCCTGGAGTAGAATTTAACCATCAACGCACCTTCTTGCTGGCCGAAGCAAGCAAATGTAGAGCAGTTTTGCCTTCATAATTGATGGCATCTAGAATGGTGTTTGAAGGACAGTCCATCTTTAATGCTTCATTGCTAATCGCTTCAATACAGCTCTGAAAGGTTAAATATGTCACTTATTAACTCTAAACCAACAGCAAATATTCTCTGTCATGGTAATAGATGGCAAATATTTATTTTAGTAGGGTAACAAAAGAATGGCAATTCATCCATAACAGTGTTTCGTGGCATATCAATCATCGTGGGAATAGTTGCATACATCCAGCCTCAGTATACAGATCTTGGTAGTTTCATGAAATACTGTGGTTCCTGGAGAATTCCTTAGTGTTGAAGAATAAGAGTGGTGGTCTACCATGGTCTTGGACAGCAGCTACGGTGAGTGGATTGTAGATACAGATACAGGTGTGCCCTCATCATCTCAAGGTAGGTGGGTGCATTAGTTATGTTAGTTCATCCTTGCAACCAGTGCACAGTATTGTGTATCCACTATCCAGTACTTAACCCTGACCAAGATTCTTGATAAACAGTTAAGTAAATTCCCATTGAGACAAAATAAGGTGATCCATATTCAATTTAGTTTCATATCTAAATATTCTTTCTTGATATCATCCTCCATCATAATTTGAGCATTCCTGACTCATCACCCTGCATGAAAATTTATGGTGACATGGTGTCACAGTTACAACTTCATGGGAACTGCAATTGCCTTCAGATGGTGGCAACTGTCCTTACATTGACCTTGTTCGAACATCAATGGTTAACATTGCTTTCCTGACATCAGCATCTTGATAGCTGATGCAATCGGTTTCAGCTCTTCTGGGAACTCCATCTGGATCCCAGCAACTTCAACTCAAGGCTAGATGTATGTGCTTGTCAGTGGTGAGAGGGGGTATGACAATATACCTACCTGAAAATACTGAAATTTTTGGTCCATTGTAGTTAACAAAACAGCTGCTGTATGAAGTGGAGTGTCACCATTGACTTCATCATGAAACAACAACTGTTTGGGCAAGATGGTCATAATTCGTTTCAACTTTGCTACAAGTTCTTTTGATGTGGTTTTTGTTTTCGATCGATGCAGCCCACGTATTGCACAATGTAGTGGGAACTGTCCTGTTGATTCTGACTTCAAATTTGGTTCAAAGCCATATTGTATCAGCCAGTCAAGAGCTGAAGATTTTCCAAAACCACATGCCAAATGAACTAGTGGAAACCTAAGTTCTTCAGATGGATCTGGAACAACATCATCTTTATCCCAGCCTTCATCGATGTACCTGATAACACATTTTTGAAACTGCAGAATATTTGATTTAGCTCCAGCACAGTTGTTACAGTTCATCAGAGTCAACACAAGATCGTGGTGTTTGGGGCATTCGACCTTCGCATCACAAAATGGTGTGCATGGATGCCTGGTGATCCTCGACTTTGGCTTGGTTGAGCTTGGTGGAGATTGTGCCATGGTTGGTAGTTTATCAAGCAACCTTGGGGATGCTGACTGGTTGAGTAAGCTCATCTTTCCCAATATTCAAGTATCTTTCTATCACCTTGTCTAAAAGAAATAAACACCTTACATGAGGTCATAATCCTAAGAGCATGCATACTCAGTAATGGTTTCATGAGTTTTTCAGGATGCCTCATAGGCCAAATAAAGAGGTTATTTGTTGTAAAGTTATGGTTCACATTATTTCCTGTTTGCAAACACATATGACAGATCGCAGCTGGAAGGGTCGTATTTCTCGCAAGTTGCCGCTGGCAAAAAGACATCTCAAGAAAGAGCCCTTCTTGCAAAAATTGTCACTTATGAAGTTAGAATTTCGTTTGGTATGTACAGCAGAGTCTTGGAATTGGTCGCGCAAGCTAGGAATTCACAGTAGCAGGTTGTGGCAACGGTGTCAGGGAAACGTGTCATGTAAACATACTATCCTCCTCTTTAAAGTAAGTAAGGAACCTTACTCGATTCCCTCCCTTAAAATAGACTTGAAGGTAACGTGATAATCATACGTGTACACTCCTAGCAAGAAGGGAACACGAAACCTACTCATTACTTTCAGACAAGTGTTCGTGGGAATCCTAGCGGCCACATAGAACTGATAGAACAGCAGGCATTTAAAAACAACGAGTCGCCTACTTGCGTTTTACGTTCAGCGCAAAAAAAAAACTTTGATGGTAGGCTTTGAACGCAATTCGATTTAAATCGGTTTAACAAGTTGATGACCTTTTTTCCTTAATAGTGCAAATACGCAAATGACATTCGTTGTTGGGTGTTGGATGAAAGCAACCTTCACGCGCAAGTCCGCGACAAAGCGACTTCCTTTGCTGTATTTATTTCATTACAAGAGGTTTAAATGCCCCGGCGGAGCAACTAACTACACAACACATACCAGATTTAGTTCTGAATATGATTTCTTGTTTGGTGTGAAGTGGTCTTTGTTTATTTATCTTGATTCATATGTTTGTTCTTGGCTTCTCGACTCAAAACAACGAGTCAGTCCGCAAGTGCTCATGACTGACGGAGACATGATGGAGTCATGATGAAGAGTCGTCTTGACCAATGAAATTCCTCTTCATCTGCCCGCAAACGGAACCACGAGGTCATGAAGGGTGAACTCCGGCCACTACGGCTGTCAAGCTGGACGGAAGTTGGGGACACTTCTTGAGGGTGCAACCGAATCCCTCGTTATATATCATTACACACAAATGCTCCCGAGAAACATCCAGGCCTTGCGTAAATCATGCTGTGTGTGCAAACAGCGCAAGAAAGCACAATCAACGAGCCTCATTCAGTGGCCAGGGCGCTTATATGTACTTATATATATTCAATGACTTTTTCACGGCATACGTAGGGGCTTTGGTAGGGACGTGCGACTTTTAACTTGCTGCGTCATATTTCGAGACGTTTTGCCTAAAATCTGTCAGTTAGTTTTAGCAGATGGAAAGATGCAGACGTGCAGTTTCCTATTTTGAGAAGAAAGGAAGACCCAACCCCATCAGCTCACTACCAACACTTCGTCTCAGCCAGAATCAAACGAGAACAAATGTGGAACATGTTTACATTGTTATAACATTAAAATCACTAATCACTCATGTAATATCATTGCATGTTACCATGGTTGTTTTGTTTTGGGTACTAACTATTTTATAGACTAGTTTAAAGCCCAGCAAATGTCTTTCAGAATATCTTTAAAATAATTAAACTTATTTACAACTCTGCATGCAAGTTAAATAAAGCCCTTACCAACTCTAACCAATGCTTGAAGAGGAGGGCAATTTTAAGAGTAAATCCATTCTATATATCAATCATTACTACTTTGAAGAAGGTCATTCCTGACTTCAGTAAGGATATAGCCTAACCAGTTTGTCCCTTGCCACTTGGTTTTGTCCTTTGCTCTTGGGTCATTTTCATCCAATCCTATTCCCCATATACGGTCATAAGGACTTGCCTCAACTAACACTGTACCTTTTGTCGCCAGCAGCTTCTCTTTCATTTTTTCATTCTGCGAAAACTAAGAGGAAGAACATTGATGTTGGGGCATGGTTACAAGTTTATGCACAGAAGATGATGTGATAGATCACACCACAGACAATCCAAAAGACATTCTTCATGTCTTCTTGATTGTCTATGATCACACCTACAGGGCCATCGCTAGAAGCTTAATTGGGGGGGGGGTGTTGGATATTAATATATTCATGTTCGTACAACCGTATAGAAACAATAGCTAACAAAAGAAATCAGTCAGGCATAAGACAAATATATGAACATGTAAAAATTCATGAGAGATTGATTTGAAAAGGCTGTGATAACGAGTTGATGCTGAGAGTATTTGGATTACCATGATCTAGTATTAAAAGATGGTGCAAGTGAAAAGTATTTAAATTACCTTGGCTGTATTTCCTTTCTTGACAATTTCTTTGCATTTCTCATTCCATTTATCTCGATCAAAGTTCTTAACCTGACGTCCAAGTTGCTTTTGCCTCCTTGGATCTTTCGTTTGTAGTATTTTTTCTGCTATTTCCATATCATTGAACAAAACTTCAAGATTGAAACAGAAGATTGGAATCTTAGAGATTTTACTTCCTGGTGAAGTGTATGCCTGTATATAAATCCTCTTCAAGATATGGGATATTATAAAAGCAGGAATCTACAGGATAGTATATTCTCACCTGCCTTGGCATACATCATGTATTGCTCTGCACAGATGAATGTTTTATCGTCCAAAGTGAAAATTGATTTGTGCCATTGACTGAAAGGGGAATTATCTCGCCAAAAGAAAGTAAACTCTTCGTTTCCCTCTGCCATTTCTACGAGGAAATACCCTCTGATTGTTCGAAGACAGAATCAATTGTACGAAGACAGAATCGACAGAGAATCTGAAGATGGCTGATCTTGATTTATCGAGGAATATAAACGAAAAACGAAACTAAAACGGAAGTTCGACAGAGACAAGGCCGCACTCGGCTTGCCGGGCTTGGTCGGTTAATTCCAACACTATAGATGCTATATCAAGTGAAACATTCATATTATTCTTCACGAAAACCAGAATGGATCAAAATATGCTTGAACTTAGCAACAATCACGCTAAACACGGTCTCCACGGATTTTAATAATTGATCACTTTACCAATGCCCAGTGGGTGTTCCAATTACAAATTATGGTGCAATCATGCAGATTCATGCCTTGCAATTGTGCATTCCTATGACAAATACCGAACACCTCCCCTAAGGTTTGCACAGTTTTTTAGGCCATATCATTCCGAATCCAACCAACTTTACTTGCCTTTAACTTTAATTTTAACTTTATTTTCGTATAACAAGACTTCCAGTTGCGACATTTCATTTCCATTTGACCTTCCATTTGACGTTCCAACTTCCCAAGTCTGAAGTCCAAGTGGTGACTGGTGAGGCCCGGGGGGGAGCTTTTTTTGCGCCCTATATTTTATTTCAGTATAGTTTAGTTTCTACAAAAAAATTGGGTTAAACGGCCACAAAAAGTGTTTTCCCGTTCAGATAAAAAAAAGGTAACTAAAAATTATACCTACATATTATGCACATACTAAATAAAAACCACTATACAAAATATACTATATATAATATACACCATATTTACCAAATATTTATATACAAATAAGTGCTTACAATTATAATTCAGTTTTAACTTTGAAAGAGTGGATAGTGCTGCATTTTTTCAGCTATGTACACTACATATGAACTGGTATTAATGAACAAAGATGCATTATTACAACTAGACAAGACTCCCAGATCAGATGAACCATTGACATAATTTTTGTACTGTACCTGTCCCTATAGGTGTTACTGGTCATGTCTTTAATCTCAACTGTGATTGGTTCATTTCGTAAGCCTGAATACCTGTCTGAGGTTATTTCAGACTGCAGAAACAGAAGAAAGTCATCAATATATCCTAAAATATAATGAGGCGAAAAGGAATAGATCAGAAGAGGTAGAAAAGTCTAGTTTAAAGGCAACAGCAGAAATTCTCAAGCTTCAGGAGGAAATTGGAATTGATGTGATGACAGATGGTGAAATGAAGAGAGAAAATTATATTTATTATTTTTGTCGCAAATTGAATGGATTTGACTTTGATAAACTTACTAAGGTTACCTCGCGTGGTGGGGCCTTTGTATCAAAACTGCCAACCATAACTGGTCCGATTAGTGCAAAAGAAGAAGAGCCATGGATTTGGAAAGAGTGGAAAGCAGCTCAAGAAATGTCAAAACACCCAGTCAAGATTACCTTGCCTGCCCCTTTGACAATTGTGAACACATTTATGAATGAATATTACAAAGACAATGAGAGAAAGCTCTGTGAAATTTTAGTGAAAGAAATCAATAATGAAGTAGTTGCTCTTTCTAAAGCTGGATGCAAATATATTCAGGTAATTATGATCTGAAAGTTATCAAAAGAGGTAACTCTACTGCTCTTTTATGCAATAAGGTACCAAACATTTGTGGGTTAATCGATTGGGTCATATCTTAATTACAGATAGATGAACCAGTAATGGTTCGTTTTCCTGAAAAAGCACTTTCATATGGGATCGATGATCTGGTAAAATGTTTTAATGGTGTCTCAGACGACACAATTAAAGTTATACATCTCTGTTGTGGTTACCCTCTTTATTTGGTAAGTTGAAATTTCAAGAAAAAATAACTATTTCATGAAATATACCATATATCCTTTGATTTTCCCTCAACTACCCTTCTCTTGAATTCAACAGGACCAACAAGATTACCACAAAGCAGATCCATCTGTATATTTTCAACTTGCCGAGAAGTTAGACAATGCTGGATTTGATGAAATATCAATAGAAGATGCCCATCAACACAATGAATTGGAATTATTTGATCTGTTTAAAAAGTCCAAGGTATGTTGGTCCATTACTGTCCATGCCTATAGTCATATACTCCACAACCATGTATGGTGTGAAGAAACTTCATCACTTCAGAGAGGTTCTTTTCACCAAAAGTGTTGCATACATATTTCAAAGGGTAGTGGTGGTCTATATTAAAGGGTATGCAAAAATGTTGGGAAAGTAGATTATAGAACTCGGGTTTTTAAACATTCTGAAAATCTAGCTTATTCTTATAAACCCTATTCTCTTAGCGATCTACAATTGTATATGTGCTCTGAGTGACGAGGATGAAAATTGCTGTGTTTCAGATTATTTTGGGCGTAGTCCAGTCCGCTTGCAGCAGGGTCGAAAGTGTTGAAGAGAGGCCAGGGTTACGAAAGTATTGCAACACATTCCTCGAGAAAGACTCATTCTTGCTCCAGATTGCGGTCTGGGTTTTCTTCCTGAAGAGATCATGAGGAAAAAGTTGCAAAACATGGTTCAGGTTTGCCGAAAAATATAGTTCGGTTCAGAATATATTGTTTCAGTATGTACTTTAGAATAATAATAATCAATTATATATACGTGGATACCACGATGTACTTGGACAGCAAGATAATATGATATAAACAATAATATAGCCAAATATATGAAAATTTTCAACTCTAGTATTCTGAGCATTGTCTGTGGCCTTTTTTTGACTTGGAAAAGAAACAACTGATTACAAAAGCGCGCAGCTCACATCTTGAAGGTGTTATCGTAGCAAATAATTATAATTTGCATCCTTTTCTTCGTAATTTCAAAGTTTAAACGGAAAAAGGCTAAAAACCCTTGTTGAATAATAAAAATTCTATTTAATTCTACTACGGATGAATGTTGGACCGGGAATAATGTATCAATTAAAGAAATGAAATTTGTATCAAATTACGAGATTTTGCAACAAATATTGGTCGGTTTTTACCGCCAATTTCTAATCTTGCCTGACCGGCCCAGCTATTTAATCTGAATGAGCAGAAATTGAGGCTTATTGAGCGCTCTAAAGGAATATGAATGGAAGAATTCGCTATGGACGGAACTGTACAGAGCTTCGCCTTCAGCAAGGATCAAGATTAACAAATGAGAAGCGTTGGAATTAATGAGCCGTATGAGCCAATGATTACCCGCGCTTTTAACCAATCATTTGCGCGATCTATTGTGTTATGCCAGCCAATCAGCGAGCGAATGTGATGTATATAACTTGAAGCGGGTTTCTTGAATTCAAATCCTCTGTCCTCTATCGCGTTCAAGATTGTCGCAAAGCAAGAAATCTTAAGAAGAAGAAGAAATGGCTCGTACCAAGCAAACCGCTCGTAAATCAACTGGTGGAAAAGCACCAAGAAAGACGTTGGCAACGAAAGCTGCTCGTAAGAGTGCCCCAGCTACAGGTGGTGTGAAGAAACCTCACAGATACAGGCCAGGAACTGTCGCCCTTCGAGAAATCCGTCGTTATCAGAAATCCACCGAGCTTCTGATCCGCAAACTACCTTTCCAACGGTTGGTTCGTGAGATTGCTCAAGATTTCAAGACCGACCTTCGATTCCAAAGCTCGGCCGTCATGGCTTTACAAGAAGCAAGCGAAGCTTACCTTGTTGGTCTGTTTGAAGACACAAACTTGTGCGCCATCCACGCCAAACGAGTCACCATCATGCCTAAAGACATCCAGCTCGCTCGACGAATCCGTGGTGAACGTGCCTAAATCAATGTCCTAAAGACAACAACAAAAACCGGCTCTTTTAAGAGCCACCAAATTTACAAAAGAAATAAACCAAACTATCGATGTGTATTCCTCCTACATATTGACCCGTTGTGAGCAATTTACAGCACGTGCCCGTGTATATGGAAATGCAATACTTCGCTTCACAAATATACATATAGACTAATAGTCCGGAACTAAGACGAATATATTCTCAAATATTTCACGGTCTAGCCTCTATGTTTGACATTCTAAGGTCCCGAATGGACGTGATTTCTTTAAAAAATGCTTTTAAATAACGTAAAATTGAATTGTGGTACCCCTTGATTCCTGATCCCAGGACAATGAGTTTGCCGCGAGAATTGTAAGATAGTATAAAATGGCGCCAAACTTACTTAAACACATTTGTGTTTCTCGCTCATATACTTTCCCCTAGGATCAATAAAAGAAGTCAGGACGTCTTCTTGGCTTTCTTCTCAATTGCCAATTTACAAGCTTTAAGAATTATTGTCCCATTACCATGGTGGCGGTAAATCTGCTACTGTTGTCCAACTACTTCCCGTACTTGGGACACTTTGTAATCGTGCCCATCAATATATATATGTATATATATATATAAGGCCTCATCAAGTATATGACTTGCTTTGCTTGTCGTAGGGAAAAAGATATACACAATAATATGCATGAGTTTATATCAGTGGTTGACAGACGTAGGATATATGTTGTGAACTTTGACCTGCTTTTTTAAACCGTAAAGGAGTTTATGGTCATGGGGATATTGGGTAACAGATACCGGAAATTAAAAGTAAATGGACACGCATTTGATCGGAAACTTTATATTTCAAACCCCACAAAAACTTAGTTTTTTTCTTGCTTTTCAACGTATTCTCTCACTAACCGGGTTTAAAAGTTCAATATGTTACTGATATACATATCTTTTTGTGTTTGATATTAGTTGCGTTGCTCGGGGGTATAAGTTTAAAAACATGCGGTTTTCAAAGCCGAAGGTAAATTAGGTAATGCAAACTAAACGCTAGATTATGTCAGTGGGAGATATTCCTGTTACGTTGGCAGATACAAGAATATTTTGCTTTGAGTTATTGGGATGAGATTCACACTTTAGTATAAAAATGCAAGATTTATACGGCTCCAATTGCGATAATTAATCGGGTAAAGAATAAGAGGGGTGGGAGTTGAGAGAGCATTATATATTTATATACGGATTTGAAAATATGCGTTTGCACACTATCGATTTTCGTAGTATTCTTTTGTGAGATTTGTTGGCTCTTAAAAGAGCCGTTTTGTTTAAATTGTCTTTGTCTTCTTCAGTATCTAACCGCCGAAACCATAGAGGGTTCTTCCTTGTCGTTTCAAGGCATAGACAACATCCATAGCTGTGACTGTCTTCCTCTTGGCGTGCTCGGTGTATGTGACAGCATCACGAATGACGTTCTCAAGGAACACTTTTAGAACACCACGAGTTTCTTCGTAGATCAGACCAGAGATACGTTTGACTCCACCACGACGAGCGAGACGACGAATGGCGGGCTTCGTGATTCCCTGGATGTTGTCTCGCAAGATTTTACGATGACGCTTTGCGCCTCCCTTTCCAAGACCTTTGCCTCCTTTACCGCGACCTGACATTTTATCTTCTTAGCTTTCTGATACTTCGATTACCTGAGAATAATCAGAATATGAAACTTGCGAGATGCGAATGTTTGTGAAATTGTGTGCTGCTTGTTTTATACCTTCGCGCCAGAGCCGGACCTCATGGAAGACATGCTCATTACCATGACCCTCGCCTTATTGGTCCAAATCCTTGCTTCTCATTGGATAATTATTTCAAGGTATGCAAATTTCAATCTCTGGGGTAAGCAAAGGTCTTACTAGCCCGCGAACTGACTCTTCAAGGAAAGATGGTTTGTGAGCTAAACTTGAATATTTTGCTGTATTTTGTATTTTGTTACCGAGTTTGTGGATCGTGGTGCAAAGGAGATCAACTTCTTTACGGGCTTAAATTTTGTTTATGTATGGCCTTCAATGAATGATCTGCGTTCTGGCAAGATGGTACTGTGCGAGGTCTGTGGTCGGTGTGGGATTTACACATCAAATGGTCCCGGAGCAACCAGGTACGCATTGTAACAAAATTGTCTTACTCTTAAACTTGAATTGAGCCGGAATTTCAAACAAATCATCCTAGTTCTTCAGGATATAAACTTGATCGATTATAAAGCTGGTATCCCTGGTAATTTTATCAGCTTTGAACTTGAAATCGGTCATCATGTACAACCATGTAGTCGGAATTCAATTCAATTGTTTTTAAACTTTCCGACTCGTGGTGAGTTTCCCAAAATACTTAATAAATAAGCAACTGAACTGACGTTAACCGACTTAGTAGCCTATTACGATAACACTTTGTAGACCGTACACGTATAAATCGGGCCATTTTATAACATAGAATGTACAATAGATTTTCCGGTCTTGATATGGCTGAAGGCGATGCAAAAATTTCCTATTACTTATTCGTAACGCCGGGGTCTTATGTGATTTCTCACCATTCGCAATAGTTACAGCAAGACGTATATTCATTCATTCTTAACTCCAATTCGTGACTTCAATCAATTTTATTTTATATAGCAATATTAGTAACCGATTTGGAGAAAATAATTTTTATTTTTTTATTCTTTTATTCTATTATATACAAAATACGTAAAATCGGTTCTGTACACATATAAGAGAATTTAATCGTTAGTCGGTACTATACTGAACTGATTAGCGAAGTTTGAGATCTTCTTGTATAAAGTATAACATGTTTAGTTTCTAGAATCTAAACCGTTTATTCCTATCACGGATTAAAGAACTAAATATTCTTCACTTTATTACATTATTTCTTCGTGTCTATAAAATTTCCCGGTTTTCAACCAGTTCATTGCGCGTGCGCAGTATTCTTAGGCGAGCGTTCTTGGTAAACTCGTCGTTTTTGTTCAGTTCAAGGCATTTTATTCTTTTGGACGCATTTCCTGTATTCGCTCGTCTCCTTCCATTCGCAGAAGCCATTCTTGGCTCTGTAACAGAATTGTGTGGTTCTCCGGCAGTCAATTTGATGTCGAGCGTACTCGTTTATATTCCAGTAACAGTGAGTTTTACTCTTCTCGTTTTTTGCCCAGAAAGCTGTTTCTACTTGACATCCCTGTTTGCAGCCTTTGGCGTACTTCCTGCGCAAACCTGTGGAGGGAAATTAGATTAGCAAGGATGTTGATGTTGATTGATAAGAGGCAGAGTTGGTCACAGACGGAGTAAGAAGCGAAATCAACCTATATGATGTTGATGACTTTTAATACCACTACCCACCCACCTCTTTTCATGATTTTTGTGATCGTCGATTCCTCAATTGTATTTCCATCACCTGCCATCATTCTTTGCTTGCTAGCGGGCATCATCGTCCCGTCGTTGTATCGTCTCAATTTGCCAAAGAAAACACATTTCTGATTCCCTTTGAATTCTTTTTTGTTTAAGTCTGTGGAAAAGAAATAAAGTTTAGATGAAATGATCCTGTCAAACGGGACAGATTGTGGACATTACCAATCAAACGTCTCATTCAGTTTCATTCTCGTGACCAGTTCAAATTTATAATGCGATTTAATTCAGTTCTGGCTTAAGTTCAGGGCTTACAATACAACAACAATTCTGCTTTAATGCTTACTTAGCTGAAGACTCGCTTCAATTTTCGTTGCTGCAGAAAACGAATCGATAAGAGCTGACGCTCGTTTCAGCTTCATCATTGGCATCATCATTTTCTCTCCTTTGTAAATACGCTGAATTTCCACCATCTGTTCCTTGGGCTTCGTTCTACCGCCCGGAACCAACCCTCGTCTCGTCCGACGTGTTTCTGCCACCATTGGCATCGCTTTGAACTTGAACACTATTGATGAAAACAAGACGGGATTTAGTACGGACGAATTTGCTATCCTATCTAATTTGCTATCGTATATATCTAACAAAGATCTTAAACTTTCTATTATAGCGTGATAGCCACAAACAAAATATATTAAACTGAAAGTTTCTCTGTCTTAAACTGAATCTTTCACATCTTTACATCATGCATAATGAGGCTTCATGAGTCATGTCATAGTTTATCGCTTAAAAAAATATTGATTTGATGACAGATAAAGGTATAGCTTTCTCCTGAACATGCCGAGTTTTAAAAATATGAGTGAGGATGTCCGAACTGCACCTTGATTCATTGGTTGTCATTTTACCAAAGGAATTTACAGCGTTTGCTCAGCGATGCCAAAGCGGCATTCATGTTAAACCGTTCACATGCTGCCCCATGCAGCAATGAACAGCGAACAACAGGGAACAAAGCCTATCCCAAAAGGTCGGCCAGAACCCGCAAATTGTATCATTTGCGATTTACGCACGTATTGAACGTAATTCAATTGATTCAAGGTTATTTTTTCGAGAATGCGGAGCAAACATCTTTCAACGCGGAATAATTCGCATTAACCGTAGTACAGTCCAATATTTTAATTGGACTAATATTGTTTATTACATGTTTTGAACAACAACGTCAATGTCAAATCAGCAGGAACCTTGAGACTAACGCGTATTTTGACTGAAAGATTAGTTCGAGATTGAAGATTATAGCGAGGAAACACGTTCTTGAGAACTTTCAACTGCGAGGAATGTCCAAGATTCCCCTTGCTGATGACAGACAAAACTGAAACACGAGTTAGCAAATATTTTAGCCTGTTATAAAACCAACAAAAACCTTTTTGTAAAAGTCGAATTAATTTTGATATAGATGCATGGGATTTGTGTGAATCTCGGACTAAATTGCTTTTCAAAAAGGTAATGAATTAATGGAAAGCCCTGAATATAAATGCGGAATCAATTTGACCGAATTTACGAACTTATAGAAGCCTTGTGGTTTATCAGTATTGTTCCTGGCTGAGGGAACTGCTATATTAGACTGAACATTAAGACAAAAGCTGTCTGTGGTGGCTCTTGCCATTTCATCTCACACAACATAAACGTTTTTCTATCACGATACATATTGGAACGTTCTAATCAGTGTGGTTGGCCAAATAGAGATACCTTTAATATATAGAAGCTAATTGGAACAACCACATCCTTCCTATTTCACTAATTTTAATATATTTCGTGCCTTAACTCACGTTCATTCAAGTATGTGATGATAAGATCAGGGAAATATAAACATCGAACTAACTTGGCGGTTCCATTCTTAGTAACTGTTGATTCAGTCAGCTTTATAACAGGTGTTGAAGAAAACGTGTTTATTGACCGAGCCCACACGATTGAGACTGAACCAAACGAGTTATAAAGCAGAACAGTCGAGTCCTACTTTGACTTCTAGTCAAAAGTATATTTGATTGTCAGTTTTTGAAAACCGAAACAAGTTTTGAAAAACGAGTAATGGCCTCTCGGCAATCTTATATTTATGGATATTTAATCCACTATTGCAATATCATTTCATATTATTCCGTTACATCAATTCCCCTCAGGGAGTTTTGATAATGTTGTTCAACTGTTGCAACACAGTTGACTGATTCATCGCTAAGAAAGGGTGAGATCAAATAAAAGAGAGCTCGAGGGGAATGTAAACACTCACGAAAGGTAGTCAAAATATAAGTCCATAGAACTATGCTAATATGTTATGATTTTTGGCACTTCACTCGATGTAGGTAAATTCTAGTGGCTCATTTTTCCATCAACTGTTCCTGGCTTGAATTTGAAGTGTGTATAATTCCACTTGAAATTAAGACCCTTAACTTTATCAAGTAAAATATTTACTTCGAAAATAACCTTTCACATCTCTATGTGAAACGGAATATATATTGATATCAAGGCTGCTCTGTCATTCGAAGGAAGTTCACAACAAAGATTTGACTTTCTTACGTATCTTTTAAAACAGTCACGGTGTTTTGACCGAACAAAATAGCTTTTGTCAGTAAAACCACACTCTCAAAATTCCTTTATGATATTCTGTGATAAAGTTCTCAGAGTACACAGGAACTATGCTTTTCATAAAGGAAATCCTAATATAAGAAAACCATATAATTATCAATTGCATCGAAGGATTCTTTGAATGAAACGGAACAAATCTCAGCCTTCATTCAGTATCCTTCATGGCATGACGTTGCTGCTAATATAGCTACGTTTACAATAAACAGGAAAGCTGACTTGAAATGCTGTGTTGTATTACTCACGTTTCTGCACCGAAGTTGTAAACGTTTTTACGAAGTCGTAAGCAATATCGGGGAACAAAGAGTCCAGATATAATTCTGTAGCGAGTTGTATACATTGCAAATGATATATAGTTATCCGAGCTTTAATCGATCATTCAACATGCGTTTGTCGTATAATTTTGTGTTTATGAACGTCTATATACATGTATATGATATCAATATATATAGCTACGTATACTGCTGTTGAATCTGTTTATATTTTTACCCTTTTTTTTCATTGATTCAGATGAACTCAGCGTGCCTGAAATAGGCGGAAACGTACCGAAAATGGAGCTCGTATATTGCATTTGGATTTTTGTCGGCAAAATCATCGAGTTAAGTTGTGTGCTCGCTTCAACAATACAAGGGGAATACACTATACACGAGCAAAAGGTAAATATATTTACTAGAGCATCAAACTCTCGCAAAATAGTTCAAAATTAGGATGTATATAACTTGTAAACTGCATTAAAAGATTCGCACAACGCTTGCGAATGTGTAGCAGCGCAGGTTTCAACTTTAATTCCTTATGCGGTTTAAAGTAATACGTTTGAGAGACTGAGAGTAAGCTAATAGTAAAGTAACGGCCACCCCCGCATGAAGACGTGCTTTGAATTTTTCGTAGCGACTGTTGTGATGATTTACTGGCTGTCGATGAAAAAACGAGCGCGACCTAATTGCGCATTTTATTATGATTTTGAGAACTTGCGTAAATATTGTTTGGAGGACAAATCAATTTATCCGATGGCTTATCTCTGTTATCTCAGCGCTGAATGACCTTGTAAACATGGCTAAACCACAGCACCACATTGAAGTATATTTACACTACCCAGTGCTCAATCGTATATCATACTGCGTTTCATATTTCGACATTGGCAGTGATGAAACCTCACGCGCAGCCACGCAAATGGCGTAGTTCACATGTAGAACTTTTCAATGGGTTATGCACTTCAGAATTTAGCATGAACAAAACGTTGACACCTTGTTAATTAAACTTTGCTCTCAACTACGTGATAAGAACGCCTTCGAACGTACAAATGTATAAGTAATGTGTGACTCGTAACCGCTTACCATAGTCTGAATCGCAATACATTTTCTGTGGATGCCGAGGAGCGTATGATGAACCGTACGTCTTCTGCAGTACGCACACCACAAAAAGCATCAATAGAGTTGCCACTTTACAAGACATTTTTGTATTTTGCTTTAAGATAGATTAACCCAAGTGATCTGATATCTTCTCAATAAGAAGCACTGTGTCTATGATTTCTATGCTCCTTCGCTCGACTTTTATGTGATGCTCTGAGCGGGTGTGAAGGCCTCATGGGGGTGTGACGTAGCACCTAATGACAGGAAACTATCGTGAATACGAAATTAAATTATTCAGCAATTTGTTGAACGCGATCTTCAAGAATGGGCGAGTCTCTTCCGTCAGAGACATATGTTAGAAATATTTGCGATATTATAGATGGGATAAGATATTAAAAAATGTTCTAGGGTGGCTCTAGGCTAATCAGATTAGTGAAATACCTGCATACGAACACGCAATGTTTAATATTGGATAACGAGAATTTTTACAAAGTGATTTGAGATTGTAGCACAATAATGCCCATATACAAAAGGTGTGATAAGGAACGACAGACGGGAAACTTGTTGGCTACTATGAATTCTCATTATCACTGTAATAGCTCAATTTTGTTAGTTCATTAAGGAACATTGATGCGTTAAAACGTTACATTATTTAATCAACGGCGCCCTAATATCGGTGAAACTTTGCTTGATTCTAGAAGCCTCAAATCGTCTAATTCTATTCACAGAAATTGAAATGGTATATAAGGTTATAAATATAAAAAGGAAAGAATTCAATTAATTTAATACACTAACTTTATCAATTAGAACCATAATTTTCTATATTTGATATTTTGCTATGTGGCGTTGTACCGGTATGCATAATATTCTAATCTTTCACAGGGCGCTGTTTTCAACCATGTTTGGAAGTATATTGAAGTTGTTTTTAGCGTCGGGCGAAGCAGATAAAAAAAAATAGAACAAATCCTCTTCGTCTAGTTAAACTTAAATGAAACACACCCGAATATTTCTGAGAATTTTTTTGAGATGTGAACTAGCAACTGGAGAAAAGAATTTAAATCGTCTTGCTTTCAAATCGGACGAACATCGGTTGATCAAAGGTTAGTTAGTTCGTGACGTCTTCCTTGTTCCTTATTTTAAATTTAGCGGCAACCGCATATAAGGAGGAACATGCGAATTTAACAGACAGGCCAGTTGAATTCCGGGCGTTCGTCGTTTCAGTTGTGATTAGTGCATGCATATACGTTAGTCATACACGTATATACAATTCTTAATCCTGTCGGATGATGAACGAGAGTTTGGCAGTGACTTGTTGAAATTTATTTCTTTTCCCTCAAATGTGTTTCAGTGACGTACAAGGGCCAGTGAGAGGCAAAGGCAGAAAAATTTGTCCAGGCCGAAGCAGAAATTCTTCCACTGATCGTTGTCGTGCACAGGTGTGGAGAGTGAAACGCATTTTTAACAGTAATTAAGAGCGAACTCAACGGATTTTCCATAAGTCAAGCGTTTTAAACGAGCTCTTTGTTGTTTGAGGCAGATTAGGAACTCATCTTAAACCTTATGTCAAAGGTTTCTTCTTCATTTCACTCACAACGTCTTTAGCTTGTATTGTGTACTTTCAAAACACTTTTTCCTTGTAAAGCCATTGAAGTTCAAGTGTTTAAGACATTGTGGGTTAAGTGATCGGCTTAACGAAGATCTTTGTGAACTGTAGGTAAACATTAAATATAGCTTTACAGTTTTATTAGTCAGAAAACTATTTTTTACCATACGTGCATATTTGTGCAGTAAAACTGAAGTCATTCAATAACATATTGACTGTGGTGTGACGTTTAATCATATTGATTTTCGTAAATCGTAATTTGTGGTTATAATCAATATACTCATGGCTGAATATAGTGACGTTATATGTGTTTCATATTGTACGTAAGGAGCGACATTTTTCTTCCTGCATGAGCTGTTTTGAGACGTGATACGATCAATTGAAGAAACTGAACTTTATTTGAGAACAAGAGGTGTTTAACAGGGTTTTCATGCAAATAATCCATTGATCATCGTCACATGAAAAAGTATCCCTGGTAAAATTGTACAACCATGAATACTTAAAATCCGTGCAACGTTATAGCGTCTTCAAGGATCCTCATCTGAAAGAATTGTTTCATCCCTTGCCAAAAAAAAACTCCGGACGTTTTATCATGCTCCCAAGGCCCCAACTCTTATAATTGTAAAGAAGAGCCCTTGGGTCGAAGCATCAAGATTTTTCCATGCGCTGATTTTTGGCAACTGCAAATGAAACCATTCTGCATCATCGTGTGCTCTTACAAAGACAACAAAGTCTTACTATAATTGGTAAATTAACCAACTTCGAACTGCAAACGTGCAAACACGGCCAACCACGACATGTATATTAGCCTACGCTCAGTTCAAAAAGCAGCCAGCGCCCAGCGATGAAACATATTTAGTTTAGAATGAAAAACAGATGCCAAATGAGAAGAAAGAAATTAGTTTCATTCAGTTTTACTGGCTATATATAAATACAAGAGGCATTCATCAGTAAATTGATTTGTAACTTTCAATTTAAACGACACAAATATATGTATGACGTTATTCTTCCTCAAGTTGTGTTCGCTTATTCTAAGAACAAAAAAATTAATTACTGAGTCGAAAGTAGGTTGATATAGAGACATCAAAACACAATAGGAACCTGTCCTTTATCACTGCAACAAGGAATCTCATAAGGAACAAAGATCACACTTTTACTGCAGTTTTGACAAGCAATTCAGATGACGCCTTTCATTTCGACCGAAATGATTTTAAAAAAAGCCTGGAGTTAGGATTAGAGCTCTAAAAATAAGACGCGTTAAGTAAACACGCGCCATATAGCGTCAAAACTACACGCCAAATTTCGTCAGTATATGGTGCCGCGTTTCCGTAGTAGCGCCTGCTCGATTGAAACCATGGCGTTTAAGAATAACTGACAAGAATGATTGACGATAAAATATGTCGTAGAGGAGCTTAGGAATTTCATGCTTATGAATGTCATCAAAATTATAATCATCAATCGTTTGACATAAATGAATTAGCAGCATGCAAGCAAAAGTTGTCACACTCCGAGTTGAAATTGTTTTAAAAAAATTAGAAATATATATCCTATACAAAACTACACGCCAAATTTCGTCAGTATATGGTGCCGCGTTTCCGTAGTAGCGCCTGCTCGATTGAAACCATGGCGTTTAAGAATAACTGACAAGAATGATTGACGATAAAATATGTCGTAGAGGAGCTTAGGAATTTCATGCTTATGAATGTCATCAAAATTATAATCATCAATCGTTTGACATAAATGAATTAGCAGCATGCAAGCAAAAGTTGTCACACTCCGAG